CTTAACTTCTAGAATTTAATAACCTTCTTAAAGGCCTAAGTAATAAAGTAGGTCTAATTATTAATAGTAAAAGCCTAGAAAACTTATAAATTAGCTAGAAAAATAAGTAAAAACTAAGGTTTTAAATATTAAGAAAAAGACTTACTAAGTTTATAAGGCCTTAGTTCTACTTTTAAATACTAATATATATTAAGCTTAACTTATTAGTAATTCTATAGAGTAAACCCTTAATAACTAAGTTAGAAGTATAATTATTCTAGTACTTCTTTTAGCTAAGAGTAAGCTTTTAAGCCTTATTTTAGGCTTCTTTTAGATTTTAGATAAAGTCCTTATTAATATTCTTAAGTAACTTAGAGAACTATAAGTCTATTTTAATAAGTAGTAAGAGCTTATAAATATAAATAATAGTAAACTTAAGTTTATTAGAGATCTATAGAAATATTAGCTATAAATAAAGAGAAGAAAGTAATTCTAGTAGACTTATAGTATAATAAGCAGAATTTACCTTAGTAAAGTAGTAATAGTAAGTAGCTTTACCTTTATTAAACTTATAAATTTTACCTTAGGTAGCTAGATATATTATATAGTTAATATAGTAAAAAGAGTTAAGCTTACTAATAAAGGAGATATTAACTATAAAAGTAGAGTAGTTAGTAAGCTATAGAGTAGGTATCTATTTAAATAATATTAGGAAATAAGTAAGAGAATAGGTAAAACTTAGATAAAAAACTTATACTAGGTTCTTTATTAAATAAGTTAGATATAAATATAGAAGTAGTAGTAGAGAGCTTAGCCTTAGCTTTAGTAAGATTAGCTCTTTAAGTATTTATTTTAGCCTTCTTTCTTTTACGCTAGGTAGGTATAAGTATAGTAGAGGTAGACTACTTACTATTAGAAATAATACTAGTATAAGTATTAACTATATTAATAAAGAAGAGTAAGAGAGGTAAAAGTATATATAAGTTAAAGCTAAAAATACGTATATAGATATAGATAGAAGTATTAGTAATAGGTTAACACATTATATTATAGTAAAGTTAAAATATAAGAATTTTTACTAAAGAAGGGCTTATATAATAGGCTAGGTCTAGTAGAACCTTAGTAAGTAAAGCCTTAGAGCTTAGTAGGCCTAACTACTAATACCTATACTACTACCTATACTTTAGAAACTCTTAGTACACTACTAAAAGAACTATAAGTAGAGGAAAACTAGTACTATAGATTCTTAGTAAATTTATCTAATTTATACTAGTAACTACTCTTAGAGTTAGCCTCTTATATTAAGAGCTTATAAAAAGTATAAAATAGGTACTATTAATAGTATAAAAAAAGTAGCTAGATTTAAAATAAATATACTAAAATATTAAAAATAAGTACTAAGCCTACTAGTAGTAGTAGCTTAGGTAGAAAATAAAGGTTAAGATCTTAAAATAGAAATTATATAAGACTAGCTAGTACTACTTATAAGTAAGCTTATAATAGATTTTTTAAAGTTAAGCTTTAAACTTACTTAATTTTTAAAGAGCTTATACTAGTTAACTAATAATTCTTTAGCCTATTAATTTTAAGCTTAGTATTTTACCTTTTAGGCTTAGTACTACCTTAATTAGAGTTAAAATTTCTTAGCTAATAAACTTTAAACTTTATAAAATATTAAAATTTCTTAATAACTATATTAAGTTTTTACTTTTTATATTACCTATATACCTTACGTAATTTAAAATATTACCTAATATACTCTTCTTTAATTATATATTTAAAATAAATTATTACAGCCTTTTACTACTTAATTTAGTAGGCTTTAATATAAATAACTATATAATCTACCTTAGTATTATACTTATATTATATAAAAATAAGACTATATTTACTTAAGTTATTATATAACTTTAAAAGTATCTTATAGTAAAAGGTATTATAATTTAACTATTTATTACTAATAATAATAGAGTGTATATAAATATACTTAATTATATATTTAATTTACTTAAAATTATTATATATTAGTAGTATATAAATAAGAATGTTTTAAGCTATATTTAATTAATACTAATAGCTAAGTTTAGGTAGTAATATAATAAAATCCTTTAGGTTAATACTAAGTTTATAATATAGTTTACTAATACGTACTATATAGTACTAGGCTCTAAGACTCTAGCTAAGTTTAATATAAACTTTAAAGCTATTAAAATACTATCTTTTTATACTTATATATATCTTAATTACTACTAGTTTAGCTACTATAAAGATAAGCTTATTAATATATAAATTAATAAGTTAGCTAACTTTAAGCTATTTATAACTTTAAAAGCTAAGAGTACTTACTATATTATTAAGAACTAACTTAATAGCTTAGAAGCTAATATACTTTAGCTATTTTACTACCTAAAGTTATTTTATAATAAGTATATTAAGTATAATTAAATACTTAATAGGTAAGTAAATTATACTATTTAAAGTAACTATTAAGACTTAGCTTTTACTAGTATTATTAGAGTTATTTTATACTATATACTTATACTTATAGTATAGAAGCTTAAGTATACTAAAGGTAAGCTTTATATATTATAAAGTAACTTTAGCTACTTTATAATAGCTTATATAGGTATCTATATACACTCTAAAGGTCTACCTTATTAGTATTAAATAAAAGAGCTTAAGCTTATATTTAGAGCTTTAAAACTTAATAATTTTAATATATATTAGTATATTAATTACTTATAAGCTCCTATAATTAAGCTAGCTCTATATATATTAAAGCTATATATTATATAATAATAGTAACTTTATAAGCTATATTACTATATTACTAATAGTAAGTAGTAAGGTAATTATTATAAGCTTAGCTTATTTAAGTACTTTAATAATAATAATATTATAGTAATACTACTAGTATTACTACTAGCTTATATAATAGTTAAGCTAGTGCTTTATAAAAGTATTATTATTTTACTAGTAAATTAAGTAGCTCTAGCTACTTACGTTAACTATTTATATATAATAGCTACCTTATAGCTTATAAAGCCTATACTTACTTTATTAATATAGCTAATATTATATACTAATACTTACTATTACTGCCTAAGCCTACCTTAATTACTACTCTAATTACTGCCTTAATTACTACTTTAATTACTACTTTAATTACTACTTTAGCTACTAGTACTATACTTATTAGAGCCTTAAATTAATAGTATATACTTTTTATAAGCTTACTAATTAAGTGCCTAAATAGCTTACTATAAGTACTTAATACCTCTAATAAGTATAAACTATATATAGTTTAGTACTTTAATAAGTACTAACTTTATATAATTTAGTACTTAATTAGGTATTTTATATATAATCTTACTACCTTTATTAGTACTAGTAATACCTACTACTTATTATATAATATAGATATTTACTCTATAGCCTTTATAGCCTAACTTATACGTATAGTAAGCTTTCTAGTATATATAGTAGCTATAGGTAGTAGTATATAAGTAGTAATAGTAGTAACTAAAAAAGCTATAATACTAAGCTCTTTTACTAGTAAGAATAACCTTTATATAATACTTAGCTTACCTATTAAATTAGCTGCCTCTATTATAAGTTTAGAGCCTATATACTATAAATTATAATATAATAAATTAACTAGTAGAGCTAGATAATAATAGCTTTAGGTTTTTAGTACTAATAAGGTAGTATAGTTACGCTAGTAAATTACTTTTATATAAAGGCTAATTTAAATTATTATACTTTAATTTTTAATTATACGTAATAATAGTAATAATAGTATATAATAGTAATATTTACTACTAAGTTCTATATTATTAATATATTACTTAGTTTTTAGCTTTAGTATAAGTTACTATACAAACTAGAGATTATAATATAGGATAATTATATTATAGGTGCATAACGCTATCCTTAATCTATCTTATGTAGGTACTTAGGAATAGTTATGTAGGTGCTCGTTAACCGCTGCTAGTACTTGTGCGCAAGCTGTGCCCGTTGAATGATTGATAACTACACACGCAAAAGAAGCTATGTAGCGAGATGACTAGAATACAGAATGCATCATCGTAGTCTTCCTATTGGCTGCCATGATCGGGGATTAGCCTGTAGCGCGCTGTAACCTGTAAGCACCCGCGAGTCAACCAATGACAGCCCGGCTTTAGGCAAATCAGCAATGCAGAATGCTGATCCTCCTTTTCCGTTGGGCCTAGCTATGTACGCCTTGGCTTCGAAGCCACAGCTCGGCCCATGGAAGCAAGTCTCGCAGGGTACAAAAGTACGCGCAGTACGACGCAGCACGCAGCGCTTTGACCATGGGAGTGACAGCTCCTTGTCAACGGGCCAGAATTGCTTCTGTACTCCCGCAATGTCATGCTGTGGAGGGGGAGGATTGACGGACAGGTGGGGAAGCTAGGCAAGCCATGTGTCCGGCGGCTCAGCACTCGGAGCGACCTAACGTCGCCCAGACTAGCTCAGGCCTTATTTCTGAGAGATTGCCCCCAGGAGCCATGCACACCAGCGAAACTGGAATCTGGGCGGGATGGTGTAAGGGAGGAGGCAAATACTTAGTTTCGGTCGGTAGAAATACGACGGGGGGGGCGAGAGGCGGCTGGTGCCTGCACAAAATAGTCGCTGTCGCCCTCGCGCCTTGACACGGTCTGTTCTGGTCTGTTTCTGCTTTGCTAGATTATCTTAAACTCTTTCTCTCGCTTTTCGTCGCGTCCTTTTTTCCTTTTTTTGTTTCCTTGTTGGGTGTGGGTTTTTGCGCGTTGGATATCTAGTCAGCTCCCCTCCCCGAGCCCGCCTTCGCCATAGCCCTTTTTGCGTACCGCACCGGCGACGCAGTCATGGGCTTCTTCGACAGGAAGCGCGTCTTCATCGCCGTGCTGGTGTCGGTGCTGGTGACGATATCGTTGCTGGTCGGCATCCAGACAAACGCCATGGACGTCATCCGCGCCCACGCCGTGAGCGGCCAGACGCCCGTCGCACAGGAGGAAGAGAGGCCCAAACCGCCCGAGCCGCCGCAGTACCTCGACATCGAGGGTCAGCACGGCAATACCACCGACGAGAAGCTCGCCTACGTCACCTTCCTCTCCGGCACCGTCGACGCCGGCGACGACCTCGAAAAGGATAACTACTTCGTCGCCGTGCGCATCCTGATCTGGCAGCTGGTGCACAACCCGCAGACGCGCACCAAGCACGATGTTGTCGTCATGGTCACGCCCACCGTCTCGCAGTCCCGCCGCGACCGCCTCGCAAAAGACGGCGCCATCATCTACCCCGTCGAGTTCCTGCGCACCGGCAAAGACGACTGGATCCAGCCCGAGCAGCACCGCTGGGACGACGTCATGACCAAGATGCGCGTCTGGCAAATGACACAATACAGCCGCATCCTGATGCTCGACGGCGACACGATGCTGCGCTCCTCCCTCGACGGCGTCTTCGACGACCCCGGGGCGCAAATCCTCGCCACCAAGCAGCCCCATGCCGTAAACTACACGGCGCTCCCCGACGAAGCGCCCCTACCCCCCACCTACCTCCTCGCCTCCCTAACCGAAGTCTGGGACAGCACGCACGCCTTCCCGCCCAAAGACGGCACGGGCCTAAAGCAAATCGGCTACATGAACGCGGGCTTCTTCCTGCTCGCCCCCTCGCTCCCCGCTTACGAATACTACCTCTCCCTCATCAACATCCCGCACTCGTTCGACCCGCGCTACCCGGAGCAGAACCTGATGAACTACGCCCACACGTGGACTGGCCCCATGCCCTGGCGCCAAATAGACTACTCGTGGAATATTCGCTGTCCGACTGAGAACGACTTTGCGCACGGCCTGGTTAGCATGCATGAGAAGTGGTGGACGCAGCCGTATATCTACGAGAATAAGAAGGTTAAGGAGTGGTTGTTGACGAGGCGCTGGGAAATGAAGGGCTGGTATGATGCGTGGGATGCGAGGGCGGCTGCCGCGTAAGGGGGATGTAATGTGTAAAAGATATATCCTGGCATTGGGGAGTTGGGAGATGGAGTATGTTTTTTTTTCTGCTGCATATTTTTTTGGCGGGCGGGGGGCATGTGTTGTATATGATTGCGAATAGATACCCTGATCGTTGGTGCAATCTACTGGTCCTGTGGTGGAAGTCACGCTTGCATGACCTTGGAATTGTGGATGTTGCGTATCTGGTGTGATTATTGATATGTGTGTGGGAGGGGGGGATGAATTGTTGGGCTGTGTCATGCAGTCAGCGGTGCAGTGCAGCAGTGCAGTGCAGTCAATACTCTCAGCTGTCCATCATGCATTACAGCTCACACAATCACACAATAAACAAACTCCAACTTCAAACACACAACACACCAATGAGCAACAAGTAAGGTGTTTGATAATGCTTCCATCAAGCGTTTCCCCCGGCATAATCCATGCATTCCCTCCCTTACATACTATATAAAAGTACTTCGCAAATGCGCAAAGGCATCAGAGCAGCTCCGTAGAGATCAACCCTCAATTCTAGACCAAGAAAGGATAACTAAACAAAACACAACACAACACAACATCAGGGGGGGGGAAGACACACCTCGATTTTGCCAAGACGAGACGAGATAAAGATGGATAGAGAGAGAGATAGAAACGAGACTCGTGAGTCCCCCCCGACACAAAAGAAACGCCATGGACGCGTAAAACAGAACACCATACAAAAAGACGTGATCAAATGGTTTGTGCAAAAAAAAACGTAATTCCTCCCAGCAAGAAAACAGTTCCCATAGCACCAGATAAACGCTCGCTCGCTCGCTCACACACGCACAAAAACAGAAAAAAGATTCACTTGAACATCCATTGACAATGGCAGGCATTGCTCGGATCACTGCGCTTCTGCATCGGCGGCGACAGCTCGCGCTTGTTCGCGTTCGGTATAGTCGTCGTCGTAGCCGCCTGCGAAGCAAAATACGCCTGATAAGACGGGTCTTGCTCCTGGAGCCAGATCCTGACGGGGCCAGCGTTGCCGTTTGGAGCGGGTACGATGGCCCCGCTATCGAGCAGCACCATTTTCTGGCAGTACGGTTGCGGCGAGCGAGGCAGACGGCGTTCTTCGATCTTGATGATGCGCGAATACGCAGGCATGCGAGAATTGGAGGATGTGTCTGAGGCTGTGGCTTCTCTTCGTACCGCAGGCCCGAATGTCTGGGCGGGGGAGTTGAGCGTTGTGGAAGTTGTGGAAGTTGCTCTGACGTCGGGTGATCTTGCGGTTGTTGCGACTGTGGAGGTTGTAACAGCCCTGAGGTCTGGGGATGACGAGGCTGTGGGTGAACTGCTAATCGAATAGCCTGTCGTGGCTGGAGCGGTCGAGTTATCCTCTGCATAGATGTAGCCTTCGATGTAAGTGGAGTTCCAGAAGCAGTACCATGGTTCGTCGCCTCGTTGCACTTGGAAAGGTTGGCTGAAAAGGATGTCCTCGTCACGTCTCTTGAGCGAGGAGCTGGCGATGAGTTCTTCTGGTCTTAGGATGACAACCTTGTCGTACCGAGCGGAGAAATGATACGCTGGGCCATAGTCTTTGTAGTCCAGGTCAAGCACAAGCTGCAATGGCTGCAATACCAGCTCGGGCGTTTGAAGACCATATTGTACAGTTCCTTTAGGTACCATTGGGCCTCCGTTTACGGAAGCTACTTGTTGCGTAGTTCCATCAGAGCCAGGCGAAGTGTCGTTGATAACAATAATGAGTGGTACTAACGTCATTTTGCAAGACCATGCTGAGTACTGATTCGCTTGAGTCAAACACCCAGGATTGTTCTCTTGTGGCAGTCCTAGGGGCAGTGAGAACGCGCCCGTAGGCAATGTGGCGAAGTTGGCAGGAGTTGGAATGAGAGTTGCGTCGAAGAGTACACCACCGGAACCTGTGACTTGTGGCATTCTATCGATTGTTAGCAAATGTTGTTGATGTGCAGCCTAAAGAACTTACGGTGGAGGCTCATGAGGTTTATCGGCGGTTACGTCTTTGTTATGGTCTTTGCTGTGCTTCTTCGCAACCAGAACACCCACCAATACTCCGAGGACAATAGCGAGAGTTAATATCAGGACCGCTACCAATATAGCAACACCCATAGACACCCTACCCCCCAACAATCTCTTTTTGCGCCAGCCAGCTTTCTGCTGAACTTGCTCCGACTTTTCCGTATAGGACTCGTCGTCTTTTGCAAGCAACGAGTCTGAAGCAGAGTCGGACGGTTCGGCTGGGATTGTGCTGGTTGACAATGGCAATGGCAATGTGGGTGCCAGGTTTCCCGTCTGAGTTTCTGGCCTCCGTGGTGGAAGACGAGCAGGTGTTACGGTGGGCAGCAAGGGCGCTGAAACCAATGTGGGTGTTGAAGGTGATGTAGAGCTCGTAGACGATACAGGAGATACGGGCGTCAGCAGAGGTGATGTCGGATTCAAGAAAGGATCATCTGGGTCCGCCACTGGAGAAGGTGCAGGTAGGACACGTGACGCGCTTGCTTGCGCAGCCAGACAAGCCTTGGTCGGTCCCTCGTCTGGATATCTCGAGTAGGGTGGGAGCTGTTCAGTGTGTCCGTCAGGCCCGATGATGTCTTGTTCTTCTCCGTCGGGTCCTAGCACTCTCTGATATCCCGCATTTAGGCCTGGGAACCCCATGGGGATGGCAGTCTGAATCTGGGGTACTGCAGGCCGCTCTGGCTCTTCTGGAGACTCTTCGCTCAGGCCGCTCTGCGAATACATGGCGTAGGGATGCGTGGGTCGTTGCAGAGACATGGATCGATGCGGCTGGGGGTCCGTCGAGGTGGTGGCTACGCTGGTGGGTCGCGCCATGGTGTGCTGCGGATACATGCCATACGGATGGCTTGGGCCCGTCTCGAAGGGATTCTCGCCCATCGTGGTTGTGGCAAAGGAAGCAGTGGAGCTCACCGAGTCGCGGTGGCCCAGCGGTGGCTGGCCACTGGAAAATCGGCTCGGCGGGTTAGGTGGGCGCCCGTCCTGGACCATGGAGTCTCGCACTTTCGCTATGCTGTTGCGCGTCGCCGTTCTGCGCAGGTCGTTTGCGGGTGCTTTTGACGTCGAGGCATGGCGCGACAGTGCGTCGTTCCGGTCGTGGTCGCCCCCGCTCGCGTTGGCCGGTCGGAAGCCGTCCGAGACGGAAGGCATGAAATCATCCTCGTCCACATCGATCTCATAGTCGTCGTCGAAGACGTTGGAATGCACAGACTGCCGCGGCGGCTGGTCACTGTCGTTGCTGTTGCGTCGTTCCATCGCGCCGATCGGTGCCCGGGAGCCTCCAAGGCCCTATGCCCCCTTCCAAGCCTCCAGATGACGTCGCAATAGCCTCTTCGTCAGATGCGTCGAACGGTCGAATGCAAGGTGTAATTGGGAGCGTTAAAAAGCGTGATTGAGTAGCGAATGTCGTAGCGTGGCGTGGCGTGTAGGGAGTCGTGATGCAGAGTGTGGAGGAGAAGCGACAGATAGCCGGCAAGTTCCCTAGATCTTGCTAGCTCAACCCCAGCGCTGTTTCATGACAATTCTTCTCACCACACCCACTTCAGCGATTCATTGGTTTAGCCAAGCGCCCATCCGTTGTCGGACTCAGATACTCCGCTGCGTGCTTTCGGCCCTCACGTGCGTAGTATAGTTAATCTATTCGACCTTGAACAGTGTCTTATCATTGGAGAAGTACTTGTGGTGCACATGATCGCCCACCAGGACCAACATGCGGGCAGTCGAGAGTATGGAATAATGGAAAAACTGCATAGGCGCTGGAAGGATAAACTTCCTGAGCAGAGAAATCTAGATGGTCGCTTTCCCATGTAGTGAGCTTGCTCTTGGACCACACCAGATGTTCAACAGCAATACAAGTCGACCAGCAACACTTCGAGTAATGATTAACACACCGTAGAGCAGGTTCGTGCAAACTCCTGCCCATCACAATATCCGCAAGACTGGCAACACTACCAAGATCGGAGAGGAATACATGGCTCATCCGTAGGTCAGTCCTGAAAGTTCATGCACATGTGTTGTTCCCCTCTCTTACTCAGATACACTGTTCTAATCTTTACACCCGGCGCTGCCGCAGTGCAACGTCTATGCCGTGCCACGCATGCTCGAAGGCTGTGTCCTTGCAGATTCACTCCAGGGATCAAGCTCGAGGATCAGGTTCAGAGGTGGATTTTGAAGACCCACATGAAACGACCCTCCGTCTTCTAAACGGGTGTGTCATCAAAACGTGGCGGATACCTGATCACAACCTACGTTTCCAGGAGGTAAAAAAAGAGTGGTGTTTTGCTGTTGGAATAGTGTCTAGGCTAAGCCGGCCGATAGTGGTCTACAAACTATCTTATCCCAAAGTTATGCACCCTGAGGAAGGGGTGATACATAATGCTCTGCTGGCAGGACGCCCAACGTGTTGAGGTGGCTAAGCAGATTGAGAACCAGAGGGCCAATTGCTCCATTCACCTTGGTTCCTTTGGTTCCTGGCTCTAGTCCGCTTGTGGCATGGCAGCGAAAACGCCCTGCAGCCAAGGCTGTGTGCGATAGGTAGGCCCAGTTCGCGAACAAGTTGTCTCAGCGACGCGGCGTAGTACGGCCACGCTGCTCCGATGGCGGTGGCTAGAAATTTTGCAGAACATGGTGGTATCTATCGTGTCAAGACGAAACAAAAGCACGGTGGGCGAGGAACGGTGCACTCGACAATTGAGCCCCGCGATTGTCTTGCGCGAGGCGCGTACAGACCCTGAGCAAAATCTAACGAACCATGCAACAGTCGTTCGAAGTAAGCGGGAGATGGCGTGGTTCAGACCCAGATGTCATCCCAGGTTGCACAAAAGTAGTTAAAACTTCTTATCGAACTTGAGAGCGCAATTTGCCAGCGTTACCACATAGAGATCGCCCGCTATTGACCGCACTTTGGGCTTGTCGCGTACTGCTCCTCTCTAGTCGGTACTTAAACAGCGGTGAAGACGCCTCTCTCCCTCTATAACCCTGCCAACAAATCTCTCCTCTGCTCCCCTCACTCACACCCAAGCACCACCCATACCACCGCAACCATGGCCAACCGCCCCTCCAACATCGGTATCAAAGCCATTGAGCTGTACTTCCCCAGCGTGGTGAGTGAAGATGGGTTTACCCCGCCCCGGCCAACTCTTCTAATCCCTTCCTCCAGTGCGTCGACCAGTCCGAGCTCGAGAAGTTCGATGGCGTCTCCCAGGGCAAGTACACAATTGGCCTCGGCCAGACAAAGATGTCGTTCTGTGACGATCGCGAAGGTGCGTTCCCCAGACCCCCCTTGAGTTTTAGTCGTTTGGCGGCACAGGAGAGAAACTGACTTGCTGGCTCACCAGATATCTACTCGCTCGCTCTGACGACCGTCACCTCGCTATTCAAAAAGCACAACGTGGACCCCAAGTCCATTGGCCGCCTCGAGGTCGGTACTGAGACGCTCCTCGACAAATCCAAGTCGGTCAAGTCGGTCCTGATGCAGCTCTTCGACGAGTGCGGCAACTACAACGTCGAGGGTGTCGACACGGTAAACGCGTGCTACGGCGGAACCAACGCCCTGTTCAACAGCGTCAACTGGATCGAGTCGTCGGCATGGGACGGCCGTGACGCCGTTGTTGTGGCAGGCGACATTGCCCTGTACAAGAAGGGCAATGCCCGTCCCACCGGTGGAGCTGGTTGTGTGGCCATGCTTATTGGCCCCAATGCCCCCATCGTTATGGATGCTGGCCTGCGCGGCTCGTACGTCAGGCACGCATACGACTTCTACAAGCCCGATCTGACGAGCGAGTACCCCATCGTCGACGGTCATTTCTCCATCAAGTGCTACACCGAGGCTGTGGATGCCTGCTACAAGGCATACAACGCGCGGGAACAGACCTTGAAGTCTCAGCAGAACGGAAACGGCAGCTCTCAGGAGTATGAGACTCCCCTGGACCGCTTCGACTACATGGCCTTCCACGCGCCTACATGTAAACTCGTGTCGAAGTCGTATGCGCGTATGCTCTACAATGACTACCTCACAAACCCATCCAACCCAATCTTCGCCGAGGTTCCCGCCGAACTCAGAGATCTTGATTACGCCGCCTCCATCTCCGACAAACAGGTCGAGAAAACATTCATGGGTCTGGCAAAGAAGCGGTTCGCGTCCCGCGTTCAGCCTAGCATCGAAGTTCCTACTCAGTGCGGTAACATGTACTGCGGGAGTGTCTACGGCAGCCTGGTCAGTTTGATCGCCAACATCGACGACAAGACGATGCAGGGTAAGCGTATCGGTCTCTTCAGCTACGGAAGTGGTCTCGCTTCCTCCCTGTTCTCCTTCAAGGTCCAGGGCAGCATCGAGAATATTGCGAAGAAGCTGGATCTCCATGCACGATTGGACTCGAGGCGCGTGGTCGCCCCTGAGGTCTACGATGAGGTAAGTTTCCTTTGACTTTGGGTTGACATCGTGTAACTAACACCAATTCTTAGATGTGCAACCTCCGCGAGAAGGCCCATCTTCAAAAGGACTACACCCCCTCTGGCAGCACCGACGGTCTGTTCCCCGGTACTTACTACCTCACTGGCATCGACGGAATGTTCCGTCGTACATACGAGATCAAGCAGTAAATATACCTGCCGAAGAGCACACTCGGGCCGCTTTTGGCATCTTTTCTTCGCTGCATTTGAGCATGTCCTGGAGTCGTTTTCAACATTTGACATAGACTCTAGATGTATTGCGTACTTTTCACATCGGCGTTCGAATCTATTTATGCAGCGCAATGGGACAGGCAGGACGGAAGGGTGCGGTATCGGAGCAGCTTTATGACCGATACGAGGCACGAAACTACAATGATCAGGGTCTATTCTTATGACGGTCAATACCCTGCTGGCAGCCTTAATACACGCTTCACATCTGAAGCATATATGGATAGAATAATCATATATATAGTTCAACACATCTCATCGACGCAGCCGCAGGTTCTTCGGATATACTTGGTGGTGTCATGTGCATTTTTTGTTTTCTTGGTTTTCATCAATGGCACGCACGATACCCCAGACACAGTTATCTGGAAAAAGATGTCTTGCATCTTATAAATCACGAAACTGACAGTTCAAAACGCCATCGGTATTGTTCCCTTGAAAATCCATGCCCAGTGCGAATAGTGCAGATGTTTTTACAGGTAGGTATGAATGGTTGCTTATAATATACCGTCCGGTTCGCCGGGGAGTCGCTTGACACGCCGCTGCTCCCAATCCTCGAGGTCCTTTGCCTGTAACCTCTGTCCACTTGTCAGCGAACCTGCCCTGCAATCCAATCCAATTCCGCCTTTGCAACACACTACGCTTTCCAGCACCTCCCACGACCCAGTCCAGACAACGTAGGTATCAGTACTTACATAATATTCATCCTTCATATTGACCTTCCGCCTATCTTGCCCCAAGCCCATGGCCTCATCATGGCTTATCTGCTGGTTCTTGCGATCGTATCTCTCATAGCGGAGTGCGGTAGCGGGGGTCAGCATGAACGAGCCGGCAACAATTGTGGCCATGAACGGGAGGCCGAAGAGAGCGAATGGGTGCTTTTGGAGCGATTTGCGGTAGCGCGCTGCGAGCGAGTTGGGGAGTGTCGCATTGAACGACTTGGAGCTGAAAGGCCCAGGCATCGCGGCGGGTATGCGAAGAACCTGGCTGAGCAACAAGGGTTGGTGTTGGTGGAAGATCGTTGTACTCAACCTCGCGTGCAGACGAGATGATGCGCTCGAGATGCGGAGAAGCGCTCAATTCCGATTCCGATATTAGTCGTACTTGGCATCACGTGAACAGGTGTTGAATTTCGACGCGCAACACGTCGACATCATCAATCATTGACGCTAACACCTCCAAAGCCGCTGCTCTGTCTCCTGCGAACGGTTTTCTACGTGATTTTCCAAAGTATCAGACGGGAGGAGGTCATCAGACAGCGCAAAATAGAGGGCAACAGGCTCCAACCACCAGAAATCACATTACGACCCCACCAAATACCCTGTTGTCGCGCCGTTGTTTGTTAGATCCGTCTCAAGTCACTCTTCTGCGCTATGCCCAACAGGTGAAACGACAAAATGGCCCGCAAAGGCGGGGGCTCAACCCAGAGACCAGCTCCACCTTATACAACAAACGGACATGCCAACGATAATCCGCCCCCATCAACTATTGCGGCTCAAATCGTCCACAATGCTTCCAAAACCAACGTGCGGCAGGATCCAGCGGCCAAAGTCAGCTTTGGAGTGCTCGTCAAGGAATTCCTGCAACATCCAAACATAGACGAGTCGGACGACCCTCAGCTTGTCGCACTCATCTGCGTCATTGCTGAAGCAGGACTGGAGGCTCTTTTCAAAGACGATCCTTTCGCTCAAGATCAACGAAAACAGCAAGAGCAAGGAATAGACAGCATTGCTGCTCTTACAAAGATCCTGGACCGAAAGCCTCATCTCCTGCTGAGCGCAAACGACGGCGAGGACGATGCTAATGGGAGTCCGAGACCTCCTCTCTTTATCTGGTTGTTCCCTAAGCTTCTGGGATTGTTGACCCATGCAACCCTTCAGCCGCTCCATGAACCTGCCCAGGACCTCCTCGGGCTATGTCTCAATGTGCTCACTCGGACGTCCGTTTTCTGGCGCCAGGCGGCCGCAGTTACGAGATTCTATAAGGCCGGCGTCCAAGGTGAGTTCGTTGCCGATGGATAAAATGACGTGACTAATTTATATCAGATGTTTTGACCGAACTGGATTTGATGAATGACCCTACGTCGTTACTAAATCCATCAATTCGTGTCACTTTGCCTTCGTCAAGCAGCATAGGCGAGTTTTGGCCTGAAAGTCAGCACATCATCGCATTGCCCCATGACTTGCAGAGGACAATGGCTTCGCCGATTGTGACGATTTACGTTGGATTCAATCTCCTCCTTGCGTTTACCAAAGCATCCGATCGAAGTCGAGGAAAGGGGTCCGGTTCTGCTCCCTCTGGTGACCACTCCTCATGGGTCCTGGAAACCTGTTGTGCATTGTGGCAACACTTCATCCGGTGGGCAACTAGCACCGACAAGAGTGCATTTCACGATGAGACCCAGACCGTATATTTGCACTTGTTGGAGGTTGTAGCAGTCCCCAAGGCTGCTTTGGAAGACCACTTTTCGACGTCAATGAAATCAGCACTTTCTCTCGTCGCTGGCCTTTCTGGTCTCATTGAAAACTTCTCCACGTCGCCTTTGTCTAGTGCTACCCAGATACGACTTGCGCTTATGTTTATCCGCCTGCGTAACATTCTCAATGATATGCCGATGGTTGACCATATATTCAAACGCCGACAAGAAACCTGGAAGTCAATTGTACTGGAAGGCTTAGAGGCAAGCGTAGCCAAAGTCTGTCAGAATACCGAACAGGTATCAACTCTACATAAAGATCTACAGGTACATATTGACATCATGTATGATAGTCCGCTGCTAATGAGTTTCAGTTGGCGCTCTGTCTTTGGACATCTCCGGGTACATGGCCTTTGGTCGCCGAATTACGTACGGAACTTTGCTCGAATACCTCTGGGTCCTTCTCGGACGCTCAGCTCGCCGAGGAGTCCATGTCACTCGTCAAAGCACTTCGTGAAGTGGATCTGAGTAGCAATGAGAGACCGGCAAAACGACGCAAGACCTTACCCGAGTCTGCGGAAGATATTAGTGGTTCTACATACGACCAGCTCGTGATGATCTTGAACGGCAGCTCGCAGGACTCGCCAATGTTGGATCTTATGAATCTTCACAACATCGTCAAGTAGGTCTTTTGATGAAATTTGACTTGTTTGAAACTTATAGTCTCAGGGACCAATACTCTTCTATCTTAGATGACTCCAATCAGGAAGAGCTCGAACTGTTTGAGCTTCGACAGGTTGAACTACTATCGGCTTTGGGAAAAATTGCTTGTGCTGGTTCACGATGTCTAGAGACCTCAAACTTGAACTCACGACACTGGGAGACCATGAACTGTACACTTTGTGGTACATCACTCACTGCCAAACGAGATGTGAATGTCTACTGGAACGACGCAGGCTGCGGAGAGGACTGGAAAGACGTCATTGCCGCCATGCTTGCGATTACGAAGGAAGAAGAATTCCTGAAGTCTTCGAAAGCTCGTGTTCTAATGGCGGTTGCTATTGGCCGAGTCTTCAACCATATTTCAGACATCGAATACCTGAATTTAGAAAGCTGTGAACTGGGTCAATGGCTGCTTACATCGATGAGGACATCTTTGAGAGAGTTGAAAATTGCGGCTACGTAAGTGGATACTCATTGTGTCGACGACAACAGCTGACACCTATTCAGGAGCTCCTTGATGGTCTTCTTAAGGAACAGCATCTCTAGCGGTGTACGACAGAAAAATCGAAGGTCTACGCTGGAGTTCATCGATGCGATTGCCAATAAGAACGTGATTTCAGACCAAGAGACGTTCATCATGGCATATGGTCAGATCGCCCGGTAAGTTACCCTTCTACTTCTTTGCTTCAACCTGCTGATGTTTGACAGCGTGTGTGGCGAGTTCGAATTTCCCATCATACTGCATCGCCTTATTGAATATCTCGATCACACGAATGCCCTGATCTGTGGCATGGCTTATAGAGAGGTAAGAGACAAAACCTCAACTGAATCAATCAACGCTAACGGGGATAGATTGAGTCTCTTGCTGATGAGTTTGCACCGGATCCTTTGAAGCTTCTGAGTCCATACTGGAGAATCATCGGCTTTTCCGCCTTCAAGGACGTCGTCAAGAAACCACAAAAAGCAACGCAGCTAGCTGACCTGACAGAGCAAAGTGTCAACCAACTTCTACTACTCACACAAGCGGACATTCTTCCACATCTCGTCCTGACTAAAAGGAGAGAGGTCGTGGAAAGAATTGCCAAAGTCCGCAAAGCTTCGGTTATCGATGTCTTGACTCAACCAAAGAAAAACACTGCAAAGATACTCGCACTACTCCTTTCCCAACCAGTGACAGACGTCGCAGCCAATGCTATGGAGACTCTTGCAGCTATCGAACCGACCATACGAGAGAGGATCGGCAACAGACTCGAAACGTTGATCACTCCGGACCCTGATGGCATCGCTGTTGAGATACTTCTCTTAGCTGCCGATCAAGACGAAAGCAAAAGAAAGCTTGTAAGCGGACCCTGTCTCGCCTGCTAGAATACCTACTTATCGTTTAGTTTCATCGTGGCTTTAGCACGCTAGCAGTCCTTGCCGATGCGAAAAGCGGGCAGCGCAAATCAAAAACCAAAGTCTTGGACGACTTCCTCGAATCACATATTCTTGGTATAATAACTCATCTCTCGAACATAATTGAGAGCCCGCTAGCGCAGGGCAAGACTGTCATTCAACCGTTGTCTGAGCGAAAGAGATGCATAGCAGCTCTCGGCCAGTTGATGAGCCTTGCACGTCACAATGTGAATTTAGCATTGCCACAGGTAAGTCACGCTTAAGTATATAGGTTCCAACTTGCTTACAAGTATAGCTTCGTGCGTGTCTTCAATCTGCAATGGCGGATCCAGAACTTGTCGACGAGACGTTTCTCGTATGGTGCGCTTTCCTAGCAGCACTTGAAGCAGATGATGTCATGCTCGTAGTTGATCAGACTTTCGCTCTAGTCGTTCAGCATTGGGCATCGTTTTCCGAAGAAACGCAGATCAAGGCGAACAAGATCATCGTCGACTTGACCCAACAGCACGATGCGCCTTTGAGGGAAAGGATAGAGTATTTGCCTTCTCTAGCGAGTATTCCGATCATGTCTAAGACCGAAGGTGAACTTGTGCGTCTCAAATCGAAAGTGGATACTATCAGGACCTTTCGATCTTTCAGCAACCGATGCAAGGATCAGAATGCCATCGTGGTGCGACAAGCACTGAGGGAGCTTGTGCCCTTCCTTGACACAAACCAAGGGCATCTACATCAGTCAATTGTCGGTCAAAAACCGATACCAGTACTGGCAACTTTAACTCGATCTATCCTTGATGCCAGTGTTCGGTTCTCGGCAGAGGACTTTGATATTACTGTTCTATGCGCGCAGTGCCTAGGTGTTATCGGTGGTCTCGATCCTCACCGGGTCGAGACAGTACGTGAAAAGAAGCGACTTTTGGTGTTGACCAACTTTGCCAACCGAGACGAGGACATCAACTTCGTGGCGCTGCTGCTGGAACAAGTCCTCGTCAAAGTCTTTCTGTCGACCACAAACCCCAAATCACAAGGATGGATCGCTTATGTCATGCAAGAGATGCTCAGACATAGTGGATTCAAGAGCCTCGCTGTTGCGAAACCTCGGTCTTCCCAAATCAGCACCGAGGCACACCGATGGAGTGAGATCCCTGAGAGCGTCAAGAACGTTCTGACTCCATTCCTGAACTCGAAGTATTCAATCAACATCAACCCATCCCTTCGTTACGAGCCTCCGAAATCTCCAATATATGGCAACAACATCAGCCATGGGATCTGGCTTCAAAAGTTTGTCTACGACCTATTGCAGAAAGGGCAGGGGCCCAACGTTGAAGAGATCTTCCCAGTTCTGGCTCGCATCATCAAAGGCTATGATCTCTCAATTGCTACGTTCATACTTCCTTTTGCTGCTCTGAACGTCATCGTTTCTGATGATGAGCAAAACATGCAAAACGTTGGACGAGAGTTGCTGACGGTACTGGAGAGTGAGCTAACGTCTCCTGACCAGCTTGACGCTTCGACTATCAGGCAATGCAGTGAGGTGAGAGGATAGCATACACACTCAACGCCAGGTTACTGACTATTGATAGAATGTGTTCCAAACGCTCGACTACCTTTCATTGTGGCTACAAGAGAAGAAGAAAGCTGTCGCCGATGCCAGAGTGATGGCTGGCAAAACTGGTAGAGGAGTCTTGGAAGATGAAGAGATGAAAGCCATCAAGGAGATAAGTCGCGTGGAAGGCACACTTCAAATGATTCCCGCCGAAATAATATCACGACGAGCAGTCGAGTGCGGATCTTACGCGCGGGCTCTATTCCATTGGGAGCAATACTATCGACAGCAACAGAAGCTCAAGGTTGATACAAATCGGGCGTTCCTTGAGAAAGACGAGCTACTAGACCACTTACAGATCATCTACGCGCAGATTGACGAGCCTGATTGCATGGAGGGTATCTCGGCCCATCTCAAGGTGTTGAACCCTGAGCAGCAGATCATCGAAGACCGTAAAGCTGGCCGCTGGACGGCGGCTCAGACCTGGTATGAGATTGCGTTGGCCGAGAAGCCAAATGATTTGGAGACTCAAATCAATCTCTTGACTTGCCTCAAAGAGTCTGGTCAATACGGTAGGAAAAGCGTCAGATGTTACAGAAAGTTAGCTGATAGCAAGATTAGATGCTATTCTCAATTACGTGGATGGATTTCATGCATCAAATTCTCTCTCAGGCAGTACGCTGCCGTTTGCAGCCGAAGCCGCCTGGTCTGCAGGCAAGTGGGATCAGCTCGAAAGAATTCTAGCTGCCTCGCCCGAATCGCAGACCAATCCTTTCTTGAATTTCAATGTCGGTGTCGGACAAGCATTGCTTTGTCTGCACCGGCAAGACGTAGCAGGGTTCAAGAAAGTTATCCCAGCGCTGAGGGAAGCAGTAGCCAAGAGCCTTTCCCCTTCAACAACAGCATCCGTTCAGGCCTCTCATGACCACTTGGTTAAACTTCACGCGCTTTATGAGATAGAAACTATCAGCGGCATGGCTTCGCCGAGAATGCGGAACCGCGAAGTCATTCTCGAGAGTCTGGATCGACGACTGGATATCATTGGTGCATACACTTCGGACAAACAATATATTCTAGGTGTACGACGGGCGGCCATGTCATTTTCTCCGTAAGTAATCGGGTTTCAAAATTCATTGTATCGTGTACTGACTGAAGAAGCATCGAGTTCACAAAACTGGATATTGCATCTGTATGGCTCACAACAGCAAGACTGGCTAGGAAAGGCGGCTTCATGAGCACTGCTTTCAACTCCGTGCTCCACGCTGGCCGATTAGGAGACAACGCATCCAAGATCGAATACTCGAAGTTGCTCTGGAAGGAAGGGCATCACCGAAAGGCTATTCAGAACCTGCGCGGAGCTATCGACAGCAACGCATTCCAGTCCGACGACATCACTGTTCCTGTCAACGTCTCAGTCACAACGGCTGGTCGAGGGGACGATCAGCACATGAACAGAGTCAAGTCTCATGCTCAGCTGCTCCTGGCAAAATGGCTGGATCGAGCTGGCCAGACTCAGTCTCAATCCTTGAAAGATGCATACGCAAAGGGAGTTATGTCGTACTCCAGATGGGACAAGGGCCACTATTACCTCGCTAGGTACTATCTCAAGCTCCTGGAATCTGAGAAGAAATTACCGGTATTGAAGCAGAGCTCAGAGTACCTCTCTGGTAGCTTGACCAAGCTTGTGGCTGAGAATTTCGTTCGCTCCACGGTTTACGGCACGAAATACTATTACCAGACCCTGCCCAAGGTACTCACCCTCTGGCTGGATATGGGTATGGAAGTCATGAACAGCGCCCCTAGGTCGGCCCGTGACAAGGAGCTTCACGACTTCAAGCTTGGCTATCTCGAGCATCTTAACAAGTACGTTAAGCGGTATGCTACTGAGCGGATGCCCGCTTTCGCATGGTATACCGCCTTTCCGCAAATCATTACACGGATCAGTCATCCGAACAAGCATGTGTGGGACGCTCTTCAGACGATCATCATACGCGTTGCGGCGGCGTATCCACAGCAGGCACTGTGGAGTTTGCTGGCTGTGCTTCATTCAACACAAGACGATCGCCGGTCTCGTGGGACGCGGGTACTACAACTATTGCGTGTAAGTTACCAACTCAACATAATGCATTGCTCTACTAATCATTTCTAGGATGCTTCGAGAAAGAAAGGGTCAATGGATCTGAAGAACCTGATCATCCAGGGACAGCGTCTGACTGATGCTTTGCTTGCTGCTTGCGATGCCCCAGTAGAGCAGCGAGTCGCCCATGTCAGTTTATCGCGAGATCTCGGGTTCAGCCACAAACTCGCTCCGTCTCAGCTCGTGGTTCCAATCGAGGCAAACATGCTCCCAAATCTTCCAGCTGGAAACGACAGTGCGACCATCCGCAGACATAACCCTTTCCCACAAGACGCAATCACCATCAATGCCTTCATGGACGACGTCCTCGTCCTATCCTCGCTCCAACGCCCCCGAAAAGTAAACGTCCGCGGCTCAGACGGACGCTCCTACGGTCTACTCTGCAAGCCCAAAGACGACCTCCGCAAAGACCAACGCCTAATGGAATTCAACACGATGATCAACCGCGCGCTCCAAAAAGACATATCATCCAGCAAACGCCGCCTATACATAAAAACCTACGCCGTAACGCCGCTAAACGAAGAATGCGGAACAATCGAATGGGTCGAGGGCCTAAAGCCCATGCGCGACATCATCCTACGCTTCTACCGCCAATACAACGTGCCAATCGACTACGCAAAGCTGCGCATGCTCCTCAACGAAGCTTCCTCGTCGCCGGCAAAAGTCGGCATCTTCACAGACGAGATCCTCACACAGTGCTTCCCCGTCCTGCACGAATGGTTCGTCGAAACGTTCCCCGAACCAGAGGCCTGGTTCGCAGCGCGCCTGCGCTACACGCGCTCGTGCGCCGTGATGAGCATCGTGGGCCACGTGCTGGGGCTGGGCGATCGGCACGGCGAGAACGTGCTGCTCGAGCAGGGCGACGGGGGGACCTTCCACGTCGATTTCAACTGCCTGTTCGACAAGGGGTTGACGTTTGAGAAGCCTGAGCTTGTGCCTTTCCGCCTCACGCACAATATGGTCGATGCCATGGGGCCACAGGGCGTTGAGGGCCCGTTTCGAAAGGCGGCTGAGCTGACGTATGGGTTGCTGCGCCAGCATGAGGATACGCTTATTACTATCCTGGAGACGTTTGTGCATGATCCCACTGCGGACTTTTTGGGCGGCAGGAAGAGGAAGAAGATTGCGGGTGTGGCGGACACGCCGCAGGAGGTGCTGGATATTGTGAGGACGAAGGTGAATGGGTATTTGAAGGGGGAGAGCGTGCCGCTTAGTGTTGAGGGGTATGTTGAGGCGCTGACTGCTATGGCTAAGGATCCGATGAATTTGGCGTCTATGTATATCGGGTGGTGTGCTTTCTTTTAGAACTAATGAGTAGCGTTTGGTTTTGGATCTGTAGATGTTTTCACGGTAATGATTTCACATCATGATAGAGTGAGTAAAAATAGTGTCTCCATGCGATAGACTGAACACTTTTCAAATGTGGAGCTACATGCTAACAACAGTTCTACTATCCATGCTGGACAGAATACCAAACAACATCAGTTCGCTTACTACCCCTTGCTCTCCAATACTATTCATCGATTCACAAAGGACAGTATTTACAAAGTATCTCCCTTCACAACAGAACCCGTAGCAGGTTCATGTTTCTTCTCCAAAAAGTCCTCATTGGCCAACTTGACCGACGGCTCCGCCTGAGTCTTCTGCCCAAGCGAAGACCCAGCACTCGGAGCATTGACTCCACTTGCACCCGCCGGGAACGCACCAGGAGCCTCAGCGGAACCTGAAGCGGTTTGAGTCACAAGTGGCTCTTCAGGTTTGATGGTGGGGAGAAGCCCTTCAGCCTTCGAGAGCATGCTAGAAGCGTCGGCAGAGCCTGTAGTTGGGCTGCTCACTGTCGGCTCCTCTGACTTAAGGGTGGGAAGCATCTCTTTAGCCTTGGCGAGCGGGTTGGGAGCGTCGGCCAAGCTTGGAACTGTGTTCGCAATCGGCTCCTCTGGTTTGAGGGTGGGAAGAATCTCCTTAGCTTTGGAAAGTGGGTCAGGAGCATCGACAGGACTTGTAGCCGTCTTGCTGGTAGCCGGCTCCTCTGACTTGACGGCAGGAGCGACTTGACTATCCTGTGCAGTTGGCTTGGCGGGCTCCGCACTGCCAGTCACAACGTTGGCAACCCTTGCCATAGCAGACGCGAAGAAACTTGGTTCTGCCACAGGCTCAGGTTGCTTCGACGGCTCTGCCACAGGTTCAGGCTGCTTCGACGGTTCCTCCACTTGTTCAGACTGCTTCGACGGTTCCTTGACGGATTCTGGTTTCTGCAGTGGTTCTTGCACACCTTCAGACTTTTGCAGCGGCTCTTCCACTTGCTTGGGCTTCTCGAGTGGTTCTTCCACCTGCTTAGGTTTCTCCGGCGATTCTTCGACTTGCTTTGGCTTCTCCACCATTTCTTGCACCTGCTTTGGCTTCTCCAGTGCCTGTTGGATCTTGGCGGCCATCTTGGCAGCCGGGACGTCCAGAAGGCCATCTTCACCGAAACTCCAGATCGCCGTCACGGGACCAATCTCCAAGTTAGGGCGGGGCACCGCAACTTCTGCGGTAATAGTGGCAGCAGGAGCCGGCGAAGCAGCCGGTTTCCTCCTCTGGGGGCCCTTCGCCCTGCTCTTGCGAGCATCAGTGAGGGGTTGCGCCGGCTCCTCTTCTTCCGGTTCTGGTTCTTTGACCTTGGGGACTTGCGGTCCAAGACCGAGTTTGCTGTTGAGGTCTTTCATAAAGCCGGCTTGGAGAGCAGCGATCTTAGAGCCACCCGGTCGACCAGGGACTAGAGACTTGGCCTTGGGCTGCGACCCATCGTTCTCGGCCTGAGAACCCAATGTTGGAACCTTCTCTGAGGAGTTGGTGGAAGACTTGGTGGGACGAGCTGGGAGTTGAGGCTTGGGTCGTTCAGGCATAACAGGAGCTTTCCTGTCCACCGGAGAAGCCTCCGCCTTCTGTGGTCGAGAAGGAACACTGGGACGAGCGGGAATTATGGGTTTATCGAGTACGGGAGATTCGGGAGCGTACTCATTTGTATCGTCAATCTGCGGCGTGCTGACGGTCGTCTCGAGGTGACCGTGGTCAGGGGCATCCTCCCAGATATCTTGACTGGGGAAGCGTTGCTGCATTCCAGGACGCTCATTCCTAGCTGTTGTAAGGTGCTTGTTGGCGGCCGCGAAACGCTTTGTGTGCTCTGGAAGGAAGGATTGCTGATCCTCTTTGGTGATGTCTTCCTTGCGTCGCTCTTCTGTTTCAGGCTTCTCGAAGACCTTGGCAGCGCTGACAGGGGCAACCGGAGTTTCGTGCTCTTCGGGTGCTTGAGGTGTCTCGACGGTCGTCTCCAGCTGCAGACTGCCAGGCGTGTCTTCCCAGACGTCCTGGCTGGGGAACTGATGGCGTGCACTGGGTCGCTTGAGCTTGTCGGCTTGTGACTTGGGCTTCTTCGTGCTGTCCTCGTCCTCAGGGAATAGAGGCTCGTATTCCTTGTGCGATTCGAGGGGAGTACCGCCCCGGTCGAAGTGGGCGGGGCTGGGAACGACGCGCTGTACACGTGTTTGGCTCGAACTCCTACTAAGAGGGCGAGGTTTTGTGATGTACGCCGGCGTGCCATCCTCGTTTACAGTGTACTCGTCACCACGGCGTTCCAGCTCGGGCGACACGGCAGGCTGTCTCCACTCGGAGCTGCCACGTTTTTTCAGTTCGTCAGAGGCGAGGATGGGGGTGCCGTATCCGCGCTCCGTCACCCAGCCGCCCTCCTCGCTTGTGTTGCCGCCCTCAGGGCCAAGGTCTGCCGTTGGTGGGTCGTAGCCTCCACCGTGAATCTTGCTGCTGCGATGGGCCGGCGGGTCAATGTGGTAAACCTCACCGTTGTCGTCGCGCTGTTCTGAGGCAGACTTGTCGGTTGCTTGACCTTCCTGACGCAGGGGAGAGTCAACGTGTCCACCCTTGATTGATGCAGGGCGAGCCGAGGATGCCGGCCTTGGGGATGCCATTCTCATGGCGTAGGCCTCGGTGGCCATGTAGCCGATCTGCTCGTCGGGAGTGCTGACAGCTTCGTGAGAAGTACCTGTGTATTTCAATCAGTATCAGCCACAGACTGGCACAGCAGCCGCTGGTAGCATACCCATTGACGCGTCCTGCCCGCGAGTGTGCACCAGCTTCTCCAAGTTGTCGGAGCGCCAATGGTAGTCTTTCCTGTTCTCCTGGATGTGTGGACCATACTCGCCGGCCTTCTCGCGCTTCAGGTCCTCGGGATGCTTCTCGTACCACTTCTGCTCGAACTCGTCTTTGGAGATGACGCCGTGACCGTGCATGCCGTAGCTGCCAGGCGGGCCATGGAAGATCTCGCGGCCGCTCTTTGTGCGTCCATGGTGGCGGCCGCTGGGCTTGTTGTGGAAACCGACGCCGGTCGAGGCGCTCTGCTGCTCGAATGGCGAGGGCGTGGGGGCCTGGACGTCTCCGGCATTGCGGAACATGGGCACCTGGACGCCGATTTCCGGGATGCCGCGTGCGTCCTTTTCGTTGTACAGCGAGGAGGGGCGCGAGCTGCTCTTGCCCTGAGCCGCCTTGTCGTCAGATGCAGGCTTGCCCAAGCCGGCTGCCATAGCCGTCGACGAGTCGGTGCGGGTCACGGCTGCGATGTTTCTCTTGGCCGTGGAGCTGGGGACCGAGGCTGTGGGGGCGTAGAGGGGCAGGTCGCCGGCAATGCTCTTGGTCTGTTGGGGCACGCCCTGCAGCTGGGCCTCGTTCTCGTTAGTGAGCGTCTTGGAGAGGTCGTCAAAGCTGGCGTATTCGTTGCCTTCTTCGCCGAGTGAGGGCATCGAGACGCTTGGAGGGCGGGGCGGCAGCTCCGTGCTGAGACGGCTGCTGTCCTTGGGCGGGCCATTGTGCAGGAACGTTGGGTCGTTCAGAGGCGAGCGGGCAAATGTGTCGCGGTGCGGGGACACGGAACGCTCGATGCCGCGGTTCGGACGCGGGGGGATCTTGGGCACGTCCATGTGAGTCGATGAGGGTGCTGGGCTGTTCTGAGCGCGGGACGGGCGCGGAGGTATTGTTGGCTGGCCGCTCATTGTGTATGTTGTGTGTGGAGGTGTGGTGGGTAACAAGCTGTATCTGTTGCTTGCATGTCAGTGGTCCATTCCATGCTCAATGGCTGACACAAAGCTAGCTTAGCTGCAGTGACGAGGGCAAACTCACCTCGTTGCGCAATTGAAGCAAAGACTCTAAGGAAAAGGACGAGGGACAACGACGAAGCAGACGTCGATGAACAAAAGGCGCAAAAGCTGGATGCATCAAAGCGAGCCAGGGTGGTGCACTTATGTATCTATCAGAACCTGGGGCCCGCACTTGCATCATTTCAAAACCTGATCGCCGTCGTTGAGCCGGCTGTCATGCACAATCCTGTCTAGCAGACCTCGCGGTTGTTGGTGACCTGCTTCTACTGCAATGCACCAATGCCAGCTCTTGCATTACATGTTTTCCTCCCCAGCTACGATGCTATTCTTCCCTGGCAAGCGAGTCTCTGGTCGTTGAATTAAACCTTGTTGCTGGACGGTCCCCCGCATCACAGTCTGGGTTCTTTCACATCACCACCTGTATTCCTGTCTATCTCAGCTATCAGCAATTCTCAGCCCATTCCACAGATGCACACCATCCCTGCATCAGCAAGTCTACGTATCAGCTGCATACCAACGTGCAAAATCTGCAACAGCTGTGTGACATCTTGAGCAACGCCGCTTCTAGACCCTTAGAATGCTAGCGTTTCCCCGCCGGACGATCTGTAGCCTGCTGGGTTGCTGGCAGCCGATGCATCGTCACTGCAAGCGTGTAGCTCTGCGACTCGACTTGATGTGCCCACCTTTGAGCCTCACTTCTGGCAACGACACAACGTGGCACAATAGTATCAAATGGATGATAACGGTAAATCAATTGGATCCTGCCAATGCGCTTTCGCTTTTAATCCATCGTCCGGAAAGCTCGTCGAAAAACAACCCTCAAACAACGCCCAGCTACAACTGATCATACAAAACACGACTTCCTAGCTCCCTATACGACCAATACACAGACACAGTAACAAAGTGGTACGTTTCGCCATTCTTGACCAACTCATCCGGATCATGGTCCTTATATAATCATCTGCGCAACGCCCTGTCCGCCCAGCGTCTTGCTTCCCTGGAAAGCCTGGCCCTTGAAGCCAGCCAGCGCATAGAAGAGAGCTGCGAGCAACAAAAAGAAGGCAGCAACAATCAAGCTAGTGGCTCTGGCTGCGATGCTGGCCCATTGTACGGCGCTCATACTGGCATAAATGGCGGCGCGCATGTAGTTGGTCGCAAACTTGCGGATAAAGTTATCGAACACAGGCGAGGTCGGGCAGATGCGGAGGAGCAGAGGGATCTCGATGAATATAATGATGAAGGCGCATACTCTGCGAAACCCATTAGACAGAACTTGGCGTGCGAGGGAACGGACACGTACAAGCATACGATGCTGAAGGCGATGACCCAATTAGCATTGAAGATGTTGGCGATGCCGAGCGCGAAGCAGAGGACTATACACAGTACTCCCGTCCTAGTCGAAGAGTCAGTCCATAACTCCTAGGTGAGGTGCATTTGAATGCGACGAACCATTGCCCGTAGATGCCTGCGAGCACGTCGTGTTAGCAACAGCTCTAGAGCTCCCTCAGCAGGTCTCCTTACTGAAATTCCGCGACTTGAACTCCTCGGCGAGCGTCATCTCTGCGATTTGATTGCCGCGTGGACCGTATGTCTCCCTGCGATGCACAGGTTGTGGTGGGGAAGCAGTGTTGGGAGCTTTGTTGGTTGCGCAAGCTGAACGAAGCTCTTGGACAGATGAACAAAGCGATCCGGACCGTCTTGAACGTGTGAGTGCAGAACGGCGTACGTGTTGGGCTGCGTAAGAAGAGTGTGGCTATGCAATGCTTTTCTCGGCGCGGTGGTTGTCTTCGTGTTGCCTAGCGGTTGCGAACGGTGCTGAGCTGAGCTGGTCTGATTGCTGGGCGGAGTTGCGGCTTCCACGTAATGACAGGGCTACTGCCGAAACCGTCGTCGAGACTGTCGGTGCTCACACCTCAAAGGCACCGACCTAGTAATTGCACCTCACATTTTGGACTTTCACCTTTACTCATGTTCGTGCAAAGGAAGGAGCCATGGACGACTCTTGTTTTGGCCTCTGCCGCTCTCGGCCTTGCCCTCTACTACTTCAATACTCCACATTCATCACCTTCAAGCACCGCAGAAGACCCACAAGAGTGTGAACAGCCTCGCCAAGAAGAGCCCACAGATCACCTACCAGACCCGGACAACATGAACGCCAGCGAGAGAGTGTTTCACGAACGCTTCATGCGCGAGGCCATCGCCATGGTGAATCAAACCCTACACCATTCCATGTGCCCTCACGCCCAGGCAATATGAGGCTGACTCATCACACGTGACAGGCTGAGCTTGCACTGAAGAGCGACGAGACGCCTGTTGGCTGTGTCTTTGTGAGAGAAGGCGAGATCATTGGACGTGGAATGAACGAGACGAACCGTACCCTTAACGGCACCAGACATGCCGAGTTCGTTGCCATCGCGGGCATCCTCTCCAAACATCCAATCAGCATCCTCAATGAAACAGACCTCTATGTCACGGTCGAACCATGTGTCATGTGCGCCTCGATGTTACGCCAGTATGGGATCCGAGCTGTGTACTTTGGCTGCTGGAATGAGCGGTTCGGCGGGACCGGAGGCGTCTTGAACATTCACTCCGAGTACGCAAACTCCACCCCATTCACAAGCCAAAATGTGAACATACTAACAACTACCACCAGTCCCAGCATCGACAAACCATATCCTGTCACTGGAGGCATCTTCAGAGAGGAAGCCATTATGCTCTTGAGGAAGTTCTACGTCCAGGAGAACGAGAAAGCGCCCGAGCCTAAGCAGAAGAAGACGAGAGAACTGAAGACGGAGATTCTGCCCATGGACATTCACGCTCCAAAGTCCACGGCGTCGTCGGGTCTCTCCACACCAGCTGTTGCTACGCCGACTCTGCCAAAAGCTACTGTTGCTCTCCCGCTCCTTCCCAAGCTAGCTGTTGCGACTCCGGCTCCAGCTTTGTCCTGAGCAATCGCTCGATACGCATATATGGATATCCAGTATCACGGGTTCCGTGCCTTACCGTTCGGCATAGCGAACATTTTATGAAAGCACACTCTTCAATGTACGTATCTTCCCTGTCGCCAGCACCGCTCAGTCTGGTCTCAAGATATTACTTGGTGGCCTCAACGTTGGAACATGATTCTTGGAGAGTTGATGCAATGTTGCCGCTGGAGATGATGTTTCCATGGAGAGTTGGGGATTCGTTCCGATTGATGGTGCTGGTGGGTGACATAGCAGTGAAGAAGAGACGGTTAGGTTATGGAGCGGTGCAAGTCGCTCATGTGCACTCAGGATCATGGAACGTGTATCTATGGGTGTGGTGGAGGGGAAACAGGACTTCGAATAGTCTAACGATGCTTTTATGAATATAAGATTCAGACGCCCCCCTTAACATAAGGATGTATTATTCAAAGCACGGCACTCCATGGGAGAAATTTCCGCGTCTGAGACTTGTCAGCACCACATGTTTATACACAACAAGAGTTAAACGACACTAAACAAATAGAAACGTATATTCCCCATCACCCCAAGCAGGCCGCCAAAAACCTAAAAGATACTATTATCCCCACACGTAAACGGGCCATTCAACTGCGTATCCGGATCATTAAAAATATCCAACAGCGCCTTCAAACTCGTATACAGCCCACCCACCATCAAAAACAGCGTCATAAGCAAGATAGCGTAATTCAGCCCAGCCAGCGCCTTCTTGCGCGGCGAGCTACCCTGCACCTTCCAATTGAGATGCAGCCAAAACACACTCGTAAGGCCAAACGTAAACCAGCTAATGAAGATGGCAGCGCTGATATTCAGGATGGAGGAGAAGATGGGGATAGCGTTTGACACGACGAAAGTCACGATCCAGAACAGGGTGCCGATGCCGATCCAGAGCGACCATGTGGCGGCGTTGTGGACGTTTATGCTGTCTGGGGCGCGCCAGCGCATGGTGGTTGTGTACATGTATTTTATGGCTGTGATGCCGATGACCATTCCGGTGCCCAGGACGGAGGGGAGCAGGATGCCGTAAGCGATTTTTGCGGGGATGGCGGGCGCGGAGCCCAGAGCGGGGGAGGTGACTGTGTCGCCTGCGAGGGCGTAGATGACGCATGCGACGATGATGTAGACGACGACCTCGAAGGATTTCTGCAGGAAGAGGGCGGGCGCGAAGTCGCGGCTAGGGTCGCGCATTTCGGCCATGACGGAGATGAAGGATTGGTTACCGGCGAAGGCGAAGGCGATGTTTAGCAGGGCGTTTACGGCTTCGACGAAGCTGGGGCGCGCGAAGAGGTGGATTTCTACGTCGAAGCCGGGGGGCAGGTTGGGGCCTGCGACGCCGAGCGCGATCATGACGATTAGCACGGCGGCTACGATTGAGATCGTGCAGATCCAGCTCATGGCTGCGGCGAAGGTGAGCTTCCGTGGTAGGCAGAGCAGCCAGCAGACGATGTGCGGGAAGGCCATGAAGGCTACTGTGCACATGGCGTGGTCGGACAACGTGTTGAGCGCTACGCTCATGGTGATGTTTGCGCTCGCGCAGATCAGGATGAGATTGAAGACGAAGGCTGTGCCGAGGAAGTACTCGAATGGCTTGCCGCCGACGTAGAGACCGCAGTCTACGAGGTTAGTTACCATGGGGTAGCGTCGGAAGAACTGGACGAGGATGTAACCGCAGTACGTTGTGAGGCCGCCGAAACCGAGGATAGCGATTATACCGGGGATCAGGCCGAGGACTTTGAGAGCAGATGGCAGACTGAGGACGCCGATGCCGACCTGGGGGTTGTTTAGTATTGGAGACGTGTTTTTGGGAAGCAAGGTTCGTACTTCGATTGTGATGAGGATCACGCATGCTCGCCATCTCCCCAGCGTTCTGTAGTTCTCCGCCGCGTCTGGGTGTTCGCTGACTCCCGCCTGGAGATTGGCGTTGTGACCGAGTTCCTCATCCATTGTATCTTTGTCGGATGCCGAGTAAGTCGAAGGGAGTTCAGACGGAGGAGAGCCCTCCTTCTCCTTCCTACGAAAGCTTTTGAGTCCCATGATTTGACCGTCCCAAGACAAAATCTCTGGGTGCGGAGAAAGAGCAGGAATGCTAGTTTGAGCAAGTGAACCACGGTACCGAAGAGCGGCGAGAAACACTCTTTTAACGACTGCTGAGCTCCTACATCGGCCAAGTTGAGCACCATAGCTGTGCCCTCCACGCTCCGGTATCCCACCGCGTCATGTCCACTAGCCCCTCCGATGCCATCCTTGCAAAACTTTACCCCCATATTCATCGACAACATGGCATATTTAGCTTCCGGCTCCTTCCCCTGTATTCCCAAGCCCGTCTCTTTCGCGAGCCAGGTCTACCAATGCGGAGTGCAGGAAACGCGGGGGGGAAAGGATCCAAAAAGGTTATTCGCGGCATTGGCAGACCATTGTTGGATGCTTGGGCGCGTCGTGAAGGTCGTCCGTGTGTTGTTTCCATCACGAGGATAGTGGATCTTCTTGGGTAAAAGTTTGGTAATGGGCAAGGGATTCCAACGTCCATGATCCACATATCATGTTAGAAAATCTCTTCGAGAAAATCTCTTGACTCGGGCTTGGCGAACAGGCGAGTATCACCTGTATGTCACTCGTCCGTTCTCTTTCCTCGCGATGCTTGCCATGGCGCCGAACTTCCGTGTGCATTGACAGTTGTGGTGGGCGATGTGACGTTGATGTGGTGAGGTGAGGCTTGGTTGGTGGCTGAAGGTGGATCGTCAGCCCTAACCGTCCGCTAGTGGGAACTTCGGGACAGTCCGCCTCAGGTACGACTTCGACTTTCTCCAATAGGCAGATTTTTTCCAGGTTGTATGTCAGAGACTTTTCTCTCTGAAAACGTGAAATTTCGTTAGAACGAGAAAGATGAAAATGGACAGAGTAGTAACAGACCTGCACCATACCACAGCAACCGGCGAAAAGCGGCGGCAGACCAACAAAAGCTGTTGTTGAACGTCCTCCGATTATACGTCCGACAGGCAAGCAGACGGCGGATATCGCCGTGATTGAGATCTTGACACTAGTCATAGAAAAGATCGAGCATGTCCTATGGCATTGAGGTCGTTACAGTCTAGTATACTTCGATATCCAGTGATAAGTTGCCAAGAGCTTAGCCGCGGATTCCTGTTCATTCGGTAATGTAGAAACGTCTAATCAACCTTGTAGATCTTGATCAGGTGAGATTCTCGCTCCAGAGCCAGTTTGATCCGACCTTCTCCTGCATATTGACGGTCTCCTTGGCTACTATCCACTGTATTCGAACCCCCACACTCCTCTACAGACTCGCCTTCCCCCTCGACTCAAATGGCAACAACAAAACCAACACGCCCGCGGCGATAAACAGCGCTCCAGACACATACACAGGCGCACTCGTCTGCAAGTCAGCAAAAATCGCCACAATCGGCGCCATGATGCCAAACACGCGGTTCGCAGACGCCGTAACCGCATTCCCCGTGCCACGGTCCTTGGTCGCAAAAATCTCTGGCGTATACGCATACAACACGGCATACATGATATTCGACACGAAACCGTACGCGCAGTTCCAGCCCAGCAGGGCATTGGACGTCAGCGCCGTGGTGGAGCAGAAGAGGAACACGCCCGTCAGAATCGTGGATAGAGCAAGTGCGCCTTTCCGGCCTATGCGTGGTGTTTCGACGAGTACGCCGCCGACAAGACACCCGGGGACGCCGAGGGTGGCGATGATGAGCGTGTTGCGGTAGGTTGTGTATGTTGAGCCGTCGCCGAAGTCGGCGCCGCGGGTTTCTTGAATGTAGGGTAGGAAGGCGTGGTAGAGCGGGAAGCCGAGGCCGATGAATGCCCATATGACGGTGATTAGGCTGGTTGAGTAAGCCATCTTCTTGGTCGCGAAGAGCGCTTTGAGATGGCTTGTGTCTATCTTCTCCAGATTTCTCTTTACGGCTGCTGAAGCGGTGGTTTGCTGTCGTACGGCTATGCCACCGACAGCAAGACTCTCACAGGCTCGCAGATCTTCAATCGTGAGGTTCGATATCTTGCCGTTACGGCGGGCGACTTCGTGCACAACACGGACGGCTTCTTCGTCCTTGCCTTTCCCCATGAGGAACTTAGGGGACTCAAAGATGGTAAAGCAGACAAACCGCAGGAGGAACATAAGCAGTGCTACACCACCCATGGTGAGCAAGAAGCTGTAACTCAATGAGCAAGGTTATCTCAGCCGGAATTGCAGACAGCTTACTATCGCCATCCCATATTCTCGCTCTTAGTACAATTCTTGTCCGTTGCTTGACACGTCATATTCCCCAGCAACGGCCATGCCACCAGCGTGGCGAAGACCTGCGCCAACGCCCAGTCGATCGACAAGATAGTAAGCAGGTACTGATGGCTACCCGGCAAAAACTCCAGAAAGATAGCCGAATCAACAGGCAAATTCCCACCAACTCCAATGGACCACAGCGCTGCGAATGTTCCAATAGCAGCAAAATTCGGGCTTGCTGCTGCAATCAGACCAAAAAGGGCCGTGATGCCAATGGTCAAGTTAAACGCCCAGCGCCGACCAAAGATATCGCAGCCGAATCCCCAGAAGATGACGCCAACCAGAAGTCCAATGTTCTGCGCAAGAGTCAAGTAAGGCGCGCGGGTAGGTCGGAACTCGCTCCTGACAGGAGGCAAGATGAGACTGGTGGTGACGGGCCAGAGATTGTCCATAGCCCAGCCGAAGCCGATGACGATGAAGAGCTAGATGGGTCAGTCGTGCAGACGCGGTAGCAGTCAGAACGCGTAGTCACCTGCCATTGGTACTTCCCCATACCAATGTCTTGAATAGCCTTGTTCAATACTTTCGCCTTGGCTTCGTACACCGGGTCCAGAGACCCCTCCTCTATGACACCTGCAGGTGCATTGTGAACGGATGGAATTTCTCCTGCAGAGATTTCGTCGGTCTTCTTCGTGGGTAAGCCCTTCATGACGATGTCCTAATTTCCAAATCCGCGATTCTGTTATTAATACTCGCGATGTGGTCTGTAGGATGCGAAGTAGGATAGATAAGAAGTGTTGCGGGAGATCTACAGCGGGGCAAACGGTATCCCAGCACGGGACAGTGAATGCAGATTACTTTCAAGCATGAAAACCAGGGTCGGACGAGCAATTAATATGGTGCGCCGCCCTAAAAAGACTCCCAGTAGCGCGGAGTGGAAACTACGTGATTGCAAGCAAGCTTGCGCGATCGACGTTCCCGCTTACCCAATACATCGAGGATAGGCGTTGTGGCGGACTACGGAGCTGCTGTTTGGCGAGATCTTAGGTTGGAGCTACAAGGTCGATGGACTGCCTAGTGGTTGTGAGATAAGGGACGTTACACAGTAAGGTTAGGCGATTGGCAAAGACACAAAGTTGAGGCTGCATGGCATAGGTTACAGCATGGTGGTGTAATTCAGTAGGCGAAGGTAAGCATCGTGTCGTATCGCATGCCGAGTAAACGGGTGCGCTAAAGATAAAGAAAGTAATATCACGTGCCGTCAAGATCTACGCTTGGTTCGTACAAACAAGAATCTGGTTGATCATTTGATTCATGCCATAAATATCCATACCACTCTGCAGCGTCTATAAAACCCAGGTATAATATCGTTGACCATTACGAGGGCACGCACGTCATCATCTTTCTCCATCGATGCACGCCTACTTCCACAGCTTGCTCAAGCTGGTAGCCTTGTCGTCGTGCTTGTTGAGTACCTTGGCCGTCGCAAGGTCGAAGTCCTCCTGTGTGACGTGCACTCTCCTTTCTCTGAGGGCAAACATACCCGCCTCTGTGCAAACACCCTTCAGCTCAGCACCAGAGCACCCGTTCATCTTCTCCGCAATTTTGTTGAGGTTGATTCCACGAGTCAGGTTCATGCTCCTCGAGTGGATGCGCAAGATGTCGGCACGCGCCTCGACAGTTGGCGGTGGGAATTCGATCTTCCGGTCGATACGGCCAGGTCGCAGCAGAGCAGGGTCAAGAATATCCAGGCGATTGGTTGCCATGATGATCTTGATGTTCTTCGTAGGCTCGAAACCGTCCAACTGGTTCAACAGCTCCAACATGGTTCGCTGCACTTCGGAATCTCCGCCTGAGCTGCCTTCGACTCGGCTGGATCCAATACTGTCGATTTCGTCCATGAAGATGATGCTGGGCGCATGTTCTCGTGCCATGATGAATAGCTCTCGGACCATTCGACTACCCTCTCCAATGTACTTTTGCACCAGTTCGCTTCCAGAGACTCGGATGAACTTGCAGTCAGCGTGATGCGCGACGGCACGGGCGAGCAGTGTCTTTCCTGTTCCGGGCGGGCCGTAGAGCAGGACACCCTTGGGCTGTGCGATACCGAGCGATTCGAAGAGCTCGGGGTGTTGCAGACCCAGCTCAATGACCTCCTTGATTTCCTTGATCTGCTGGTCCAGACCACCAATCATGTCGTATGTGCTGTCGGGCACCTTCTCGACCATCATGAGGGAGACGAGCGGGTCGACCGAGGATGGCAGTAGCTTCTCGAGTTTGTAAGAGTCGCTGAGCAGTGTAACGCGCTTGCCCGGGGTGAGTTTGCTGAGGTCCACGCTGTCGGCCACGTCGACGACTGTAAGTTGTTAGTCAGAAGGGATTCATATGTACTACCAGGTGATACGCACCGTATTTGCCCTCTGGGTGAACCTTGACGAGCACCTTCTTCGTGCCCATGACCTTGACCACCTCGCCGACGTAGGACCCTGGCTGCTGCAGAAGGCCAAGCTCCTCGCGGAGTAACCGCACCCTCGAGTTGTAGTCATTTCGCTGGGCTTCCAGTCGTCGTAGCTTGGCCTGTCCCTGTATAATCTCCAGCTTCATCGACTCGATCTTGTTGTGGAAGAAGGTATCGAGCGCCATGACGGTGGCGGCGCTGGGGCGGTGGTGTCTGTTTGGGCGGGTGAGGGGGCTGTCAGAGGGCGTGCAGCTGGGCTGGAGATGGGCGATGGGAGCACGATTGCCAAGGCGGGGCTCTAGAGGATGCGGTAGTGGATGTGGCGCGCGTGTTGCGATGTCGTTGTTGTCAAACCGCTGCCCGCTGGAGCTTCGCGGAGCGGTGGAACAAGTGGCCGGCGGCGTATGCGCTATCACGAGAGAGGAAGCGCCGCCTTGTGGGGCCTTTGCTTCTTCGCGTCATGCCTGAACATCATGGTATCGTGCTAGGGCAGCGGAATGCTCCCGTGCAATGCTTGCAGAGAGGCCAGCGGGGGTGCAGTGCGTGCCCAAGTGGTTATTGCAGCTCCCTCACAGAGCAGCGTTTCTGTGGCTATTTGGCCGGCCGGTGCATTCTCGACAGAAGTGGCAGGGTCCGCGCAACAGTGCCGAAAGCTACAGGAGAGGATGCGCGTGTCAATCAAAGGATCGCTGATCCCAGACGGGCAGCAGGTCATCTGCAACACACTCACCGTCTCTACAGAGGGGCACGAGTCTCGCGCACTGTGATGCATTTTCCGTTGTTTTTTGCCCCGTAGGCCTGCCACCTGAGCTGTGACGCGCGCAATCAAGTTTCAAGTCAGGCCGCGTCCGTTCCCTGGCTGCCATCCTTGAGCTGTCCTCCATCGTTCTTTGCGCCCACCACCGCAACGCGATACTTGCAATGGGCGAGGGTGAGAGCTCGCAACAAGGCAGCGCGCATGGCGGCGACACGCCGACCATGACGGCCACCGGCGGCGAGACGGCGCGCAGACGAGTGCAGCCCGCCATCCAGACGGCAGGCTACGGTAGGGCTCCGCGATATGGCGCGTCCGCAGAGACGAGCACGCAGGGAGCTGACCATGGCGCAGGCTCCATCACATCCAGCATCGACCGCCGCCAGCAGAACAGCCCGTCCGAGGCCCAGGCGTCCAAGCCCAAGAAGCCCGCCATGGGCCGGCGCACCTCGTCCAAGTTCCCGCACAAGGGCCAGGAGTTCAGCGTCGACGACGACGTGAACGAGGTCGAGCTGCGGCTCAAGCAGCAGCAGCGCCTGGGCCCCACGCTGCGCCGCAAGCCATCGACCGTCCGCCGCCGGACCGCCGCACAGGGCCCGGCCCTCACCACCATCGAGGCCATAGACGACGATGCAGTCGAGCCAGAGCGGGCTGCCACACCGCCGCCCGCAGACCCACAGCCCGTGTCGTCGGGCGAAGAGACGATACGCGTCGAAGACGACGACGACAGCGGAACCCCCGACGATGACGACGACGACGGCGAGCTGAGCGATGCAGAGAGCTTCACCCTGCGAGACCGCCAGGACGCCATCAACGTGACCCATCCCTTTGGAATCAGGATCTGGAAGCCCGCCCTCTACAAAAAGGGCCGCTCCGTCCAGCGCAACGCCGAGGCCGACATCCACTCGTCTCCAGGACTCCATGTTAGCAACTGGCTGTTCCTCTTCAACTTTGCCTGGACGCTCGTCTTTGGCTGGTGGCTGGCGCTGGTGGCTGCTGCTGGAGGGGTGCTTTGCATCCTACTTGGCTTCAACGAAAGCTGCAGGGAGTACGCCCAGCTACTCTTCCATCTCTCCGTCTACCTGTTCTACCCCTTTGGCAGGTACGTCAAGCTGATACAGGACGAGCAATACGCCGAAGAAGACGAGGGCGAGGGTCGCAGCATCAGCGAGTACGAGCAGTGGCAAACGGGTGACATTGAAGAGGGACGGCTGTTCTTTGGACCTACTACTGGTAATAGCACCCTTGTGGGCCGTCGGCGCAACAGTGTTGACTCTACAGGCGGCGAGACAACAAGCCTACTCGGACGAGATGGCCGAGCCAGCATTATTCACTCCGACACTGCCAAAACAAAGCGGAGGCTGTTTGGTCGCGGGACGTGGAACCTTGGCCGCGTCGTCTTCTTCATCTACTTCTACGGCCTCTTGACACCTGCCCTCTTTCTCGCCTCAGCATTGTCTTGGTTTCTTGTCTTCACCATTCCCATGGGTAGAGTGACACTTCTGCTTTTTGATCATCTGCAGCGTCATCCTCTAGCTCTCTCCTTCCATTCTGACAACGGCAATGTGCGCCGTCTAGGCGAGTCGTCCCAAATTCTCCTGTGCACCTACCGTGCAGTAGGTACCAAGTATTGGAAGTACACCATTGACGGAACGAACATCTTCCTGATCAATCTCCTTGCCTTGGTGGCCTTCACCATCTTCGACTACTTCGTTTTGGCCGAGATGATGGGTCTCAAGATCTGGCTAACGGATCAGTTCCTCCTCTTTGTCCTTGCTTTGTTGTCAATCATTCCTTTGGCATACTTCATTGGCCAAGCAGTTGCTTCGATTTCCGCTCAGTCATCTATGGGTGTTGGAGCAACCATCAATGCCTTCTTCTCCACCATTGTCGAAGTATTCCTGTACTGTGTGGCGCTAAAACAGGGCAAAGCAAAGCTTGTCGAGGGCAGTATCATCGGGAGTATTTTCGCGGGTATTCTTTTCCTCCCAGGTCTCTCCATGTGTTTCGGTGCTCTCAAGCGCAAGACTCAACGATTCAATGTCATGTCAGCTGGTGTGACGTCCACTATGCTCCTCTTCGCCGTCATTGGTGCATTTGGGCCAACCTTGTTCTACCAAATCTACGGAAGCGTAAGTCAATCCACGTTCGCCCAGTGGAACTCACTAATTCTATTTAGCATGAACTGAACTGCCACCAATGTATTCATCACCATGACAATTCTCCAGCGGAAAGAGACTGCAGAAGATGCTACTACTCACAAACACCAGCGTTACATGACCGCTTCTACAACGAAGCTGTCAAGCCATATACCTGGTTTGCAGCTGCTATGCTCTTCTTCTCGTACCTTATCGGATTGCTATTTACTCTGCGAACTCATGCCGCGACAATTTGGAGCAACGAGCCGGAAGAGAAGGAGAAAAAGCACATGGATCTCAGCCACAGTACCCTCAGTGCCAGCGGCTACCTCGATTTCCCCCACTCAACACTATCCAGACAAGCGACTGGTCAGTCTGTCTCCCGTGCACATATACGAGAGAGTCAATTGTACAAGCGTATTGTCGGCCAGACTCTGCATGAAGTTGGGCTTGGGCTTGATGATGAGTTGTCAGAACAAAGACCAAAATCAGCCGGACAGACCCCACACGTTGTGCCACCCAAAGACAGTGACGAGCGTCCGCACTCGTCTTTCCATGTTGAAGGCATGTCGGACGAAAACAGTGATGCGCTGATCCGCCAGATCACCCAAATCGCTGCGACCACTACAGCCCTCGCCACTCGCGACGTCACTAAGGCACCGCACAAGGCTGCCCGAATGGCCAACACGCCGGTCAAAGGCCACGTTGAGCGCCCGGCCAACACGCGAACCACAACTGCAGTTCCAGAAGAACACGATGTGGCAGCTGGTCACGCAGCCGGTGGACACGACGCGCCCAACTGGAGCCGGCAGAAGAGTGCTGCGATCCTCATGACCGCCACTCTTGCATATGCCATCATTGCCGAGATTCTGGTCAACACTGTCGACGCCGTACTGGAGGGCTCGGACATTGACGAGAAGTTCCTAGGTGTCACGCTATTTGCTCTTGTCCCCAACACCACTGAGTTTCTGAACGCCATATCCTTCGCTATGAACGGCAATATTGCGCTCTCCATGGAAATTGGTTCCGCGTACGCTCTGCAAGTCTGCCTGTTGCAGATCCCTGCCCTTGTCTTCTACAGCGCTGTGCACGCCCTGAACATTCCCGCAGACCAAGTCGCATACCAAACTTTCAGTATGTCACCCTCCACCACCTACATCCATCCCCAAGAAAACCAACTAACCCCACCGCAGCCCTCATCTTCCCGCAATGGGACATGGTAACAGTAATCCTCTGCGTCATCCTCCTCACATACATGTACGGCGAGGGAAAAAGCAACTACTTCAAAGGCTCCATCCTCATCCTCTCCTACCTCGTCGTCATCGTCGGCTTCTACCTCTCTGGCTTCAACGACTACGAGCGCATGGGCGTCGATCCTACGGATACCTTGGCCCTGGGTGGCCTCGTGCAACGCGAGTTCCAATCCATGAGTTTTAAGACTCCGGGGAGGGGACGCAGTGGGAGGGCGTATTGAGTAGGGGATATAGGGGCTGGTTATGGGTTTTTTGAATGGGGAGGTGCGTGTGTGGATCATAATACTTTTTGGTCGGTGTGGGACGCCGTGTGGGGAGCGCATAGCGCAGGCGTTTTTTTTTGTTCGTGCTTTGCGGTTTCAGAGCGCGGCTGGTGGTGGTTTATGGGGCTTAGTTGAGTCTGGTATTTTGACTGAGTCGATTATTGTCACATGTTTATCCTGTCTTGCCTTTTCATTGCTCCATGTGTATGTGCATAGTCGCTGTTTGTCTTGTGCTACAACTTGGTTGTTGGTGCTTGCTAAGTCTTTGTGCATGTGGTTGTGTTTCATCGTTGGTTGATACTACTTCACTCTTGTATGGTCGGTCCTGAGATGATGGAGATTGATGTTTATTGTTCTGATAGGAAATAGAGAGGGTCTTGTCAAGATAAGGCTTATATGTATGTTAGGGAAGTTGAAAATCAGAAGCTAGGAAAGATGGGATAGAGAAGAAAAGAACAAGGTGACGAGAGATGGTGAGCAAACGGCAAGTTGATGGTGGCGGAAAAGATCAATAGGACTGGTCAGATTGAGAGCTTGACAGCAACTCTAGAAATCACTGATAGCAGCGTACTAACAACATATCTTTCCTCCGCCAACAGACAGACCGGATCGCTGGATCCTGTCGTCTCCCCAAGACCTATCAAAAACTTAATCTCGACTCGATTCGAATGTGCGTGTTTCGGGGGTTTCCAATTTGTCTGCGATTAATCAATTCTACTCGCTTGAGGAAACGTCTTGGGTATCACAGCTGCTTTGTCGTAAGTGAGTCTCTATCTTTTCATTGATTACTATGATGTGCATATCTAACACCATAGTTAGCGGCTCTGATCGGCAAGATACCCATAAAGCCAATATTTCTCCGCAACCAAAAAGCGCTTCGTGGTAGGACGTGATCAGCGGAGGTATCGGGTGAAATCTGCGGAGAATTCCCGGAGGAGTGAAACACGTTTTGCTGTCAAGCGTGCACGTGGTATTTGAACGGGTCGTGGTAGTTCCGGATTTTACTAAAGTAGGTATTTGACATATCTTGCGTGGCGATCTGCAGTGTAGACCTGGAGCTAGACCATGGGATGGTCAGAATGATGATGAATTCCAAGGCCTATTGATGACGACGCAGCTCCATAAGATAAGGGCGGCTTATTATTGACAGGCTCTCGAGAGAAGGCATTTCAAAGCAATATGTTCGTGTAAGCGCATAGAGTGAGGCTGTGCACTCGTTTTAAGCTCCACAGGGTTTCAGGCGGGCGTCAGGGTTGGGTATGACAGACATGCAATGCGGATGATGTGTACCAGGATGGTCTCGGCAAAGTACGATGAGTGGAGCAATCGGCGTCGCGCGGGTCGAAGCTTCACACTTGCATCATCCATCATTCCGCATTTGTGGCTTGCGACGACTGTCGTTCTTGTCCGGACAGGTCCGCTCGCCCAAGATGCTGCTCTTCTAGACAACTGCTTTAGCCTTTCTCATCCTGTTGCTTGTAATACCTGACCTAGTGGGTTCCTTGATTGACGGGAGCTGAAAGCCACCCCCGCTCTTAAGCCCGATGGAATGAGTGAGCGCCGGTCATCGATAAGAACGACGCGCATTATCTTGCTGTCGACGCCGCGGTTCTGAGAATTCTGGATATACCCAAATCTTTATTTCAAGATGCTGCTCCAGGGACTATCGCGCCTGCCGTGGCCGTTGAGATGCGTACTTTTCGCCGCCGTTGCCACTGCCACCATTTCGCCCTCGAACAGCTCGACAGCAAATGCACGATTCCAGGGAACGATACCGTTGAGACTTTCGGGGGATGCGAACCAGATCGCAGGGTTGATTCCATTGACCAGGCAAGCGGCGTCGCAAAATGTGTGTTCAACGTTACCTCCTCCCTCACATGGTGACTTTGACTAACGGTGACCAGATTGACGGCAATCTTTACGTTACCAACTTTTCAAGCGTCGCAAATATATCCGATAGCGAGATTGCCTACATCAGCTGCAATCCAAACGACTACCCCGGGAATGTGGATGCGCAGAGAGTGTTCGACGATGCGTACCAAAATGCGAAGATATCCGGGGTCATTCTGTATAGCACGGATACCGACTATTGCAATTACGAGCAGGCTACAGGACAGGCTTCGATGCAGGGCTTCCCCATACTATCCATGACCAGTAAACAAGATTCGGCCACGGTGTTGGATTCGGCAGTCAACTCGCCACCACAAATGAAGTACTTTGTCCAAGTGCAAGCCAACAGTGCGAGTAGCAGTGCCTTCGGCAGCCAGCAGAATCCCCTGGGTCCGACGCCGTCCACGGCTGTGGCTATGATCATCTTGTACGCTATTACGGGGTGTATTACCGGGTTGTTCCTGATTATCATCATCACTGGCGCGATCAGAGCTCATCGCCATCCAGAGCGATATGGACCACGAAATGTACTAGGACGACCAAGGCAGAGTCGGGCGAGAGGTCTAGGACGAGCTATCCTCGACACGATTCCGATTGTGAAGTTTGGCGAGAAAGAACCAGAGAAGCCGACGGACGTTGAATTGGGATCTGGGTCGGAGACAAGAGACGTGGATGGCGGGACTGGTGTACCAACAACCACAGAAGTCGCAGAACCAACAAAAACAGAGGGTACACCTACAGTCGCTGCAACCGCACCCAACACATCACCCACTGCTACCGAACACGCCTCAGGTATCGCGCCAGCACAATCTTTAGCAGAGGGAGTAGGAGCAGCAAAAAACATCGACACAAACAACAACGAAGACTCAAGCCTCGGCTGCTCCATCTGCACCGAAGACTTCGAGAACGGCCAGGACATCCGCGTCCTCCCCTGCGACCACAAATTCCATCCCGACTGCGTCGACCCCTGGCTACTAAACGTCTCAGGCACATGTCCCCTATGGTAAGCCCCCCTCCTTCCACATATAAAAAAACACCCACTAACCCACTCCCAGCCGCGTAGACCTCCGCCCCGTCACCTCGCGCGACTCCACATCCACCGACCCCGACGCCGCCGCCCTCGCCCCCCCACTCAACCCGGACCCAGAATCCACCTCCTCGCGCCGCCGCAGCGCGTTCCGCGACATCCTCTCCCTGCGCCAGCGCCCCAACGCCTCGGCCGAGGAACGCATTTCCGCGCTGCGCCGTCTACGCGAACAACGCGTTGCGAATGCCAGCACGGATGACGTGGGGCGGAATCGCAGGAGTAGGCGTATGAGTGCGCGGCTGGGCGATGTGTTTAGCGGCCGCACGAGGAGGGTTAGTCCGGGTCGCCTGCCACCACCACAACAGCAGCAGCAGAGGGATGGGGAGACTGGTGTGAGTGAACAGCGCGAGTAGGGTGTATGCATGGCTTATGATTTTGTGATGTTATGATCTTGGTTTGACTTTTGGCATGGCGTTTGGATATGCGCATCGTACTGCGTTTTGGGGATACCATTTAGCTTCGGCTCTTGGGGGATGGGAAAGGTTGCCGCGTTTATGGAGAGGATATGTTGTATGAATTTGTATGAGGGATGAGGTATATAGGGTGGGTGGGTGATGAGGTGTACGATGCAATGACGAATCGATTTTCGAGCAAGTGCCGACCCTCTGGACATATCGCCATCGTTGTGGTGAAGTCGTCGGGGTATTTTCTCACCATATGGTTTTGACATGGATAATCCCCCATTAGGACAAATTCATGCGTGCAAGTCATATATCCAAGTGCGAAATGGCATTACAAAAGAGGTAGTGTAATGTAATGTAGTATAGATCAGAAAACGCCTACTTGTCGTCGTTGGAAAAAGGGAAAAAAACGCCAGAGGAAGAGACCATGGCAAGAAGTAGTGTAATGCTACTAGACCAGACCAGAGCAGACCAAACCAGACGTGTGTATCGTTTCGTCGTCTGCCACCACACTTTGCTGCTCGCCTTGCACCCAAACGCTTGCAGCCAAACCTACTACTCCTCTTCAATGTAGCCAAAAGCGTGCCCTTGACTGCGCCAAGATGACTGCTATTCTCCGCTCTCTCTCCCATCTCTTCACACACATCTAACAGCACTTCCCTCCCATGCCCGCCCCCGCGTTCCCGTCGCCCCCGCTGACATCCACCTTGGGGCCCTGCGTCGTGTCCGTCCGCGCAGTATCGATAAGCCTGGTCTTGATATCGGCAGCGAGCGAATAAAAGGCCTTGTCGACGTTGATGTTGCTCTTGGCGCTGACTTCGAGGAAGGGAATGCCGAGTTCGTCTGCAAGGGCCTGGCCGCGTTCTGTGCTGATGACACGCTTCTCTTCCCAGTCGCACTTGTTGCCGATAAGGATCTTGTTGACGCCCTCGGTAGCGTGTTGCTCGACGTTGGAGAACCATGTGCGGATGTCTATCACGTCACCTGTCAGCACTACTTCTCATCTTTGCATGTTGGTAGATCCCAGAATAGTGAGCAAACATACTGGTAAAGCTGCGCTCGTCGGTGACATCGTAGACGAGCAGAATCCCCATCGCCCCCCTGTAGTAGGCTGTGGTGATGGTGCGGAAGCGCTCCTGGCCGGCGGTATCCCAGATCTGCAGCTTCACGCGCTTGCCGTCGAGCTCAATGGTCCGGATCTTGAAGTCGATACCGATGGTCGTGATGAATGACGGCGTGAACGAGTCTTCGCTGAAGCGCAGCAGACAGCATGACTTGCCTACGCCCGAGTCGCCGATGAGAAGGAGCTTGATCTGGGTGGAGTGTTAGTCGATCCTTTGTGAATGGTGAAAGGGTAGCGCATGGGAGGCGCATGGGCGGGCTCACAAGAAAGTCGTAGTTCCTGGTGGACGCCATGGCTTGTTATGTCGTGCAGTCGTGGTTGGCGTGGTCGAGGAAGGAAAGTAGGTTGCGGCAATGCACCCGCCGGCGGGTCTGCGACGGTTTGGTGGGGAGAACGCGCGGGGAATGTGAGTGTGCAGTTGTTCGAGGCAGACGTGGTATACTGGTGATGGGCGATATGTAGGCGGTCTGGCGGGCACAGCTGTCGTGGTGGAGGTCGGGTGGTCGGTAGGCACACAATGCAGGCAAGTCGGTACGTTGCGTTGACGTTGGCTGGAGGATCGAGCGTCACCAGGCCAGGGCAGCACAGCCAGCCAAGTCCACCGCCGGGTAAGCGAGCCGCTGTCGCCACTGCCGTTACATGTGCAACCACTTTCTTCCCACACAGACAAACATGTGCTAGTCATGGCACTGTCATGGGTATAATTGCTACCTTACACCACTTCACTAAACGTGTCCAGGTCTTCAGGCGAGCCACTTGGAATACGCCCACCGGATGCGCTCCACCACCTTCTGCTGCCTCTCCAACCCACTCCTCACGTCCACCAGCTCGTCAATCTCTACCAAAAAGTCGTGGAATATGCGTCTGGGGAGAACCCCACTTGCAGCCTGTCGAAGCAGATGCACTTCGCAGACAAGCATACCATGATCCTTATACGATAGCTCGCCAAACTCATTAGGAGTGGCGCTGGTCAGGATGCGGTCGATGTTGCGCAGAATAAGCAGAAGTTGTCCTTGCCTTGCCCACTGCTGCACGCCCTTGCGGCTGCTGAAGACCCCCTTGAGCCATCTGTATACGCCAATAGAGACGAGCACGCCAGGTGTCAGACCAATGAAGCCAAAGAGTAGTTCCTGACTCTTCAAAATGCTGTCAATGCCACTCATGGCAACTTCGACGTCGACTTTGGTTTTCTGTACTTGGATCAAGAGTGCGCTGGCAAGGTTTCCTACTATCGCACCCTTCACTGGGCTCTGGATATCCTTTTCATACGACCTCAGCACCGTTGTCAGGTCGCCTTCCCTGACGTTGGCTTTGATGTCAGCAATCTGCGATTCGTTCAATGCTGCACCCTCAGGGTTCTTGACGGCGAAATCGACAACCATACGCTCAAGGCTTGCGCGATCGGCTTCGAGGCTGCGTTTGCTCATAATGGAGACCTCGCTGTCCTCGTCGTGACGGATAGTACCAACGACTTTCTTGGCGGGCTCAATTACCCAGTTCTGCCAGAAGTCGATAACTGTTTGGCCAAATTCGCGGATCCATGTGAGAATCTCTTCTCTGCGGTTAATGAAGATGCGGAATATTGTCGTAGATGATATCAGGAGAGCAGTAGCGGGAAGCCAATAGCGGATGAGACGAGACGGTCGGCCATTCTCTTTGACAACCGCGTTGAAGTTTGCAGAATAGGTAGGCAGAGCTTTTCGAAGCAAGTATTGGAGGCGTTGTGTGACATCGGCTGGCTTGAGGGTACTCGCTGCTCGTTCGCCAGAGGGCTCGTGCAGTTCGTAATATTGGTCTTCTTGCGTCAGACTGGCAACGGAGTCGTCGAAAGTCTCAACTGAAAGTTCTGCGGCGTTTACGCTTTGAATGACAGCGTCCATAAGAGCAATGCTCTTTGACACGACGCTCTTCCATTTGTGTCTGTGGTCTTGTGTAGCAGAGGGGCTTGGTGTTTGGGCGCCATCATCGCGAATGCTAAGAACCGTCAGCAAAGTATCTTACCACTGCAATTCATCACTTACCTCTCGTTACCAAGGCCTTCCCCTAGTAGCACGCCCAGCGCGTTCGCGTTGACAGCACGTATCTTCCTCAACACTGCGCGCTTCCTCCTCCCCTCGTTTCTTACCAGCGCCAACGGACTAACTACTCGTCTCTGGATATTCGCAATACTGCGCTCCCGCACTGAGTCCTTCACCAGCCCATAGAACTGACTCCACCCATCCGCCGTATGTCCGCCCCGTGACCTCACATCTTGGATAATGTCCCACGACCACGCCCACAGCCGTACAGGCGACGTCTGTATCCAGTAAAGTCCAGTGAAGCGATACGTGCCCAATATATCGTCCCAGTACCAGATGTCGTCCTCAAGCGGAATTGTCTGCCCAAGAATCGTATTCAGAACCTCGCCATACGCCTGCGTAGTCGCCTTGCTGATCAGCAACCACTCGAGCTCGTGTTCGTAACTCGCATCCTCCCTATTTTCCAAACTAACCACCTCCTTTCTTTTGCCCTGCGCAAACCATTGTTCACACGTCGAACAGCTACTCGAGATGTCTGCCCGCTCGAGAGTTTCCAATATGCGGCTCGCAGGTACGAGACTCGACTTGGACGACGAGGTAGTGGAGAGCGATTTGATCAGGTTCTGCAGATGCGCTATACGGGCTGCCTTGGCGGGGTCGTGGGCTTCTTCTGCGGTGAGGGTCGAGACGCTTGTTCCGCCGTGGGTGCTTGACAGCTGCAAGCGATCAAGCTGGCTGTCTATTCGACGCACATGGCTGATGTATCGTCAGTTGCTGATACTATCAAGGTATCACGCGAATGAGGTGTTGCGTCGGACTTACTCGACCACGAAAGACATGGTACTCTACCGTCGTATCGACGCCCGAGTCCAGATCGAAGTGTGGATGGTATTTGTTTGGTGATCTGAACTAGGATGACATGTGCGCCTGCCCGAAAGTGGGCTGGTTTGCGGGATGACGTCAGATCGACCGTTGAGCTTTCGTCGTCGACATACTGAAGTTTGACACTTTTCAAATACATGATCATGGTAAAGTCAGAACAATGGCTCGAATTATAAGAGATTTAATACAATACCTATAGTGTAACAACATGAACACGTTTACCACGTAAAAATAATTTCCACCGTAATATAAGAACATGACCAAAACGAGAAGACAACAAATCCAGCGCTCACAGAGCAACAAAAGCAAGCATAGCCCCAAGGAAAGCGTACTCGATCTCAATCCCAAACAGCGAAGCAGCACCCGTAAACTCCGCAGATGACGTAGAATTAGCCCCAATACCTGTTGGAGCAAAAGTAGCCATCGTCGAGCCCATCGGATAACGCGAAGCAGTCGTCGAAGCCGACGTTTGTGCAGGCGCAGTACCAGGAACAAGGCCAACAGTCTGGGTGGGATTGGAGTCAGCCACACCCTTTTGCGTTGAGAAGTGAACCTGCGGGACCGTAATCTCCATTGTTCCAACCGTAATGGTTGTGCATGGCGTTTTTACGGCGGATGCCGAACTCGCAGTTTTGCTGATACTTGCGGTGGACGTCGTTGGGGTTAGGGGAATGTAGCTTGGACAGTCGGTTACGATGCCTGGGTTTTCCGAGACGTGGTCGGCGCAGATACCGATGAGATACTCGAGAGCCTGCTTTGTCTCGGCGTCGTTGCTGCACCAGGCTGAGACGCAGTCAATGACGTTTTTGGTGAAGTCTTTGATCTTGCAGTAGCAGTTTGAGTCGGTGTTGTCCTTGCAGCCGGTTGAGTCCACTTGTATCCATGTATTCATGCACCTAGGCAGGACGTCTGGCGGATTCGAGGAGGGAGGTGTACCGGTACTTGACGGTATGGGAGAAGTCGAATTGGAGGTTCCTAGAATGGGGGTTGTACTGCTGACTAAAGGAGGTGATGAGGCGGAGATTCCAGTGCTCGTTGACGGGTTCGATATAGCAGTGGTGGAGCCTTCGCAAGATCCGCCATATCCTCCATAGCAAGGAGAAGATGCGCTAGTGCTCTTGAGAGTATAAAGAGAGCCACTTGGCGAAGAAACTGGCGGAACTACAATAGATACTTGTGATTGTGGCGGCACACTGCTGCTCTGGCCAACCGGGGGAGTGTCTGGAGGGGAAGAGGAGGATGTGTAAACTGGCGCCGAGCTGGCGGTGGAAGGGACAACACTAGAAGGTGTGCTTGATTCTTGCGTCATCACGGAAGTACTTGTCACAAATGATGTGGTACACTCTTCCCCATAGCTTCCGTCGCACGAACTGCTCGATGTCCCGATATATGAGGTAGTTTGAGAAGCAGGCGGTGTCTCAATCAGAGAGGAAGAAGCAGGTAATGTCACCGCCGAAGTGCTGCAGTCTTCACCATAACCTCCATTACATGGAATGCTAGGCGTTCCGGTGGATGGGATTGTCTGAGAGGCAGGCGGCGTTTCAGTCAGAACAGAGGAACCAGGTAGCGTTTCAATTGGGGTAGAAGGGACAGGTGTTGACTCGAAAAGACTAAAAGAGGTAGAGAGTGTCTCGATCAAATTGGAGGAGACCGGTGGCGTTCCGATCACGGCTGTGGAGACGAGTGGTTGATTATTACACGACTCGCCTTCACAGGAGGCTGGCGGGCTCGACGGAACCGGGGGTTGAGTTGATGTCTCGATGGTCGAAGTGGTAACAGGGGGTAGAGAATTGCAAGAACTTCCATCACAAAGAGCACTTGTAGTGGACACCGGCGGCTGGGTAAGCATGACTTGCCTTCACACAGTACTGATGTGCCTGTTGTGACTGGGGGTTGAGTGTTGCAAGACCCACCCTCGCAAGAAGATACCGTCGTCTCAGTAGGTGGTGCTGTAGACCCAGGCTGGGACACAGTCGGTGTTGTCGATGAAGGAGTTCCAACAGTTGGAGACGTATAGATCGTCCCACTATTGCATTGGAACCCAATATTGTGGAAGCCAATCTCACACTCTTTCTGGTCGCCGCTGAAGCGACTACCAAGGTAAACTTCTACGGATGTTGCACCACCACATCTACGTTCATGGATCAGTTTAGCGTTCTCGATAACGTGAAGAATACGTACTGGGAGTTTTTGATCGTGCTCCCACCCACTTTACAGCTCCAAGTTGAATAGCAGGTAGAACCGTCTCCCATTCTGTAATGTAAGTCCAGATCGACATCAAACTCGACAGAAACGTCGATGTAATCAATCGAGAATCCTGATTTCCTCTTATCACAGCCGAATGATGCGAATTTGTCCTTCCGAACCTTGTTCTTGATACATTTTGAGCCGAAAGTGCGCTTGCTGATATGATCGCGCTTGTTGAAGGAATTTGCGCATGTCCAGCCACCAGAGAAGTCGAAATCGCCATATTGGAAGTTGGAAATACCTTCCTTGAGATCGGACCAGTTGAAGCCGCTCTTCTGTTTATCATTGCATTCGTTGTCGTTATAGTTGGGTGATTTGAACGGAGTGCCAAACAGATTCCAGGTCGCTGTGACCTGCTGACCGGCTAGGCTGATCACAAGAAAAGCGAACAAGTTCTTCATAGTGAGAACAGCACGAATGATAGTGATAGATAGGATATGTAGTGAATGTCAAAGACAATGTCGTTGCAGTGTTTAATGAACGCAGACCGAGAAGATTATTGTGCAGAAACGAAGGTAAGCTAATTGAGCACACGAAGAGTTAGCAAATAGAGCAAGTAAAAGAATGAAGTATAGAACTATGGATATAGAGGGAAGCAGATAGTCATTATATGTTGATTCTCTGTTTCGAAATACACGGAATTCGAGACTATCGCAGAAAGGTCGCCGGCGAACAGAACATAGTCAGGTACTAAGCCACAGTCTTGGACGAGGCGTCCCTGTTAGCTTTGTTGTTTTTAGTAATTCTGTGTACGTTTGTCGCAGGTATTTTGGGTTGAGGTAACATCTGTTGAGTGACCTCCGCTCTGAAACGCTTTACAAAACGTCAACATTATGCGCGTGCAAGTCAACCAAGCGGGATATGAGGATGACTGTTAGACGAATACGATATCATCATAAGACAACGACAATTTTCCGCACTAGTTTGTTTCACCTTAATTCATGGCGACGAGTATGTCCTGGAAGACTCGTTCGTCAATCGGAACTGTCAAAACGGTGGAGTCGATTGTTGGAACTTGGAAGACTGTCTTGTTATTTTGATGCGAGTTACCGTCTGCAACGACTCTTCCTTGCTCATATGCCCAATCCTTGGGTATTAAGTCTACCGTCAATTTGCAACGCCAGCAATGTCATTACCCAGAGATAACCATCAAACGCCCAACCTCAATATGCAATTGTATCATCTGAATCGCTTTTTTGTAACGTTAGGAAAGACACCAATGATCGGCAAGTTCGCTCGCCGTCAATCTAGCTTCGCAATTTCCAGCACATATCTGATCACACCTAGCTATTGTTTCCATTCTACGCCTCATCCTGAACGGTGATGTGAACAACTTCATCCCCGCGACGATCGCTCGATGAGTAGCGATGAGCTGCTGTATGAACTTGAGCGTGATGTTGATTTGATGCGCGAGTGAGGAACGGAATCTGTAGCGCGCCGATAACCGCTACCAAGGCTGACGCCCACCATGCCAGGGGAGTGAAGTGTATTTCGATTGAAAGACCGTAAAGTAGACCCGCGATAGGGCTAGCAACTGTTCGGCAAGCGGCACCCGTTGCAGCCGCGAGCCCATTAATCTTGCCGAGGTGAGACTTGTCAGGCGCAGCCTCCTTGATCATGATGAGCAAAAGGGGGAAGGCAAGAATACTGGTGATGCTGCGGATGACCAAGCAACAAAACAGTGAAATGAATACCATGTTCGTCGGAAGAAGCTGTAGAAATGGAACTGCAAAGTACGCAAGGGGATGAAAGACCGTGACTAAGAGCAGTAACCGCCATACACCGAGGAATTTGGCTAGTAGGGGAAAGACAAAGGCTTGAATCGCGAGTTGAATAACGCCGTTGACAGATAGGATGATGCCGACGGTTTGAATCGGCATGCCAAGACCACCCCCCAACGAGGAAAGAGAAAGATCTAATGTGTTGACCTCGTTCTCGGCTCGCTTGTCTTGAAGGAATATAGGTAGGAGGTGATCGAAAGTCATCTGATCAAAAGTCAGCGAGTGTAAAAGTTGGACCTTTTTTTGAAGCAACTTACAGAATGGTACGTGAATATTCCTAGAGCCACTACAAACATGACGACTGCCGGTGTAAAGGCCTTTTCGTTCACTGAGGACTCCACCCATTCCCCGTTAGATCGCACATGCCAGACCTCGTCACGTCGCACCTCAACTGCGTTGAACGTTCCATACGATTCAGTGGTCAGATCAGCCCCGGCGTCAGCAGTAGCACCTTGAGTCGGGAAGAGTGGGGTCGCTGCAGTATGCCTCTCGCCGTCCCCGGTAGATACTTGCGGCCGTCTATCTGGGTGGCTTTCTTCCAGCAAGAAATAAGCCATGATAATGGAAACTACAAGCAACGAGGCGCAAATTAGGTTTGGAAGGAGATACGGAAATGTCGCAAAGGGACCTGTAGGATTGAAGAAGGATGGGAAATTCTGCGCTGGCTCTGCGAAGTAACCACCGATAGAGGCTGTATAGTCAGTACCAACCTAAAAGATATGGGAATTAAGACAATGACTTACGGCCTATGATGGTTCCGATACTCCATACAAACGGCATGACCGAGTACGCTCGTGCTAGGGATTTCTTAGTAGAGATACGGGTATAAAACTAGACGCGTATACTCACGTTCATGTTCTGGTCGCGTGACCAGCTCGCCCACGATCGTTTGTATAACTCCTATGTTGCCATTGAGCGCACCGCCGAGGATCCGCCCTGCGAGGGCGACCCAGAAGTTTGGAGCCAGCCCCACGATTAGTAGAGAAAGAACTGTCCCCAAACAACCCAAAATGACCACTGGTTTACGACCAACGCGGTCTGAGACGGCGCCCCAATACATACTGCTGCATGCTTCAGCGAGCGAAAAAGCCTTCTCTAATGTCAGTGAATGTTTTTGTATTAGTGTATATGAAGGTATCAGCTTACGGCAATCAGTATGCCAGCGAAGAAAGGCGCGTTTGATTCAGAGCAAACGTGGAAATTCAAGACGAGCTTCCACGCGTAAGGGAACAAGGAGGTCAGGGCAATTGGCTCTGCCACTCTAACCAGCGCTGTGCCATTATGTCAGTGGCTATCTCGTTCAATTCGAGGACATGACATACCGAGCAGAAAGAGCTGAGCGGCAGGGAAATTGTCGTCCGACGCATCTCGCGTGTTTGTTCTTCGCTTGTTAAGTAAACACATCCTCGAATCTGACTTGATTCTTACGGCTTCGCCTGCAATTATTTGCAAGCGCGTAGAGATATTCTACGGGTTTGTAGTCTATGGTTGGTTTGTTCAGAGTGAGCGTTGTGTGACGGATCAACGACCGAAAGTAGGGTACGCGACGCGGAGTGAGGACCAAAGGTCAAGGGGGTGTGGCAAGAGTTTCGTTATCGCCGTTATCGGGCCTTGGCGAGTTCAAAATCTATGTTCGTTGTCACTGTCAAGGTCTCGTTGTGACATGAATCTAACGCGTTGAATGTGATTCTAGACTTGTGAACAGTATACCACCGGGTCAATCCCGATCACATGACGTCAACCTGAGCATTTTCATGTCATGTGATCGGGATTGTCATCCCGAGACCCGGTGGTCCACACAACCCACAGAAAACACGCTGTATGTGTGAAGTTCAACACGCAAGCCTACAGGCGCGTCTGCTCTAACCTACCTAGCGTCCATGATCAGCGGCCAGACCTGGAGGTCGGGAATCATCCCTGTCATCGTATCCGCTGCGACCCACAAAGAGAGGAGAAATACGGTTCCCTCCTACTCTTGGCACTTCCAGTTAATCCAACGTTGAAGTAGTTCTTTTTCTCGGCATCATTACACTTTATACTATTCATGCCTATCACAATTATTGAGGCTGCCGAACCATATTAGCGTATCGCAATGGCAAGACTTTTGTCGCCACAAATCAATGTGCTTGCAGCATGAGGCGCACAAAAGCCAGCTGAATGTTCAGCTTGCAGGCCCGCCTTGCGTTAGCCGGACGTTCTGACTGGAACGGGACGGGGTATGTGCAGGGAGGCGCTGTTAAAGCAAGTCGCTAGCTAGTAAAATGCTCCAATAGGCAGACTATAGGTTGCTTCATTGCTCCAGCCTACAGCCGAACCGCTGCCCGCTGTCCAAGCTGTCCAAATCTAACCCGCCAGTCCCTACCAGTGGCGCCGCCGCAAGGAAACAAGCCTTAAAGGGCGCATCCGCTGCATGACCCATTCGACGTTCGGAATCCCATAGTAACTTAATTCAACGGTAACGTCAAGCGTTACAACCACCCATGCGAGACCATTCAATGTCTCCCGCTCCGGTTGCTGGATCGTCCCAGACGTATTCTGCCCTTCCACAAGCAGGGAAAACGCATTACAATGTCCAACAATCCGAACAATCCTCGGCGTCGGATACGCGACCGCCACCTACACATGGAAGAGGCCTTTGGGACAAGCTCGGGTGGTACAATATCGGTGTTCTTGTTTTTGGAACTATTGCAACCCTCTTAGCAGTTGCATTTCTAGGACTGCTGTGGGCAGGATCGCGTGACGCGATGCAAGGCGGAGCTGCACCCCCAGTGTGGTATCATATCGTTGAAAGAGCGTGGACCGCGCGAGTTGTAACCATCTGCACTGTCGCCATCAGGCTTGCAATCACAGCTCAGATGGGTGTATTTAGCGCTCTTGTAGCAGCACTGGTTCTCGAGAACATTGGAGTACCCACATCACGACTACCTCTCCTATCCGTTATTCGAAGTGTAAACACCGGCCCACAAACTCACTGGACCAACATTCTTTCTATTCACACTCCATCGCAATTTTTCTATGTTGCTGCCGTCGTACTCGCCGTCCTAAACTCATTCGCACTACAATTCACTTCGACCCTCCTCCTGAGCGATTTTGGACCTACGCCCGTTGTTTTCGATAGTAACTCGAGCTCTATTGCCTATGGTATACCAGTAAACAGCTCCCTGAGTGGGACGGATTTCTTCACCTCAGGGATGGACTACATAAAAAATGCGCCATCGACGTACGCCCGATTCGCCGAGTACACTGAGTCGCCGTACGAGGCCATAAACTACGTAGACACCGGAAAGGCGCTTCGTGCTTATCTTCCGTTCAATTCTCTGGATCAGCGCAGCTTGAGAAGCTATAATGGGCCGGCCAGTGTTGTCGACTCAAGGGTCATGTGCGTTGCGCCGTCGTTGATCATCACCCGGATTTCTTTGAATAGCGACGTGCTGACAGTAGCGGGTAACTTGACTTGGGAAGGCTCGTATCCTGCTCTCAGGTCCACCAATTCTTCAGATGCCTCTGAGGAAAGCGATGTCACACCGCAGTTTGTGTGCGCGGCTACCATGTCATCAGAAGACGATGTTTCCTCCTACTGGGAGATGTCGGTCTGCTTTTCCTACTTCCTTGACTCAATCCAGTTTTCGGAGAATATACAAGACGGAGGCCCAATGCAAAGTCCTTTTCAATTCTTGGTATTGAACACGACGGGTGCCATGAGCAGTTGGGACACGGCATACTATGATGACAGTGTACTCGAAGAGGATCGCGGACAGTTGGAGTGGAATCAGACCTCTTCAGGCCCTTGGACGAAATTCACCACCAGCAACAGTTCATTGGGCCTTGGTTTGGATGCTAGCTTGTGCTTTGCGGACTTCACTACGACCGAGTATGACGTCGTCATACACAGCGACCAGGATTATACTGAGCCCGAACTGCAATGGAACAGTGCCTCTCAATCCTACTCCACCGATGATATTCAGCGCGTGCTCGGTGCAACCTCTGAGTCGTCGCTCTCATTACGCGGTATACCCAGTTTACGTCCAGCAATAGACTGGAGTTATTCTAGTATGAAGAACGCAACTCAATCATCTATATGGTCATCTATCTATACGGTGATCAAGTCTAATTTCATTTTTCTCAATCTAGGGTCTGAGTTCACTGAAGGGGAACCAACCCTCGTCATGTCCTCGAAAAGTACAGGTCAATCAGTCCATAGATCACACGCAGCCATCTTTCAGGACATCATGAAGAACACAAATAACCCAGCGCTCGCGCTCCAGGCCTTTCTTACTGTAATCACGCAGATGGCCTATTATGACTTTTTCCCGCAATTCGAGGTCACTGGCCGCTCAACACATACAGCTTCTTCCACCGTCGTTGTACCAATGCAATGGGTCGGCTTTATCGTCATAATGGTACTACTAGCCATCCATTTCATCCTCATTCTCGCCGCGACGATCCTGTTCCTCACGAAGACCAAGCATTCTCTCCTTGGGAATGCATGGCAGGCTTTCGCACAAATTGCTTCAAAAGATGTGGACCACACTATTCAATATGCGGCCAATACGACAGACAATGAGGTTCAGCAGTTTCTCAAAAAGAATGGGCACGACAAGACTGAGTTCGTTTTGAAGACGGGCTTGGACGATGGAAGAAGTCAGGCTGTGAACCGTCGTCGTACCGGGAGCACGCATGAACTGCAGTTGTTGAACAGAAATGGCGAGCCGATTGACAAGATATGAGTCGTATGTATGGACAGTGTAATCTCATTTGGTATGCAAGGATATATATGCCAAGGACGTTGTAATGGACCAGGAGGAAACACGTGTGACCCTTTAGAGAGACGTAAGAAAGCAATAATCGAGTCGGTTAAATAGAGCAATCATCAAGATCAGGAAACATTTCTGGCCAAACCCTCTAATATCAGTCACGCTACATATCTGCAAGACTTTCTTTATACCCAGACCACACCATACCCACCACATTATCCAGTACCAATAAAAAGTCCAGCGATTTCTGTACGTAGATACTATTGCCTCCCACATAGAAATATCGCTACGGCAAGATTACTCGGACGTTGCGCAATACGCCATCCCATGCCAGAGACATCCCACTTCTCCCCAACACCAAGCTGCTTCTCTCTATCTATACAATTCTCACGCCAAACCACACAGCATTGAGTCTCATATTGAAGCTATCTGTGAGACTGCATGTGTGCGATACACTTACGCGTGGTGTGCCTTATTCGTACTGCACCTCCAACGTCTTTGTGCATACCTTACTTACCTCTGCGTAAATCCCCCTGACCGCTCCGCAGGTTGTGTAGAGAAGATTAAGTTTAGAAGTGAGGCTTACATCTACCTCCAAGCTCGAATCGTGGTGAGATACGCATTATGCCTTGCGGTTTGTTGCTGGAACAACCTTTCCTGATCAATTCCAACCCTGTCATCTTCCTTCTTCTTCAGTAGACGTCACCAAGGGTTTGGAATGCTTAGACGTTGAACGTAGCACATCGTTTCGGGATGGGATTTGACTGTAGTGTAGACTGTAGCTTGATGAACCGCGTTGCTTGAGCTGACTGTCGTCCTATTCTTTCTCAGACCTACGAGCCCACAATGCAGAACGCGAATTGCAAGTTTGCTTGCGGAACCGTTCATCTACCACAGGTTCTTGCAGACACTGCCCAAATGAGCGTATTCCTCCTTCGTTTAAGAAGATGGACTATTTCGCGCCGTAATATCTCAAGAGCGCTTGCCATTCGGCACTCTTTTTTGTCACCTCACACCATTCCAAGATAAGACAGGTTGTTCCTTTATGGATGTGCTTGACTTTCCCCGTATTCAGAGAACGTTTGCTGATGATTCCCTTCTGAAGTAGCTTCTTGACCCCATCGTAAGTGTCGTTTTTGATAGCCACCGTTAAAGAGTGGATCGTGGGTCTTGGAAGTTCGTTGTTTATGTCCCAGTCGATCACCATGTCGATGATCTGGTCGTGCTTCCTCTTTGTTTCAAAATCTCTTCCGACATTGATACACTTGAGGACGTCGTCATACAGGTGTGGCAGATGCATCTGAGGTTTATCTCGAAGATCTGCGTCACCTCGAAGATCTACGTACAGGGCACCGATCGGTTTGGACTCCAGTATAAGACTGACACATTCGACGTCGAGTCGGTGAACCGCATATCCAAGACTCTTGCCCACATGTTTCGGGGCTACTTGAACCATGTATTTGACGATGTCTAGGCTGCAACTGGGTAAAAGAGCTTCAAAAGCCTTGTCCGTGTGTCTGGAACGAGCTCCAGTCATTAATTTCAGAATCTCCAAGTTGCAGTTAGGTACGGAGGCCTTGAAAGCTTTGTCCAGGTGTTTTGAAGAAATCTCCATCATGTATCTGATTACTTCTGGGTCGCGATGTGGTATCATACTTTCGAGTGTCTCCTCTCTCAGTTCTGGGGCAACCTCGAACATGTACTTGAGAATCTCAAGACACTTAGGTTGGTAGCATTGCCCAGCAAGATTTATGGCAGTCCGTTTGCCAAGATAGTGGTTGTTGGGAACTTGGAAGGCTGCATCACGGGGGTGAGCGCCATTATGAAGTAGAACTTTGGCAGTCTCTGTGCTACCGTCGATAATTGCAACACTAAGAAGCGATATCGAGAGAGTTTTGAAATTATCGTTGTCGTCCTCGAACGTCAGAGCCTGGGAATAAGTAAATGTTTCCTTCAGCAATGCAGGCTTCCTTTGAAGGATGAGTGCTACTCCTTCAGCTACGCCGGCTCTCGTGGCTCTTCCAAGTGCGGTTTCTGCCTTGCCATCTCCAGGTAAGTTTTGTGCAAAGTTTAGATCGAACTTTCTGTCGATAAGGAGCTTCAGGATGCGGAGGGAATCCTGGGGTCGCTTTTCCCATGTCGCTACAGACAAAGCGTTGAGAGGATATACCGCACGGCCACATTTATAATTTGTGGTCAGATCTTCAATAGACAACATCATTTCCACTGCGTCCACCCACCCTGCTTGCACGAAGCGAGAGAGAGCTGAGTGCGGAAGATACCGATGATCCGGGGAATAGTCGACGGTTGTTCTGGAAGGCTTGAAGGCTGTGTTCCTGAGGATTACTTCTAGGATTCTCATGCCTCGATCAATGCTCTTCATCTCAGAGACTCCATGTATTACAGACCTTGTCGCGCTGTATCCATCAATGGAGCATTCCTCAGTTTCCGGATATGCACCATGAGCCGAGAGAAGACAGATAGCAAGTTCAACGTGACCAGCATATATCGCATCCAGTAACATGAGATCAACGTGTGTGTACTTCCACCTTCTAAGGTCTTTCGTACGAACCCTGCGTAGGACATCATTGTTGATGGCACCTCTTCGAAGTAAGTAGTCAACAACAGGAGCGTGACCCTTAAAGGCAGCTTTCTCAAGTGCATGGTGCCGCTTTTTCCCTATCGTTCTGTTCGACCGATATTGCACATCAGCTCCCATTTCAATAGCAGCCTCGACAAGAGGGAGATTACCCTCCTCCGCGGCCTCTTCAAGCACGTCAGCCAGACACTCCAGAGTGTAGCTATCCGTCGTTTGCGAGCTCGCAACAATCTTTGTCATGGACAAGCTTTTCAACATCGCTGACCCCAGCGAATCTTGCCGCTTCACACCCGTTTCGGCCTTTTGAAGACGACGAATTATGTCATCGTGGGCTTCGCGAGCGCTGAGATTGGGCGCCGCAATTTCACAAGCATATTGTGAAGGTGGATGAGCTTGCTCAGTCAACATAATGTGGCGAGATTGCGATGATGCCATTGTGGAAGACGTCACTATATTTTGAAGTTGATCGGAGTTACAGAGGCGTTGCGGCGGCTCAGGTGGAGGGTCATTGTGAACGCTATCTCTTGTTTGAGGGTATGATAATCGATGTGCAGGCAATACCCTCAAAATTCCATATACCGGTTCTCTGCCGTACTCTGTAAGTTCTGACGGCGGTGGCTCTCCATACTCTGGCGCTTGAGAAGATAGATGAATTCGAGTATTGACCTCTGAAAGACTGGGCTTGTGTTCGTCTAGAGAAGGTCTTGAGTAGCCGGCATTGGTTGTGCGACCGGTCGTTTCCTGATCTCGCGGTCCACGATGCTGTTGCCATAGCTGAAGACCTTCCGCCTCTCTGTTAAGCTCCGGCGCATGCGCGTAAATATCAGAAGACAACGTGACTCTTGGTGAGCGTGACTCTCGAGCAAACGGAGCAGTCAGCTTAGCAGGCGTAGGGCTGTGAAATGCCGGTCCACCATAAATGCTCGTATATTCGCCCAATCCATCAGCATATGCCTCCTCATCAAGTGGTAGTGCCTTGCGTCGTTGCATGTTCGATCCGCTTTCGAAGGTGAAAGACTTATTCTTTGAGAATATCGATGTTGTTATCTTCAGCCTGGTCTCATTAGACATCAAGCGGGGTAGGAAGGCGAAAGGCCATAGCCAGTCGATTCTGCGCCTCCTGCACATGCATGGCGGCTGAGACGTGCATTAAGTTTCGTTCGTGATTGGAGAGGAGATCGAAGGCTGGTGTGAAGTGACAACCGAGACGGGGTTATCCCAGCGCGGCTGAGACACAATCGAAGAGGTTCCGTTCGTGAGAGGGAAGGGGAGTCGTGGATGTTCATAATGATTGATGGTGTCACATGGCTCGAATTACGTCACGCGACTGAGACGTAGTTGTCTCGTCGCTTCACTCGAAGGCAATCGCAATGAGCAAATTATTCAACATGCAAAACTGAGTAACCACACCTGTAACGCGTCGTCTGTATGATATACCCATCTCAACACAAGTCCAGATAACAATCGACAAAAATGTGATTAGAAAAAATGTACCAAAATGATATACAAGAATCCAACGAAAAAAACCACGACGCGTATTCAAAAGAAAAAGGGCAAAAGCCAAAGCCTCCGAGCACCATAGGTATCTGACATCAGCCCGCCGATCTCAGAATACGCAAACCAACAACCCGAATACTAAAATTTCATGCCATCATCCGCATCAAAAAACTCTGTGTGCGACGAGTCCCAGCTCTCACGCGGAATCTTATCCCTTAGCCACGTCAACACGGAATCTGTTCCCTTCTGTAGGACCTGGTAGTTCGGAACGCGGAACTTGTTGCCCTCAACATTCAAACCATTCAAAGTCCCTTGAAGCAGGCCGATCCTCGGTTCTAGACGCTCGATATCGTTGTTACTCAGATTTGCCATCTTCAGCCCCTGGAGCGACTCTGCGGTGACCTCCGAAAAACTGTTATCAGCCGCTACGAGCAGGATGAGTTCGGGGAAGTAAGTGCGTAGCGGTGGTAATGAGCCGGAAAGGCGGTTTTGGCTGATGTCGAGGTTTTGCAGAGCAGGAGCGGTGAGGTGCCTCATGAGTGTTATGAGAGTTTTGAGCTTGTTGCCAGCGAGGCGGAGATCGCGGAGCTTAGGTAGTTCGAGCGGTGCTGCGAGGGCGTTCTCGATATTGTTCTTTGATAAGTCGAGGACAGTGAGGTGAGTTAAGTGGAATAGCGTGCTTGGTATGAATTCGAGTGCGTTTTGTTGGAGGAGTAGCTGTCGGACCTCGTTTGACTCTGCAAAGGTCTTCAAGGTGGCCTCATCCGAAAACTCTGTCAGCTGCTTGGAAGAGAGGTCAAGTGTACCAGCAGGTGTCATTTGCCAACCGTCCTTAGAGTCTGACGTTGTGCCATCAGCAGCAACGCCCTCCCCATCTTCGAACTCAACGGCCTCGTCCATTGCAGGCTGCAATCGAGAAGCTAGGTCACGCTGAATATCCTCCGTATTCATCGTCAGATATTTGCGCTCGCGGAGGGGATTGGCCGCTATTGTAAGGGTTTTCAGTGATTGCATAAGCGCTATTTCTTCTTCCAGCTTGGTGAGGTCGTTCCCAGTAAAGTCTGCAACTCGAAGCTGTTGCAAGGAGCAGAAGCCCTCCGGGAAGACCTTAAGCTTGTTATCGCCTACCAACAGCGTGGCCAACTTGGTCCAAGAAGTCACGCTGGGAAACCCGACTAGCCGATTTGCTGTCACATCCAAGTGCTTCAACGCAGGTAATCTCACGATGTCCGACTTGGAAAGAGATGTCAGTGAATTCATCGATAGCTGAAGGTGCTGCAGATGTTCGGCTGCATCGATAGTAAAGAAGTAGCCACTGAAACGATTCTTCGACGCGAAGAGCTCAGTAAGTGGTGTTGCGGTGAACAAATCCATCGGGACAGTCTCTAGCTGGTTCTCAGCAACGTTAAGCGTTCGCAAATGTGTGAGTTGACGGATCTCAGCCGGTAGGCTGGTGAGTTTGTTGTTTTGTAGCTCAAGCACCTCGAGTTGGGACATGTTTCCGAGAACAGATGGTAGGTCGCCTTGCAAGGCGTTCTCAGCAAGCTTGAGCTCACGAAGTGTGGCAATCTGAGAGATGACATCAAACGCTTCCATAGGGAGCTGGTTTCGTGACTGTCTAGAGTTAGCACATCTTCATGCACGGAGTAGTACAACTCGAAAGCATGGTTAGCACTTACGAGGTTCAGTTTCGAGAGCTGTGTCAGCCTTCTCATGCCCATGGGCAGCTCTCGCAACACGTTTCCATGAAAATCCAGGCTCTGCACGCCTCCGAATTGAGGGCCCGCTTCGTCCGAATCAATCACGTCTTCAACATCGACGTCTGGGAACATGGATTCTGGAATGTTTGCCAGCTCGTTGTCAGCAGCTATGATTGTGGCTAAATCCATGACTTCACCCCAAGCTACGGAGGTATCACTAGGGTCATAGGTGTACATGTTGAGCACTTCGTCGGGTATATCTTTGAGACCCATCACAGCAATATTCAAACGTCCATCTACCCGAGCACCATCGATGCGTTTTTTCATCAGAGACTTGGTGCCCTTTGCAGTCTGGTTGAAAGGATCGTCGAGACCAAAGTCGAACTCCGCCACTTCAGCAGGATCAGGCACAATCGCATCTCTAGGGGGTGTGGAGGTTCTCATGGGCTCAACCTTGGCTTTCCGAGCAGCTTCTCTAGCCTTGGCGATCTGCTCTCGTAGTGCGTTGGAGGAACCCCCAGGTTTTACAGGTGATTCGGATGGTTTTGTAGCATCCGCCTTTCGTACAGCTTTAGCCTTGGCTAGTTGTTCACGGAGAGTGTTGGAGGAGCTGGTCACCTTCCGGCTCGTAAGAGGGGCGTCGCGACTGGGAGACGGCGCGACAGGACTTGCTATTGTAGCACTGGGAGGCGAGATGGCCTGCCCAAAAGTACCGGCCAACGAGGGCCGAGACTTTGGTGTACGCGCGACCATGCTTTTGCTATTAGACAGAGGACGCGGTTTTGGCGTAGTTTGGAGGTTCTGCGCTAGAGAGGGCGGCTGTTTCTTGACAGTGGAAACAGGACGAGAGACTGAGGACGTTCTGCTCGGGGTTGCAGTGGACATGGGTACAAGGGCGCTGACGCTTCGTTTGCCAGGGGCTGTCATGGCGAGCCTGCCGGGTAGGGCACCATACTTGTGTGGAGTCACTGGGGGTGCAAGAGAGGCGCCGTCGCTTGAGGTCGGTCTGCTATTGCTTGACGACAGGGCCGAAGCAGGTCGTAATGGAGGGGGCATGCCATCGTCCACACCATAGAAGCTAGATCTTCTTCTCCCCTTCCTACCAGCGGGAGACGATGGAAGGTGTGCGAGACTCTCAATAGTCCTGTCTGAGAGCGATAGCTGTTGCTTTCCCTTGGAGTGTTCAGCCTGTTCAGGCTCTAAATCATTATCGCTTTCCCGGAATCCAGTCCGGGACTCTGCTCTTGAAGACGCGCGAGAAGCCGAACGGAAACCGTCCAAACTGCCCAATGCGTCATCCTCTTTTCTCACGTCCGGCTTTGACGCTGGCTGTGGCGCAGGTTTGGTCTGAAAGGACGGCTGACGGGCAAAGGGTCTCTTGAAGACAGGCGCATCGTTGGTTCGAGTTGGGCCAGCGCTGGGAATACCGCTCGCTCGTCGTCTGGTGTTGGGTGTGGCGGAGATGGCAGTGTGGGGGGCGTTGGTGGGAGCAAGTGACACTCTCGAGGACTTCTTCTGCAGTGTCGATATCCTCTGCTGTGCTGGGGCTGGTGTTGGTTTTGGAGCTAGTGCTGGTGCTGGCGCAGCGAGGCTTGCCCGCGACAATGAAGAAACAGACGTTTTCTTGCGCAACTGCTCGGTCGAAGAAGGCGTTCGCAGCTGAGAGTGGCTCACGGAGGATCTGAGCACCGGGAGTCGAGACGTTGCTGGTTTGGGTAGACCAGACGGACGAGGGACGGCCGGTTGGTCCATGGTAAAAGCCTTCAATGGGCAGCAAGAATACGTTTCATGAAACCCATGACCCAGGAGAAATAAGGCGAAACGGTCCCGAGATCTGGCGCGCCGGGCTCGCGTTTGCGTCTGAGCTCCCTGGTTGCTCAGAGCAACAGTTCGTGGGCACAGGGCCGCATCGTGCCTAGCTCCAGTACAGTCCCGTCCAGTCCAATGTTAGAGCTCGACGACCGGTCCCTCTCCTCTCCACGACCTGCGCCGTAGCGAAGACGACGACGAAAGCCACGTCCCACCATCCTAGCACCTGTTCGCATCGGCTGTGAGTGCATCTTGGTCGCGTCATCCCTGCGACTCCTTCCGACGCACGCGCATCTACGCGCCGCCGCAAACGCCATTTTCGAGCTCGACTGCCTATCTATTGACACCGTTATTGCGCCTCCTCTTCTGTCCGCCCATCCCTTGCTGCTCCTGGCCTACAAGCCGTGTGCGCGCCCCCCGTAGACAGGACAAAGTACGCCCAAGTCGCGTCTACCCCGCTGCATTCCTCACCTTGTCGCCCACTGCCGAAGCAGCTGCGCCAAGAGCGATATGGCTTCCCAAGCATCGTTGTTGCCCACCACCGAGGCTGCGCGGCCTGAAACACCCAAACTTCACTCTGCATCGCTCTCCGAATCAGCCGCGCCTGCCAACCTGTCACAAGCATCGCCCGACCGTGTCAAGTTCACCTCTCCCGTACCTCGAGCAACTTCCTCAATGACGCCCCCACCCTCATCTCAGGTGACAAACACTCGCGCTTCAGTACGAACTCCGACCCCTCCGACTCCACAGCTCACCTCACCGCCTCCATCCTCCAGGCTCCCGAATCAGCCGTCGATTCTGGCAGAAGCAGCAGCAGCTCTCTACCCGCAAGAGCAAGTGAACAATGCGCCAGCAGAGGAGCTACGGTCTATGGTGAACAACCTCTCCAGTGTATTGCGAGATGTACGACTTTCTGCTGCACACTACAAGCTGCAATACAACATGGCTGCTATGGAAAGTGAGGAGTCGGCCAGTCGCATGGCTGTCGAGCTTGCTATGGCTCAGCGAGAGATCGACGTTCTCCAACAAGCCGAGGAAAAGCGTAGAAATGCCATGATCTTATCTGAACAGCAGACGTATCAGGAAACAGCAAATGCAGCCAACGCTGTGATCGTCTCCAACATGAACCGCCATAATCAGCTATTGCAGAACGAAAATGAACAGCTTCGAGACTTGTTAGAGCAGCAAAAACGCCTCACTGAGCATAGAGAAGGCGAGATTGCCAGCCTTATGGATGAGAACGATCGGTTGAAGACGCGCATCCGGAAGAACAGAGACCACATCGCACCATTCCTCGAGCAAGTAAATGAGCATGCCTCACCACGGTCCGTTTTTGGTACTCCGCATCAAGCAACCCCGAGAACCCGGGCTCATCGAGCGCCTCCTCCGTTCTCAAATGAGGACAGCAGAGGCCAACATAACTTCGAAGCGCTTCTTCTAGCCGATCAGATGCTCAGTCAGGAGACAGCCACAGCTTCTCTGACACCTAGAAGAATACATGCACCGAGAACACGGTTCAGCCATCAGCGAGGCGCACAGTCCTTGTCTTCGCTCCCTCCAACTCCAAACCGACGTGTGTACCCTGCGCCTCGCACACCTCCAACCTACATGCCTGCCGCTATCCCTCAATCAGCACCACCAGCACACTACCAGCAGAAACCTGCGCGTGGTCGACGTCAAAGCAGCAACTCAACCATTACAGCGTCTAGTGTAGACGAGGAAGATGCTCCCACGGATAGAGAAGAGATTGAAGTCGCTGAGTCTCAAGCCAGTCAGATGGCCACAGACCTACTGCGAAGAGCACCACCCACGAAGCAAATGTCAGCGCCACCATCACAATTAACGAATTTCGTGCAAAGCAAGATTTTTGGCCAAGTCAAGAAAGGCCACAGCCTGACGCGGTCAGGCGAGCTCGAGAAGCGGAGGCTGCCATCAGCCGTCGAATACTACGATAGTCCGGCGAAGAGGGGACGCGTTGATCAAGGAGTAGGTCTCGGTATTGGTGGGTTGTTGCGAGAGTAAATCGTTCCTGATCACTGTTGCAGGGCGCCTGATATGAATCTCACGACATTGATACGACTTGTGGTTTATGGAGTGTTGGAGTCTTATGGAATCCTGGTTTGATATCCCTTTGTTTACTTCCGCTAAGGTGTTGTTGTACTCTGTAGCGGCTATTTGTCTGCTATTTGTCTGCTATGTTGCTACTCTTTGCTATCAGATGAGCTAGCTTCTTGATATCCAATGAGAATGATGATCAGGGGGTTCCGTCGGTTGTGAGGATGGATGCATTATGGATTATCAACGACTTCATGGTAGATAGTAAATCAATATCAATTTACATGTATGTGTCTGACTTGTGTGACAGTGTCCCTAGTCATTGTCGCAGTGCATTATCCATCTCAACTTGGTTGATTTCACCCAACACATCCAACCAACTCAAACAATCTCAGGCACTCTATCCACCCTATGTCAAATTTCAAATCTGTTCTTGCTATAAACGCATCTAGGAAAAGGTTGGGGTGTTGTTGAGTTGCTCAGCGCCAAGACATGCAACATCGGCGAAACCATTGAGCCGGGAGTGGCCCACACGCTAAGCGATCGAAATTCATCACGAGCCTCGAACTTCTCCTTCGCCAGCCCGTACTAACCACAGGTCCACCAACAGGTACGATCGCATGCCGAGCGCATTAAACAACACAAGACTAATCGACGCGCAGGAAATCTGCAAAAATGGCCATCAAGCACAACCAGCAGATCCAGAAGAACCACTTCCACAAGGACTGGTATGCGACATGTCCACATTTGCAACGATTGTGTATGCTGACTTTCACAGGCAACGCTACGTCCGCGTGCACTTCGACCAGGTAATTCCCCTCTCTTCATGAGAGTTGTGGCGCCTGTTGTGCACATGTTAACGACCGCGACAGCCGGGCAAGAAGAAGTCCAGAAGGAACGCTCGCGTTGCCAAGGCCGCGAAGGTCGCTCCTCGCCCCGTCGACCTCCTCCGCCCCGTTGTGCGATGCCCGACCATCAAGTGTACGTGGATATTGGGAGCCTCGGGGGATGCAGTCGTTGACATTGAATGCAGACAACCGCCGCGTCAGGCCCGGCCGTGGTTTCTCTCTCGTTGAGCTGAAGGGTACATACCGTCTTCGAACCGACATGGAGCATCACTAACGTTTCTCTAGCTGCTGGCATTCCCCGCAAGTTTGCCCGTACCATCGGTATCTCCGTCGACCCCCGCCGCCAGAACCTCTCCGAGGAGGGTCTCAAGGCCAACGTCGAGCGCCTCCAGGAGTACAGGAAGCGCCTCATTCTGTTCCCCCGCCGCAACGGCAAGACCAAGGAGGGTGACGCTTCCGCCGAGGACGTCAAGGCCGCCAAGAGCGCCGAGAACGTCATCAAGAGCACCGCTGTTTCGCTTCCCATCAAGAACGTCGTTTCCTTCGAGGAGGGTCCCATCGGCGACTACAAGGGCGAGGAGAACGCTTACAGGAAGCTCCGTGACGCCCGCTCCGAGGCCCGACTTGTCGGTGTCCGTGAGAAGCGCGCCAAGGACAAGGCTGATGCGGACGCTGACAAGAAGAAATAAGCTGCTCGCTAAAGGGTGGTTTGGTTCTGTGTTATGCCTTACGAAAGATTTAAAAGTCAAGGCCACGGTTTGGCGATGGGTATTCCCAGCATGGGCGGCGTCAATGATTAGGTCTGTCGGGTATGACAGCGTGTGAATGATACCTACTTTGCAAATGCAAACCAGTGCCCCCATGATCTTGCCAACTTACGGCTGTGTGCTATCCACCATGTGTTTCAATTCTGTCTAATCTCTACTCATTGTCCATACTCAAAGGCACGACAGATGACAACGGTCAGGTCCGTTGCGGTATAAATCTTGATCGAAAGTTGTCCCGGTTTGAGCAGATTCACCGCCATCAGAATACCGTAGTTGGTGCGGGGCGTTTGTTGCTATCATGACGGCCCCACCTCCAGTTTCACAACACAACGTCACCGTCTCGACGCGAGTAGAGTTAGCATTGTGCCTGAAGTGGTAACCTCTGCATGTATTGGTCGGTGAACGTAGACTTTTCTATTGAGGTAGATTAAGAGTTCAACTTCCCCTTCTTTCACCACCACCGTTGTTTTATTCATTCCACCTCTGCTCGCACATATCTAGAACTCTCTTGGATCAACTACTCATATTTTTCTCTAGATCTTCACTCTTTCTGCTTCTGCATCGGATTCGTCTTTGATACTCGGTTCTGCGGTACATGTTGGTCTCTCCCAATCCTTCTACTTTGTTTTCTCCAGAACAGTCGTGCTCAACTACAGGATGGTTCGTGAAGAGAAGGACTCAGCCGATGAGGTAAACACCAAAACTCTAGCAGACAGCTACAACGGCGCAAATAGCGACAAAACAAGCTCCACTAGCAGTGACCCAGGCGAGGTCATATATACACCACCTGAGTCCGTCGCAAGCATGTCGTCTACCAAAGAGGGCGATATGACTTCCATCCCGCAGGCCGTCCAGGAAGCTGATGCCGCCAATATCTCCATCCGCGAGTACATTTACTTCATGCCGTACCCTCTCCCCAAAGGCACACCGATCCCCTACACCGTCGGCCTCCCAGATAAAAATCCACTGAACCTTCCGCCCAAACCATTCGAGCCAACATCAACTCTCGTCCTCACAAGCCCAAATCACACTTTCGTCGACATCCGCTTCTTCAAACCGATGCGTCCTGGCGAAGAAACCCTACTCCCGAACAGAGGTGAGATAGAGCGTCTAGAATGGTGTTTCGCCGGCCAGAGCGAGAGCCATCCCATTGTCCCGGTCTCCCACACTCACAGTGAGAGTGAAGCCGGAGAGGAAGACAGCTGGCAGGGCGTCACACATTCGACATGGATGCACTGGCTCGACAGCCGCCACCCTGTCGCTGCACCCAACATGCCCGTCGACGAAGGCGATATGTACCCCATCGACACAGACCTCACTCTCGAACACGGCCACGCGTTCCAACCCCTCATGCACGCCGTTAAAACTCACGAGGAGATGTGGCGCGACGTATCCACGCTGTCTACGAATAGCACTGGCAGCAAGATATGCGTTGTGTTACGGTGCCATGCGGATGCCGCGGGCGTTCGAGGTGTTATTGTACGGGTTGGACAGTTTTGCCAGGGCATCGTCATGAAAGGGGAGCAGGTGACGGCTGAGCGGTGGGAATTCGACTTCGAAGGTGAGGGGAAGGAGGAAACGGGGAACTGGAAGAGGATCGGGAAGGTGGGAGATTTGTTTTTGCCGTGCGCGGTGGCTTTTCGACCGGAGATATTGAAGCAGGGTGGGAGGGTTAAGTATTGGGATTTTGAGTGGGTGGTTGAGGATGTGTGGGAGTGGATGTAAAGGTTTTGGCTGGTCATGGAAAGTTGAGATTGTGAGGAGCAAATGCTGATTGGGGTGGTGACTGGGGCTGTGAGCTTTTGTTCTGGTAGATTTTGATGGGGATTTGTGGTGAACGAGATGTACATAGACTTTACAAGCAGTCGCCCTTGGCCGAATATATTCTCGGACCTCAAACCAAGTTACAGAAAATACAAACCCGGTTGTGATCATAGTCTCTTATAGATTAAAATGATAGAGCCACTGTTTGTCACTCCATGAAAAGCAGTCTGTAATAAAGGACATCGGCACATGAGAAGAAAGGCGATCGAGACGCTCTGAACGCACAAGACCATAAAGAGAGGCAGGCAGCAAACACCTAGCAATCATAGCCCCAGCCACCTTGGACACCTCCTCCCAGACCCCCACCTTGTATCGCCCTCGCGACCTGGAACCCTTGCGTCAAAAACCCTACTGCAGTGTCAACGCCTTCGTGGCCTGTCCTGATAGTTCCGGGCATAGGCGGATCCTCCGGTCTCGCAATGACACCAGACATCATCTCCTCGTTCGCCTCACCCTGATACCTGTCCAGCGCCAGCCGACGCACAGCAACGTGCCATTTTTCAAACCACTGTTCTTCAGTCACAGTCTTATACGTCTTTCGTCCATTTGCATCGACAGCCGAGAAGGGCCACTCTGCCCGCACGACAGCGTAGCGCTTCGTCGCGAAGAAGAGGTATGGCCACGTGAATATCCAGAGGAATGTGAGGTAAAAGAACCAGCACACCCACGCCTTCAGCCGCCACTGGTTGATGCGATTCGAGGTGTGAAAGTCTACGTTTTTGTCTTCGACGGGGAAGGTGATGGAGATGTGACCGCGGTAGTTTGTGCTTCGGATCACGCCATCGAGTCGGTTCTTCACGTGTGTTTCATCGAAACCAGTCACGACGCGGCGCAGACGGAAGGTGCGCAGCATGCGCGGCGACGCGCAGTACCGATGGCACCATTCTGTGAGGGATGGCTTCTGGCCGCTGCCGACCTCGATGTCTTGCTTGACGCCTGGAGCGCGCACTTTTGTGATTGTGCCGCGGTGCGTTTTCTCGCCGTTGTCAACTGTGTCAAGATTCATGGACGAGGTGTCGTTGGGGTCGAAGTCCCTGCGCAGGTAGCGTTGCATGTTTATCACAATACGGAAGTCTGTGACTTCTTGCGTGTTCTTTTTGTCACCCTTCTTGATCGCTTCTTTATGCGTGCCCATGATGTATATGAGAGGAACAGGAGCGACTTGGGCGCATGAGCGGATGGCGGCTTCGAGGAAGACGGCGTCTGTGTCGTAGCGAGGGTCCATGTAATCGACTGTCTCGCATACATAGGGCTTGCCATGCTTGAAGGTAGGGTTGTTGTGGTTGGTTCGCGTCGTTGGTGGAGGGAGGTGTCTGATGGGAACTACGGCTGCAGAACTGCCGGCTTCACTGTCCTCGTAAGAAGGCGGTAGGCCGGATATCTCAGGCGCATCATCGTAACTGTAATCATCTGGTGTGGTGTGGAGGGATACGGCGTCAGGGTCATCCCGATACCCTCCAGTTGGGTGGCTGACTCTGCCCATAGGGTTGTTGTTGCACGATATACAAAGGAAAGTAATGACAATGAATATGACAGCGGATTGACAGCAGATAGATGTAAGACGGAGGTGGATGCTCTGGCTTATATGCACTCCACCCAGGGGCCTTACCGGTGAGACATGGCGGAATCCATCGGGGGCTATTAAGGAACGCCCTCCAGGCAACCACTCACCTATTGGTCAGTGAATTATGCAGGAGAGCCCTGGATTTCTTTTTATGGTCACTGAAGCGCTAAAGACAGCATACATCTTAGACTATCTGTGTTCACATGAGAGTGTCTGCACTGAGATGGGATGCGGGGTGATCGTTGTTCGCGCCTGGTGCCAAGACCCCAAATTGAAGCTTAATCACTGGCTGGCCGAAATTTCTGGAGCTCAATCCTGGGACGCGACGAGCGCGTTGCTCTTGACTCACCTCAGCCGTAGCTTCAACTTTCTTGGTGAGCTCTAGCAGCTGATATAGAACGAAGCTGGCGGCCTTCTCTTCCATAGTACCTCGTCTATGTGCCCCTCGAGCCCATCACATATTCCCCCGCAGACTGTGGGCTACCGGTAGCTCATTCCTACGCGCAATTCACACCTCACCCACGATGCCTTACGCAGATGTTACTATGCCCGATGCGCAACCAAACACGATCGATGCCACACCTCGAGTGGGGCAAACCATCAGCCACGGCGGAAAAGAGTACACGACTATCAAGGAAGGACTTGCGCACATCCTCGTGCCTGGTGGAACACCCACTTCAACCGATCCAAAGCTATCCAAGGAGGAGACACAGCAACAACAAGTCTTCTACAACCCGATTCAGCAATTCAATCGCGACCTGAGTGTTCTGGCGATTAAGACTTTCGGGGAGGACCTGGTGCACCGGAGGCAACAGAAATATGAACTGGGACGGAAGAGGAACGAGAAGAAGAGGCAGAAAGCGCAAGAGAAAAATGATGTAGATGAGAACCACAATGGCGTGGCCGACACAGAAGGAGCGCCTTCGAAGAAGAGGAAGCTCGCGGAAGGCGAGGCAGACGAGGCCACAGGCCCTGCAAAGAAGCAGAGAGTCGCAGAGAATGGCGAAGGTGGACAGGAAGAGATTCCCATTGTTGAGCAGGATGCGACAACAGGTGCGAACGAGGAATCTCAGCCATGGACACCGCCGTTTAGCATTCTCGATGCTCTCTCTGCAACTGGGCTTAGGGCACTTCGATATGCGCAAGAGATACCGTTCGCCACAGCAATTACATCGAACGATATGTCGCCAAATGCAGTCGAGTCTATCAAACTCAATGTAAAGCACAACAAGCTGGAGGACAAAATCACTGCCAACACAGGCAACGCCATCGCGTACATGTACAGCTTTTGCGACAAAAAGGGATACGATGTCATTGACCTCGACCCATACGGCACAGCTGCGCCTTTTATCGACTCTGCCATACAGGCTATCAACGACGAGGGGTTGTTATGCGTTACTTGCACAGACTCTGCCATATTCGCATCCCACGGCTACTTGGAGAAGACATACTCACAGTACGGTGGCTTACCTTTCAAAGGCGACCCATGTCATGAGGGAGGTTTACGGTTGGTACTACACGCTATCGCCTCGTCAGCAGCACGGTATGGCATGGCGATAGAACCTTTGCTGTCATTGTCCATTGACTACTATATTCGTGTCTTTGTCAGGGTACGAAAAGCTCCGACTGATGTCAAGTTGCTCGCTGGAAAAACGATGATCGTATATCATTGTGAGCATGGCTGTGGCGCATGGTCAACGCAGTTTCTTGCACGCAACAAAATTGCACACAACAAGAAGGGAGACCCATTCTACAAGTACGGATTTGCCCAAGGACCCACTGCGGATCAACACTGCCAACACTGCGGTTTCAGAACCCATCTTTCGGGCCCCATGTATGGCGGTCCCCTACACAACGTAGGCTTCATCGAGAGGGTGCTCGCTCAGCTGAACAACGTCGACCGCGAGACATATCCGACAATGGACCGGATGGAGGGCATGCTGCGTATAGCCCTTGAGGAGATTACGTTCGGCGTCAAGCAGAAGAAGTCGAACGACGAGAAGGATATCCGGGTACTAGAGCCATTGATTCCTAAAGCAGACCCGGCAGAGATAGACCACAGCCCCTTCTTCTTCATCCCCAGTTCGATCGCAAAAATCGTTCATTGCTCAGCGCCCTCGACAGCTGCATTGCGTGGGGCACTTCGACATGCTGGATTTCGGGTCACCATGAGCCACTGCAAGCCCGGATCGATCAAAACGGATGCCTCTTGGACAGACATTTGGCATGTCATGTTAGAATGGGTTCGCCAACGTGCACCTCTAAAGAACCCGCTCAAGGAGTACAGCGCAGGACGCGCTATCGTGGCAAAAGGAAGCGCTAGTGATTATTTCCAGGACCAGGGAGGTAAAGCTTTGGCGGACGCGACAATGGATAACGCAGATAAGATGGACGTGGAAATCACAACAACCCAGAAACCATCTTACAAGGATACAAACTTCGAGGTTAAGTTCGATGAGGACCTCGGTAGGGACCATGACAAGGGAAAATACGTCCGCTATCAGATCGCGCCGCGAGAGAATTGGGGGCCAATGGCGCGCGCGAAATGAGCATGCGCCTGGCGAACAGACGATCCAGAACACTGAATAGCAAAGCATCACAAATCACAAAGTCGTGTTGATCTTGAAAACGTCTATGCTTCTTTTCGCGCAATAATGACATCACCATCTGAGTCGTTTCACAGGTCGTAGCTTTCCAACCGATCGCAAATCTCAAGGTGCAAAAACGCGATCTTCTCCCCGGATTTTGCGACAGGGGGGCTACTTATCGTTCGGCATGAAGTCTGCGGAGCTTTATCTGTCGGTACCTGCAGGATTTCGCCAGAGCAGGGAAGATTGTTGTACGCGAGGAATGGGGCGTCAACAATGTTGGCGCTCCGCGGACGTTTACACTTAGAATTCTTTCCCCAGACACGACCAACAACATAGCTAACGGCTAGTAAGCCAACAAAGCTTTGGACGTAACCGTGTTCGATAGATTTCACAGTGGATCACTACGCGCTAGTAGCTTGATAATCTTCGTGATCCACTATGTCATCGCGTCGTCACGTTTATCCCGGCAGATGGCCCTGGCAACCACGCGTTCGTGCAGGCACCAAGGCGAACTAGCTGGCGCGCCGGCGCGTCTGATTTGTTCGTCTGAGGCTTCCGATCGAGATGTCGAGATTCCCATCTGAATTTTTGGGTTCTCGATGCCTGCTGTATCATTTCCACACTGGGCATGTCATGAAGTCATAGCATAAAGATTTCTTCGAAGCAATTAACTGCTGTCATCGATATGCAAGTGTTGGCGATGGCGTATGTCGGGGTATTCTCGCGCTACTGTAGATGGTGGTTGTATATAACTGTTCAATGCGCCCTCATTGTTCTGCATCAACATCAATATACCCAAATTCAACATGTTGACCAAGAACCTTTTCACCTCGTCGTTGCTTTCAGCACTCGCCGCGGCTGCTCCCAAGCCTCAGGTTGCGGGATACACAAATGCGGATGCCAGCTTCTCGGTCTCTGACCCGACTGGCGTTCCCGCCACTGTCTTTGGTCCCGACTCACAGATTGCTGTAAGTATATTCGGATGTTTCGTTTGATAATCTTTTCTAATCATGTTCAGGCCATTCCTACAGTAGCTCCTCCAGCCTACCCACGAGTGAGCTCGGACGTTGATGGCCCAACAAGTCACGGACCTTACTCGGGTACCCCGACTACAACTGGAGCCGCCAAGGGTCCAGCTACACTCGGTACCGCCATTGCGCCTCTGCCACCGAATCCCACGGCGACTTACTACAACGCCAATGGTATCCCAAAGAATGCTTTCCCCATTCCCTACACACCTGCTGGAGGGCTCGGCACCAACGGCACTGAGCCTCGCTACATGGTGAACAGTGATTTCGACTTCGAGTCCATTTCTCTTGGTCTTTACCAGGAATGGATCGAACTCGATCTCTTCAACAACGGTCTCGCCGTTTTCTCGGCGCAGGATTTCCTTGACGCAGGCCTCACTGCTGAGGACCGCGCCTACATTGCCTTCATGGCTCAGCAGGAGACTGGCCACGCCACCTTGTTGACCAACATGCTTGGTGAGGCTGCACCAGTTCAGTGCACATACGACTACCCCTTCCGCACGGTTCGCGAGTTCATCGACTTCAACCAGAAGCTTACCCGCTGGGGTGAGTCCGGTGTCTGGGGCTTCATCAACCACCTCGACTCGCGCGAGGTTGGCCAGTTGCTCTCTCAGTCAATTGCGACCGAGGCTCGCCAGCAGCTTTCTTTCCGTCAGATGCTTGGTCTGTCTCCCCAGCCCGTATGGTTCGAGGCCGGTATCCCCCAGTCTTGGTCGTGGACCTACCTCGCTCCTTACATCAGCTCGTGCCCAGCGAACCAGACCCGTCTCGCGTGGCAGAACTTCCCCGTCCTGCACATCGTGAACCAGGCCAACCCCAACCGCTTCTCGCCCAACGACACCAAGCCTAACGAGGTTTCTGGCAACCGCATTGCCGACCCCAGCGACTCTACCATCCCTGAGGAGGAGAGCTGTGTTAACGTCAACGCGACCGAGCACCCCGGCTACTCCTGCTCTCCCGGCATCTCACGCAACCACTCTGAGCCCCTCACCTTCCCCGGCAAGCTCGTCAACTTGACCTGGGAGGAGCCCGGCAAGGCTGTTGGCCCCAACAACTCCTACATCACCTCCACCTCTGCCGGTTCGCCCTTGTACGTCGCTTGGGTCAGCCAGTTGAACTTGACCTACACTCCCCTCGAGATCACTGGTGACAACGTCGGTTTCACCTACCAGCCCGCTGGTGAGGTTTACCAGGGCGACCCAATGGCCAACGACACCATGTTCATCGCTCTTACCGACTCCAACCCATTCTTGACTCCCTTCAACCTGAGCATGATCAACCCGCACGTTGTTGCGCTTGGTCTGTACCAGGCTGGTTAGATCAAGTCTACCCATTTGAGAGACTTGGATATGTGAAGGCTATCGAGCCTGTAATGAGATGTATGGAAAGGAAAATTGTATGATGTAGTCATGAACTATGCATAGCTTAATGATAATCAATTGAATATAATATCTCATCACCCATGTCTCATGCCACTGTACTCGATATGTTTCAATTGACGTGTTTCTATATATACTTCCACAACTCGCGTCTTGTCTTCTAACATAGTCAATTAACATTTCCTTGCTTCCATCCCACAATACCAATTCTTGAAACTCTCCTTTCTCACAAACCACGTCCATGCGCTAGATGATGTGGACATTGTTGAGTCAATCAATCTTCTCTACATGTTGATCATTTTTGCTTCTGTTCACACTCGCGATCCGAGATAGTCATCACCAACCACATCATCGAACACCCAACAAAAGAACTCGAAGACACAATCTCTGTTCGTCTTCTCCTTTCATTCCTCTGAAATACGACCGACTCACATCACCGCATGACCGAAAAATATCATGTGAAATGACGCATGTATGTGCACATGAGGAAATCAGTCACGGACATGTATTCTATGGCAAAAACTTGTGCTTTTACTCTTTGTTTTCTAATGGTACACTGACATCTTCTCACTTTATACTTAAAACTAGAAAGAACGGTGGGTAATCATGTCATGTCTGCCCAGAATGCTAGCAAACGCCATTATGGCTGAAAAAAGAGAATCGAGAAAGATCCAACAATGCCGTCATGCGATTTATCCGCGCGAGTCTGTAAAATCATTTCACCTTCTACTCGACGTCTTGGTTTGCGAGAACGAGTACGTGCTGTCAACGGCTATGTTAAATTTACCGATTCACGTTGCCACAGCTGCCGCAAACAAAGGTCTACCCTTATATAATATGATATAGCTACGAGTGTGCGTAGAAAGAAGTTTACTGTACTATAACGCGATTGCAAACAGGTACCCAGTTGATATGTCTGTATATCCCATCTATTCATCTCTCTGTCCGTCCACAAGCGGAGAAAAGGAAAGAGAAGAACAACGTACAAGAAACACAGCAAGCACAAAACACGCACAACCTCACACTTCAACCCAATACAGATAGTAAAACCACAAAACATTCAACATTCGATTTTGAACGAACCATGGTATCCCCCTTCCTTCTGCTCCCACCCACCATCCACTAAAATAGATGCAATGCAAAATGCACCGTAGCAAGCAGCCTCCTTCACATTCGCACTCCAACGTATCTTTACCCTCCCACCCACATCAGACATATACACAAAAACCCCCCAATAACCCATTTTTACCTCTGCCAAACTTTTTCCAAGCGCGCAAGGAAATGCCTACGCTCCGCCGAAATTCAAACCAAACGAGATCAAATCGGACCAAACAGGCGACGTCATGTCAAAAAAACGCCGATTGCCCACCACCCAAGAAACCAGAGAATATACATCGAAAGCAAACGTCACAAACACCGCGAGGAGCAACCTAGCGACCAGTCCTCTCCTTAGTCTGCGCTCTGCGCTTCTTTTGTACTTCTGCGGCATCGTTAGCGCTCTTGTTCAATGGGGTGAGATATCAGGGTGAGCGACGACGTACCTGGGTCATAGACCAAGAACTCATGCAGCGCACTACCTGTAGGCACCATGGGCAGAACAGGGACCTTCTGATCCGTGACGATTTCCAGCAGGGCAGGACCCTCAGAATCGAGGAGCCACTTGAGCTTCTCATCTAGCTCGTCTGGCTTGATGCAGCGCTGGGCCTGGACGCCCATGGCGTCGCCCAACTTGACGAAATCGGCGTTCTTCTGATGTGTTTGCGAGAAGCGGTCTTCGTAGAAGAGGGTTTGCCATTGTGTGACCATGCCTTGCTCCTCGTTGTTGAGGATGATGATCTTGACGCCGATGTTGAACTCTGCGGCTGTGGACAGCTCGGTTAGGGTCATGCTGAAGGATGAGTCGCCGTCGATGTCGATGACTAGGCAGTCTGGACGGGCGACCTTTGCGCCGATGGCGGCTGGCAGGCCGTAGCCCATTGTGCCTAGACCGCCGGATGTGATCATGGTACGTGGGTATCTCCACCGGAAGTGTTGGGCTGTCCACATTTGATGCTGTCCAACACCCGTTGTGATGATGGTCTCCTCCTTCCTGTCGGCGGTCAAGTTTGAGAGCTTCTCGATGACAGTCTGCGGCTTGATCAGACCGTTCTCGCCCTCCTTCTCGTAGCTCCAGGGGAAGCGCTTCTTCCAGTCGGTAATCTGGGTGAACCATTCTGGCCTGTCTTTTACAATGTTGACAAGAGGCATGAGCTGAGTGAGGTTGGTGCCGACATCGCCCACAACGGCCTCAGTCGCCTGAACGACCTTGTTGATGTTCTTGGGCATGACCTCGAAGTGAATGATTCCACCCCGGCCTTCCGCCGCCGCCGCCTTGGCCGCAGGGGCAAACTTGGCAAGAGCTCCTGTGATACGATCATCAAAGCGTGCACCGAGAGCGATAATCAGATCAGCCTCCTGCATAGCCATGTTGGCGTATGCTGAGCCGTGCATGCCGAGCATATGCAGCGACTTGGGGTCGAGCTCGTCGAACCCTCCAAGACCCTGCAGAGTGGTGGTAACGGGAATGTTCGCCTTCTCCGCAAGTTCCTTCAGAAGCTCAGGTCCGTTCTCAGCCTGCACGATACCCTGTCCAGCATAGATGACAGGCTTCTTGGCCATGTTGATCAAGCCGGCGCATTTCCTGAGCGAAGCCTCGAGCTGACCCCTGCTCGCCTCCCTCGCAGCAATGGTGGCAGCGCTTGTAGGCGCAGGGAGGGTGCTGGCCATGGGGATGGGTCGCGAGAGGGTGGCGGCAGTGACGTCCTTGGGCAAATCAACAAGCACGGGTCCTGGGCGTCCACTTGTGGCAATCTCAAAGGCCTCGTTGATCCTCCTCGGCAGCTCTGCAATGTTCTTCACCATGACGTTCCACTTTGTGCATGCTCGCGTGATGCCAATCATGTCGGCCTCCTGGAAAGCGTCTGAGCCGATGGCGCTTGTGACGACCTGTCCGCAGAAGACGATCATGGGGGTTCCGTCCATCAGAGCATCCTGCATGGGGGTGACGACATTGGTAGCGCCGGGCCCCGAGGTGACGAGCACGACACCGGGCTTGCCACTGGCGCGGGCGTAACCCTCGGCCATGTGGCCGGCGCCCTGCTCATGTCGTGGGAGGATGAAGTCGACGTGCTTGGACTGGTAGATGGCGTCGAAGACGGGCAGAATGGCACCGCCCGGGTAGCCGACTGAGTCATATTAGCATGTGGAGTCTGTGGACATGGAGAAGCGGCCTACAGATGTGCTTGACGTCCTGGCGCAGCATCATCTCGTGGAAGATCTGGCCACCCGTCATGCCGACAAACGAGTGGTCCATCTCAGCGGCGCGGTAGGGCTTCAATGGCTGGATGTTGCTGTAGTCCTCGCGGTTGAAGGCTGGCGACGGGCGTGCCCGGCTGGGCTGCTGTGTGGCGGCCGCGGTGCTCTGCGGCCGTTTCGCATCTTCCTTGACGATTTTTGTCGTGGCGGCCTGGGCTGGCCGCTTGAAGGGCGCGGCGGAGCATCGCTGTGCGCAGGTCGAAAAGTTGCGTGTGCCCTTGAGCGCGGCAATGGCCCGTGTGCGTGACTGCTGCATTGTGGGGAGTGGGCGCCCTCGCGGGACTAGGATGCAGCGGTGGGAGGAGGGAGAGCAGGCAAAAGTGAAGAAGATGTTGCAGTGTGGGAGGGGCGGGAGGCGTTTGCTTTTGCCTTTGATCTGAGTCAACTCGTTTCGTTCCTCGGCCCTTTAGTCTAGATGTCGCCGCCAGTTATTTGCATCGCGCAAAGCGGAGTCGGTAGAGGAGTTGCAGGCCGTGTGATTGGACGGCGCTGGCATGTGTGTCTTCCCCACAGCCGACATCGGACCTTGACAGCAGCCATCGCGGAGCTTGACAGCTGGGCTGGCCAGATATCAGAGCATGAACGTCCCACCGCATGCAGAGCGGCAGAGGAGCCATGGCCGTGTTGCGAGCAGCGATGACCGGCGCCGAGGTGAGCCAGTCGTCTGATCCTCGACACTCCACCGCTGACGCCGCCAGTCACTCCTGTCGCCCTCACCAGGAAGTTGACCCGCGGGCCTCTGGACCAGGATGGCGTCGACAGCGCAGTAGATGAGTATGCGACGCCATTATAGAGTACCCGTCTGCCCATGCCAACACCACGCAGTCCCCTCGCACCAAGTACAAGCATCCACACCAGCCCTCCGCGCTCGCGTGCCCTCTCCCCCGCCCAGCTGCCCCAGAATGCCGCCGTCTCCAACACGCCCGACGTGCCGCCAAAGGACTTCTCCTTCCTCCAGGACCCTGCCGCATACCACGTCCTCCCTCCCGCCGCCGTCCCGCTCGCCTTCCAAAGCGCCGCCTACGTCCCCTCGCTCTCCTCGCCCATAGCCTCGCTTCTGCAAACCGGCCACTACCGTCTAGCCGCCATCGCCGCCGCGCGCAACCTCGTCGCCGCCGCATCACCCACCGACTACGACACGCTCTTCCACCTGCTCCACATCCGCCTAGCATGTCTCTGCCTGATCCAAGAACAAGCGCTGGCTAGCCAGGAAGCAAAAGTCCTCGGCGACCTAAGCAGCGCCTTCTACCGCCACGCCCTGACAAACGCCCACCTCGTGCCCTGGGCCCTGCGCCTCCTCGTCGTCCGCCTCGCCGCCCTGGGCTACGGCGAATGGCGCAAAGGCATAATGGGCTACTACGAGCTCGCCCGCGAATGCCGCGAAACACTGCTCAAGCCCACAACCTCCGAGGCTGAGAAGCCCCTGTGGCGCACCCGCCTGCGCGACTGCGGTATTCGCGTCGCCAACGTGCTCGTCGAGATGGGCGACCTGGAAGGCGCGGGTCGTCACCTCGGCACGCTGTCCAGCTCTGACGACGCGCCAGACTCGACGGAAGCCCGCGAGGTCCTGCTGATGGAAACCCTCGTCTGGCTGCGTCTGGGCGATATACCCACCGCGCGCTCCCGCCTGTCTCGCGCCTCCGCCCACGCCGCGCCGTCCCTTGTAGACGCTACCCTCACCGCGCTCATCCTGCTCGCAGAATCCGAGTACGAGGCTGCTTGCACGTCTTTCCAGGCCCTACACGCCGAACACCCCGCAGACGCGATGATCACGCAGAACCTGGCTGTGTGCCTACTCTACACTGGACGGATAGCCGAAGCCAGAACTGTCTTGGAGGACCTGGTGCACGCGAGTCCGCCTTTCTACTCGAGTGTGTTCAACCTGAGCACCGTGTTTGAGCTGTGCACGGAGAAGAACAGGGATAGAAAGGTGGGCGTTGCGGAGATGCTTGCCGAGAGGAAGGAGGGCGGTGGTGTGGGATGGGAAGTAGGGAATGTCGTGTTTAAATTGTGAGGATAGCATATGGTACATACATATACATATGATGAGATATGACCATAGCAATCCTGCCATTGAGGTTCTACAACCAATCTAAACATAACCCGATAGATTTCATACCCAATGTCTCAATCAAATCACTGTTCCAAAAGTACAGCACCTCATCGACACACACTCATGTATTTCTTCGAAGCAGCTCACTCTACTACAAAAAGACCCGACTATCAGTCCCCATCGCGGTCCATAAAACCCTCACAATTCAAAGTTTTCTACCCGCCATTTCTCCCCGCTCATTCGTACTGCATTGCATAGCATAGCATAGCATTGACATGACATTCGTGTAAAAAGACGAAGAACAAAAGGGAGGTGGGTGGTAATCCAAACCCACCCAACCAACCAACCAGCCCATCCATCCATCATTCATTCCCAACCCCGATTCCATTCCATTCCATTCGTATTTTCGTGACAAGAAAAGAAAAGAAAAGAGAGAGAAAACGTCTTGTCCCCCCCAGCACCTAAACCTACACCTCCGACACACACACACACGATAGTTTGCGCCTGGTAAAAAGGCGAGAGAGAGAGAGCATTACGAGACGTAGTGACACGATGCATACTCTCCTTCCTGCCCGTAGTAACATGCCATGGTCCTCATCCGAAAGCACTTTGGAACCGCATTTCCCATAGTCACAATTCCTCGTCTTCTTCCATCTTGGTCTCGAGACTCGACGTCCCTATGTGGCCGTCCGAGTTCCCCCGCTCCTTCTGCGCGTCCATCAGCACCTGGCCCAGGCTCTTGCGCACCTGGTCGTCGAACCCAGGTAGGGATGCGCGCTGCTTCTTGTACGGCGATGCGATGCTGCTCTCGTCTGGGGCGGGCGTTGCCGTGGCAGACGACGAGGCTTCGGCTACGGAGATGCCGGGGGCGGGCGTGCCGGAGTGGGGAGACGCGGACGAGTCGCCCATGGGTGAGCCTAGGGAGCGGTTTAGGGGTTCGGCCGAGTGTTGACGTTTTAGCTGCGAGCAATGTTAGCGGGTCTTTCTGGAAGTTGATGCACTCAGTAGAAGAACTGACCTTGATCTTCCGCACGCCCTCTGCGAGTTCACCTTGCTTGAGAGCGTCCTCGGGCGAAAGCATCCCGTTGTCGCCGATTTTTTCCTCTTCCATATCCTCGACCTTGATGTCGTCCTCGTCGTCTGCGTCGCTGTCCATGGTTTCCTCAACCTTCTTCTTCAATTTGGGCGATGTTTGCGAATTATCTCGGTAGCCGCCAAAGTTCTTGGTCCCTGACGAGGCATTCAAGGGCTTGAGGCTGCCAAAGTCGAGGGCCCCTGATTTCCGCCGAGACGAAGGCGAGACGATGGTAGGAGTCTTGTCGGTTTCCAAGATGCCCATTTTACGCAGTTGTCCTGTTTACAGTTAGCTCGCAGCTTCTTCGACAGTGTATCAGCAACTTACGTTCTCCGCGGTACAGGAAAGTGAAGACGGCGTATGGCTTATCAGGAGGGTCGATTCCAGTCACTGTCTGAGTGCTGATGGATTTGGGATCCAGCGTCTTGGGCTTCGCAAAACTCGTGGTGTGGTCCACGTCGTCGCCGTCGCCCGTGTGCTGCTCGTCGTCGTCGTGCGCGTCGAACTGAGGGGAGTACTCGCCGCGCTTGATCTCGCCAGACGCCAGCACGCGGAACAAAGCGACCTTGATCTGTCCCGCAGCCTCTGGCACTGGAGGCTCGTCGTCAGAGTCAGAATCAGACGTGAAAAACTCGTCGTTGCCTGACAGCGATTCCACAGGCGCGTCCTTGCTGTCCCCATAGCGAAGAACGCCGTTCTGCGGCATCTTTCCATCCTCCTCGTCGCTGCTGTTGCGGGCTTCTATCCGCTTCCTCCTCTTCTTCTCCAGACGCTGCTTTCTCCGCTCGATCTTAGCTGCCACATCCTTGTCACCTTCGAGATCTAGGCCGTTGAGCCACCGCTCAAGACCCACCTCACGGAACAGGAACTCGCGCTCCGCAAGACCACCCCCTTCCGACTCTGGCACGCTGACCCAACGCGAGTTCACCCATGTCTCTTCGCCGCGCCTCAGCAGCGTGGCCACCTCCTCCTTTGCCCGGCCGTCAAAGTATATGTACGCAGCAATCGTCTCGTTCGGCGAGGTGGTGAGGGGCTTGTAGGGAGCGATGGCTGGGCCGTACTTGCCCCGCTCGCTGGTGTAGCCAGGGAGGCCGCCGACGACTTTCGCTTTGGGGTTGGCGTCTTCGGGGGTCGCTTTGGGCGTCGAGTAGGGGACGTGCAGACCTGGGGTGAGCAGTGTAATTGAGATTGCGAATGTCGACTGTTCGGGTTTGGTAGCGCCAGGCGGCACCTTTGCAGGCGGCACAGGGATGTACGACGTGATGCGGTGAAATTTGGATTGTTTCTGTATCGAGTGCTCGGGGAGCGGCCCGTTGGGCGTGTGGATGCTCACCGCGAGCCCCAGGAAGCAGGGCATGGCAGGCTAGATATAGACGTGCTGCGAGGACAATACCGCGGGGATGGTGCAGGCGGGACAACTGCTTGGCCTCGGCAAGCTGGAATATAGATTGTTTCGCCCGGGAAGTTACGACCGAGAATTTTGGCAGTGGGGTTGTTGCGGTCAGAGGGAGATTTCAGGGTTTTAGGGTATGGATGCGGTGTATCGCTGGTGGAGAGCGCTTGAGCGCTTGGGTGGAGCCTCGAATCGATCACCAAGCCAAGCGAAATCCAACAGGCACGATAACACGTGATTGTAGATCAAAAGTGAAAAGGTAGATGTAAAGTGTCAATAAACCACTGACGTCCCCTGGTGTTGTCGGGGGCACGCTCGCCACGATGGTTGACCCTGGCGCAGGGGTGTGATTGGCCTTTTGTACACTGATAACAGACATCAACCGTGGCTCAAGGTCCCTTGACATATCGCGGGGATTGAACCAAAGAACCACATCGTAAAGGCACACCATGCATTAATAAACGTTTTCAGTCGTCGTCCTTACAAACCAAACGTCGGTGAAAGCAAGCAACGCGAACCCTTCAGCCTGAACGACTTGAGCGATATATTCATCTGCAGGGCACTTACCTACATGAACTATTCCGCTTGGCTATTGAGCCGATACCTAATTTGTACAAAGCTCTGTTGTCCCTATTGGGAACAATCTCTTCTCGCTCTTAGATCTAATCTAGGGTATCAACACAAATGCACAGATGGCCTTCCTCCAGGATGCAGGGCAACATTAAGTTTCGCATGACTTTTTTTCGAGGTTTTTCTGGCATACTCTGCTCGCAAGGTTTGGCGGATGACACCGTCGCGACATTTCAGTCCAGAGAATTTACAAAACCGCTACACTCCTTATATCACGGACGCAAACCTACGCGTAGTACTCCGGTCTGCGCAATCATTCCCCATCTGAAGCAAACATGTCTTCCGCCTTCGGTCGTAGTCGCCTAGCTCGCGCGGCAGCCGTCTCTCCAGGAACCTCTTCCGGGACGTCTTGTACCTGAGTTGGGACCTTTGCAGGAGGTGCTGCATTATCCTGTCTCTCAGTAGGTGTTTCAGAGTGTGGTCGAGACGGCATGGCTTTCTCGTCGTTCGCTCCATCGTTATTATTGATTTCCTGGCCTTCTTCCTCGTCCACGTCCACGTCCACATCCATCTTCTCTTGCTCCTCTTCACTGCCTGGATCGATATCCGCCTTGACTCTTGAGACTACATTATGCTTGCGTTTGCTTCTCTTCTCCGTTTGCTTCCTCTCCAACTCTTCTTGCTCCTTCTGCTGTTCGCGCTCGTTGAACGCCTTATCAAGGTGATCCAGCGTAGTCTTGTCAAACAAATGCTCGTTCTGCCACACTGTAAGAATAGTATTGACTTCGTCTCGATAGCTCTTTTCCGTCATGCGACCCATCTCCACTTGAGCCGGGATCTTCTCAAGATGCTCGAAGATTTTACGGTTCAGAAGCTGGGTACCGAAGGCAAGTCTATACTTGTAGGCCACACCAGGCTCTTTTGCTGTTGTCAAGAGAACATCGGAAATAATGCGGAGAGCGTTTAAAGTGACCTGTCTAATGTCCGGACGTCTAACATCGTCTTCCAAGAGTCTTTTTGTATTCGCGTCCGATAATTGGAAAGGTTCTAAAATGTTAGATAGTAAGATGTGAATAACCTCGTCCATGCCGTGGGCGGCATGTTCGACTGCAAATACAGAAATAGCGGCAATGTCGTCGGCGACGATACTCCCAGGTGGTAGCGATGTGAGTAACCATAGAAACATTGCCCGAGACCGAGGGCTCATAATACCGTGGCCGTTGTCTACACGGCCTTGATAGTTGTCTCCTACAGGAAGGGGCTTGTGCAGGGGTTTCTCCTCTTCCTCATCGTCTTCAGAATCCTCATAATCCGGTTCGAAAGCGCCCAGATGATCCGCGAACTCGTCAGCAAGGGGCACCGTTGGCCCCTGCCATTCGCCTTGGCGGTCGAAAATCTCGGCGTTCGGAGTGTCACATACTATCTGGTGTAACCGCCATCGGTAGTATCGGTTTACAGGATGTTTTTGATCGTAGAGCCAGGCGAATCGTTCCTCTTCCTGTACTTGTGGGTCGTTCATTAAGGTAGCCTCAAATTCGAGACCCCCAAGTATAACTCCTTCGATTGTCTGATGAACAAGTTTGAGTGTCCCAAGATCAGGCGGCTGGTTGGCTGTGACAATCAGTCGTTCAGTATCCTCACGTGGCCTGTCTCGCATGCCAGGCCCGCCTCCTAGATCTGGCGGCGGGGCATATCCTTTGGACACTTCCGGAGCCTGCCATCGCGCACCAAACGGTTCCTTGCGTTGCGCTGTCTCCACAGTACGTCCGCCAAGGTATCTGTCTAAATGTAGATAGTATCCTTTGCCGAGGTATTTCTTGTCGTTCAGCCTGTTCATGGCGTCGTCGAGATCTCTCGCGTTGGCGTCTTTGTCGAAAATGACCTTCATTGTCGCAGAGGGTCGCCCTTTCGCAGATGGGCCTTGCGGGGGTATCTTTTCTACTTTTGTGACTTTCAGTGACGGGAATTCAGCGAAGAGCTCTTCGATGCGGCGCGGGTCGATTGCCGGGGGTAGATTCGAAGCTTTTGCTATGACAGTCGTGAAGACGTTCTCGCTCGGCTTGTTTCCCTCAATCGCAGCAGGACCAGCCGGTACAGAAGCGCCAAATCTCGGCTGTATTGGAGCTGCAAGCCGCCCAGGAGCGCCAGGTCTTGGGAAGCCATCAATGGCCTCGGGTTCGAGTGTGCCTGGCCCGCTCTTCATTGATCGATTCCTCCCCGTGAAATGTCTCTTGCTTCCTGTGGGGACAAAAACATCCTCGTCGACCTCATGGTCGCGCTCTGCCTCTCCAAGTACGGTGCTGGCAGGTGCATTGTGCTCCTCCATGAAGTCGGCCATGACCTTGTCGAGCGCATTTTTCTCCTCGCGTTCCTTCGCTTCCTCGTCGGCTTTTGCTTTTGCATTTGCATTCAACTGCGTCTTGTTGGATTTCGCCGCGCCCAGAGAGAATTTGAACGCCATATTGACGGTGTGGGGTATAAACGGTGGTGGATGTTGTGGAGTTGTCGCAACATCAAAAGTTAGAGTTGCGGCCTGTGACACCCTGGCTGCCGATCACCAAGCGCGTTCTGACTGAGACCCGTTTGGCGTACGTCAATGCAGTCCAACATTCCACAGACTAGGACGATACAAGACACCATGGCAACCGCACAAGACGTACAGTCGTTACTACGTTTCCTATCACAAGATGCGAAAGTGCCGCTCGCTCAGGCATTAGGGAAAATGAAGAACTGTCAAGAAGCGAAAATAATCACGTGCGTACGTGCCTGAAGTCGCGTCATCTACATCTAACGCGTCCAGCGCATCGGACATCGCGAAAGCAGACTTCGAAAGCCTCAAAAATGTCTTTGGAGATGAGAAGTTGGCGCGACAGGTGCTCAACGCCGCAAAACGTGTCTCGAAGAAACGATCATCGACCGATGACACTGCTGAGGCCCCAGCGGGACCTCCAAAGAGAACCAAGAGGTCTATATACGAACAACCTTTGGATGGTTTCCAGCTTGAAGCATCTCTTGCGCTCCCTGGTGCAGAGCTTGACGACGAAAAGCTCAAATCCGTGGTCCTCTACACAAATCGCGCCCCTTTGCTTCTCGCGTTCGTGGTGACACTACTGAAATACACCATGCCCGAACAGCCCGTCTCGAGCAGACTTAGTCTTGCACAAGCAGTTACCAGTGTTAACAGCAAAGCAAAAGCGGTAAACATTGGGATCGATAGCGGCAAAACAGCAGAGGAAGATAAATGGGGCGCTGGACAACCACTCATCAAGGTCATGAATCGAGACATCCGTGTGATGAAGCGGTGGGGATACGAATGGGAAAATGCCTCTACACAAGAGACACTCGAGGACGAGCCAGCCGCTGCCAAAGATCCCGCACTATGGGGCATTGATCTCGAAGCGCTCAAAAGAGTGGATCAACCTGGATCACACAAAACGTCGAGTGAGCTTCCCATCTACACAGCTCAGTCGGCGCGATCGTATCTTCTGAAGGCTTTTGAGACACCGAAAGCAGCGGCGGGAAATACATCGGTCAAGCGGACGAACACTGCTATCGTAGCGGAGAAAGAGCGTAACCTTGGTCTTCTCTTGGGTGCGCTCGAGCTTTTATATCAGTCATGGGCCCATGTCCTGAGCAAGGAAGATCTCGATAAGCGGGCGTGGGGCTGGTATGTGCGTATGCGTCCAGAGGTAGCGTCGGGGACAGCAGGATGGGGAGGAAAGGGCAATGTCAAGTTGTCAGGGATTCTCGAGTTGAGACGACCTACCGATCGTCTTAAAAAAGAGGTTGAAGGGACATGATGAGTATATCAAATTTCAAATTCAGTACCTCTCACTGAAAAGTGTCTCAATCCGTGCTTTCATCTTTCGAACCACCAATTTTCCTGCTCGAACACCAACTTCCCAATGCCCTTAGATCCTTGGCCGCCGTAACACATGTCGTCTTGCCCTCTTTATCAGTAACATTCTTTCGTACAAGTTCCAGCTCGCCATCGCCTCCTGATCCTCCTGTCGACGAACCTCGATCCAAGTAAATCGAATTCCACCCAGCAGCTTCAGCACCCAAGTAATCTTTCTCAAGCTCATCACCCACATACAGCTTCTCGAAATCGTCGGCTTTCAATTCCTCATCATTCCCAGCTAGTGTTTCTTGCAGCATTTCACTTGCCGCGTCAAACATTCGCCGGTCGGGCTTCTCAAACCCAACATCGTAGCTGAGCACAACGAAGCTGATGTCGTCTCCTAGGGTGGCCTTTTGGCTGCGTTGATCAGACTTCCCAACGCGTCTAGGACCAATCCTAAGACCAAAAGAATTAAGAATTCCGGGCACGCGGTCGTCAGAGTTCGTGATAATGCCTACTACAGTCTTGTCCCAAGGCCACGAGGAAGCATCAGCTCCACGTGAAATCTTGTCGCGCAGCGTTTGGAAAAAGGGCAGGACGTCTGGATACAATCGGTAACCTTCTTTTGTAGAGTAGCGACGCAACAAATCTGTAATCAAAGCTTGTGGGACTTCTTGGTCTGGCTTGACGAATTCTTTGAACGACTTCTGTATCACCTTGGATTGACTATCAGTTGGATGTCTCGAGCAAGTGAATGACCTCTCACATTGCCCCACCACTTCTCTGCACCAAGCCCTGTTGCTCTGCCGTAATTTGGATTTTGTTTTGATTCATCTTTGAATGCCAGTTTGAATTGTGCGGCTAAGGCCTTTGGGTGCTCTGCATTACCGCAATTGATCCCGTGACGGGCTGCAGCTTGGACATAGGCAGTGGGAATGGGCGTGCTCGGCGTGAACAGCGTCCCAAATGCGTCGAAGCAAAGCAGTAGGTTCCTTTTCGACATTTATTGCGTTCAAGAATTGCTTCGTGGAGGTTAAAAGGGGTAACGAGCGAGTGGCCCATGCTCGCAATCGGGAAACGTCAACACGTCTCCGCAATACCTCACTCGCATCTGCGACAACCCACTCAACCCAGTCACTCATTCACCAATTCCAATCTCCAACATGGCGCCCATATCGACCAAGGACAAATACTCGGTGCTTCTCCCCACGTACAACGAGCGCCGCAACCTGCCCATAATAACATGGCTGCTCAACAAGACCTTCACCGAGAAGCAAGTACCCCTGCAACCCCCCATACTCGCCGCACCCCTCTAACACCCCAACAGTAACCTTGACTGGGAGCTCATCATCATCGACGACGGCTCCCCGGATGGCACCCAGGAAGTCGCCGCCCAGCTCCAAAAAGCCTACACCCCCCAACGCATCCAGGTCCGCGCCCGCGCTGGCAAGCTAGGTCTCGGCACCGCATACGTCCACGGCCTGCAGTTCGCGACTGGCAACTACGTCATCATCATGGACGCCGACTTCTCGCACCACCCCAAGTTCATCTCGGAGATGGTCCGCGTGCAGAAGAGCAAGAACTACGACATCGTGACGGGCACGCGCTATGCGGGCAACGGCGGCGTGTACGGCTGGGACTTGAAGCGCAAGTTTGTGTCGCGAGGCGCGAATCTGTTTGCCGATACCGTCTTGAGGCCTGGTGTGAGCGACCTCACGGGCAGCTTCAGGCTGTACAAGAAGGAGGTGCTTCAGAAGGTCATCAGGAGCACGGAAAGCAAGGGGTACACGTTCCAGATGGAGATGATGGTTCGCGCAAAGGCCATGGGCTGCACGGTTGCCGAGGTCCCCATCTCGTTTGTCGACCGTCTGTACGGCGAGAGCAAACTTGGCGGCGACGAGATCGTCGAGTACGCAAAGGGTGTGCTCAACCTGTGGATGAAGGTGTAAAGGATTAGAAAACCTTGCATGACATTGGCGTTGGATGGGTGGGGCTGCGGGAGTATTCTGGGACCACCTGGGCTTATGGTGTGATATCCTGAGCAGGTACGAAGAAGATGACTGAGGCTTCTTTACATTTCGCATACACTACTTCCTTTAACTCTTCACAAACGCATCTTGTTCTTCTCTCTCTCCCGCTGATGCTTGCATAAACTCCCTCTCTGGCGTATCTGCAACGCGGCAAGAAAACACAAACATATCACGTCAAGCAACACCTTTATTACAGTTTAGACACCCTCCCAACGAACCATGCAGGGAATAATGAAACCAGTCCCCCCCCAACCATCCCATCCATCATCTCACTTGCCCCCAAAATACCCATCTCCATTCTCCATCTCCTCAACAGGCGTCTGATACACCGACTCCCCCTCTTCATCCCCCTCTCCCTCTCCACCTCTCACAACAGGATGACTACCAAGCGCCGCCTCCCTCGTCGGACTCGCCGGCGTCCCCACCGCCATCACCGACGTCAGCGGCAGCGGTAGCGGCAGTACGCCCTCCCTCCCCATCTGCATCACCGCGCCCTTACTCTCCAGCTCCTGGCCCACAGCCACTGCCGCCATTAGCCCACTACCCGTGCCGCCAGTCTTCGACTGCCGGTGGAACGAAAGCGAATGCCGTGTTGGAGCTCGAGCTAGTGGCTCGCTCTGTGTTGCGCGCGGGGAGAGGATGCGCATTGGCGCTGGTGGGTCATCGTCTGGGGGGCAGCAGGCGAAGGTCGAGTTTGGTGGTGTGCGTGCGGATGCGGGTGTGGATGCGGGTGTGGATGCGCGTGGCTTGCGGAGGAAGATGCATTTCAGGGCTGAGATACGTTTATGGGGTTTGGGTTTTGGGGTGGTAGTGGTGGTGGTGGTGGGTTTGCTGGAAGTGGTGCCGTCGAGGGGGTGCATGTTTTTGCGAGGTGTGTTGGTGGAGGAATCGAGGAGGTGGTTAGGAAGAGCGTACGCGGAGTGGTGTGAGGGCAGGATTGGACAAAGGTTCCGTATAACGTACTTGCTGATGCGATACGAAGGGGTGTTCTTTCTTTCTACTGGCGATTTGCGTGGGAGTCGCGCGGTTTGCTTGTCGTGGCTGCCATGCTCGTCGGCAAGTATGGGACCATATAGAGCAGGTGAGTATAGCACACAGTCTGTCTATATAGTTTACTACTTCTAGCGAGGTATTTGGGTACGGCACTATTCAGAATGTCTCTGTTGAACGGTCTCCTTCTCTGGGATCGAGTGGTGTGATGAAGAAGTCAGCCTAGAACCAAGTGCAGTGTCTATACCCATACCTCAACGAGCACAACGATGCACGTTGAAAAAGATTTCTTTCCCTCTAATCAATCCCATGACAGGAACACTATCTACTAAATCTTCACGGCGACGAACCCCCACCCCCACTTGCCCTTCATTCCTATAACATATGGATTCCAACACAAGTATATTACTCATGGATATCACCCCGTCCTATTTGATCCTTCTCTTTTATGCATCGATTGGCTACCGCTCCGCCAAAACCCAACGCGAGCGCGCTCAACCGCCGAAGCAAGTCGCAATTCCAACCTCCTTGCCATTTTCACATCTCTCATCTCCCAAGAAAAAAACCACCAAAGAACGCCAGGAGGTACGTGCCATGGTAATGCTCGCTAAAACAGAAGATGGGAATGGAGAGTCCAGATGCCTCATAGGAGAAAGAACAAGCTATCTATAGTTTTCTTCGTGCTCCCGGAAGCATGTATGGTAGTACTGCTTCATCAGCTAACCCTTGGCAGTCTACGCCTGGGGTAGCGGAGCTCCGTTTGCAACGGCGGCAGCGGCGTCAGCTTGAGCTTGGGCAACGAGGTCAGCTTGGTGGACGGCGCCTTGGACGATTTGTTGTTCCTCAGGGTTGAGGTTCTTTGTAAGGTTTTCGTAGAGGGCAGGCTGCTCTTGTTGAAGACCTGAAGGGTTCTTGTTAGCAGGCTTCGGCAGATTTGAGATGGGTGGCAACATACGGAGCAACGCGTGTTTGAACATGCCGTATGGCTCAACTTTGTCGAGTGGCGTCTCGAGTAGACTCTCCTCTTCAAGCTCATCATCTTCGTCGTCATCAACAGACGTGAATTTCTGGGCCTGGGTTTTCGTTAGCAACTGAAGATTCTAGCTGTGTTAGAAATCCTACTTCTTCGTTGAGGAACTCGAGATATGCAGCGCTTTCGTCCTTGATGTCCTCTGCTTCATCAGCCTCGTTGTTCCAGTCAGCTTCCTGCTCCCACTCGTCGTCCTCCTCTTCCTCGTATTCTTCACTGGCAAACTCGGCAAAATTGTCTTCCCTCTTGGCGTCCTCACGATCTATGTACTTGTTAGACACAACCATCAGAGAAAACGTTGATAAGGATGCAACTTACTCTTCAGCGCAGCAGGAAGTGTTTGGAATAGCCGCACAATACCCTGGAGCAGTCGCGGCCAGCCTTGCTGAACACTGATTGGTACATCCTGGGCCCTCAGCGTCAGGAGTGCACAAATAGCTGAGATGCACAGCTTCTTGTCATGTACTCGGGTGAAGTTGTCGATGCTGGAGAACCACAAACTGAAGAACTTATTTGTCCAGCCGTTGGTCTCGAGCACATGGAGTGCCAATGCAGGGTTGTAGTAAATAGAGTTGATGAGCACCTCCATCAGGTGTATCCTCAAAGACTTGACCTTTGGCTCGTCGTTAGTGAGGACCTGCATGGTCAGTGCGATAAACTCCGGCATGTAGTCATCGACATGACCCCGCATGTTGAGCATAATGATCTCAGCCAACTTGCAACCGCAGATGCGGTCTACGCCTCCGACCTTGTCATCTTTGAAGATTGTTCGTACCATGTCGACGATGGCATCGAGATATGGGCGGGTTTGAATCAGTGCTGGGGTTCCGTAGTTTACAAAATTCTCCAAAGCGGGCAGCATATCTACGCACGATCAGCGACGAAAGATTCTACACGGAAATAGCAGCTTACCTTCAAGATACAGCTCAGCGCCAGCCTTAAATGTCCGATGTATCAGCTCAAATGCTTGCCACATGGTAGGTGAAATGCTTTTAGCGGCAAACGTGCAGCTGTCGATAATCTCGAATACTTCGTTGTACAAATCTGCAAAGAGGTTAACGTGAGAACGGTTGCAATGGACTCTGTGGAATCGCATACCATAAAGCTTGTTCTCAAGTGTTATGGTTATCACAGGCATGAGAATAGTCTCCAGATGTAGTAGAACGTCGGGCGTGCTCTCGAGCGTAAGAATGAGGGTACCAATCGTCTGGAGTACACCAAGCGCAGTGATACTCTTCTCATCCAGGAAATCCCCATACTCGCTGTCCTCGCCCTTCTCTTGGTTCCTAGACACGAGTTCGCGAACAATGCGCAAGTATGTATCGCGGAGCTGCTCACTGAGCGCAACCGCGAAAGGAGTCAGTTCTGGTGCAAAGATCTCGACGAAATCCTCCATGACGTTGGAAAGAGCATCTACGTCCACCTCGTTGGCTAGTTTCAAAAGCTGTTGCATGACTTGAGGAATGTTTTGTTTCATGTTAGTTCGAATAATATCATGACGGATGAGGGGTTGGAGTGCTAGGGCTGCAGCGACGCGGACTGGGAGGGTGGGGTCAGCCATCGACTCCAGAATGTTGCGGTAGATGATGATAAGGTTGTTCGGGTCCTTGAAATCGAGCTGTTCAAACTTCTCCAGAGTATCGCATGCGCGTGCGCGGAGGAAGCCATGAGGGCTACGGAACTCAGGGAAGACGTGGCGCACAAAGAAGTATTCGACCTGGTCTGCAATCGGGCTCTTCTTCCCCAGAATAACGCCAGAAAGTGTTCCAATCATGCGCAGTGCACCTTCTTTCTCTCTTGGATTCTTCTCGTTGTCTGGCGCGGCTTCATACTTGTTCACCATCTCGTTGACAAAGTTCAGTACGCTGAAGGTATGCTTCCGGCGACTCTTGGTGAGGGTTACGAGGAAATTTGTCGCGGCGACATCGGGTGCCGTCACATCCTCGTAGAAGTTCAGTTTCCGGTGCAGGTACTCTTGCGGCTCCTCGTTAAAAAGCTCAATATCATCGTCTGACTGGCATAGCACAGGGAAGATAAGATGCGCAATGAGGTTATCCGTGTGTGGCTTGAGCAAAGTCCACATGGACTTGGGCTTGATGCACTCGTCGAGGAAGTTGAGAGTGTAGTACAAGCTGGCCTTGGACAGCCACACTTGCTTGCCTACCCACTTTTCCACCTGCTGGAGGTAGACCTTTAGGATCTCGGGCGCAAAATTGGCGATGAAGTTCTTGGCAACATCTGTGTAGTCGATCTCATTGCTCTTGCCCAAGGTCGATGGATTGCCGTACCTGAGCAGATAGTTAGTATCTTTTCGTGTATGTGAGATTGGACGATACGCACCTGACGAATAGCCGGTTCAAATTGGCGTATGACCACTTCTTTGCCTTCCACCAGTGGTTTATTTCGCGTTCGTCCAGATCTTCGGGTAGAGATGTCTCTGGCGGTTCCTTGCCGACTACAGTCAAGAACAGAGTACACCAGCCGACCATGGTCTGCTGCTCGCGAAGGGAAGCGGGGAGGTCGAACTAAATCTCAGTCAGTGTCCATGCTCACAACCCGCTCTGTAAGTGGTCTCCTTACGTAGATGGCGTGCTTGTACACCTTCAGGACTGTGCGAAGTATTTCTCCCGCCTCCAAGCTCGTCTCGTTCGCCAGCGAGTTACCGATGTTGAGCAGCTGTGGGAAAGACAGGGCAACGATTTTGTCAAAGTCGGCGCGGTTCTCCCCCGACTTGAACCTGTATATTTTGCATATTGCCAGCAAGCACTGCACACCTGCAAATACCGATGCGATATCTCCGGCGTTCAGGAGCTGTATTGTGATGTCGAGGAAGTTCGGCCACTTTTGCGGGAAGTCGTATGCGAGGATCTTCTGGAGGGTGGGGATGAGCTGCACGCGCACTGGCGGCGGCGAGGCGACAAGGACGGGCACGAGGCGGTTGCGGAAAGACGTCTTCTCGTCCTCTGGTATGGGCCTGGCCTGGCTGTACTCTTCGGCGGGCGACCAGCCCTTGGAGACGCGGTTCTTGAGGTAGACGACGGCTGCACACATGCGTCAGCACACTGGCACCCAGTCATGGTCGTAGGCGCATTCTTACTCGACAACCGCACGGCAGGGTTTTGCTCTTGCTCGAGGATATTCAACAGGCCGTCTGTGAAGCCCACCTGCTCTTCGGCCTAGACTCGAGTTAGCACACCCGAGATTGTGCGCAGGGTGTCCGCAGCACACGCACATGCTTCAGGTCAAGCTCGGCCTGCTGTCTGATGGCGGCGTTCTGGTCGAGTGTCGCCTGGATGCGGTCCCGCAAGCCGGTTACATCCATATTCGCGATTGGTGGTGGGGGGTTGTGCGGTGTCTCCGCGGGAGCTGTCACGGTCGTGCGGTGAGGGCGGTGGGGTTCAGATGATTACCGCTGCTGCGTCGTCGCCCTGGCTGGCAATGCAGGAGAGATAGGGGCCGACGAGAGGGAGGAGAGGGAGGAGAGGCCAGAGGCACGCGTGCTTCTTCGATCTTGTGCGCGCCCGGCAACTTGCGTCCAGCGTGTGCAGGCTTAGAGGGATGTTGGAGGGGCTCACGCCTGTAGATTTTGTGTGAACGGGAATTGCTTAGCACGCTTAGCTGCCGCGCACGTGGCCAATGCGCGTCCAGGAAATCACACCTCCAAACCCTTGCTTGCTTGCTGCTCTCTGCCGTTGCACTTGACGGCGCATTTGGGGAGAAGCTGTCAGCTTTTTCAAATATGTCTAGTCCAATAGTCCGAGTGTCATCTCCTCGATCAGAGTATGCGAGGTGTAAACTGCTGTGGCTGCCCAATCGCAAACTGTGGCTGTCTCCCCGCACTTGTACCTGCAGCCTGAGTCAATATGTAGGTAGCCATCTCACACAAAATTCTTACCTTCCAAGGGTGTGTTCAAAGGAGAAACCCCCCTCATATCACCCCACTTTCTATGTACATAGGTTGGTATCGCCAAACATACAACCTTGCCCCGCAATGTCCTCACTTCAGAACTGTCGTTAATTAACCATTCATCATCTAACCCATTAGGTTCGCCTTCCTTCATAGTCAATTGCGAAAGCCACACTACAAGTAGCCTAGTCTCTACTAAGTTTGAGGTCTCTTCGCCCAAGCACTTTTAGGTGTCATTTTCCCTCAATCCATGATCACCTTCAAGAGCTCCAAAGTATAGGCCTTCGTGACTCTCATGTCTCAAGCAACGGCACATCGGAATATCTGTTTTTGCTGCTATTACATAGTATCTCGAAATAGCAAAGACCATTCGCTTAGACATCAACACTTGTGGGCCAGTAATTTTTCGTCTACAAATCGCAGTACCCGACCATGCCACATCCGACACCAACTCCAGTTTTGCTACGCCACGCCATGCCATACCATACGCTATGCTAACACCGTGTAACAGAGCATACAAGTCGTGGAATGGTCGTACATCATTATGCTCGACAACCTTGTAGACTTCAAGCCGACAAAAGTAACCCTATAGCCAAGATAAGGCTGATGAACATAACAAATTCCAAACACTTTTCAGCAGCCATAGTGCCTGCAACATCCGAAACACCCATTACAAGTACAAGCTCGCGCAGTTACAGATGTCCCTGTTTCACGATACCGTTAGCCATCATGCCCTCAACAAACGACACAACCAGGAGCCCATGTCATGTCTCTCAAAGCAAATTCAAAAAGAAAGGCCAGCACATACCGTTTAATCAGTTCCTGGCAAGTCCCCATCTTCTGGAACAGCGTCGGGTCGCCAATGATCCTGGCTGCATTCTTGACTTCGCGACACGTCTCGTCCAGTCTAGTGATGACGCGGACGATAGTGCCCTCCATTACGTCGGTCAGATCTGTGATGCGGTTGAATGACATTCCGCGGGCCCACTCGTACACTACCTCGACCATGCCGAAGCGAGGCTTGCTCACAAAGTCGTTTGAGTCGTCGGCAGATAGGATTACCTGGTGTAAGGTTTGAATCTTGTTGACTTTTTCTGATATCTCTACGATCTTGGCGATGCCACGTTCAAGACTTGCGGTGAACGTAGGCTCAGCGTCGGTCTTCTCTTGAAAGACAAATGCGGAGAGGAGTGCCACAATCTCTTCTGGCTCGTATTCAGCAAGAACGTTCTCCAATACTAATTCTGTGAGAACAAGTTCGTCAGCGGAATGGATCTACCGTGACAATTAGCAAATAGTCTGTAAAACGGGGGTTTGGTGATTTTTCATACTTCGCAGGCCACCTTGCCCTTGAGTTCTACTCTTGAACCCTCGTCAATGAAGCCGAGGTCCTGGAGTACATGAATTCGCTGCTCGTAATCAGGTAATAGCTGGAGATTCTGGTCCGACATGAGCTGTCGGAGTTGGACAATATTGTCTTTGATAACCCATTGATCATGTTCCATGGCAAGCTGTACAATCAGCATGAGGATCAACATATTAGGCAGAGCGTAGGCTTACGTGTTTCAAGAAGTTCGGGCATTGGAAGCATTTCTTGTCGACCGCTTTCTCTCCTTCTGCCTTACGAGCATCTGCCAATTCACGGAACTTAAGGCTCTTGATACGACTGTAATCGTACTCGTCCCAATCGGAGTAGTTCCACGAATTACACAATGGCAAAAATTGGTCCTCTGCCAACTTCAGAAGGTCTGTTGTATTATGTAAGTATATGATTCCTATGGTTTGGAAGACACGTACCTTTGCGCTTGTTAAGACTCTGCACGGACTCTGGGATATCGATGATAGTCTTGGTCAAACATTCAATGTCGCTAAGAGGTACGAACGAGGTCTTGAGCAGCAAGTCCTTCGGGTTTGTTGGCAGCTTTCTGAAGAGCTGTACGAACAAGCCCAGATATGGCAGAAGGTCGTCGGCTTTACGATCTTGGGGTTGGGCGATCTCCAAGACCTTGACTAGAGCTTCGTTGCCTTTGGTGATACTGTCTTGAACAAGCATACCCACTGTCCGCACACCGTCCTGAACGTGTCAGCATGTGATCCACTTCGCGTAAAATGGAATGTTACCTTCTTGTAGACAATCAGCCTGTTCCTTCCAATTACTCGCCTTCCCACTGGATTGTTGAGGAGACTCAAGTGCATCTCATTGGTCAAGCGTTGATAGTTTATGCATGCCTGATGGCATGCCTCAATGTCAATATCACAGATTTCGCATGGCTCGCGCTTGACTTTCTCTAGATCCGCCTCAGAAAGTTTGACCTTCTTCTCCTGCTCCGGCAGCAGTGTTTGAGTAGCGTGCTCGCTGAAGCTGCGCTTTATCATCTCCTCAATCTTTAGGGCTTCGACGCGTAGAAGATTCAACATCATGTTGTACGTGAGTCGGAATTGGGATCTCAATTTGGTTGGCTCGCCCAACATCATTTGTCTGAGTCTGGCAGCTGGCGGTGCTTCGTCGGCTCCTGGTGCACAGACGATCACTGTACCGACTGTATCCAGACCTCTTCGTCCAGCGCGACCAGCCATTTGTGTGTATTCTCCAGGAAGCAAATCACGAAATTCTCGTCCATCATGCTTGCGGAAACCAGAGAAGACAACGGTCCTAGTCGGAAGATTGAGTCCCATAGCAAATGTTTCTGTAGCAAACAGAACCTTTACCAACGTCTTTGCAAAGAGAATCTCGACGACCTCCTTGACGATGGGTAGCATACCACCATGATGAACAGCGATACCTCGACTGAGAAGCTCCCTCAATTTCTTGATCTGAGGAAGAAGTCGGTCTTCCTGACTCAGCCTTGCTAGAGACTTTTCAATCGTCATATGGATCGCACTCTTCTCTGCAGCTGTGCAATAGTCAATGTTCGAAAGCGCGTCGGCATTCTCTTCACAACGCTTCTTTGAGAACACAAATATGCAGGCTGGAAGAAGTTCTTTGCTCCGGAGGTGCTGTATGAGATGCACCCAGATATTTCGGTCTTGTGCAGCCGTCGTACGTCCGCCTCCTCGCCCAGTTCTCGCAATGTTTCCTCGTCCTCTACTGGCTGGTGGACCTCCACCTCTAGGCGCGCCGCCTCGTCCTCCGTTTGCTTGGCCTCTTCCTCGACTGTTCTGGCCTCCACGACCGCCGCCGCCACCTCTTCCAGTCGGAGCGTCTTTGGCGGCTGGCGGTGCCTTGACCTTGTCTTTACCGGACAGGACGTCATTGGCGTCCTTCCAGCCCTGGTCGATGAATTTCTTGTCCGCTGTAACGATCTTGTGCATTCCCTTGCCGGCCCAGAGGTAATGCTCCAGAGGAATGGGTCGTTTAGGCGTGGAGATAACGTAAATATCCTTCTTTTTCGTCCGACCTACCCACGAGGCGAACTCATACGTATTGGGAACGGTAGCTGAAAGTAGAATGAGTGTAACATGCTCTGGAAGCATGATAATGACCTCCTCCCATACAACACCTCTTTCAGCATCATTGACGTAATGAACTTCATCGAAAATGACGAACTCGACATCTCTGATTAGATCTGCCCCACGGTACAACATACTCCGCAGAATCTCCGTAGTCATGATGAGACAACTGGCTTCTGGTCGAATCTGCACGTCTCCAGTGAGAATACCCACGTCATCAAAAGTGAGACGAAAGTCCCGAAACTTTTGATTACTCAAAGCTTTGATGGGCGATGTGTATATGGCCTTGGTCATGTGTTTTATGGCTAGGGCGATGGCGTACTCTGCAACGACTGTCTTGCCAGCAGATGTATGGGCAGCAACAAAGACAGAATCACCGTGCTCAAGGTGATAGACAGCTTCTTTTTGGAAAGTGTCAAGTTCGAAGGGATACTCTCGCGCCATCTCCGGGACTAGATCGCGGAAGTTTGTGATCTCTCGGTCGATGTCAACCATATGGGCCCACTCCCGACCTCCTTTCCTTCCAGCACCCAATGCAAGTGGACCGTGAGGGGCCAGAGCAGGGAATTCGACCGGGAGAAGAGCATCAATTTCCTCTTCTCCAGAGTTTTGACCATCTTCCCTGAGAATTTCGACTCCATCTGCCTCGTCTTCCTCGTCAGTGTCAACATCTTTGGCAGGCGCTGACGCTTCTCCCAAAGTATCTTCGACTTCCTTTGCTGTCTTGGCATCTGTTTCAGGCTTTTTATCAAAGTCTAGCCCTCGTGTAAAGCCAGGGGGTATTTCGAGCAGACCGCCCTCGGCACTGAAGTTGATAACTCGATCAAGACCTCCAGACCTTCGTGTATTTCTATTCTCCTGTTGCAGGATTGCTTCATCCTCGATGGCTGCGATTGCTTCTACGCCATCAAGTCCACCGGGAGCGAAGGGGAAGAAGCCAGCCGCGCCACGAACAAACTCGGCTCTGTTGGCAGGCTTTCTGAGGAGGGATGTCGAATTCTTAGCTGTCGCAGAATTTGCTGGCACGGTGACCTCTTTATACCCCGTGACGCGGCCTTCGAGTCCTTCGCGGGTGAAGCGGATGATTGTGCGAGTTTGGGTTGGGGCGATCTGGAAAAGGCCGCGATAGTTGGTTGGCGCATCCCACCGCTGCTGTAATTGATTCAACCACTCCGAATTAAACGAACGTGACGGTGTCAAAAACTCTGTTTCCAGCTCCTTTTTGATGTTTTCTTTAGTTTTTCGTGAACGCCAAGGTGGTTGCTGTTCGCCAGCAACAGTGTCTATCCAGCCAGTGCCGTCGTCACCAGTACTGCAGCCTAAACGGAGCTTGTCAAGCTCTGCAGATAGAGCCTCCATGCTTGGATGTGGAGGGTAAAGTTTGCAGTGCGGCAGTCCGTAAGTGTGTGGCACTTTGGTGGTGTATTAGATGACGTTGTTAGTTAGGCCAAATCATATTTCGCGTTAGGAAGGCCCCACTTAGCCGCGGCGGGGCAATCCCCCGCACATCAACATCATCAGGCACGAAGATCTAATTAACGATCAGACACGCATTGGTACCTGCATGTGGTTGGCAGGAGCCAAGAAACAGAGCCCATCGAACCCTTCGAAAACCATCTAAACTCCGCACTGTCGATGCAAAAAGTCGTAATCCTGGCCTATCTCTAAGAGCACTCCTTGATTGATCGTGATACAAGATGCAATCACCACATGTCCTCCATATCAGCCATGGCCTCCATCTCATCAGCGAACGGATCATCTTTAGACGCTGCTGTGCGAGAAGGCAATGCTCTTGATACTGCAGTATCCGGCTGTGTGCTCTCTGCCAGCAGTGCGTCCAGCTCGTCTTCGTCAGGATCGTCACCCGCTGTTACATCTCCCAACTGGCCCTCAGTTTGATCCTGTCTTCCTGGAATAGTCTCAGAACTTTTAGCATCCATATTCGACTCTATACCTTGCATATCATCCGTGCCAGGTTGTGCTGGGTCATCGTTCGTTGGGAGTTCGTCGATATGCTCTTCATCGCGCTCTGTAGTGCGCCTTGGTTTCCCCTCATCTATCCATTCTTTCCTCATCATCTGCATCCGCTTCGTGTGTCCAACCTTCTCGATTATCGCAAGGGCATCCGCAAACTTGGCGCGCGGGTATAGATCGTCGAGCCACAGCTGGTACATGTTCAGCATGCGAGCGATGTCTCCATACTGTTATATAATCAGTGACCGTAGTACATATATTAGCTTGACATTGTTACCTCGTGGCCTTTTCCTTTAAAGCGTAAACGCTCTTTCGAGATTTTTCTTAGCCTCGGGATACCTGGATCTGACGCCAGCCTCTCTTCGTTAAGCTTTGGTATTGGTATACGTTTCTTCGTTATGGTAATTTCTTCGTCGATGCCTAGTCCTGCCCCTGAAAGATCAGACTCTCTATTGCTAGGACGCTCTGGTTGCGTTTGATCATTGGGGATGCTCGTGGCGTCTCGGCCATCCGTCAAGCCATTTAGAATATCGTCGAGCTCGTCATCCGAATGAGCATTGCGCACTTGAGGGTTCTGTTGTGCCATTTTGTATGGAGGACCTCACTTGAGGTATAAAGACGAGATGGTCGATTCTGCTCGCAAATTGTGTGAGGCAATTACCAACTACCAGAGTTGGAAGATATTAAGTGCATCGTCTGACGCGCCGCGCGACGCGACGCGACGCGTTGGACGATTTGGGCTAGTTGGATGTAGTTAGGATCTTGGCACATGTGAAAGCTCTGGATTCCATTTGTTGCAGCGCAGGAACCAGGGTCTAACAACGAACAACGAATATCATAAACCACGACTGCTCTTACTCCCCACAGTAATAGAAGCCGACGGCACCGCAAAACTGACTAGTGTGGTTGAGGGCGGTGTAAACTCTAAAAGAACCCATACGCGCTCACCCTTGTCTCGTTCGCCAGCGAACCCATCGACGGGTTTCTACTTACCAAAGCATCCATCTTTATATTCAATTCACACTCACAATGGTTTTTCCTGAAATTGACTCCGACAATCCTGTCGTGATGAGGTTGAATCACTTACTGCGACGGGCACGCATTGTCAAACCGAGTACTTCAATCGATCCACCACTACAAGTTTCGGAACTTGTGCCTGACAATGAGCTTCTGTTGGGTGATATAGAAGGCATGAAGCAACTTGCAGTGGAGAGTGCGGCACGAAATGTGTTTTATGCGAATCTTGTCAGTCCATCGCCATCCTGATGTATCCTTTTGCTCATTTGTACAGGGAGCAAGTAAAATCGACGAGCCTTCCTTCGTAACCATCTGGAATCTGTTCGATATCATACAATACTGCTGCGATCGTGGTATGTAATGTGCTGTTTGCCGTTGAAGATGAGACGAATCTGACTAGGATAGATTTCTGTTCGCCGCAGCTAACATTGCTGCTCATGGAGGAATTGCTCGACAGTCAATCTATTGAGGAATGTTACAAATCTTTCAGCTTCCTTGAATCACGAAGAGAGGCCATTATTGCAGTAAGTCATTTTCTCCTACTTACATAATAACACTGACCATGTTCCAGATCAGCTCCAAGAACAAAGACCTAGTCATCCTTCGGCTGTGTAACGAGTTGCTTCGTAGGGTGTCTCGCGCAGAAGACCCAGTGTTTAGTGGGCGCGTATATATCTTCATGTTCCAGAGCTTCCCGCTCGGAGACAAAAGCTCAGTGAACCTCCGTGGAGAATTTCATGTGGAGAATGTGACAACGTTCGAGGATTACTTGAAGGAGTCAAACGTAAGCCCGGACCTTATGCAAGTCGACACGAATGAGTCTGAGGCTGTTGTGAACGACCAGTCGAAGCCGGACGACAAAGCAGTGGAGATTGGGGGTTCCGACAACCACAAAGACGAACCCGCTACCATGGACATCGATGCTCTTTACCCAGTATTCTGGTCCCTACAGCACTCGTTCTCAAATCCTCCCAGTCTCTTTGAAGAGGACAAGTTCAAGCATTTCCAGAAGAGCTTAGAGGCCACACTTGCAAAGTTCAAGGTGGTACCAAAGGTTATTCAATCCGGAGACTCTGATCGGAAGAAGGGGTCAAAGCCACGGTCAGACGACAACTATGACGCGTTCGCAAACACGTTCAATCCTAAATATCTCACGAGCCGTGACTTGTTCAAGCTTGAGGTATGTAGTTGCCTCACTCTTGTTGACAGCCAGGGACTAACTACATCCAGCTGAGCGATCTCGCTTTCCAACGTCATATTCTTGTTCAAGCGCTGATACTCGTCGACTTCCTCTTGACGCTAACGGAGAAGTCAAAGAACAAGGCGTTGTATCAGAATGCGCAAAAAGCAATGCAATATGATTTCACGCTCCGCGACGAGGATGTGAGTCTGCCCCATCTCTCCACTCTTTCTTGCTCTGTAGCAGCAACGATCATCACAGTCTCGACTGACCTCAGAGCACAGACCGCATGGGCATCGGGCATCAGAACCACTATCGCAAATTACCTGCAGGAGGGCCCAGACGGCAAGTTCTACTATCGTATGGTGGATACTGTGCTGTCTCGCGACAAGAACTGGGTTAGATGGAAGATGGAGAACTGTCAACCATTCACCCGCGACAGGGTTCCTACAAAGGCTTTTCTCGAGGCAAGGTCTGGGGCACAAAAGGCAGTGGGTCAGAAAAGACCTCCTAAGCCACTAGGCGTTGGCAGTTCCTTTGACTTCCTACGTAATACTGAGGCAGAAAAGGGACTCTCACAGCTCCGCAAAGCCGACAGGTATGATCCCCGTTTGTCTGGTTGCCAAAGCTCTTATCATTTTCTTACGCTAGTCAGGTTCAATGTACCAAACGCAGAGTCGTACGCGAAGAAGGTTCAAACTACAGATTTGGACCTGGAGATTGCTGGAACAGAGGAAGTGAAGCGTGAATTGGAAGACAAAAAGTCCAGTTACGTCTGGCGAGGGCTTCGTCTAGCCTCCAAGCAACAGCTGAGTCTTTTCGACAAGATCGACCCCGGCAAGGGTCTGGAAGCACTCCATTCGGTGAGTTCTTCAACAGAGGCCACGAGTAACGACACCGCACGCGTTTCTCTAGAAAGTGGAGACCATGGCATCGAGGAGGGACGGGCCGGTGAACAAAGTCAAATTACTGTGGACACGGTGGCGGAGCAGTGACCAATGACTCTGGCGCATGGGCAGGATAGGCATGAAATGGACGACAGCTTGAAGCATATACTTCATTTCAAGCTTTTCTCATCGCGACGACGTGCAGTACGGGGAGGGCTGTGGCGTATTACTGTGAAAGGATGTTGTGGATACGCGAGGGACATGGAGTTGATGGGCCAGTCGACATGCATCTAGGTACCGGGTCGATCCTCAAGGTATCGACGCGACTTAAATCCTACGCGATGTGAACAGCCCATTAGTACAGCCGTTACCGGTACCGTTAGACTTGCAACGCTCCGACCATTCAGATGCGGAAGCGGCGCGAGCAGAATGTGAAGATAGCGTCGCGTCTCGGACGACGTGCAAACGCCCCGAACAGTTTGGCCGGTTTATGCTTTGGTGTAACGCCAACGACCAAGCAACCTCGGAGTCGTTCCTGACTAACAGCGTGGTGTTTTCTAACGCTCGAGAGATGAGGATCACGCAGCAACTGCCGAGCGGACGGAACAATGGGGCCGTGTTACAAATGAGGCCGAATTCGGAAGTTGAAACTCATCGGTCAGTGTGTTGTCATCAGCGGTCGTTCCACGTTCATGGGCGATTCTGCAGCATCCCGAAATGAAATGAAAGGATATTGTATCACCTGTCACGGCCGCTGTCCGCTGCGCCAGAGCATTGTGCTGTGTTTTTGACAAGTCGGTAGAATTGTCCTTGTGCCAAGGGCCGAATCACAGCAGGACGCGAGCGGGCAGTCTATTTCCAAACACTGTCAGTTGGCAGCCGCCGAAATCCATGCATCTCAGCAACATGGTCAACCGGCTTGTTTCCGAGGTAGCTTGTCTGCCGACCTCGACACCCATGCGACCATCAAACCCGCACGTAGTTCCTCTTCCACCAATAGTCCCTGGGCAGCGGTGGCGGTTTCGCCAGTGCTTCTCCTGTCATTTTACTGTTCCGCTCCCTCCGTGGGAGAAGCGAGGCTTGGCAATGTTTTGGCAGCACCCATAAGGCCGTTCTCGGCCGGCTTAGTTTTTGAGCATTGCGTAGGCTGGAGAAGCGTGTGTTGTTGCGTAGTTGCGAAACGGCGACCCAAAACACTAGCCGTGACCCGTGTGCTTCACGGGCGCACCAAGCGGTGTGCTGCTCGTTGTGGCAATGTGCCCGTCCGTGCCGAGGACTACGTAGTAGTTAGTGCCTGGTTGTTATTGCTGCCTGTACCTAACCAGCTCTCTCGTGGTTATGCCCATGGACGGCGGATTATCTGCGTTGGGCTACTGGTGCTGACGATCACCGCGCGACTACCTTTTGCAAGACCAGCATGGGTTCCTTGCGAATACGGCTTGGGCTGACGGTCCCTGCGGAGAACGACAACAACAAAATGAGGACATTGTCGCAGGCTCGCGGTCCACCGAAACAAGCATCAGCCCACACGCTCGCTGTGGGCTCGTAGGCAGAGCTGCGTCACGGCGATGGTTACCGCTGTCAAGCCGCCACCGACAGACGGCCGGCGTTGCACTACACTCAAGACAGACTTCGAGAAACATCATTGCTCGTATTTGCCCGCTGCACGGAGCCTTCCTTCCTTAGCGGGCCGAGCTTTTCGCCGTTTGGATCGTCCACCCAGATCTGTCGCTCGCTCGTCGCACGCTCATCTCATTGGCAGTGTGCTTCGCTAGGCGCTCGACTATTCACTACGACTGATCGCGCAGGTGCACAGGACCAGATGCACAGAGCCAGCTAGAAACAGTTCGCTGCCCGACGCTTACGATGTCGGCTGAAGTCTCCCCAGTGTGTGTGTGTGAGTGTGTGTGTGTGTGCATGCAACTTCATGCATCACAGCAGGCGCGATGGGCGGCTCCAAACACTCGCAAGGCTGAGGCCGCATGTGCCTGACGCAATCTCGTGGGCCAGAACCGTTACGAGACGACAGTCCGAGGAGGATGTGTTCAGAGACACCAACCGAGCGCTGGTAGGTACGTCTGTCGGTTATGGCTCGACAGTGGCATAGAGTGCGCCCGCTGCACATCACACGCCGCCTCGCATCACTTACCACCCAAGTCCCACCCTCACCACCCCAACCCGAGCCAGACCACCACCATTTCGTCCGCCCGGCCTGAACGAACTAAAGCAGCAACGACAGCATGGACCCCGCAACAAGCGTTGCCGAGCCTGTACCCTGTGCATCATCCCTGTCTCTTACACTGCGGGTCCCTGGGGCTCCCGTTGTGCTATGGCCATGCATCAAGCCAATTGTGGTGTCCCCATCTGCCTTGACGGTCGATTGCTCGACGCCACTAGTCATTCCTTGCTTGTCGGCGGTTTATTCCACGGGCCCTGGTCTACTGCACGCAGCCTGTTCAGCCCTCCATGTTCATGCATTGCTCGCTGTCGGCTTCAAGGAGGGCACCCTGGCTCCTACAACACCTGATCAAGTGGCCGTGGATTCGCCCGCTCCCGCCTTTGCTTCACTGAAGGCCCACGTCCCGAGCTACCGCATCCTTGTGCCCTGAAGTATTTCGTCTCTTTTAGCCCTTGACGTTAGTCACGCATGTCCCTCGTGTAACAGGTCGATTCCACATCCACGAAGGATATCATATCTCCCCAAGAGACGCCATAGTCCCCGCGAAGTTTCCCCTAGTCTTCATACTGTTCTTAACCCCCGATCCATCCTGTTCGCCAACAGTAAAGTACCATCAAGCCTCTCTGTCTGAACCATCTAGTCCTCTCGCCTGCCAGACGGTCTTTGATTCTTCTTACAAAACGTTGCCCACCATCGACCAAGGGTATATTCTTCATTCGTCTCAAGCTAGCCAACTGCTCATTCGAGCTTCGAGTATCCTCGGCCGGCGTCAATCTTATTCGGCCCATGGTATCACGTCCCAATAATTTTAATTCGAGCGAACGTTGCACCGAACGTCCCCGGTCCTGTTCTATCTTGGGTACAACAACAGCCTCCTTATTCCAACAATTGCAAGGCTCTTTACCTCGGCACTTTCGAAATCTGCTGGTCGTAGCAGATCCTCTCGAGTGCTACATACTCTGTCATCAGCAAACACATCACCCCAACTTGTTCTATCGCTGATCACCCGCGTTCAACCCCGCACTGGATCAGGAACCCCATCAACATTACCCGCACTAAGCTCCATCGGATCCTTCTCTCCAGTGGCTAGAGCCGTGGATCGCTTGCATTCTTGACAGGAGGCCCGCTTGCGACATCAACCCAACTGTTGCTTCTTGGTCATCTCCTGTGTCACGAACTATTCAACGGTCGTTGGCGACTACTCCGGGGCTGTGCGACACGGTAAATACCAGCTCGTCGCACGTGTGAATCAATACTGACTGTGGCGCTTGTTAGAAGTCTGTCCAGACGCACAACCAACCCTACTTTCACTACAGAATAACCATTATCGAAGGCGCCAATGATTGACGCAAACTCCATTATTCCCCTGTCTCCGCCTTGCTCACCGCGCTTGTCTGCGTACGGCACGAGTCCTGCAGACAACGAGTGGCAATCTACACTGGAACACACCCCCCCACATTCGGACAACGATATGGCAATGCTTCAGGTCGAAAGTGCCGCATATGGCTTCGACCTTAAACGTCCGATAATGCGGACGCACAAAAGTTCACCTTACTTGCTGCAAAGCAAGAATCAACTCAACGATAGTCCTACATCACCACCCGGTCTAGACAAAATCGAGTCAGACGATCTGCCGGTTATGACATTTGGAGGCTCTGCTCCCACAAGCCCTCTCTCTCGACTGACACCTTCATCAACACACGATGAGGTCAACGAAGAGAGAATAGATGATGACGGTGATGAAATCATCGATGACGAGAAAGACGACGACGTTGAGGGCGAGATCAATGAGGAAGAGAGACCACTCACAGCCGCAGAAATACGGGCCGCAAAACGCAAGATGAAGAGGTTCAGACTCACTCACAATCAAACTCGATTTCTCATGAGCGAGTTCGCTCGACAAGCACATCCTGATGCTGCTCATCGGGAACGGCTGTCTCGCGAGATTCCTGGTCTCAGCCCTCGCCAGGTACAAGTGTGGTTCCAGAACAGGTAGGCAGAAGTTTGAGACGAGACCAATGACACTACTAACTACTGCACAGGAGGGCAAAGCTGAAGCGACTGACTAGCGACGACCGCGAGCGCATGATGAGGTCTCGAGCCTTACCGGAGGACTTCGACATGGCTCAAGCACTGCACGCTCCATTTGGCAACTCACATGGCATGGGCACATCGCTCGTGTCTCCTGCTCCCTATTCCCCAAGTTTCTCTGAAAACAACATGATGCGGCCACTGAGTATCGATACGTTTCGACGAGGACCACTCGACTCTCACATGTCGCCCACCGGAATTAGCCCTGCATTCGGCGGCTTCGCTTTCACACCACCTCAATCAGCAACTTCGCCCATCTCGAGTCATGATGCTTCCTCGTTTGCGTTCTCTTCAGCAGCGCTTGATCACAGTCCAAAATCGTCAACCTCATTTTCTATGCCAGTCACCACTTCATCAGCGTACGCCACACACCACAGTATGCCACGCCTTGCACTTCACACCGAACGCCTTGCCAGGGCCGCCCGAACAGAGTCGATGAACTCCCCTCTCAGAACCAGCATGAGCTACAACAACGACCACATGAGCACATCTAATGATTCTTCGCACCATACTGACGGATCACGCTCATACTCCAGCTCAATGATGCCGTATGGTATTGGCTACTCCTGTAAGCCTCCCCACTTAGCTATGCAAATCTCTCATCTAACAGTTCTAGACGCTTCGATACCAGGGTTTCAAACAACTAGCTCCACAAGAATGCGTTCCTTCTCCAACGGCTTACCTCGCCGCATCGAACTGAGCACCCACTACCCCCCAAGCCGGAGCACATCAACCCCTCAAACAGCGCAGTTCCCATCGTATGCTGGTTCTCCACTTTCGACACCACATAGTTATGCAATGCCGCAGATGAGTGCCCCACACCATCTCACTTCATTCTCAAACTCGTACATGCGCGGAGATTCTGCGCATGGTGATCATTATTCTGGCGTGGGGTCTGTGCTGAGGGAAGTCATGGGGGGATCACGTCAGGGCGATGAACATTATTAGGCGTCATGTCATGACGATTGGGCTTTTTTTTTGGGTTCGATGATCGAGCAGGCGTTACGGTGGGGACTTTGCAGTCGACATGGACGAGGGAGGCAAAACTGTACATATGACGGGGTTGGATCTCTTTTCATGATACCAGTCTCGCTTCGCCGACCCTCTTTGGTGGTTGTTTCATCTTTTCCCAGCGTCATTTGAGCGTTTCGCTACGAGGGTGGGGGTGGCTTTCTCATTTACAGCCAGTACGATGTGATGTGACTGGCGCTTCACTTATTTGTATATATATTTCACGTACGATTGTCTTACTCGTTTGGGGGGTGTGGGACAAAAGCCCTCCACATAACAAGTACCCACCTACTACAAGTATGGGCTCATACACATCAGATGTTTCCACTCCTGCATAGTCTTGGCTTCGGGCTTTTCAAATGAAGACAGTCTCATGGGCGCTTGGCCGTCCGAGTACCTAAGGCCTCCTTGGTGACAGTTGACAAGTAGTTCTTATCGGTGCATGTTTCCAACCAGTACTATGCTACTGCCCTTTGCGACCTGCCATATGCATTGTGCCTGTGTTCGGCGAACAATTGGTTGTCTGCAGGGGCGTCGACTACACAACGGTACAGGTACATATTTTCTACCCAGGACACCGCTGCATGCGCAACACGACTCGGACGATCTCATCCCGACGTAGTCGCGAAGGAAGGAGACTCGACAAGGCCTCGAAGCAGGCACAGAAAAATAAGGAAGCTTTGACAGCGGCAGTTGATCATGATGTCACGTCGCTTATTCTCTCTAGGCTATCCTTCATATCTCCCCCTTCTACCTTTCATTTCTCACGTTTAAGATTAGCCTACAACTTCCGGTCCGGGGTCGGGAGCCCACTCGACAAATACTTAATGTCACAATGTGCCTGGCTGGCCCCGTCGCCACAAGCGCCCTGCATGAAATCCTCCATCCAAGTTTTCGCGTCAGTAGTTTCTTCCTCTCCACATGATGTGCAAGGATCGATCGAAGCTGTTGAGCTAATTCATCACTCTACCCCAGACTGACACGGAGCCAGCGGGTCAGGAACCGAAAATTCACAGCCTCGATGAGCATGCACGCGAATTCGGTGGATTAATTCCGTGCCGTTTGATTATTACGAGCCCGAAGTTCGGTGCGGTGAGTAGCTGACGGCTCGCGCGCGCATATAGGTCATGGGACGGCGTCGTCCCATTGAGCGTTTTGCGGGGAAATGGGGTGGCGGAGATTTGTCTCTATAGGCTCGCTTTAGCCGTGCATGTGAGAATACGGGGGATGGGCTTGAGTATGCAAGAAAGTCCGGAGAGTGAGAACCGGAAAGGACTATGAATTCCTTCCGGTAGGGCAGAAGGAAGGAGATGCTAGGTGTGGATCGTAACTTTGGTCGCTGACAGTTGACCGAGGCTTCATTGTAGAGATGTGAGGTGTAAGACAGGGTTGTAGAGGTCCTAAATTTGTCTGTTACAGCGCGTACCTGTCAGCGAGCAATGCAAACGGGTACGATTCCTTTCTTCCAAGCAGGTTCGAGAAGCTCGCGAAGCCCAGTGGTTGGCTAGCAGAAAATGCTGACTGGCGCGCAAAACGTGGTGAGTATGACCTGGTGATCACACCTACATGGCGACCGATTGGGCTTGCGTTTTTGATGTGGCGGTGTGGTGTCACCTCCAAGGGAAACGAACCTGGTCGTATATGCTCTGGTTTTTGGATGTAAGCGCATAACTCGTACCGATCGTTCAGGACATTGTGTCAGCCACTACATAGAAGATTAAGGGACACGCACATTTCAATAAAAAAATCCAACTCTTCTTAGGGCTGAATAGCGTCCACCGGCAAGCCACTCCGAAACGGCACATGGCTGACTCATCTGCTCTCGAAGATTGCGTTATGCGCATTGTAAGGATGCGTTTCGCATAGTGCCGCTTTAATCCCTTCCCCGCAATCTGATGTAGCAATGCGGCGAAGAACGAAGGGAGAGGCGTTGCGAAGAATTGCCGAAGAGGTAGGTACACGGCGTAGTCCACCCCAGTTGACGTCGACTGGTTCGTACGGGTAATTCAAAACATGATACATGTTCGGCTGCCCGCGAGCATCGAGCGCTTCACACACTCTCATTGGTGTCTTGAAAGTTGAAGAAATGTGGGGTAAAACCAGGTCGAACCGAAGGGACCTGCAAGAATCCTCGAAGTTGCTTAAGCCTCGTGCGATCTTGATGACCGTCCGACATATTCCGGGTGTGCGACTAGTGCAGAGCACCCCAAACGCCATGAATATCTCCTTCCTTCTTTGGGAACGGAGGAGTGTGGTTGTGGGGCAGCGCGATTGGTGGAGTAAGAGGGTACAGGCCAAATGCTCGAAGCTGTTCAGTTGATTCAAGCTAACGCTGCTCACATGCCAACCGGGGTTGCGGCCGGCGCATCGTGCTGTTTGTAACTAGTGGCATGAATCAGCCGTCGTTGATAAACCTGGAGCGAAGTCGACATGGGACGGGAAGGAGCATGAAGTTGTATGTGATGATGTGACGATACATCGATGATGCAGCCAACGGCAGAGGCGGAACCGAGATCGATATAGATAGACAGGAAAGGAAAGAGCAAAGAATGCAGAGCACATCCAAACTCGCACAATCAAGATAGTCCTCTTCACACACATGCATCAGCCGTCAAGTGCGCTTAGCGGACATAAGACGTCTCTTATAAGGCCGGCAAGCATGTTCTGATGATGTTCAGTTTGGCTCCTTCCTTTCTCGACTAGAGCGGCGATTGGGCCAAAGGATCAAAAGGGCTACGCGAGGCGCCTTTAGTGCCCGAAGCAAGTCGTGCAGCTGCAGGCAAGGCTGTTGATACCCGACGCTTTGCGTTAATTCGATGTCAATACGAGAAAGGATCGTTCAACGGCTGGCGCCGCGAGCCTTTCTTGACCTGACCTGGCCTGACTCGGCCTGACTTGACTGCCTATAGTGGCGATGCGCTTGTCGCTTGTCAGTCACACACGGCATGTGGCAAGCATAGGTGTCGGTCGAATGGCTGTAGTGAGAATAGCGAGAGGTGGAACTTCTGCGTCCGGATCGATCGTGACTCGTGAGGTACTTGAAGATGTTGTTGAAGTGATTCACGCGCAGTCCTTTCTTGTACCAGTCTTTCATGGACGGACAAACTAGGCAGCATGCGATGAGAGATATCGTGAAAGTTGGGCGTGCTGCCATGCAATGCATCCTGCATTTATCGCACCACACCGCTAGCTTCCACAGTTGGTATCCTGTTCAGCTGATGGGGCCACCAGCATCCTTGGTCTTGAAGTCACACCAAATCGTGTGCAAGGCGTCTCGCATGAGCTTGTACCTGGCGGTCCATTGTATGCGCATCTCGGCTTGGTTTCAAGATCAACAGTGTCTGAATTTCCAACACAATAGTCTAACATGTTGTGACCCCCTGGGTATCAATCCTTACTACGGGTCGCAGCGCAGCGCATGCAAAGCATGCATGACATCGCTGTGACAGCTGGTGGCTACTGCCTTAAGCTAGCCATCATTGTGGATCACAGCTGCTGTGCTACCCACAACGTTCAAAACGCGTCGATGTGGAGAGCATCGGAGGCGATATGCATGGTGGGTGGAAAAAAGGCTTGGAGTTTGGCGGTGAAGCACAAGTAATACGGCCTTGTATCGACGTTGGAACTCATCCCATCTCTTCCGATAATGAAAAACACGCGATATATGCCTGGCTTCTGCACAGCATGCACGGGATGGAGGCGGGGCCTTCTTGCTTTACTGTGTACACACAAAACAACATCTACATGAAGACGCCTAAGCTCAGCTGTCACCCAAGATCTCCTTCGCCTGTCTTGTCGACATACATGTTTAAGATCATCAATATCTTTTTAGTCAGACTGCACGGTGCGTCTTCTGGAAAAGATCTTAGTCTTATCGATTCACGCGGGTGCCAAAAACGCCGCACACCAAACCACCCAAATCTTTAGGAACACCACAAACTCACCTTCTTTAAAGCAACAATACATAGCAACAACTAAGTCGTGCAGCCTGAAATCTTAGTAAAATATTGAGAAGAGGCTGTTCTTTCTTCTTGTACTAGTACATTTTTGTTCAAATCCTCTGGAAATTGCATAGTCTTAACCTAGAACAGGAGAGAGTTTGGTGTGCGGCGTTTTTTGGCACCCGCGTGCGATTCGGGTAGTTGGAATGTTCACGTGATTCGGACTTAAGCACGCAAGTCCGATTGTCAGAAGAAAGGTTGATTTCGATAAACACGGCGTCATCGTGCATGCAGAACGTGGAAACGTCAGATGTTCTGTAGTTTACTCGATCGATAAGAGAATAGGAATTTAAAGTCGCGAGGTATAGGTATGAATACGTTCAGACTTGGAAGGGCGTCACAATGCTAGGTAAGGAAGTCTTTGTCCCTCTGCTGTGCCTCCAAAGCCACCTCCTGTCTGGCCCGAGACAATACATAGTACGACATAATGAACAGGTCTGTGCTATGCATTCGAGACGCGTTTCCCATTTACCTGGTTCAGTTTTTCATACATCGCGCACGATGCGTTTGATCTGGACAATGAGCTGCATGTTCCCGGTGTTTGCCCATGGTGGCTGCCCCGCATTGTCGACGTTGTGTGGGCATTTTAGGAGAGGCAAATCACTTCGTTGTCCCACCATCAGCCTAGTTTCTTTGGTCAAGGCTGCGTCTAGCTTGGGGCGGAGTGCAGCGCGGTGCAGCTTGTGATACCTAATGGTGATGACTGATTACTGATGACATTTGGTGAGGGGGACTCGCCTCATCTTCTTTGAGCAGGCGCGACCGTGCAGTTGACAAGTCTCGCGAGGGCCTTTGAGGACGAAACAATGAGGCATTGTCAGCGAGAGGCTCGTGAAGCCGAAGCACGTAGCAGCTGGAGAGGCAAACAAGTGTTGGGCGTGAATGACCAGAGATTGCGAGCAGTTCGCCCGAAGAGGGACACCCACCACCCTAGCACCTCGCTTGGCCGCTCAACTTCTGGCAAAACACAAATTTCCGTGCCTCTTTTCCCACTTCACACCTCTTCAACCGTGAAGATATCAACAACGAACCTGCAGCGGGCTCAGTGAAATTCACACGAGCCGCTTGCCAGATTTCACAGACCCGTCTGTTGAAATCCACTCTCTGGAGCACCTGTCTCGACAATTTTCACGCACTCGCCGTGAAAGCGCTCGGACAGCCTCCCTCGTCGCCCTTCTCCAGGAGCCGGCTACTTTTCGTCTTGCGCTCACGCCTTCTGTTCTGCACTCGAGTCGCGCTTCCCGCACTCTTAATTTTGCAGCTCGCCTGGATCTGAGATCAGCGACGTCACCCTTGCATTCGAAGCGCCGAGCCACCCGCACCTCGCACCTCGCAAAACGCTCTCCACCCTCACCTACTCCCGCCACCTAGGTTTCTAATGAGTGCATCCATCTCGAACGCGCAGAACCCACCGATTGCCGCCTCCCAGACTGCTACTGCCGCGAACAGCTCCTCTGCAGGATCGTCCGCCAACGTGGCTGCTGGATCGGCTCAGCCCACTGCCCGCAGCTCGTACGCCAACGCGACCAAGAAGATTTCTTCGCCCACGATCGCGTCCAGCGGCGCGCCCCCCGTGGCAGTGGGAGGCCCATTGAACGCACAGCATGGGAAGAGCGCCTCTGTGTCGCCAGTGAATGGCAACAGCGCCATCAAGCCCGCCGTCCCCACCGTCATGCCGACCATTGTGAGCGGCGGTCCCAACGGCGACCACAGCCGCAAGTCCTCTGTGCACATCAAACAGACGCCCCCCACTACTGGCCCGCCCTCTGGAATCAAGTTTGGCTCGCTTGCCGTCTCACCTGCGCCTGCGCACGCCTCGCCCGCCACCCAGGGCAGCAGCTTGAATCCCCAGGCGCAGAACCCGCGTGTCGCCTCACCAGCACACTCGCCCTCGCCCATTCCCACGCCCATCTCCGGCGGTCCCAAGCCTGACGGGCTCCCCACGCGCCCCAACTTGGTGTTCGGTGGCCAGGGCGGTGAAGGTGCCGAACCGAGCGTGAGTCTACGTCCAATCATTAATAATGCTCCCAACAATAATTTTCTGACTCGTCCACAGTCTCGCCCTCTTTCCATGCCTCCTCAATCCAACTCCCACCAGCAGGCTCAACATCTACGCGGCGAGTCTGCACAATCCGCACACAGCGATATGAGCAACGCAAACATGAACAGGGGCTTCCCACCAAACGCGGGTCGAGGTCGTGGTAACCACTTCCAGCCCCACTACAACCCCAACATGGCGAGTCACTCACCGCGGCCCTTCCATCCGCAGCCGCAGCCCCACCAGCACATGGGCCGCGGTGGTGGACCACCTTTCCAACCACAGCAGCAGAACTCACCCTATCACCAGAGTCGCAGCCCGGCCATTACGCCTGCCACGATGCATCAACAGGCGCAATATGCCAACCCGCAGAGCATGCCCTATTACCCAGGGCAGCCCTACCCCCCACCTGTTCGTATTCCCTCTACTACTTCAACCCTTTCTCTAGTTTCCGAGTCTAGCAAGTCGGCCCAAGCGGCGACTGGTTCTCGGCTTTCTCAGCAGTCTCAGTTTGTTCAAGCTTTCTTTCCTCATTCGGCGACTATGAAGGAACCCGAATTTCGGGTACCTGTCGAGCAGCCGAATGCTTTTCTTCAGTCTATCGATACCCCATTTTCTTCAACTCACGATTACGAGCAATATCTGACCGCGCTACCACATCAGAACATGTATGGCGTGCCCCCGCAAGCTCTTGACCCTTACAACTCCTACTACAACCAGAACGCGTATGGACATGGGTTGCAACATTCGATTCACTACCCAGGTGTACCGGCGAGTCCTGGTAGAGGCCACAGCTTCCCTCAACAGATGCAACCACCATATGGGATGCCTTCTCCCTATGGCCAGGGCCCCCAAGCGGGACCTATGTCGCGCAGTGCTTCGAACATCTCGGAGCGACCGCCATCTACCGTTCCGCAGCCAACTACGCCTGCAATGACTAACGTTAATCACATTTCTCACACGCACACGCCTAGCGTAACTGCTCCTAGCCCGGCACCCAGCTCTGCTTTTGAGCGCCCGAAGAAGGCGAGCAAAGCTATCGTGATCAAGAAACGCACGTCCCCCCTCCTCTTGATCTCATCTCTGACGAAACTAACCGTTATGCAGCTGACGGAGAGGTACTCGACTTCAACAAGAGCAAGGCTGCCTCGCCTGCGCCATCTGCAACCCTCGCTGCGCCTACACAGCCTAGATCTCCCGCTATCGCCGCGACGCCGACCCCACCACCCCGGGCTCCTAGCGCTACCGACTCCACACGTGCTGAGGAAACTGCCGCTAAGACCGACAGTGAGAAGAAGGCGGACTTCGTCAAACAGTTTCAAGAGAAACTCCGGTTGCAAGAAGAAGAGGAGAAAAAGACGAAGGAGGCAGCTGAAGCTGGTGTCAAGGCCGAGGCTGAAGCCAAGCAAAAGGAGAAGGACGAAGCTGAGGCCAAGGTAGCTCGTGAAGCCAAGGAGAAAGAGGAAGCCGACGCTGCAGCCAAAGCTAAGGCCGAAGAGGCCGAAGCTGCCGAGAAAGCAAAGGCTAAAGAAGTCGAAGCTGCCGAGAAGGCAAAGGCTGAAGAAGCCGAAGCTGCCGAGAAGGCAAAGGCTGACGAAGCCAATGCTGCTGAGAAGGCTAAAGCTGACGCGGAAGAGAAGAAGCGACTCGATGATGAAGAAATGGACCGCATGATTGCTGAGATGGAAGAGGAGGAGAAGAAGCGAGAAGAGCAGGAGAAGCGCTACGCTGAAGAGAAGAAGCGCAAGGCTGAGGAAGATAAGGCCAACGTTGGTGACAAGGTCAAGGCGGAAGAGGAACGCCTGCGCAAGCTCGAGCGCGAAGCCGAAGAGGCTGAAGCGGCCCGCGAAAAAGAGACCCCTGAACAGAAGGCTGAGCGTGAGGCCAAGAACCAGGAAGCTTTCGCATCCTTGAAGAAGAACACCATGTTTGGTCCAGGCGCCTCGCAGACAGAAGAGACTGATGACTCCGCTCCTGTGGAGGCCCCAGCTCCTGCCCAGTCAAAGCCCCTCAGTGCCACAAAGTCAAAGCCTCTTCCTCTTAAGATCGAGACCAACAAGACTGTCGAGCCTGCGCAGCCTACTTCTGGCATGCAGGCACTCAAGACATCACGCTTCCTCCAGGTTCGAAGCGAGCTCGTCAAGTACCCTGAGGGTATCCAGTCTCCAAACCCTGCACTGAACCAAGGTAGCAAGAACAGGGGCCGTCAGTACGACAAGGACTTTTTGCTCCAGTTCCAGGAAGTTTTCAAAGAGAAGCCTTCAGTGGATTGGGACCTCAAATTGAAGGAGACCGTCGGCGACGGAAGCGAGTCTGCCGGACCCAAGTCTGCTCGTCCTTCTTCCATGTCGGGCGGTCGTCAAGTTTCCCGTCCAGGTGTTGGACAAAGTAGCGTGATGGGCCAATTCCAAGGTGGCTTCAACGCTGGCGGTCGCACACTTCCACCAGGAACGACTTCTGCAGAGCGTTTCGAGAAAGCCTCCGGCCGTGGCCCCATGGTCAACCCGCTTGCTCAGATGGTCCAAGGCGGAAGCGGCCGTGGCGGTTTTGCCATGGGCCCTCCAACAATGAGCCGCACCACATCCTCCTTCCAGCCTCATAACGGTCCCAATTCACCACGCTCTGGTAGCACTCGCGGTAAGGGAAGTAGCCGAAGGGGTCCTCCGAAGGAAAACCATCGCGATGCCGCGGCCATGCCTCTTACTGCTGGTCAAGAGCTGAAGCCCATTGAACGCACGCAGGCTGGTTGGAAACCTCACTCTGCCACTCAACCACAACAAGTGGCAGGTCACATGGCCCCTGACATGGTGCAACGCAAGGTCAAGGCGGCTCTCAACAAGATGACACCAGAGAAGTTCGACAAGATCTCTGATCAAATCCTGGAAATTGCTGCACAGTCGAAAGATGAGACTGACGGTCGCACACTCCGCCAGGTCATTCAACTCACTTTCGAGAAAGCTTGTGACGAGAGCCATTGGTCGTCCATGTACGCCAAATTTTGCAGTCGTATGCTTGCGACCATGAGCATGGAGATCAGAGACGAGAACGTTCGCGACAAGCACAACAACCCTGTTGTTGGTGGTGCTCTCTTCCGCAAATACCTTCTCAACCGATGCCAGGAAGAATTCGAGCGTGGATGGGAGATCAACCTGCCCGAAGCTCCTGAAGAAGGCAAAGAAGCAACTATGCTTTCCGACGAGTACTACATCGCAGAAGCAGCCAAGCGAAAGGGTCTTGGTCTTATCCAATTCATTGGAGAGCTCTACAAGCTTGGCATGTTGACCTTGCGCATCATGCACGAGTGTGTACTGAAGCTTCTCGACTTCGAAGGCATGCCGGATGAGTCGGCTATTGAGAGTTTGGTCAAGTTGCTGCGCACTGTTGGTGCTACCATGGAGGCTGCCGAGGCTGGACCTAAGATGATCAACATGTACTTTGAGCGGGTTGAGAAGGTCATGAACATGGACGGCCTCCCGTCCCGTCTCAGGTTTATGTTATTGGACATCGTCGATCTTCGTCGGGCAGGCTGGAAGTCTAAGAACGATCAGAAAGGTCCCAAGACGATTGCAGAGATTCATCAGGAGGCTGTTGTCGCTCAACAGGCCGCCGAGATGGAGCGAAACCGATCAAGCGCGCGCGGTGGTGGTGGCGGTCGCCTGCCAATGGGTCGTGGCGATGCCCGCTCATTCTCTGGTGGTGGTATGATGCCTCCCCAGGACACTGGTGGCCGTGTTCAGATGGATGACCTTCGAAAGCTGTCGAAGGGTGCATCTGGGCGCAATCTCAACGCCCCGGGAGCACTTGGTCCTTCCATGCTCGGCAATCGTAGCGGCAGTGGTCGTCGTGGTCTCGGTCCCAGCATGATGGGCAACCGAGATGATTCTGGCAACTCTTCGCGGAATGGCACTACTCCAGTCCAGAAGGAGAAGGAGGCGACCGCACATGCAAATGCTTTCAGGTAAGTCATCAAGCATATAATCCTCTATATAGTACTAACAATATCGCAGTGCGTTAGCAGCTCTTGAAGACAATGCCGGCGAGGTTAGCTCTCCGCCCACGACATCAGCCGAACTTGCTGGTGGTGACGCAGAGTCCAAGCCATCTGAGTGATTACCCATCTGATTCCTACGAGCGCGAGCGGTCATACCCATAGACCACGCCGCACGCGGTTATAATCACTTGTTTCGTTGCATAGACAGGGGCATTTTCTGCGCGCATTGTACTGCATCTTGCGGGTTTTCTTGATGCGGCTTCGACGACTAGCGGTTTCAAAAGTTCTTTGTTGTTGGGTGACGGGTGTGGTGTTTCGACCATTTCTGGCCTGTTCTTCCCAACCTCGATTGTTTCTTACGCGCGTTTCCGAACTTACATACCATGACGGCGTTCCGGATCTGCAGAGGGAGCCTGTCCCACACCAACCGCTTCTCTCAAAAGCGCATTGGGTGGTATTCTGGGCAATGGCTCTTCTTTTTCGCTTACACTTTTGTCATTCTGCACGCCTGTGTTTTCTAGGGTGGGCCAGAGGTAGACGAGTCTTCCTTCACCTGGGGGCTGGTGGAGATTTCCTTCTCAATTCATTGATCACTTCATGTCCATTCCCTTGTCTCGCTCCAGTCATGATGGGGTTAGTTTGACGATGTGTGTGAGGGCAGCTTTGCTTCGGCATGACTGTTTGGGCTGGCGATTATGATGACAGGATTTACGAAGGCAACGTGTTCGTGATAGCATGTTTTGATCTAATTTAGAATACACATGTGAATTTACCCGGTCCAGCTTCTTCACTTTGGCGACGTTTCCAGTTGTCCACGACTCATTGGTTCGGTGACTACTTCCAGATCTGATCATCCCCTATCCCTGTCGATGATGTGATGTAATGCGATGTGATGTGATGTAGACGTTGTGGATCGACAGGCCATCGCGGTAGCCTACTCCCTGCAAGAGCGTTTTGCGAACCCGACCGACAAGGGTAGAGGAAGGAGGACCCGCTACGTCATAGAGATGATCAGACGTATTTACAGTTCAAGTCGCAGGAGCCTTTTCCGACCGACTGTCCAAAACACGTACGATAGAAAATCCTACAAAGCAAAGAACACGAAGATTATCCACTTGTTCCCTCAACAACACCAGCAGAACCTCTCAACCCAACATGGCAGACCAGAACAACCAGCAGCAGCAACCAAAGGGTATGTTCCCCTCGCACGCCGATAGTCCAGAATACACGCAAACAAGAACGGCGAAATTGACGCTTTTGTAGGCTTCTTCGGCACCGCTGCAGGCGGAATCGGTACGCCTTTTTTCCTTCCTCCTTTCCCCCCTTCCTTCCTTCTCTGTACAATCCTTTGATCGCTTCGCATACACACACACACCAATCGCAGACCCTTACTAATTCTCTCTTCTTTTCCCCGAAATAGGAAATACCCTCGGCGCAGCAACAAACACCCTCGGCAAGGGCGTCGCGGGCGTCACGGAGACGACAGGGAATGTAGTGTCTGGCGTGGGACGGGGCGTGGGAGATACGGTTTCGGGTGTGAGCAAGGGTGTTGGGGATACGACGAAAGGTGAGTTTTTCACAGGGGGGGGAGGGAGGGAGTGAGGTGTTTGGGTTGGGTTGGGCTGGGCTGACGGTGACTTTTGTAGCGGCGGGTAACTTTGTTGGCGATACGACGAAGGCTGGGACGAAGAGTGTGGGGGCTGGTGGGCAGGATGAGGTTGTGCAGAAGTAGATTTGTTGGTTGGTTGGGTGGGGGGATGGATGGGGATGAGGGAGGTTTGGAAGGCGGATGGCTTCTTCTTCTTTGAACAGAAATGAAATGAAAGTATAGGAATACATGCTGTGAAGACGATGGATGTGTACACTATGCAGAGATTATGGTATAAGTGCCGCATGTTAATGCTATTTGTAATTGTTAGGCTGTTGCAAGATCTTGCTGCAGCTTACTTACTTCGCGCTTCTCACACTCACACAAGAGGGTAGAACGGACTGGACCTGGAAATGACGTGGAAATATTGAAAGCGTGTATCTGCACTCTCGTCCCAGCATATGACTTAGATGTGTGAATGGTGAGAAGATGTATACCGCTATCAAGCAAACCAGAGCTCATTAAGTATATATCTCCGGATCACCTTGCCATCTAATAATGGCGAGAACAGAACGATCGAAAACGCTACTAAAATATATCCCAGACATGTACCAATCAAATTTCCCAACGAAAAGAACCGCATACGAAAAGGACGTTCCATCTATATACACTCACCACCCAAAAGTCTCAACCTGAACATCAACATCCTTCCCCTTCCAAATCAACCCCACACACGTATTCCGTACATCCCTAACCAGCCCCTCCGGCCCCGAAACAACAACTCCCGCCCTCCCATCACCCACCCATCTCTCCAAGATACTCCCAACATCCGGACGCCCCGCCTCCGCCGTCGGCCGCGGGATCACAACATCCAACCCCCACCCCTCCAACTCCTTAAGCTTATCCTCCGGGATCCACTGGCGGTGATTAGCCGCGTGCGTAATCCACAACAACTTGACTCTCTTCGTGGGCGTCGTAGGCGGGGCCTCGAGGTCGGTAGAAGGGCGTAGCAGGGCGTAGAGGAGGGGGTATGCGACTGCGATGCCGGAGCCGCCAGCGACTAGGATGGCGGTTTGGGACGCGGAGAGGAAGTCGAGGGCGTGCGAGGAGCCGTAGGGACCGTCGAGGCGGATCCGTGTTTGCGGGTGCGAGTGCGCGTGGCGCAGGAGGGTGTGTGTGAAGCCTGCGTGCGATTGGGCGCGGATGAGGAGGGTGAACCAGGCGTGTTTTGCGTCGGTGTCTGCGTCGGAGGTTGTGGTGGTTGTGGTTGGGGCGGCGGAGAAGATGGTGAAGGGGTGGGATTGGATGGCGTGTTTGCGGGATAGAGCGGGGACGGAGATGAAGATGTGTTCGTTTGGGTTCCAGCCGTGGTTCATGTTGGCTGGTGTGAGGGGGGATTTCTTGCTAACGGCCCAGTTGGAGGATAGCAGGACTGTTTCGTCGTCGAGGACGGTGAGCGTTGCCGGGTGGGTGCTCGATTTCAACCATAATCTGTACACGAGGCGATCGATGAGGAAGATGGCGAGTGAGATGCCGACGTAAGGGCGGGATGTGTAGTGGTGGAACCAGAGAAACACAAGACCAGCAACCTGGAGGATGATATGTGTTGCGAGGAAAACTTCGTACCAGCGTTGGCGGAAGCTACCGAGCGATGTGAAGTATATCAGCTCGTATGCGATCAAGGCAGCGAGACCGAGGAGGACGACGCGGTTGAGGAGGAATTTTGAAAGCGTGAGACCTAGGTGACGGAGTAGTCCGTACCAGACTGCGATCATGCCTAGGAAGTGTAGGAATGCTTCGAGACACATCAATTCTCCGACTCTTCTGTGAAAGATGTTCAGGCTTTCGTATGAGTAGCCTGTCAAGAACTTTATGGGCTGATTCTTCGCAGCGAGAAGATACAATAGAGGTAGATTGACGATGAAGATGATGCCACATCGGTCAGCAAAGCAAAAGAGATACATAAAGGACAAGGGCATGCGATAGAGGTTGTAGAAAACATTCAAGCCAATCCAAGCGAGAACGAACAGCGAGACGGCGTTTGTGGGAAGAGTCTTGTTGATAACTGGTATGCGAGGCGGTTGGTACTGCAACACCGCCTTGACGATGTAGTACGGCCTCCAAAGACCAGAGGACGTCCGTCTAGGCTGGCCAGAAAGCAACGGACTCGACTCGTTGGCGTCGTCCGTCTTATTTTGTGAAGCAGCATCCGGAGGTGTTGTAGCACCTTCAATAGTACTACTCGAGCTACTCCAAGCATCGGCATCTTCTACCGCTCCATTCTTGGCCGTCACTCTTCTCCTATCGTTTCGCCTCTTCCTTCTATGCAGGACCAGTTTCTCCCCCCAATGCCACGCGGTAAACACGACCAACACGCCCAGCAACACGAAGTTATACGTGTTTAGGAACCTCCTGCTGAACAATATCGCCTCGACCAGCTTCCTGAACCGAGGGTCTTTGCCCGGATCCTTTGGGTCTGTGAGCTTGTCTCCGCCAGCGGTGGTCTCAAAGCTCTGTAAATCGGCGACTTGGGTTGATGCGGTGGCCGTCATGGCGAGACGCAGAACGTCTCGCATCCATGGTGCGTCGTCCATGACGGTGGTTGTTGAAGAGGTCGGTGAGAGTACTGAGATGTCGTTCAGTACCATAGTTCAAAGCTCTTCACGTCATTCACGCGCATGATACGTGCACATGCGCGTGCTGCGATAAGCGCGTTGTACATGAATATCGGGGCACGCTTAGCAGATCTTGGAGAGCGTGGGGCTCGAGATCAAAGTGTGGGGTCGAGATCGATGCTCTGTAAACTCACCATGATGATGATTTATTCTTATAGAAGTTTATTTGCAGAGTTCTCTCAAAGTGTTCATTGATCAATACGTTTATCTCGTACAACATTGATCCACCTACAGATGTACCCACCTCGACGCCAGCAGTGCAGGTTGCATCCATGGTTAAATACTACACGACTGTTTTATTCATTGGTCCACTCGGCCTTCTTCTTCGCCGCAAAAGCAGCCATGCCAATTTTCTGGTCCTGACTACCGAACAGACCATGGAACACTCTTCTCTCGTACTCGACACCTTCTCTGAGGCCCAGATCCTGGCTCTTATTTACAACCTCCTTGCATGCCTTAACAGTAATATGACTGTAGCTCGCGATCTTCTCTGCCGTTGCAAGAGCACCATTGACACACTCCTCGGGTGTCTCAAACACCTTTGCGACGAGTCCCCATTCACCAGCCTGTTTTGCGGTGATGTTGTCGCCTGTGAGGATAATCTCCATAGCTCTCGATTTCCCAATCGCCTTGGTAAGACGCTGCGATCCACCGCCGCCGGGAATAGTGCCGAGCTTGACCTCGGGCTGTCCAAACATTGCTTTGGGTCCGGCGTACAGAATGTCTCCCATCATGGCAAGCTCACATCCTCCACCGAGCGCGTATCCGTTTACAGCTGTGATGAGGGGTTTCTTGAGGAATGTGACAAGGTCGGACCAGACTTCTATAAAGTCGTTTCCGTATGAAGTGCTGAATGTCAGGTCTTTCATTTCCTTGATGTCTGCGCCCGCGGCAAATGCTTTTTCAGAACCGGTGAGGACAATGGCGCCAATGGACTTGTCGGCCTGGAACTCGCGCAGAGCCTGGTTGAGCTCGAGGATGAGGGGTGTGCTGAGGGCATTGAGGGCTTTGGGTCGGTTAAGCTGGACTGGGAGCTGTTAATGGGTTGCACCATTGCTTTGAAGGAATAGTGAAGTTGAAATTGGAGAAAACCTACCAAATCCAACACCAGGCTTCGGCGTCGAGACCAGCAAATGCTCATATGTCTGCGCCGAAGAGTATCCCCTCACGAATCTGGGCAGACCCGTTGAGCGAAACTGAGAAGCTACCCGCACTGTTGATCTGAATGCCTGCATATTTTGAGTAATTAATCGAGTTTGTGTTAGAACTCCCAACTTGTGCTATGTCAGTTTGCGGTAGAAGCGGCCTTTAAGTTTAAACTTGACGGCTCCCTGGCCGTGGTTAGCATCGCACCTCGGCAGAGACGCCCGTTCCTCGAAGCATTGGCTAGCGCCTCGTTTGCTCTAGCGTCACGCCCGCGGCAAGGTTGTTGGGACGGAGCTTCTGGGCAACGTTCGCCGTCAACTCAGCCTCAAAGCTCGCGTCTTTTTGACACGACGCCTCAACCAAGTCGCCCCCTCGCCATCCACCCATCTATACCCCGCCAGCCCCGATCGCTCGCAGATTCGCAACAGGGCCGCTTAGCAGGAGTCACCGCACCAGAAGGAAGCACGCGCAAACATGGACTCCCCGGAGCCTGATACCCCTTTCGCGGCTGTGACGGCGCAGACATCGAAGTTTAAGAGGGTACGTTTGAACTTCCTGGTTCCTGGCACACACACACACTGTCACTCTCTGGATGGTGCTGCAGCCGTGTTGCCATTGCCTTGCGGCTGCGGTGCAGCGAAGAAACAACAGCTGCTAACAATGCGCCACAGACATTCCAAAGCTACCTCGACAAGTCGACACCTTACCAGACGTACAGATGGGTCGGCACCGCCGTCTTGTTCCTATTATTCGGCCTGCGCATATTCCTTGCCCAAGGCTGGTACATTGGTACGTCTTCTTAGCTTCCCTCGTACCCCACGAACCCCTCTTTACGTCCTCTGTGTCCCCACGCAGCAGCGCAAACAACCCACACTAACCCCCGACACAGTCGCCTACTCGCTCGGCATCTATCTGCTAAATCTCTTCCTCGCATTTCTATCCCCGAAATTCGACCCCGCGCTTGAACAAGATGAGGGCATGGAAGACGGCACGGCGGGCGACCTCCCCACCAAGGAGGAAGAGTTCAGGCCCTTTGTGCGCCGCCTTCCAGAGTTCAAATTCTGGTACTCGGCGACCATGGCCACCTCTATAGGCTTCTGCTGCAGTTGGTTTGAGATTTTCAACCTGCCCGTCTTCTGGCCGGTGCTGGTGGTCTACTGGTTGATTCTGTTTGGCCTGACGAGTAAGTTTTACACATCCATGTTGTGAGGAGAATTACAATTCTAACTATGAGCAGTGCGACGACAAATCCAGCACATGATCAAATACCGCTACGTTCCTTTCACGGTCGGCAAGACGCGATACCCGGGTGCTTCGAACTGAGCACGCTCATTCTTTGCTGATCATCGATCGGTCGATTACCGCATTCGAGACCCATGGATCGAGCGTGGACGTGTGGAGTTATTACAAGCGGTTGCTTTCCTGGCGCAGGCGCGGTGTAACGATAGACATGGGCTTCTACTCAGCGCCACTAGACTGCTTCAGAAACAAGCAGGCACGGACTGGACAACGATTGGATGGTGTACGACATGCATTGTATCGGTAGTAGGGAAATCGGCACTTACAACTTTAATCCTGGGGAGGAACAATGGCAGAATATATACCTTCACATCAAATGAAATGTCTGCGAGTCAGCCAGCCTTCTTGTCATGAGGTGGGTTCAGGTTCTAGGAACATCTATGCATTACGATTGATCCTGTCGTTGGACATGCAAGAATACAAAACCACTTGTGAGTTAAAGCAACAGACCAAGACTCTAATCCATCCGCATAGCCGGCTCCTCAAGCTCCAACTCCGCCAACTCCACCTCCCCAGAACGCACCCCATCGTCCTCCCCCTCAACCCCACCCTCCTTAGTACAAATCCACGTCGAAGCATACATATTCACCCTACACACCGTCAGCAACACGACACACACCACCCCTCACCTCAAAACACTCACCGATCAACACACCCCCCAGGCGTCCTAACCCCCACCCTCCGACACACAAACCCACTCCTCGCAAACACCCCAAGATACCACGGCTCCAGCCCCGCACTCCTAAGCAACACCCTCCCGCGCACCCTCAGCGCCCGATTCAACGCGCGAATCTGCCGCACCGCCTGCCCGCCCGCCCGTGGAAACCAATCCATGCTATCCATCACCACGACGATGGTCAGCGTCGCGGGCCGCATGCGCGCCAGCACCTCGCTCAGCTCGTCGGTGTGGATGCGCAGGCCGGCGAAGGCGTGCGGCTTGCTGAGCTTGGCGTGGGCGCGGGGTGAGAGGTACGTTGGGTGTGAGTGGGGTGTGTAGTGGCCCAGGAGGGCGAGGACGTAGTAGTGGTTTGAGGTTGAGAGGAGGGTTGTGTTGACGACGGGCTCGAAGGTGGCGAGCACGTAGGCGTAGATTGCGTTTCCGGGCGGGGAGTTGAGAACGTCGTCGCTGGGGAGCGTGTGGAAGGCCATGTATTCGTCTGCCGCGGTGTGCCTTGCAGTAGCAGTCTGTGAGCCGGGAGAGTTGGCCTGCTTGCGGAAATCCGCCTCGATGAGCGCGCGTTGGGCAGGTGGCACGCCGAGGGCTTTCCACAGCCATTTTGCGTTTCCGAGGATAGCGTAAGTGAGGATTTTGGAGTGGAGGACTGTTTTTATGCTGCGGTGCCAGATCTCGCGCTGTTCGTTTAGCGTTTGCGCGGCGCACAGCTTCTTGACGTCGTCGGACATGCCGAGGACGCGGAAGAGCCAGCCTGCGGCCGAGATGGCATAGCCTGAGCCGCCGGAGTGGTACAGGCCCCTCGACGATGGGGAGAACACGGACGGGCCGTTGTGCAGCCAGAACTGGAATGCCTCGCTCGAGAGATGGGGGCTGAGTTTCTCTATCAATAATGCTTTGAAGGCAGCGTGCTTTCCGGCGCCGAACAGCTGCCATACATCCTGGTACCCGAGGGCTGTGAAGGCGGCGACTTTGAGCTCGAGGAGGTGGTTTTGCGAGGGGTTTAGGTCGACGGCGTGCACGCGACGCGGGTTCTCGAGACAGAAGGCCAGGATGTTGTCACCTGCGGAGCCGATGGCAAGGACGACGTCGTTGGAGGTGGGTTTCAGCAGGCGCATGTCGGCGACGTCATCTTCCCAGGTGAAGGCGTAAATGTACGAGTTGTTGAAGCGGGTGTGCTTGGGAAGGCTGGAGTCGTAGTGGATGCGCCAGTGATGGTTTTGGTACCATGTAGCGGGGAGAGGGAGGCTGGATTGCAGGTTTACAATCGCCGACTCGTAGGCCTTTGAGTGGATCTCGACGTCGGTTTGGGTGGCTCCGGTTTGGAGATCCAAGGCTGATAGATACGGCGATTCGGTGGCGGCAGCGTCGATCTCAGCAAGCCTCTGTATTGACGTCTGGCTGTCCTTGGAGCATCCAACCCAGATGTAGTATGGCAACTTGATGCCAGTGCCGAAGAAGTTGTTCCTGGCATTGACACTAAGCACTGTTCCGAAGCGGTACTCGAGATAATCCTAGTAGACATGAGTGATTCGTTTTCGTGCGTACGCTTTTGTAGCTCACCCTTCTTGCGGCTTCGAGATTCACTCGATCGATTTCAAACCACGTCCGCCAGAACACGCGAGAGAGCCACATACAGTGACGATCGATAGCGCCACCCATGTAGTTACGCCCCCTGAAATCGACCTGGTTCTGTACGTAGAAGTCAATAACACCACAGATACCACTAGAACTTAACAGGCTGTCGATCGAGTCAATGACGGGGTAGAATTCCGGGATCATAGACAGGGCATAGCTCAGAGTAACTAATTCGGCGCCACCAGCATCAGCATTCTCATCAAGATCCTGGATTGCCTGACCTTGAGACACTGGTGTCTTGTGTCGATCAGCTTGTGACTCATGTTCATGGAGACGGAAAGCGCGAGCGTCCTGACAAATGACTTTAACGTTTGTCCATCCAAGGCGGGTAAAGCGCTTGCGAGCCATTTCACATAGACTCGGGGAGAGATCGACAACGTCTAGGAACATCAGCACAGTCGTTGCAACTGAGTTCTGATCTGCGTACAAACTGCACGGAAGAAGTTTGGCACCGAGAGGAAGACGTTCATTTGCTCGACATTATATCCAGTACCTCCGCCGATCTGCTGTGATCAGAGCTCGCTCATGCTACACACGTTACTTCAACTCACATCGACCCAGACTGGACGCTGCGAGATAAGACCCGCATCAGCTCGGTGCTTCAACTGTGCTGCCACGAGCCCTAGCATATCTTCACGTCCTCGGAGGAGGTTGACGCGGGTAGCATCGTATACGCTGGCTTGGGCTTTGTAGAAGCTCTCCTACTTTTGGTCAGTTGATGCATCTTAGTCTTAGTCTTGTGGTCCAGACCAGAGCATCCTGCTGACTTCCAGATCCATCGCCGGTATGAGGTTTCAAAAAGCACCCGTAGATGAACTTCAGATAAGCTCCCAAGCCACCAACCGAACTCTCTTTGTCTTTTGGTTTGAGTGCGAAAGCAAAAGTGGTAGCGAGAAGGAGACCGACGATACACAGAGCAATCGTAAGCCGCTGGAACGGGTCATGAGGAAGAAATCCTGATAGGTCTAACATGGCTGCGATTTGGACAAGAAAGAGGGGGGTTGAAGAAACAGAGATACGCAGTAAATGCAAAAAGATGCCGTGGAAGGTTATACCAGGAAGTGTTCCGAAGTATGGTTCCGAGTTTGGTTCGTCATGTTGCTGGCCTACATGGTATTGCATCACAAGGGATACTATAAGTCTTGATACTCATCCTCATAGTGCCTACCATCCAATAGAGTGATACACATGGTAGGTCGATCTGGGCACATAACGGTTCGTGGGGCGTCTTAGAAGTAAAAGTCTCTCCGGACTCCATGATATACATGGGGGGATCGAGTCACTAGTGAGCCTATCAAGGTGAGACATGCTTGCTCGTGGTAGAGAAAGCCTGGTGTTGAGGTTGGTCGATAGATGTTGCCCTGACCAATGAGACGCGATCCCACACCGCGTGCCAGAACAACCCAAGAGCAATGAGGGGCGAAATTCGACGATATGGAATGAGTTAAGAGTGGCTCGCATACCGGAGAGGCGACCGAAAGCTGTTGCAGCCGCTGCCCTTCGTTAGAGCCACTAACACTGTGTCGACATATTAAGTTGCTGGGTTTGCGGGTTGCAGGTCATCCGACGTATACCTAGAGTCTAATTACTGTATAAAACCTCCATTAATCAGGGACTATAACAACTTTGGTTAGTTGCATGGCACCGGTCGACAGCAGAAGTAGCAAAATACGTACCGTCCGATACGCGACTCAGTGGACAAGATTCGTTCTATGGTTAGAATTTGTACCTACGACATAAAACAAACTGCTTGCGGGTGTTGATCAAATGGCAAGAAGTCCTATCAGTCTGGAAAAGCTTGAAATCACGCTGAGAAAAACAGAGCAAAGCTGATGGTCGTGAATCTTGTCTGTCGTGCTAGAGCTCTATTTATCATTACAAGAGCGACGTGATAACACACACATGCAACGGACCGATCCAACTCGATTTGACTACGCTCTAAGCGTAGAAGTTGACCGTATCCTTCTTCTTCGCCTGCAAAGAGGTTAGCGTATGCTGTGATATAAAGTGAAAGCATCTCATAACATACCTGTACTTCAGAAATGGCATCGACGTAGTGCTCATGGCTGATCTTGTGCTGGCCTGTCCGGAGAGCAATCATACCAGCCTCAACACACACAGCCTTGAGTTGCGCACCACCAAACTCGTCAGTGCTACGCGCCAGTTCCTGCCAGTTGACACCTTCATCCACTGTCATTTTCCGAGAGTGGATACGCATGATCTGCGCACGAGCTTCCTCATTTGGTAGGGGAAACTCGATCTTCCTGTCCAGACGACCGGATCGAAGCAGAGCAGGATCCAGAACATCGACTCGGTTGGTTGCAGCAAGAACCTTGACGCGGTCATCTGAAGCAAACCCGTCAAGCTGGTTGAGAAGCTCCAACATGGTTCGCTGCACTTCTCTGTCACCGGACTTCTCCGAATCGAATCGCTTGGTTCCGATCGCGTCGAGTTCGTCGATGAAGATGATCGATGGGGCCTTCTCCTTTGCCAAGGCGAAGCAGTCTCGGACGAGCTTCGCACCATCACCAATGAACATCTGTACGAGTTGTGGCCCAGCAAGCTTGAGGAAGGTAGCATCGGTCTGTGCAGCGCAAGCTCGCGCCAGGAGGGTCTTGCCGGTACCTGGAGGACCGTACATCAGTGCACCTGGGGCTGTTAGTAAAAAAATACACTGCAGATGTCGATGATTAGCTTACCCTTCGGTGCCTTGATGCCAATCTTCTTGAACCGCTCGGATTCCTTCATAGGCCAAACGATAGCCTCGACGAGCTCCTCAATCTGTTTGTCCAAGCCTCCGACATCAGTGTACTTCTCCGTCGGCTTCTCGTCGACCTCCATGGCCTTCACTCGGCTATCGTACTCTGCGGGCAGTGTGTCGAGCACGAGATATGAATCCTTATTCACTCCGATGAGGTCACCAGGCTTGAGTTTCTCGTGGTCTACCAGGCCGATGAGAGGCAGGAAGATGGTCTGTCTCGTGGACGTCTTGATGACTGCCGACTTGCCCACTCGGGTGGCGTCCAGGTCGATGTTTGCGCCCTCTTCCGCTGCTTCTTCCGAGACGTCCAGATCTAGTATTTCGACGACGTTGCCGACGAGGTATGGAAGTTGCCTGCATAGTCAGTACGTGTTGGATTATAGACACCAATGACGTGAAGAGACAGCCTACCTGTTGTTCTCGATCTTCTCAAGGTTGTCCTTGATCTTCTCGTTCATAGAGGCTTTCTCGTGCGTCAGTCGCTGGAACTCGCTCTTCATGATGCGCATGTCGTTCTCCAGTAACCGCCTCCGTGCGACAATGTCTCGTGTGCTTGAGTTGAGGATCTCCTCGTCCAGCTCCTCCTCCGGTTCAGCATCCTCCATGTCTGCATCGCCATCCGCCTTCTTTCCGTCCTTTCCGGCATCGCCGTCCTTCTTCTCTTCCTTCTTCTCCTCCTTCTCCTCCTTCTCGTGGCGCTCGAGGTCGTCAAGATCCTCCAGTGTGGACATGGTGGCGGTGTGGGGTGATTTGTTTGTGAGGCGATATCAAGATGTGAGTGATGTTTGGGCAAGCGAGGAGGTGTGGAGACTATCGGGGAGACGTCGCCGGTAGAGAGGTGATGTTGATGTGGTGTTGACGCGAGCTGTCTGAAAGGCAGCTGTGGATTACGAAGGTGACTTAGCTCTCCCACTTAGCTCAGTCCGGCCTTGGCGCGCCAGGGTCACACCCGCCGAATCTGGAGCACTTCAACATCTCAGTTTTTGTCTTACCTGCGGTGTTGAAGGGACGGGGCATGATCTTTATTTTCGTTTACTCTACACTCCACTATACTCTTTTCATGATTTGTCGCTTCCGGCCATTCAAGGGGATCTGAGTGGCAAACTCGTTGCTCCTGAGAGTTACAGCTATGGAGATAGAAGGATGAAGGAATCTTCTAGATGCGAAGCGGGGTATGTTTGACCAAACAGTATATGTACAAAGACGATCTGCGACTCTGCCAGTCATCAGGATGACAACGTCACGCTGTGTGGACTCAAAATATCAGGTCATTTGCTATGTAATTTGAGGCACCTGATATTCATCAAGTCGGGCACCATGGCCTAATGGTAAGGCGTTGCTTTCCGGTGGCAAAGATTGAGGGTTCGAGTCCCTCTGGTGTCGTTTCTGTATTTTGCACCCTGCTGTGCAGTGTAACTCTTTTTGCTGTCACTTGGTGATCATATGTGGAGAGTCCGACGGTTGACATCCGAGCTTCCTCACTCCAACAACATCAACCCGCAGTGTTCCCTTGACTTTTTAATAAAATATGTTTTTTTCAATGCAGTCCTGATCGGCGGGAATTGAGCTATGTTTAATCAACACCATTATGGCACCACCCCCGATGAAGAAAGACTTCGGAACTACCACATTTACTAGCTTACATAAGCCCATCACTACACCACCAAAAAGCCATGTACAAGCCAGCCCAGCCTTTCCCCAATATCCAGTGAACTAGCGGGGTACTTGACAACCCCAGCGCACATCCCACATCCGTTTAAAGTACAGTTCGCAACCACCAAGCTTCCACCATGTATGCAGCACGAGCGCTCCTCCGCTCGCGCCTCGCGCCGTAAGTCACAAGACCTCCCCGTGCAATAGATATAAGTATACAACCACTAACCACCCCCTTAGTCCATCCACCGTTGCCAAACCATGTAAATCCCCAACATCGGCATGCTATCAAGTACAGCACACCCGCCACGCAGAAACCCCACCATTTACTAACGCCAAAAGGTATTTGTCCGCCATACCTCGACGTCCACACAAGACGGTTCGCAGTCCAAAACGCCGGCCCTAGATGACCTCCTCGGCGCGGAGCAGGTAGGCAAAGCAAAGACCTTGTCCCGCGAAGTGGGCAGATTGAGCCGCGAGTTGGATGCTGTGTACTCGCGCCAGCGCGGTCTGAATCGCGTTTTGAAGGGCCCTCTTGTACGTTTTTCTTGCGCGCTGGGAAGGCATGTGGATGTGGATGTAGTGCTGATGATGCGTGTGCATGCAGACTGTGAGACGTGTAGCTCGAGCGCGGGAGTGGGGGGGTCGGGTTAGTGTGAGGGACGGGAGGGTTTTTGTAGAGAATAAGGCGTTGAGTGGGGAGGCGGAGAGGGAGATGTGAGTTTGCCGTGTATGGATGTTGTGATTTGGGGGGAATGGGTTGGCTGACTGTGCGAATTTTAGTCCGAAGATCTGGTTGCGGTACGTTTATATGCCATCCCCTCCCCTCCTTGAAAGTCGTTTGTATGGTGGGTTCTGACGTTGTGTTGATTATAGGGATAATTGCCAGTGCGGTGGTTGTGTGCATGAGACTACGAGACAGCGACTTCTTGATACGTTCTCGGTGCGTTGTTAGGTCCCTTGGTATGGCAGTATTCTGACAGAGCGACGAGATTCCAAGCGATATTTCTATCAAGTCGCATTCTCTCAACACCAACAATGTTTTGAGCATCGAGTGTAGGTCGGCCATGCAGCCATGATCTGGGAGAATGGTACTGATAAATCATATCATAGGGAGCGACGGACACACGAGCGAGTTTACCAGCCAATTCCTCACCTCGACCGTGAAACCCGACCATGACAAAGCCATCATACGTCAGGGTTTGAAGAAGTAATTGCTCCTTAGCTATACTTCATACACTGCTCTAACATGCACCAAGCGTATCCCTCTTCGACGCCAGCATCGCCTCCTCCCCACCACGCCACACATACACCGACGAGCGCCCAACCGCCATCCACACCATCCTCTCCAAAATCGTAAGCCCCTTCTCACCCCCCCATTTACCACCTCCCCCCAAACTCACCCCCCCACAGCGACAACACGGCTTCTGCTACATCGACAACACGCCACACAGCACGCCCACAGAAACCGAAACCCTCCTCCGCCGCATATCCTTCATCCGCGAAACCCACTACGGCGCCTTCTACGACTTCACCGCCGACCTCGCCTCCCAAGACACAGCCTACACCAACATCGCCCTCGAAGCCCACACAGACACAACCTACTTCTCCGACCCCGCCGGCCTGCAAGCCTTCCACCTACTCTCACACACGGAGGGCTCAGGCGGCGCCTCCCTACTCGTCGACGGTTTCAAAGTCGCCGCAGACCTGCAGGTCGCAGACCCCCAGGCATATCACGTCCTGGCAACGGTAAACGTCCACGCCCACGCCTCAGGCAACGACGGTATAAGCATCCAACCCTACCGCGGCTTCCCCGTGCTGGAACACGACCCCGCGACCGGCGCGCTGCTGCGCGTCCGCTGGAATACGGCGGATCGCGCGGGCGTGGAGATGCCGATTGAGACGGTGGGGACGTGGTATGAGGCGGCGCGCAAGTTTGATGCGTTGCTCAAGGAGAAGCGGAATGAGTACTGGGAGCAGCTGACGCCGGGGCGGGTGCTGATCTTTGATAATTGGCGCGTGTTGCATGGGCGGAGTGCGTTTACGGGGAAGAGGAGGATTTGCGGCGGGTATGTGAATCGTGATGATTGGATTAGTCGGTTTAAGATGGGGGAGTTTGGACGGGAGGGGGTTTTGGGAGCGTTGGCTGAGGGGTGAATGGATGGTACTGGACAGGGGGTTTTATCGATTGGAAAGGGGGAGAAGAAAATATATGATGATGACGATGAACCTGTTTCTGCTTCTTTCTCTATGTACATGCACGCTGAGATCTGCTCATCCTGTCTTGCCTCACTTCAGCCCCTTCTCCTGCTCGAGCTCCAACTCGGCCTGCCTGAAGTACTTTGCCGTGTCGACGCCGTGGTGGGGATGGTTGACAAAATTGGGCCAGGGGAGGACGTGTGAGAACGTGGCCGAGTAGCGCGAGTTCCTGTGCGCAACGCCCTGCATGTACTCTGTCAACTCGGAGGTGCCGTACAGCGACTCGCCGCGCTTGACCTTGGCGACCATCTCGCGCATGTCCATGTCGACCTCGCGGCGGTTCTCGCGGGCGCCGTAGAAGCGTGCTGTCGATGAATAGAATAAGTGCCCGGTCATGTGAGTGGGTGGTGTTCAGAAGGGGGGAAGCGTACCGCTGGACCGCGTGTAGGCGAGCAGGAATGCACCCGCGACGCCCACGCTGCAGCTCAGTCGCATGATGGGCGCAAAACCGCCTTTTCCTACGAATGATGGCGACACTTTCTCCCAGTACAGCATCAGGCCCGGACTGAGGGCTCCGACGGCGGCACCCGTGGCCCAGTCCGAGGGGCGTGTGTAGCGCATGACGCGGTTGAAGTGGCTGGGGACAGAAGTCTATCAGCACATGGCGTTTGAAGGCGGTTGGTTACGGGGGGAGCATAGCATACGGGTCATTGTCGATGAGCTGGGATGGAGATATTAGCCCACTTGACTCCACTTCACGCACTGATGCGGGAGCCAATTGCTTACGGGATAGTCGCCATTGGGGACCTTGTCGGGCACGACAGCCTGGTGCCTGACGGCGTCGTCCTGCGAAGACTGCGAAGCCATGGTGGTGCTGCTGTGCTGTGGCAGGCGTGCTGGTGCAGCGAAGTGAGGTTGCGGGGCGGGAAATGCCGTTGCGGGCAAGCTAGCAACGAGCTTCGACTTTTGAACTTGGCGCGTCGGGGCGTTGCGACAACAATGACTGCGCGTGTCGCTGCTCGCCCATCACCACCAGGACCGCCCGAGGGAACATAGGAGGAAAGTCACGCGGGCCGACACCATCACACACACGAGGGACGTCCGCCGCGAACACTCGCCATCGCCATGGAGGAGAGCAATGTCCACGCCCGGCCCACCGTCGCCGACCTGCACGGCGACAACCACTTCGCGCAGGCGGCGCGCAAGCACTGGCTGGCGGCGAAGAAGACGGCCAAGGTGCGCCCCGATGTGGTCAAGAAAGAGCTGTGGGACGAGCTGGAAAAGGTCGACTTTGCCTACTCGTCGCTGCTCATCCTCGAGAACCTGCAGCTGCTGGAGCGCTACCTGTGGCCCGGCTTCACCGAGGACGCCTCCAACCACCACCACCTGCTGCTGGCCCTGATGGTCAACGTGAAGCGGCGCGAGAACCTGCCGTCGTGGGGTGAGTCGTCGACAACAGCAATGAGGTATGCGACACGTGCTGATGTACATATGCAGAACACTTCGCGACCAAGCCCGCCGACTTCTCGTCCTTCTTCCGCCGCATCCTCTCCATGACCGTCGACCCCTCGCAGCCCAGCAACATCCGCACACAGCTCGTCGCTTTCGTCATTGGCGCATTCCAGTCGCTCGACAGCGGCCTCGTGCGCAAGGAGTGCGCCCCCCTGGTTGGCATCTCCATATGGCAGCACCTGCACTCGGAAGCTGTGCGCGAGCAGCTCTTCGGCGAGCACCACATCCTGCGCAAGGCCTGGCGCGCCGCCTCGAAGCGCTTCGACGCTGCAGACGACGCGCTGCAGGCCCGACTACGCTTCGAGCGCTCATGGCTGTATACACTGCTCCTCGACTTTGTGGACCGCCTCTACAACAGCAGCACAAAACAGGATATCAGGAACAACCTGGCCTACTGCGAGCGCTTCATAGAGCTGCTCACCGACCTGCAGAGCCAGCTGCCCACGCGCAGATACGTCAGCACCCTGCTGCAGGACCTGAACATGCTCCCGGCCATCCGCCTGTCGCCCATGTACACCGACGAGGACAACGGCCTGTTTCGCGACCTGTTCGACTTGCTGAGCCACTTCACGTACTTCCCCATTGAGGATCAGACGGGCAAGCAACTATCCAAACTCGAGTACGATCAGCAGCACTACGACGTCCTGGCCAAGCTGCAGCGCACGGGCTATGCGGCTTTCCAGGAGAAGCTTCAATTGATGGCGCTGGCAAACTATGGCAGCATTGGCAACAGGGAGGAGCTGGACAGCCACTTGCGCGTACTAAGCGACGACGAGCTGGTCGAGCTTTGCTCTCTCATGGGCCTTAGGACAGAGTACCCAGCCTCTACCTTTTTAGTGCGGGATCGGGCTTTCTACATGGAGACGCTCGTCTCGTTGGTTGAGCAGAGACCTACCTTCAAGGACGTGGTTCGCGACATGCCCGTCTTCCCCACAGAGAAAGTCCTATACGAAACAACGTTCCTCAGAAACGAGTCGTACGACGGATCAAGACCGCTCGCTATACCCAAGCTGAACCTCCAGTACCTGACTATGGGTGACTTCTTGTGGAGGTCCTTCATCCTGTATCGCGCAGAGGCGTTCTACGGTATCCGAAAGGATATGGAGGATGTGATCAAGCGTGTGAAGCCAAAAGGAAAGGGTGTCAGTACCAAATTCGACGGCTTCTCCAGGATGTCGATACCCATCATGAAGCCGGGTGTTGTCGACGTCGCTCCTTCGAAAGTAGGAGAGGAGCACCCGGCTTATGTGCGAGCAGAAATCATACTCGACGTCAGCCGTCTGCAACTCCCAGTACGAAAAGAGTGGGACTCGCTAAGGACAGACGATGTCGTCTTCTTGCTCGCAGTAGAGGGCAAAGAGGACGTGCCTATGCGGAATGGGGGTCACACAGAGCCGAGCACGGGAGAGCAAGTCGGACTCCACAAGATGAGGTGCGCGCAAGTTGTCCAGGTGCTGGACGAGAACGGGAGACCCCTTCGCGAGCAAAACCAGACTGATGGATTTGCGCCCCGAGCACGATCGCGACGACTCGTCGTCAATATCGACGCGAAGCAGTACCAAGCCGACATGGACCATGTTGCGGAAGGCAGGCCGAACATCTACGAGCACATCAACCTCATCGTTCGGCGGAAAGGACGGGAGAACAACTTCCTCCCCATCCTCGACTCCATCAGACGCCTAACGCTCTCGGACATCCCAGCACCATCATGGCTGCAGGAGGTCTTCTTGGGATACGGTGATCCTGCGTCTGCAACGTACAAGCGACTACCCAACCGACTGAAATCGATAGACTTCCGCGACACCTTCCTGGACTGGCAGCATTTGATTGAATCCCTGCCTGGCGAATCCATCGAGCCGGAGGAAGACGCGCAGACATCCTTCGGGCCCCCCTACGTCGTGCAGTACCCTGCAGCAGTAGAGCAAGAAGTTGCGCCCGCACGGCCTTCGAAAAAGCGGCGTCGCGACCATCCTGTCGAGGTCGCACAGCCTGTACATCAATCCCTGCACGTCGCAACCTACAAGCCTCCAAACATGGGGCCATACCCTGCCGACGCACCCAAGACGAATGCAGTCAGGTTTACCCCGGCGCAGATTGAAGCCATCACTTCGGGCACGCAGCCTGGTCTGACGGTGGTGCTCGGCCCGCCGGGCACCGGAAAGACGGACGTCGCGACCCAGATTATATCTAATATATACCACAACTTCCCGGATCAGCGGACGCTGCTCGTTGCGCACAGCAATCAGGCGCTTAATCAGCTGTTTCAGAAAATCGTGGCGTTGGATATTGATGAGCGGCATCTTTTGCGGCTGGGTCATGGCGAGGAGGATCTCGAGACTGAGGCGAGCTACAGCAAGCATGGTAGGGTGGAGTCGTTTCTCGAGAGAGGGACGTACTACCTGGCTGAAGTCGATCGCCTGGCGAAGAACTTGGGCGCGCCGGGTGCTCATGGTAGTTCGTGTGAGACTGCAGATTACTTCAATCTTGTCTATGTGAAGCCAGCATGGACACAATACTGGGACAGCGTTTCTTCTGAAGACAGCACAGTCGAGCAGATAGTCGCCGACTTCCCCTTCCGGGACTACTTCCTGAACGCCCCCCAACCTCTCTTCCCACCCGCAAGCAACCGCCAGCAAATCCTCGACATCGCACAGGGCTGCTACCGCCACGTCGAGAAGCTCTTCACCGAGCTCGAGGACATCCGCCCCTTCGAGATCCTACGAAACCCGCGCGACAAAGCAAACTACCTCCTCGTAAAAGAAGCCCGCATCATCGCCATGACATCCACACACGCCGCAATGCGCAGACAGGAGATCGCCGCCCTAGGCTTCCACTACGACAACCTCATCATGGAAGAAGCAGCGCAAATCACCGAAATCGAAAACTTCATCCCCCTCGCTCTCCAGGAGCCGCGCAACGGCACCTTACCCCTCCAGCGCATCGTCCTCGTAGGCGACCACCTCCAAAACGCGCCGATCGTCCAAAACCTCGCGTTCAGACAATACGCAAACCTCGAGCAATCCCTGTTTCAGCGCCTCGTCCGCCTCGGCGTGCCGACCATCATGCTGGACCAACAGGGTCGCGCCCGCCCCTCAATCGCAGACCTGTATAAATGGCGCTACACAAACTTATCCCACCTCCCCGCCGTCTCCTCAGCCCCGGAATTCACCGCCGCGAACCCAGGCTTCAGGTACGAATACCAGTTCATCAACGTGCCGGACTACAAGGAAAAAGGCGAATTGGAGCCCACGCCCCATTGTATACAGAACCTCGGCGAAGCCGAGTACGCAGTCGCTTTGTTTCAGTATATGCGGCTCCTCGGATACCCTGCGGGGAAGATCTCCCTCTTGACTACGTACGCGGGGCAGCGCGATCTTATCAAAGATGTGCTGGCGCATAGGTGTAAGGCGAATCCACTCTTCGGACTCCCCCGTGTGGTGGCGACGGTGGATAAGTACCAGGGCGAGCAGAATGATTGTATGTCCCCCCCTTTTCCCTTCCCAAACTTCTTCACCCCACTAACCCATCCCCCTTAAATAGATATAATTCTCTCCCTAGTCCGCACCCGCTCAATCGGCTACCTCCGCGACATCCGCCGCCTCACCGTCGCACTCTCGCGCGCGCGCCTCGGCTTGTACATTCTCGGCCGCCGCGCCGTCTTCGAGGCCGTGTTCGAGCTTAAACCCGCGTTTGATATGTTGTTCCGCCGCCCGGATAGCTTGGCGCTTGTTACGGGTGAGATGTACGGTGATGGGGGACGGAGGGTTGGGGAGGCAGAGGTGCAGGGCGAGGCGGTTATGCAGGGCGTGGAGCATTTGGGGAGGTATGTGTTTGAGATGACGAGGGCGAAGGTGGAGGATCTAAGGGGGGCGGGGGCTGGGGCTGGGGGAGGGGCGGTGGGGTTGCCGACTAGGGAGGTGAGGATGGTGGATGTTGGGGATGAGGAGGTGAAGGACGGGAGGGACGGAGAGGGGGAGGCGGATGTGTAAGAGTATGAGGAAGAGTAAAAAAGGACGTTTTGGCTTTGGGAGTTTTGGGTATAGCGGGGGGGGTGCATATGTGCGTAGCTTGTTGTGTTTTTCTTCTTCTTCTCGCGATTTTGCATGGGTCATGTATAGAGAGATACCAAATAGTCAAAACAGATCTTATGGGCTTGTGGAACTCAATTCTTGTTTGCTTGATTTACTTATACGTACATGGTTCACTATGCCTGAACGCCGGGTATATCCCTCCCTCCCATCCTATCCCCCATCTCCCATCCATCTCCCACCCCCACCCTCCCCCACGCTACCGCCCCTTAGCAACCCTCTCATCCTTCTTCTTCTTCAAATACGCCGTAATCTGCTCAATCTGCCCCACAAAAAAGCACCTCTTCTCATCATTCCGCCAAACCAGCACCCCAAGCGCATCCGCATAACCCAGAACATCCAAATACTCATTCTGCGAGCTAAACTCCTTCATCAGAAACCCATTCGACACCTCAACACGCTCGCCCTCATACTCCCACAGGCGAATCTGATCCATAACCGTAGGCGGGATATACGGCACCGATTTCTGCATCTGCGGGTGCGCGTACGTAGATAGGTAGGACAGGATCTGACTCGCCGTGATGCCCTGCGAAACGGCGCGGTTAACGCTTTCTTTTGTGAGTTTTCCGGAGATGAGGTTGGGGAAGCGGTGTTGCAGTTTTGTGAAGAGGGAGATGATGGCCATTTGGATCATGCTGTTTGTGTATGCGTAGAGGCGGTAGTTAGTCTCGATGATGATGAAGCCTTTGTTTGCGGCGGCGGGGCCGCGGCCGGCGGAGCCGGGGGCGTTGGAGAGCGCGCCGGCGTCCGAGGTGAGGGTTGTGGCGAGGCGGGTGGGGTAGAAGGTTTGTGCGGATTTGGAGGAGCGGTAGACGATGCCCATTGCGGCGAGGTCGTCGAGCATTTGCAGTTGGGTGGGCGAGAGGGTGGAGGTGGAGTAGTCTTGGCTGAGTTCGAGGGAGCCGAGCATGAAGAGGAAGGATAGGACGTCTGTTTCGGACATGCCGAGCTGGTTGTCATGGTCAGTGATTCTGTCCTCAGCCTTGGAATGAAGGGAGATACGCACATCCCTGCTCATCTTCAGGTACACGATCAGCAGATTCCACACCTGCGCGTTAGTCTCCTGCAGCACAAACGAGAAGCCCTCCTTGGTAATCCTCGTCTGCCCGTGCACAATCCTCACCAGATCGCCCGCGTGCAGCAACTTCTTCGTCCCTGCGCCCACCTCGCCGCCCACATTCTGCATTCCCGCCGCGCCAGCAACCATGAAGTACAGGATATTCTCCCACTGCGTCTTCGCGTGCTGATCCAGCGCCTCGACCGTCATGCGCTCCCCGCGACTCTCGTCTTTACTCGCGGGGACACCAAACGAGCGATGCGTGCCCGAGCCCTCAATAGCCTGGCGCAAGCTGCGCTGGAAGCCCGGAGACAGGGAGAACGAGGACGTGCGATCAGCGTTGAGTTTCGAGGCGACGATGTGCAAGCGCTCGAGGGTGAAGAGGGCCTGTTCCTTCTCCTTGCGGGCGGAGGACTTGAACCAGGCGTCGAGGTCGGCCGAGGGAAAGGATGTAGGCATGTAGAGCATGGCCATTACTATCGACTTTGCTATTGCATTGTTGGCTATATATTCCATTCATTGAGAGCAGACATGCTCACCTAGATGAGGCAGCATGCACCGGAACACCGCGAGCACCGTCGACGGCTGCTCGTACAGCTTGCGGTGCGTCTGCAGAGGGAGGCCCTCGAGGTATTCGAGCGCTTGGGTTGACGATGACGCCGACATCTTGGTGGATGTGGGTATGAAATTCGCGTGTTATCGTATTATCATGGTCCTGGAGGTGTGGGGGACGCAAGAGGGCGGATAAAAACGCGTGAGTCGCGCAGTTAGCCGTGTCATGGGAAAGTCGTCAAAGAAAGTGAAGTTCGATGACGCGCCAAGGGCGGAGCTCCACCCTTCTCTAGCTTCCGAGCTAAGTGCTCGACTGCCGAGCGGGATGCTATTACATCACTCGTGCAATCGTTGGACGACGGATCAGAAATCATGCCCGCGCTCAAGTTCGTGCGATCTGTAAGCTTGCAGATGTTATCGAAACACGTGTGGCAATTCTGATTACATGAACAGGTGTGGGAATCATTCCGAGCCAACTCAGGCCTCGAGCCAAGGTACCATAATCTCTTGAGGATAAGTAACTCCAACTAATACAAACATGCTTGAAGGCTACTCGATGGTGTAAGCAAATATTTATCTAGAGGATTTACCAACATATCATAAAGCTCATTATTGTTACCAGCTCCGAGTCACCTCCGCAGTTCCTGGTCGCGTCAAGTTCGAGCTCGACATCCAGAAAGAGCATACGGTTCGTACATCTCATGCATACTACAACAACCGACTGACTCGAAGCTAGAACCGTTTGAACATCCTCCATGGCGGAACCATAGCTAGCATGGGTAAGTGCTATCTACCCTTTATACATAGACATAACCCAATTTGACTCCGCTCGAAGTCGACCTCGGCGGCTCCCTAGCCGTAGCCTCCCGCGGTCTTTTCGCAACCGGCGTATCCACTGATTTGAATGTCACCTACCTCTCCTCAGGCGGGAAGATTGGTGACATGATCAAAGCAGAAGTGACCTGTGACAAGTGTAAGGCCTCGCATTTCCTCTCATGCAATCAACGCTGATCAACACACGCAGTCGGCAAGACATTGGCATACACCTCTATCAACTTCAGCAACAACAAGGGCGAGGTCTTTGCACGGGGTAGCCACACCAAGTATGTGGCGCTGGCATGGAAAGATCCAAACAACATCGTCGAGGAGCTGTCACCAAAGAAGGCGGAAAAGAAGGAATAGCAATCGGGGGCTTGTGTATATATCTCTTACGTTGCCGATACTTGCTAGGCATACGCTATTGATGAACACGCAACGCCGATATACGTTAGATCCCCAGTCCATCGTCTTCGCGCCAGTAAAGAGTGACATGAATACTCGTGACCAAGGCTGGCCAACGCCGTAGAAATGTCGATTGGGTTTAGTTGAACAAATCTCAAATCCCAGCTCCATCATTCACTCACTCCCCGTACACAGCTTCCATGTTATGTTGTATATCCAGTCGTGTATTGGCGCATCGTGATTCCGTTTGACCGTCTGCTGCGTAGCACCGTATTTCGCGTCTTGAGATTGTTTCCTTGCCGGTCCCTCACTTCGAGCACAATTCTGCTGCAACGATTACCCGTGTCGATTTCACACAGGTCTAGGGGCTGGATGAAGGTGTTTCCACTTTCTGTTCAAAGACGTCATGCGGAAAAGAGTCGTCGACTTTGTTCCGCCCCTTTCCCTTCAGCAAGTTGACCAGGCTGCTCTTTCGTGGTGTTAGCTTTCTCACGGCTCGTCCAAAGGCTCCCTTATTCGAGCTGTCGTCGTGCTTACGAGTTGGCAAAGGGGGAAGGTCGACCGGTTGGCTGAACAGGCGGTGATCTTTCCTGTATGCGTATTCAAACGCCTTGGTATCTCGTCAGAAATGCTCCAGAAGACCAGATAGAGCACTTGGTTCAACATACCCAAAGACTGTCTGTTGCTTGGACAGTGCTACACATATCATGCAACTGTGCGAATATGTAACACTTTGCTTCATCCTCGTGATCTGGATATCTGCATCGGCCCAGCGATCCTAACTGCTGACACTGATAGTTCGGGTCAATTTCTACTGCCGTGGCTTCGGCACACCATTGATCGAATCGAGTCGAGAAACGACCTGCCCAGTAACCGGCGGGCATGTAATCTTGAACCTGCAGAATCGACTTAACGTCAGCACTCTCTAGAAGACTACGCTCAGTGATAGATGGTGGCCGGTCGTTTGAATCATCCGAATGATGAATCTCGCCATCCGTTGACAGTGAAGATTGCGTGTCGATTGAGGTGCAGACCATGAGTGGGTTTGTAGTGCTATCTTCAGATGGCCTGGTGTATCCCCCTCGAAATAACGAATAACTACGGGACCTAGAAGGTGAAGTGAGGGGAGCGAATACGGTCGATGAAAGCGACGGACGACGACGATATCTAGAAGGTGTCTTGGGAAGCACTCCAGGAGGCTCCTTTTCAGTTATCTCCTCTGGGATAGAATGAGTTGAACTGGTAAACGAAAAGAGTCTAATAATGCGAGCCTTGCGAGTAAGGGCTTCGGTGTCTTCTGAGTGCGGAGTAAGGTTGGGTAGAGATGGCGTCCTGTATCGGTCCGGAATGTAAGGCACAGGCGGGGGAGCTCTCCAGCTCTTTCCAAAATTATGAAAAGTGGAAGAACGTGGGAGACTTCTCACCTCATTGTCCGCAAGAGCGCATGATGGCTGCCAAATCCCACCCAGCCCGTTTGGAGTCCCCGTGGTCTTTCTCCGGGGATTGTTCCCCATACTAAACCTAGGCAGTGTTGACGTTACAGTTGGGGTACCTACTGCCGATGGAGTTGTGGCATTCTTGGAACTCATATATCGGGGTTGTATGATTGAGCTACCATTTAGACTGTCAGATCGATCTGGCTCTGGCAGATTTTCTTGCAAGTTCAGCTGTATTCGCTTGACGGTTAACGGCGTCGGCGGAGTGTGGTATGAGCTCATTCGTTTTCCTGCAGTCGGTGGGGTAGCGCAGTTCAATCGTGTGTTCTGCACAATCGAAAGCGATGGACCTGGTCCAAAAGATCTCCTGTTCGCTATGGTACCAGCTACAGCCAGACTCTCTCGTTTCAGTGTTCTGTCCTGTATCTGCGATCGACGTTGCGCAACCCGCTTGTGCGTCGGTACGTTTTCCTGCAATACTGGCTTCTGAGCCGTCGGGGACGCCACAGGCCTCTTAAGACCCAAATTTCTCGGCGCCATGGAACTCGTTGATTGCGAGAATCCAGCTGCCTTCACCAAGTTTGGCGTCGTGCGCGACCGTACGGAGACCCTTGAAGGGGAGACGTCATATTTGCCCACAAACGAGGCACCTGTGTTATACTTGAGCTCTTGTAATGCGTTATGAGGAAGGTATTGGCGTGGGCTGGAGATACGGCGTGTGGACAGTGGCGGACTCGGAGTGGGAATTTTGCAGGGCAGAGTGTGAACAATTGCGTCGGTCACGATTGTAGTCGAATAAGGCTTGACGGGTCCTTCAATGTGCGTGGATAGCTCAGACCCAGTTCTGACTGGTCGTGGTATGAAGCTGGTTGTTCGCGATCGCGGTATGGCTTTGGGTGTCGCGTCAGGATCCACCTTCTTGGTCAAATCCCCGTAGTTTGTAGAGACCGTACGGCTCGTTGGCGCGTCATTCGAGTGCTCGAATGGCATAGAGTTGCGCATCGGTGAAAAAGGACCGTCGCACTCACGGGTTGCTGCGGTACCGTCGTTTACGTGGGACCGAATCGCGGCCAGTGAAGGCACGCTCAAAGGGTGACGGCTTGGCGTGATCTTGCGCTGCGAGAGTGGATGAGAAATAAAAGCAAGGCCATGACTGAGCTTCCTGCGAAATTTGCTGCCGCCATTGAGATACGGCTCGTTTTCCTCGAGCTGGTGAGATGTCTGCCTTTCCTTCCTGCCCACCATGACTGACGACTTGGCCTCTCCGCCTGTATGGGCCGTCTCCTCCCAACGAGCTCGGATCTGTTGGAATTTTCGTCTATCTGGATAACTTAGCATGGCTGTAACGTGGGGCGAGGCGTGTGCGAGAAGCAGCGCTTACCTTTGGGGGTGCAGTCTTTGCACGGTGTGGGCTGGCTTGGAAAGTAGAACGGAAGCCGCGAAGCAACGAGTAAAGTAGCGGCGACGTCACAAAACGGAAAGACGCATTCACCCTCAATTGGACATGACATGCACAAGGAGAAAACGCCATTTGTCCAACACAAAACGTGCGGCAGTCAAGTTGTTAGACCAAAATATGCACGTACAAAGAGGTCACAAAAGAAGCATCATTGCAGATGAAAAGTGACAGAACGAAACCACCAAGGTGGAGGGTATTCAAGGTAGGAGATGTAGACCTACAACACCATACAATGCAGCCATAACCCATTACCATGTCATATCCAAAGTTCCAGCTCACTCCGAGTCACTATCAATGACAAACCCTGCTCGCATGTTTCTGGCTGCGGGTCTCCGAGCAACAACAGGCACATCCTCGTCTTCATCGTCTTCGCTTGCTTCCGCCATTGCAACATCTCTGCTTTTTGCGGCATTGTTTGTCGGTCTCCGTGGCGTGTCTTCTTCGTCACTAGTATGTGCTGCAGCGATATGCTGTGAAGACAGCGGAGTGTTAGCAGTCTCGTCATCACTCTCATCTTCAACAGCGTCTGTCACATCTACAGAATGAGCTCTACTGCTTGTACTCGCAGCGTCAACCATGTTCTCGTCAGCATCGTCGCTGTCATCAAATGGCCCAGTTCTTTTCTTTGGAGGTGATTTCCGTCTCTTGCTTCTCTTTGTGGGTTCGTCCGCCTTTCGCTTCTTCGATGGCGCTGGTTCCGTGCTGCCAAGTGTGAGTTGAGTCTTGAAGGCAGCCAAAGTATCCTGTCGTAGTGCTTGTTCTCGAGCGAAGAACTTTGCGTCCTTTTCCGCATCCCAATCCTCGTCATCTGAGTCGTGGACAAACATTGTACTCTTCTTGACTTCGGCCTGCTTTTCGAGTTCCTTTCTGTGGCGAGCATCCGCTCTCCGGTCCTTCTCCTCGTCATCGAGCTCGACAGGTGTCCTTGCCCGCTTGCGTCGTGTAAGCTTCTTTTTGGTGCCATCCGCCGTTCTCTTGGCAGGACCATCTGGTGCATACTCCCCTGGGTCTTCTTGCGGATCATCATCTTTGCCATCTGAATCGTCATCGTAGTCCACACGACGGGTTGATCGTCGCGCTGCGGCTGCTTTACTACGAAGGAGATCTTCCGGGCCCTTGCCATCTTCGTATGTAGGTGGGTCAAACTCGTACTTGCGGATGAGATCGATGGCTTCTTGCAGTTGCGTTGATGTGAGGGACGAAGGAACCAGCCACGTTGCGTATGGATCATGGTGATCCCCAAGCCTTGAGAACCCAACAAGAGACATGAGTAGACGCAACTTGTTATCTTTGAACATCGCTACTCTACGTTCTTCGTTGTCATGTTTAATAACTGTGGGTAGTTAGCGGATCGTGCATGTCCAAATGAGGATACACACTTACGAATGGAAGGAGCTTTTGAAGTCTCGGTCTCAGATTCCTCAGGTACTTGTTCACCCTCAGGCCTTTCAGCTGCTGCCAGCATTTTGTGTGCTTCGTCTGCGTCTTCCCATGCTTTGCGCTCTTCCGCTGCTGATATGAGTACCTCTCGTACCCATCGAAGGGCATCTGACTTCTGCTGATTGACAAGGACACCAACAGCGACACCAATTTGCTCGGGCATCTCCATGCCTGGCTTCACTTCAAGTTCTGCTGGCGCACGCGGTGCTCGAGAAGGCAATTCTCGATCGTAGCCATGATCAAGGAAGAAGATAGTCGCCGGGATTTTGCTAAACAGCATCTCGACCACTAGCTCGGGTCTCTCTTGTACTCGCTTCGTAACTTGTCTGAAGAAGTATTTGACCAGCTCATCCCACTCTTTGTAAGCAGGGGACTCGGGATCCAAGCCTCCCGGTCCTTTCATCATCGTATTGAACAACTGAATGATGTCGACTCGGCATAGCAGGACACCAAGCTCCATCTTGAAAGCGACGCGATGGAAAAAGCGATGTGTACGCTTCAGTTGCTCGGTGTCAAGTTCGTGAAAGTATCTAGCAAAAGCCACGAATGTGTTGACACTGCTTTGGTTTACAAACTTTGCCGCGAATCGGGTAAAATCGAATTTACGTTCTGACACGGTTCTCTGTGCCTGTTGTAAATCTTCCGTTTCTGAAACATGGCCCTCTTCTTCGCCCTCAACTCCTTGTGCTTGAGCTTGCTTCTTCTTCACTTTACGAGCTCGACGTTTAGATCGGATTTGCAAATCGACGTTCTGTTTTGCATATCGCTCCAACATCCGCAAGAAGACGTGTGAAAGCTCCGTAACCGCATCCAAGTAGCCAAATCCTTGGTCCTTGTAGGACCTCAGTATCATCACAATACGGTCGTGGGTAGACTCCTCGTAAAATATACGGTTTTGGATATTCTCTGCAATCTCCTGATCATCTTCCAATGCCGATTCAGACATTTCGTGCACAGTAAGCAGGGTTTGCGTGAAACATTTCATCCCTGCGTTCAAGTCTTGCCATGCTTTCTCGTCCTGACTCTTCTGCATGAATCGATTGAGAAGAATGAAAGTTTCTTGGTTCATAACTTCTGCGACAAGGCCATAGCTTTCATCCTCAGCGGTGAGAACTTCCGCGCTTTTTGGGTCGGCAGCTCGTTCCTTCATCGTCCGTCGTCGTGCGCACTCCGCTCGAAGAAACCATGACACAAGGTAGAAGAATTGTCGGGAATGGCGCACCTCTACGCGCTCAGTTTCGCGCTCAATAGCTTTCCGCAGATGCAAGAACAGAGGGTTGAACGACGAGTCGAGGAATTCTTCAACGAATGCTTTGATGTGCTTTCGCGCTGAAGAGGTCAACGGCATCGGCAGGTCAAACTCCTCCCTTTCTTGCTCGCCATCCTGTTTGCGCCCAGGCCGCCTCGGCTTGTTCCACTTCTTCGTCTCGTCCATCTTCCGCATGCTCGCCTGCGCTTTGCCCAGCACATCTTGACCGGAGATGGTTGTCACCTTCTCGTCGTCTCGTTTTACCCATATCATCGTGCCGAATCGATTATGACGTGTAGGAGCGTTGCGGGCGTAGCCTGCAAGCATGGCCTTTTCTTTCTGCATCAAATCTTTGAGCTCATTGGCGTTCTTGCTGCTGAGTGTTTTATCTTCCATGAATAATTTCTCAGCATCGATACCCTTCAGGAGAAAGAAGAGAATCTCCAGAATAATTACGTCCTGCGTGACAAAGTCTTCTCCTATGCTCGATGCAACGCTCAATATTACCTGGAATATATCTTGCTCTTGGAAGGTATCAATTGTTGTAGATCGGGAGACTTCGGCCTCGTCGATATCCATGGGTGCACTATTCGGCGGAGAGAGCATGGCAATGTTGCGTATAAAGTATAGGGCTATACGTATTATTCCCTCATCGCGCGCTGTCCTCTCGCGGAGCGGTACCGCCATGGAAGGCAGAGCGATCTTGACGGCGGTCTGGAGAATCCTGTCCCTGTCGAATTGCAAGATCGCGCGCTTGTAACCAATCTGGGCGAGTTGTATGTATGGACCATGACGGTGATGGTTTACGGTCGCTTCAACGGGGTCGATCTCGAACGGCCAAGTCAAGGGCACAAGGAGTTCCACTTGCTCGGTCAGCTGCGTTCCATACAAAGATTTCCTCCCACATACATGCTGCAACCGCGATCTTATGCCTCCATTTGTCGTCTACCACCCTGGGCGATACCTTGGCCAGTATCTCCAGCAGATCTCCCTTGACCAGGTTCGCCTCGGCCATACATCGTGCAACATCGCGTCGGTTCAGCTGTCCGTCGGCGAACTTGAGCCATTTCCGCAGGTCTTTCAGACATAGAACGGCGTCATCACCCAGCGAATATGTTCCGTCGTCGCCAATGCCGCCAAGCTGCACTCGCATTAGATAGATAGTGATATTTTCTAGATATACATACGGCAGTGATGAGACTGTAGACATGAGCGCGAATCTCAGGATCCACGGGATCCTTCGCCCAATCGTCCAATGTTGTCTGGGCCATTATTGTGGTTGACGTGCGGAGCTGCTCGCTCGTTGATCGTCGACGCGTCAACGCGCCGCCGCACGCGTAAAGTGGATCATCAAACCATGCAAACTTGCAAACTCGCCAAGGCTGGGGTAGTTCCTGCCTCGGCTGCTCGGATACGGCTTCTATCGGCGCTATGGGACTCAAAGTCAAGAGCTTACATCGTCACATGTTGTAGAACTATCTTGTTTCATAATTCTTCTCGTAAGATTGTTAAAATGCTCTCTTCAACATCAAGACAGCTCGTCCGTTGCGCGGCGAGGCAGCAATGTCGCACCTTCGCCTCCACTCCTTCCTTTGGAGCGGCCGCGGAGGTGAAGAAGTTGGGTGTCATTGGAGCTGGCCAAATGGTACGTCGTCGATATAAAAATCTGCAAAATACTTGATTGACTCGACCAGGGTCTTGGAATAGCTCTCGTCGCAGCACAGAGAGCTTCAGTGCCCGTTGTAGTGATCGACAACTCACAAGCCTCCATTGACAAGGGCTTCAAGTTCGCCGACAAGCTTCTAGCAAAAGACGTAGGCAAAGGCAGATTATCTCAGGAAGATGCTACGGCCGCTAGGGGGCGTCTGACGTCCAGTACCAAGCTGGAGGATCTTTCGGATGTTGACTTTGTGATTGAGGCTGTTCCTGTAAGCCACCTGCACTGAAGAAAATATGTGAACTGGTCTGATGGTGGATAGGAAATCCCAGAACTGAAGCACAGCATATTTTCCCAACTCGCCCAAATCTGCCCCAAGCATGCAATCCTCGCGACAAACACATCATCAATTTCGATCACCAAGATCGCTGCAAGTACTACCAAGGATCCGACCGACCTGTCTGCTTCGTCACGTGTGATCAGCACTCACTTCATGAACCCCGTTCCCATTCAAAAGGGCGTTGAGATTATCACCGGTCTGCAAACCTCCCAGGACACCGTCGACACCGCCGTCGCCTTCTGTGAGAAGATGGGCAAGATTGCCTCAAAGTCGGCAGACTCGCCTGGATTTCTTGCAAACCGTATTTTGATGCCATACATCAACGAGGCAGTCATCTGCTTAGAGACAGGCGTAGGCGCAAAGGAAGACATTGACAGCATCATGAAGAACGGAACGAACGTGCCCATGGGCCCGCTACAGTTGGCAGACTTCATTGGTATTGACACATGTCTAGCGATCATGAACGTATTGTATCACGACACTGCGGACTCGAAGTATAGACCCGCGGTACTGTTGAAGAAGATGGTAGATGCAGGTTGGTTGGGAAAGAAGAGCGGTAAAGGCTTTTATGATTACTAGAAGAAAATGTGTACATGAATGACAAACATAATAAAAACAACCCAGCCTCAAGACCTTCAGTACCCTTTACGTCGTCCGAAAGTCCCCGCATATGCCATCCAGGAGGCTCTCAGCATCTTTGACATCGCTAAACGATCTAGTCACACGTCACCGAGGAGGTTCTCAACGCATCCGGGAGATCTAGACTCCCGCAACAAATCGCCCCCCATTCCTCAGCGCCGCCCTAAACTCCCTCTGCTCCTTTGACAACCCCAAATACCACTTCCGCCTCCCCTCCCAATCATCCCTCAACGCCTCTGCCACCTCCTCCCTCTCTTGCTCCCCCAACACCTCCTCTTCCGCCTCGAACGTCAATCGGCGCCCCGCCTGACTTCCCCTTCCCCATAGCGGAGACAACAGCGCGGAAGACACTTCACTGCTTGGATTGCGCAGCGAAGCACGTTTCCAGCGGATGTAGAGTTTTTTCTTGGGGGAGGGAGACGGAGCAGGGGGGTGGAGAATGAGGCGGAGACGTGGTTGTGGCTTCTGGTATAGCCTCAGACGGGGCTTCTTGGCGGGAGGAGGGGAAGCAGGCATTAGTGGCATGCTGTCTCCCCTTTCCTCTTGCTTAATAGCAGGGGTTGGAGAAGACGGGACTGCGTGGGAAGGCTTCGCCGTCGGCTCAGCTCTAGGTGCGAAGGTTCTCGGTACATTTCGCTTGGAACCTTGGAACCGGATTGGTGAGTTGGTAGCCACTAGGCGGGTACGTCTCGCAATGGCGGAGGTGGTCATGTTGTGCCGTAGTTGTTAGGGTATGGTTTGTGTGTATGTGAGGTATTGGTGTTGGGAGTATTATGGTCGTCAAACGTGTGTGAAGTGCGTGAAAAGGAGGGCAACTGATGTCTGTATTCAGAAAAGTAGGTGTGAAGTGTTTGCTTATGTACTTTTTCAATCTAATGGCTTTGGTATAGTGGTACCGTGAACTACGGTACATCCTCCACGCCCCACTTTGTAGTCACATTCGACCAATGCGTTCACGCATGAAAACATCTCTATTCACCATTATTCATCCGGGCAAACTTTCCGGTCCTCAGCTTTCTCCACTCCGGTAGCTGGTTCTGCTGACCATTGCTTTCTCTGACCAAGTCATCCGTGAACAGGCCTGACTGCAACATCGCCTCCCGTCCGCGATCTTCCCTACCTATTTCCCGTGATGCGAAGTTCTTCCATGCTAGTTGTCGACCCTTTTCACTTTTCGTGATCCTCTTGTTCGCTCTGAGCGCTTCAAAATCCTTCTGTTCGGCCGGTGTACGAGATGCTGACCCGACCGTATGACCCACCCTTTGTCCTGTGGTTGACATGCTCAAAGTAGGAAACCCGTGTAATAGTTTCTCTACGCGAGAAGACCTATCGATCCTTGGTTTGACGAAATTTGGCTCAGTAGATGTTACACGACCAGAGTAGTGCCTCATAAGCTTGAGAGGGTATGCCTTGGTCGTCTCGCTGCGAGCAGGAAATGGTCTCGTGAGTTTCGGTACCCAACGTGCTGCTGCAGCGACACGAGTGTTAAGTTTGCGCTCTTCTTTTGGAGTGAGTTCTTTCTGCGGGATCGTGATTTTCAGGGGCATAGTTGGGCAAGTGACCTGTGGTGGACTTATGGGTGGCGTGGGTGGTTGTCGGTTGCGGTTCGAGGCACTCATCGCGACACATGGGCTGGGTGAAGATAAGCGTCGCCGTTTCGCTATTCGACCTGCCATGTAGTTCGCGGTAGAATCGTTGGGTAGTGGAGATAGAGGTGTGTTTTCGGCCGCCATCATGAGACTTGTGTTACGCAGATCCGAATTCCTCGTGAGCATTTGCGCGGTAGAACAAGGGCGCCTGCGCGAAGATATAGACGTGGGGTAGGTCATGGTAAGTTGAGGCAGTATCGTAGAACCCGAGACGTTTGGGACTCGTGGTCGGTGTTGTGGTAACAGTGGAGAGAACGTGGAGATGATAGTGAAGCAGTAAACGTTTGCAGATTGCGATAGACTGACGTTGTAATTTTAGGTAAATGCCTTGAAGCCTCAGCCTGGTAGTGAGCAACTTACTGGCTCAACAAAAGAGAATGAGGATGAGAGCTAAGTGAGGGTTGTAGATTGTCTGCGATTCTCCAATCGCACGTCATTGTGAGATGTGAGTCTGAAAAAGCAGATGATAATATAACATCTATTGAGTTCGAGATTGTGGCGCGAGTTGTTCCTTCCTGTCGCAGATGTATAACCAGACTGTGCCAGGCCTGTCTAGATACAAGGAAGGTGCTTTCAGAAGACCCAAACAAAGGTTTCATGAAACACAACGCCTTGTCTTTTGTATATACGTTAGGACCGCTGCAAATGATCTGGGAGAGCTGTCTACATTGTCAGTCTGTGTAAATGATAAGAAGCCGAGATACTTACCAGCAGTGACTCCCCAAGATGAGAGCCATGCCAGGCTCACTCATCAGCAGCAGTAGAGAAGCCCGCGATACCAACTCTAACACGTAGTGAGTTGCATGCAGTTGAAGCATCAAGCGTTAACGATCGCACGTCGTCGTTAATTCGTCTAGTCTTTCACCTCTCACTTGCAATCGCAAGTACGACAAGAACAGCAACAATGACGACATACAACTTGAGACCACCTCGGTTGGTATCGTCATCGTTACATGAACGATCGCCCAGCGCCGGTATTGAGTGGCAGTATTAAGCATTTGATGGTACTAGACGCCCTTTCACCTTTTGGAGTAAATCTGGTTGCAGGCTGGTGAGAGAGTTGATGCTAAGAAATCCGCAGCACTAGTAGTGCCTGTGAGGAACACCAACTTTTACACCACAAGCCTGGCTACTCTGGATCGAAGGAAAAAGACAAGGGGTGCCCTAATTTGAAGTGACAAAAACCTCCGCCACCGCCGCCGTTATCGCTCACACACAACAGGCCCACCATCTAGGCTCACAATGGAGGTTTTACTTACGCTCACAACTACGTTCTTATTTGAGCTCTTTATCAATTTCATGATTTTGCCTTACCATATCACATTCTATTCATCTATGACGGGCATATAGATGTATGCTTTATGTGGTGCAAAATGTGACGAGTCGAAAGCTGAAAACCACTCAGCATATGAACTCGAAACTTCGAAGATATCTATCAAATACATCGACTTCATCTTAGCAACTAATTTTCGATGGAGATACCATGGGGGTGACACGAATCCATGTGAAGATCAAAGTCAAGCTTGGGCAATAGTCAATTAGAGTGCTAGCAGATCAGTGAGTGTCGGTGAGGTAGTACCCTTCCTCAATTTCTTGGGAACCTGCAGGTGTTGATATTGATTCCCCTCAAAAGAAAGGGGAAAATGAGGCTAGTCAGCGAAAGTGACGCTAAAATTCAGCCCCCAAGCCTGTGGCTTGGTCTAGCCCCAGATGGGGACTTTCGATCACCACTAGTATCAAGAGGCGCTGCCGCATCCAGTAACCTTTGGTCAACATTGTACCTTTCCGAGGATCCGGGGAGCCCTTCCCTGTCTCATAATAAAACATTCAGCCAGCCTCAATTCCTCTATAGACCGTCCGTCTTGGGCATCATCCGAAGAATGCCAACCAAGTATAAATGTAGTGCCACTTCTGTTCTCTCAACACAACCCGTTCTTTTGGTATCATTTTTTGCCTTTCGTCTGTTTTAGTTGGCTTCTTGTCTTTGCCTCCAACCACCAACATGCTATTCACCACACTCTTTGCAGCGACGACGCTCCTGGGCGTCACCCAGGCCCAATATGGATACGGCCATGATCCGAAAACAGTTACGAAAACTCTCACTTCCACTGTAAAACTCCCCGGCAGGACAGTGACGACCCAGGGATACTGCCCAACCACCACGAAAACAATATCTCTTCCTGGGTTCTCGATTACCAAGACTATCCCCGGAGCTGTGACAACCTTGACGAAAACCTCGACTTTGCCTAAGGTCATCTCAACGGTTACGTCTACTGTCCCTGGAACCGTAACAACCTTGACAAAAACAATGGTTGGGCCCGGTTCAACGGTGACATCTACCATCGCCGGCCCAGGTTCGACGGTTACGGTTACGTCTACTGCCATTGGACCCGTCTTGACGGTTACGAAGTCTGTCGATGGCCCCGCCTTCACTGTCACATCAACCGAGACGCTGCCCGCGTTAACCTCGACTCTGACACTGCCCGGATCAACTACCACAGTCGATGGACCTGGCGTGACGATCACATCAACCAAGACGCTGCCCGCGTTAACTTCAACCGAGACGCTGCCCGCGCTAACTTCAACTCTGACGCTGCCCGGATCAACTACCACTGCGACAGTCGATGGACCCGCGATAACAATCACATCAACCACGATGCTCCCCGGATCGACTACAACTTCAGTTCAGACTCGCACAGCTACTCTTTCCATATTTGTTTGCTAGACTCTGCTTGCGGTTGCCGTTGTGATGTAGGCATATAGCTTGTATGGAGACATATGAAGATGGTCACATAATGTAGACAAATATAAGGGTCACGATCTCTGAGCTCCATGAGGGCCCCATGAATTAATGTAATATATCCTTTTTTTCCACCACGGAACCTAATTTGCTGAACCACCACCACCACCACCACCACCCCGTAGGTTGTATGGCTTACTAGTGATATGTTTGTTCGACTCACTAATCAAGAGACCATAAGATGGAGAGTTCGTTCAGAACAGAAGACACGAGCGCTATTGGGCAAATATCGATTCAAAATCCGGGTTGTCATTGTACTTGATCATATTGGCAATGCATCCCTGTACAAAACAATCATAGATACCAAGATGATCAACACTCCCGCGCTACAAGCAAATGGCCAGTATTACATCCACATCTACTCTGCCTCACTCTCACTTCCGTCACCGATCTTCTCGCACCCACAATCCCACAGGTGCGCAGGCGCCAAACCCGAATACTTCTCCCTAAACCTCCGGTACCAAACCTCGTTATCGTTCCACCGATTGGAAAGGTCAGAATTTGCATTGTTTCCTTCTGCCAACCTCGGATATGTGGGATACATATCGAGGAAATCTCCACGAAACTGTAGGTAGTTGTGGTATTCTACTTCGTCTTCGGGAGTCATCTGGTGCCCTCTGCCGGTAAAACGGTCTTCGTCGTCGTCGAAATCGCCATGTCGACCATGTCTTCCGGGTTTCAAAAACGATGGTTCTTGATGCTTTACTGGCGATGCGTCTTCCATGTTGAGCTTGTTACAACTGTGCGATATTTGTGTATCATGGATAATCGTGTAGCCACTTTCGGCGTTCGATGTGACGGTGAGGACTGTGTCCTTGTATTTTCCGGGAACGATTACCGTGGACCGATCGAGCTGGGTCGGATCAAGACCGACATCGTTCATGAAGGCCTGGCGTCTTGCAAGTTTGGAAGCTTCCTCGTTCATCTTGTTGATAGTGTTAACTAAAGTCGCTTCTTTTTGCTCACGCCGCTGTGCTACAGGATCCTGGAAATGCACGGTATGATCTTGAAGCGGATACTGCGTATTGTCGGGTTTCGAGATCGTGGATTTCGCTTCAGACACTTCTCCAGTGGAGTCATGAGTTCTCTGTTTCTTCGCCGTTTGCTGGAGAAGCGTTGGCTCATGTGTGTTGCCATGCTTGCGCTTGTTTGATCTTTCCACATCACTTAGAGACTCATTCAATATGCCGGAATCAATCGGCAATGTGCTTGCTTGGAAATCATGTCCTTGGTCTTTAGGTATCGTTTCGTTCGAGTGCATATCTTGCGTCTCATCGGGCCGTGCAACTGCGATGGTCTGCTTACTTTCCGCTTGAATCTTTGATATACGGACTGTATCCTGCTTTGTATGCACCTGGAGGGATTGCTTCTTCGACGATGTTACTTCCGTTTTCTTCTTGGTGTTTGCGAGAGAGACTGTAGTAACCGGCTTCGGAGCTGGTGCGACATCATCTTCACGTCTAAGTCTAGCTCTCTGTACGTTCGCTGTGAGTGCAAGTTAGATGTGAATACGAATCCAGCAGGGTCACACTCACGTGGAAGCTTGCTGTGTCGGTTCCTTCCAAGGGCAAGTGTCTCCTTTGACTCGATCCAGTCTGCGATATATGCCTTTGTCTGCTTTCCGCCGTCCATCTGCTGTCGCTTGTTTGCACCTGCGTAATCTTCCACAATTTCCAGCAGCTCTTCCACTTTTTTGTTGCGGAGACTTGCCGATACAGAAGCACATATTCTCTTCCTACCGCCTTTGTATAGCGGGATTCGGAGGCCTTCTTCCTCCCAGAACTGCGGTCCGACATTCGGTACGCCCACGCTCGACAAAGACTTTGTCTTTGCGATACCCGCTGTTCGAGGCGATGTGGAATCTGCGTTCCCCTTCTTCAACCATCGCTGCTTCTTGGTATTTCCCTCCTTTTTCCTGTGATGGAATCCAGCCAGATTGAACTTGAAGTCCATGATAACAGTAATTGCGTGTACGTGTCCAGGCGAAGAACAGGAAGAGAACGTGAAACAAAGCACAAAGTACTAGAATGAAGAGAAGAGGAGTTGTTCTGGTTTGACTGAGACTTGTTGTATAATGCGGTATAGGTACGAGACTCAATGTCAGACAATATGAATACTCTGCTGCAATTGTGCGTGAATTAATAGCGCGGCCAGGTGAAAGGTTGTTCGTGTTTTGTTACAGGTTGCAAAACTTTCCTTTCACCGTCCAGATAAGGGAATACCATAAAGCGTCTTTCAAGGACGCAGGTGGTGAATCATTCACAATCGGGAGAAAAAACAGAAATGGGAGCTGGAAATACTGCAGAATATTTATTTACTCATTTCTCATTTTGACCTGAATCAACAGAGGTTCATCCGTCGTTGCCTGCACCCCCTCCGAACCTGCTCTGGATATGTGTTCAAGATTACTGGTCGATCGAATTTTCCCGACTCAACCACGGTTTACGACCCAAAGCCAAACCAAACTTCGATCAATGGCTGCCTAGGCTCTCAAACACGCGTCCGCGTTGGTACATTGAGCAGCCAGTCGTTAAGAGACGGTTTGCTGATTAGCTCTGTGCGATTATTACTATGCACTCTCATTGATGTTTGCTGTGTGCAAAGGGGCTAAGTAGATATTAACTTCTACACCAAATTACTATACTAGATTCTTACTGTGTTGCGTCTATCTGCTTGTACCTTAAGCGTGAATACGACCCAAAATGATAACAGAGGTTCATAGGTCATAGGAGAAGTCAGAAGACGTCAGGAAAGCCCCGGTGATTAACCTTCCGTGATAGAGAGATTTTGCGCTGGGCACGATAGCCAATTCTTGAGAATCGTGGAGGAAGACCAGTCCTTGTTCGTGTTTTACTTCTGCTAATAGCATAGTAGGCTTTTCTGAAGATGTCCGAGCCTCTTCCGCAAGGGGGACACACGTCTCTTGAGTTGCATCTTTTGGAACAATGTGATCTGTTTATTCTGTTGTCAATGTGACGCATGCTAGATCGTGTTCATAGGTAAATGGTTCGGTTAGAAGCCGTGCGTGGCAGGAGTTGGTCTCGGCGCACGTGAGACAGGAGTGAGCCGCTAATGTGCGTGAGCCGAGGCATCCCTAGCCGCCTCCAGCTGTTGGATTCATCATCTTGCGACTCTCTTAACCATCTCCAAAAGACTCCCAGCCTGTGTAGGCAAGAGGTAGTCAAGATGGTTCGCGAGGAAATCATCGCATCTGCTGTGAGTACCATCTCAGCCACCGTCACCTCCCCTGATACTAACTATTCCAGGTCTCCTGTATGTTGTCGCGTCCACGACCGCCGCGTGTTTGATTCTAATCTAGCTCGCAGTCCTTCAGGATCCCTCTGTCGCCAGCGCGCCTCTCGAAAAGCGCATCGCCTTCCTTCAATCGAAGAACCTTACGCAAGAGGAGGTCGACGTCTCCCTTGCTCGCGCGGCCGAAGACCCCAGCCAGCCCTCGTCGCCCGCCCAATCCTCCGCACCCCCCAACAATGCATACCGGCCTCCTCCATCAGCTCCGGCATATGGAAGTTATCCTCCCCAAGGATACTGGCAGCCGCCGCCGCCCCCAGAGTAAGCATGTCGTCTGTATAGGCAACGCGATCAATGCTAATATAGCAACAGACCTCCAAAGCGCGACTGGCGAGACTATTTCATCATGGCGACCGTGATGGGCGGTGTAGGCTACGGGATGTATTTCACAGCGAAGCGTTACATTCTGCCTTTGGTCCAGCCGCCCACACAACCCCAGCTTGAGCAGGACAAGGCCTCCATCGACGAGTCCTTCAAGCGCGCGTTTGACCTCTTGGAGCAACTGAACACCGACACAACCGCGCTGAAGGCTTCAGAAGAAGCAAGAACGACAAGGTTGGATACTACGCTCAACGAAGTGGAGAGCGTGTTGTCCAGCTTGAAGGACTCCTCGAAGAGACAAGGCGATGACAACAGGCGCATCGAAGACGACGTACGCGGGCTGCGAGATCTGATACCGAAAGCATTGGATGCCCAGAAGGAGTCGACCGATAACAGGCTGAAGGAGTTGTCCACTGAGCTTAAGAGCTTGAAGACCTTGGTCGGTAACAGAATCGGCGCTGGAGCGGCACGTCCTCCTACTACGCCAAATCCCTTCGCCGCGAGTCAATCGCAGATCTCTACGACAACCCCAAACGCTAGTGGTACACCTGGAGCCTCGACATCAGCACAGCAGTCTACATCCATCCCTCCTCCTGCGTCCCCTGTGCAGACGAACGGCTCTGCAGCTACCGGCGCGCAAGCGAGCACCAGCACTGCATCCGCGTCTACGCCAACTACCGAGAAGCCTGCATCCACACCGTACAGCAGGTTACCAACTGGCCGAGCTGCCATTCCAGCATGGCAGATGGCCGCGGCGAAGAAGACCGAAGAAGCAAAGAAGGATACTAGTGCGAGCGGCACTGCAGCCGAAGCCAGCCCAAGCTCATAGGAGAGCGGTCTTGATAGCTTAAGCGTTTCTGATTTACTGCACTCTTGTCGCATATATGGTACCATTTTCTTCACGTGTATTACCTACTCATAGCGGCTGCCGTTTCTGAATATGATGACTGGGGTTATGGTTCGAGGGAACGGAATCCAATTTGTTACTCAATAACGTTATAATCTAGATTTCATCATATTGCTGTTCATGCTTACAATCCGAGTCAACAGTATTTCGTAACATCTTGATCAACAGACCAATTGCGTCAATGTTTCGCAACCTTGCGATCAGTGCCAATCCCAGCCACCGACTTAACTTTCAGCCTCCACATCATGGCAGATGATCTGTGCTCAGTAAAATCGACGCAAGGTCGATCTTGCATACATCGGCAATCTCAACGCTCAGACAAAAGGTCCCGACGCTAACCCGCCCTTGGAGATGTTGACGTCTGCAATCATGAACTCGAAGTCAGTGTTACTGACGTTGAATTTAGGGATGGGGTTGCACCTTTCAAATCCCGTTTGGTCTCTTGCTCTGATTCTACACTATATCATACACTTCTCCACATAAAAGTGATGGGCGTTTTGCCTGGGGTCCAGTCTTGAATCCGTATCATGACGCACCGCATCAAAGATGGATCGCCCTCGGATAGCTCCCGTTCCTAGCTCGAGGTCCCGTCCGCTAGATCGCCATATGCTTATCCACAGATGGTCTGGCGTGTCGGAGGTTTGGACCTGCGTCCTGGACGATGCTGTCATGATCGTAATTGCCATGGAGACCATGATCGTGAGTCTCAGTCTACTCCTATACAGATGTACTTACGCCGTCAGAAAGGGGCGCACTGTCCAAGAATCCATGACGTACAAGTGTTACTGAGAAGAGTACTTAAGAAGGTCGATATACGTTTTTCCTGATGGCATCAACACATCCTCAAACAAACACTCCTCATATTCATAACCAACGACGCCTAGCCGCATCATTACATACTCAATCAATACTATCAATTATCATTCTACGATCAACATGAGCGCTGCCCAAGGAGGACCTGCCGGCGACCCAGTCGACAATGACTACCAGTCGCGCACTGGTCAGAACGAGATTCCAGTACAGAGAGACGAAGCGCCCATCGAGAGCAGCGAGTACGACAACGCCGAGGTGGCCAACTCTGACGAGCAGCTCGGTATGTATTCTTTAAGATCTTTGCGTTGGACCTTTTACTAATTTTTTCAGTCCGTGATGACAAGGATGCCATAGACGAGAACAACATCATCGAGGAACGAACTCGAGGAGCTACTAAGAAGGCTGGTTCCTATGCTGAGCCTGGGGATGAGGAGGGACTTGAGGCGGCTGAGTAGAATGGAACATCCGCTGGTCGGTGGTGGTGCATTTTCCGAGGGTACACCAGTCTACTTGAATATTGTAACTCTAGTTTCGTCACGCGTTATCACAATACCATGCACGTCAAAACAGAACATTGAACAAGTTACAGAACGTAGTTGCGGCCAACGTCATACGATGAATACATAACGATAACAACTTTATATTCAGCCACGTGTCACTGTTTCCACTATCAATTGTCCCGACACTGTCTCAGTTCTCTTTTCTCTCCAATGAATCCTTCTTGTTTTCAGGTTGAACGTGCAGGTCGAAAATCTGTTCAACTCAACCAGTAAATCTTAGGAATCCAGAATTGGCCACAAAACACCCGAACGGGGCGAACGAAGAAGAGTAAGGCAGAAAAAAAGGTTGCGCGTTGGACTTTACCTGACAATTTATCTTTGGTACTGGGGCTGGGCGAGGATGAGACAGATTGGTTGCCATGGGTTGAGAAACTTGGTCGATTCACATGATGTGAACTCCCTCAGCTCGCGCAGTGCTATTGACGGAGAGTAGAGACCTGTCATATGGAGAATGCGATCTGGAGGGTGGGTCTTTGGAGAGTGTTTGATGGGGTTAGTTATGGTTGCTGGGAATGAGGCTGTATTCACTGTCACTCAATATATCCCAATATAGACCTCTTGCGCCTGAGTACAACTTCAGGGAATAGGTAGCGACGGGATATGAGGTGTTTCACTTTTTTAATTCCAAGATCGGCAAAACAAAGATAGATTTCTCATGTTGTTCCTGCAGCCTCATTCTCCCTGTCTCAACTTGATTGTATAACTTCCCTCAGCCGTATTCATTACGTCTGTGTGTGGAGAATCACACACTCAATGTCTAACAGCAAGTTTCGTAACCTCCTTCCTAGGCGTCAAACTCGTGTAAGGGTCCAACGACCGGGGCACCTCGCCAGGACCAATTTACCGTAGTTTTCGGTTCGTTTACTCCACGTACCTGCTCTCAAGATCAGTTTCCAAAGCTTTCCCTCCCCGTACAGGTCTCGCGCCTTACTCTCCTGGTCTCGTGTTCGATTTTTTTTGTTGCATGATCTATCCTATTCCCATCATTATTGTTGGCTTTTAGCTTTGCCTTATCATGTGCCGTTTGCTCGTGGGTGAATGCGAGTACCACGCGCATGTAGGCTGCTGCGGCGATAATCTCCAACCCATCTTCACCCAGAATTTCACTGCCGCAACCGGAGCCTTCGCAACATTTATTGGACCCCGCTTCCTCTCCCTCTTTCGGCGGTCTGTTCGTCCTCTCTTTCTTAATGTCAACTGTTTCATCTCCGCGTTCCACGCACACTTTCCACGCTCAACCTACGCAACCTCTCTCAGAGCAACGGTACGCGCTCTGAGCGAAACAGTCTCAAGGTCTTGGAAGGACCCACAGTTGCTTTCTCATCGTTGACACGTTTTGCTTGTCTGTATTTCCTCAGAGGAACGGTTCACGGTTTGGGCGAAACAAAGGTACGAGTCCAGCTTGATATTTCTATCCGTGGGCCATCACGGATACGCGTTGGTTTCTTTCTTTCTTTGATCTTTACACTTGATACGTAGTTGGACACTCAGGGCGACGTGTACAGTATGCTGCCTCGTCAACAAAATAACTTGGGTCAACCCTTCTGCAACTCGCAACCCCATACCGCAACCACAACAATGCGTGGTGTTACAAGGGAGATGATCAACCAACAAGCTGCACGCTTCAAGGCGCAGAACCAGCGCGTGTACATCTCCGGATTCATCGGTCACCATCCCCTGGAAGTTGGAGCTACATACTGGTATCGTGGTCACTACATCTACGCGTTTCCTAACGGTAATCTTATCGAGCCAGTTCCGTTTTCGATTCGCCATGGCATCATGATCAATGGCCTCGTTCAGGAACAGGCACCAGCGTACCATCCTCAGGCTGCGGGTTCGGTGTTGGAATCTAGTGTTGCTGCGCTGGACAAGAGTAAGAAGAACGAACAGGAACGTCAGCAAGAAGAAAAGGATGAAAAGAGGAGGGACTCCGCAGAGGCTATTGAGCTTGCAGACCATGTTGAGACTTCGAAGAGCGCTGATATAGAAGCCTATCTTACAGTGGCCAAGAATACTGGAGCACCTGACTCTTGGTCTACTCATCCTTCTCAAGCTGCATCAACCACCGCTCATCCATCGATGTTTCGACCATCTTCACATGTGGGCTCATATGTGTCTTTGGCCGACCTAGGTCGCAATTGCGTCGCTACCACGGTAACAGAACCCGAGATCAGCATTGCTCAAGCACCTAGCATGCCTTCTCTGACAGTCTATGCACCGCACGCCATGTCGACGGGACTAGCTTTCACACCACACGATCGTGCACAATTTCTCGCCGCTTCCGCCCCGGGCTCCCGCAACATGTCTCGGGTCAACACGCCCTACACATCCCGACCCGTCTCGCCAACCCAACGCCATGGGTCCCGTGACACACTGCGTCCAGTCTCTAGCACATCGAGGCTGACGGCGCTATTGATGGAGGAGGGGATCCGAAGAGCGTTCACTCCGCTTGAGGAGGTCGCTGAAGGCACGGCCTCCCGCCTGGATGACAGTGATATGAAAGAAGAGCCGGAAGCTAACCTACTAGCAGAAAGCATTCACTCGGATGAGATGGATGCCTTTCGCACATACTCGCATGGCTTGCCAACCCAGTCTGACTCCACCACCATCACTACTCCACAGGATGTCGTCCCACCTCCATCTTCCTGGTCCCGCAACAAACCAGTCGGCGCTGGACGTCCGCGCCGCGCGTCCATGGCCCTGAACGAAGCTTACAACGCGGCAAACCCCAGCACTCATTCTGTGCTGACCTCAAGCAACACTCAGAACACTGACTCCTTTGGCCACTCCCGGTCATACATCACTTCTTCAACACAGCACGGCAACCTCATACCCAGCAGAGATATTGTTGCTGAGCAATGGACCGGGAAATGCCCACTGCATGGTGAGGAGTGCGACGGGGTGACAGTCACTGGGACGTGGCAGACGCAGGCTGCGATTGAGGGACGCGGATTTGCAGATTTGTATCCAGTGATTGTTGGTGCTGGGGGAAGAAGGATGGTGGATTGGGAGGGGTTGTTGAGACAGGAGAGGGTGAATAGGGGGCGTGAAGAGTGGAGTGGGTAGAGGAGCGGAGCAATCTTGGATTGTAATCTATGCCATGGGTCGCTATGTCGGGAGGTATTCTGGAGTCTGCTCATGGATTAGAAAACTCTTGATTGGGTATTCGGGTTACTCAGATGGAGTATGCATGTATAGGCGATGTGCGAATACTCTCAGAAAGCTATACAGAGGCCTTCAAGCTGCTACATCAAGCCGCCGTTCGACACTGCATCACCTTCTATACAAATACAAACTCTATCTATATCTCACCATCTTGGCTCATCTCTGATAGACAGCTGCGTGTCCAGAGAAGATGTTGCTCTGATCCCTCGATCTCCCGCAACGTAAACTGTTCTCATGTACAAGCTCAGTTGACCTCCTACCCAAGGCGTCCCTGACATTCCGAATCACGGTTTGGGACGACCCTAGGACTCCTCACTCCCAAGGTGATTATACAACTTAGCCGATGCCCCGGCCCCTATATCACGTACTCCCGGACAACAACACGCCTTCTCCTTACGCGCCGGCCAATTGACATAACTGTATCATTCTTTCTTGGAATCGAGCCATGTGTACCGAAGATGAAATGTGCTGACGAATGATAGGTGACGCGGTTGTGCAACGTTACGCGTGCATGCAGGAGCCCCTTGACTCCCAAAGACTAATCTATCAGTCCTCCTTTCTTACAAACGTCTCTGCTTCACCCCATCTCTCGTCATGACGTGGAGTTTTTCATCGTACAACACATGTCGGTTGCATGATGTGTCAAAGTGACACGCACAGTGACAGGAAAGGGACGATTGGTTTGGCCAATTGATGCCGATAGACACGAAAACACGTGATATCGCGCCTGGTTAGGGCAAGGATAATGACCATGAGTGGCGTGATATGAGTATGTTGTCGGGAACAGGCATACGGGAGGCTGAAAACGACATGTAATATTACTGAACTTATCTCGTGACAGTTGATTATTGACCGCCAATGCCAGAAGACGCAAATCTCAGACCATATGTATCGCAGAGGACGGGTATCTATATTACACACGCTGAATAGGCTGAGACTAGATGATCGAGGTCATTGCGCAATGGATTGTTGCAATTCAAAGCACAATATTTAGCGTCGCCTTGCCAGTAGCATGAAACAAAGGAAAAGAAAGCAAACAGCACCTGGGTAGATGACTCCGAGCTACTAGGCGACCTGACGGCAAGTTGAGAGGTAGGATGATCTCTACTCATCCTGCGTAGGAGCCTTCTTCTTCCTGCCCCTGCGAATATTGTCAGCATGGTCGGATTTAATGTTCGCAGAAACATACTTCTTTTGAGGCACCTTGGCCTCGCCGTCATCAGCAGCAGCAGCAGTCTTCTTGGCACGCTTTGGCTTGGGAGCCTCTTCCTCCTCCTCGACTTCAGACTCCTCCTTGACTGCAGCCTTCTTAGCCTTGCCTCTAGCCTTCTTCGGCGGGGGTGCCTCGTCTTCGTCGTTCTCGTCCTCATTGTACTCAACCTTCTTGCCCCTGCGAGCCCTCGCCTGCTTAGGCGGAAGAGCGTCCTCGTCCTCGTTAGCCTCCTCCTTCTTGGTAGCTCGTGCGCGCTTCTTGGGGGCAGGTGCATCTTCTTCATCGACGTCTTCCTTCTTAGCGGGTCGTCCACGCTTCTTAGGAGCAGTGGTCTTTTCCTCGTCGTTGTCCTCAGTCTTGGCCTTGCGACCACGCTTCTTCTTGGGCTTCTCGCTATCTTCGTCGTCGTCTGCAGCGGCTTCCTTAGCCTTCTTGGTTAATTCACCCTTGGTCAGACGGAAGCCATTCTGGCCTGGTCGGTTCTTCTCCACGTCCTAACAAAATCAGCGTTTGCGATGTGATGATACGATTGCATACAGGTGAGATGAGAAAGGAGTCCAGAAAATAGGACGAGAGGAGAGCTGCATGTTTGGGAATGCGTTCGGGCATCCCAGCATGACGGAATCCTTTCACAGAATGTATGTTGAGCGTGACTTACATATTTCCAGTCCTCATCAGGCACATGGCCGTTTTCAAGTGCGAACTGGATCTTCTCTTGAAACTCTGTGGGAAGCTCATCATAACCATCGACCATTTCCGTATCACCTCCGCTCGTCTCGATCAGGTTCTCAATCTGCTTCGGTGTCACGCATCCCCTACCAAAGTAAGTATGGAACACTCAAGTCATGTCATGGATAGAGGTTTCATACCAGTGTCGGTACTGCCAGCTCTGATGCTCTTGGATAGTGACTTGAATCGCGTAGCGAAATTCGCCCTTGGCGATCTTGACTGCAGCTTTCTTGCACTCTGTGGCATGGCATCCAGCTCTAGCGTTGGGCGACGCTTCTGAGATATAGAATTAGCTCGAGGTAAAACTTTGAAAAGTAGAAGAAGCAGGCAAGAATAGTGGCCTAGTCAAATATGAAACATACCAACTCGATAGACGCCCATGGTGGATGAGTAGTTGTGATCGCGATATTGACAGATAACAAGACGCGTCTGCTGTAAAACGCGTGCAGCCAAATGGAGCAGTTTTATGGCGCGCCTGTGAGAAATACGCGAGCAATTTGGATCGAAAGAGAATGCAAATGACGGGCTCTAGAACACTCAGTCGCACAAATTCTGTGGTTGAGTGGACAAGAAGTGAGCGAAGTGTCTCTTTGTAGTGGTGGTGGTGAACTCCAGGCAGTCAGCGCGCTTGGACAACTACCAACACTAGCGTCCCGCTCGCGACGTGAGGTCATCAAAAAAAGTGGCAGGACACCTCTTGAACCACCGTTCACCTTCACAACCCGTGCGCCACCACTCAATGAGCGCTGCTCACACATGTGTTCGCAGCGCCTTGACACAGGCATTTCGACCGTCTAACCGTGGAATCGCTACTCCATGTTCCGTCCCCGCCTTCCTTGTGCCCGCACTCGCTCGACCCCCAAGATGTTCCTTCTCATCTGGAAAACGCCGCTCGAAGGAACAACAGCCGCCCCCACATCCTTCGATAGACCCGCCGGAAGGTCTGCCTATACTCGATGCCCCCTCGAAGATCACCCATAAGCCATTGCGCTCTCTCATTCCATTTCCGAATGATCGTGGTGATATCGAGCAATGGCTGGCGGCCATCGAACCCTTTCTCCCGGCTCACCTGCGACGAATACCCTCGAACGATCCCGATGTATCTTCCAAAGTGACAGCGGTCGACCTTTCTATCGTGCTTGTCGCAATTCAGGATGCGTCTCTGGACATTCTCAGCCACCTTGGACTGGTACAAGGACGATGGCAAACAGTCGTGTGGATGGCAAAGAAGCTTGTTGAGGGTGGACGACGTTCAATCGAGCCTCCTGTGCAACTCGGCGCGTCTACCAACATGATATGGCCGGAAGTCCAGCCACGTTCCTTGCAGGACTTGACAAACGGTCCTCTTCGCCTTGAGCGAGTTCGTCCTTCGCAGAAGTTGAATCTCACCTTGGACGAACTAACTTCTGCCCCGGACACAATCAACCTGCAACACACTGTGGTGAAACGAGCATTAGGACAGCTTTGGAGGAGCTTAGGCAATTTGATATTGGTCGCTGCAGAGCGAAGCAACGCGGAAGAGGACACTGTGATGCCACACGTTCTGGAGATAATCGCTTACCTGCATCACGTAGGCTTCATGCCGGACTCTGTTTACACGTACCGGCCCCACGCCAACAAACATGCCCTGCAACAGCCTCCAACACTCCATATGCTGTCTTCGACAATTCTTACAGCTTTGTCTGATGCGACATGGAAAGCTCACGAAGCTTCTGTCAAAGTCGCCAAAGAACGCATGAACGCGCAATACTTTCTCGGTCATGAGATCCCTGGTTCACGCTACAAAGTTCAGGTCACAGAGATAGCACCTGAGCTGTGGCTGGAGCTTGTTCTCTGGTCCTGTCTGCACGGTGGCTGGACACTAGACGGCATTGCGATTCTAAAGCAGCTACTTGCTAAACGCGAGAGTAACAGCTGGGGACTCATCAGTTGGCGTGAGATCATACAAGCTGAGCAAGCCACAACACCAACACCGTCAAGAAGATGGAGTCTATTTCCCATGAGAGGGGACGCGTCTGCAAGTGCCGAAGACCGAGCTAAAACGAGACGAACTATCAGTAGCGAGATCGTGACTGCCTTCATAGATAGTCTCGTCAACCAGATGAGATTAGGCGTTGGTGCTCGAGGCACCAACCCGGAGACGCTGGTGGATCATATCAAAAGCCTCAAACAGTTTCTCGACTCCAGCAACCTTAGTCTTGGTTCGGCGGCTTGGGACTCTATTATGGTACGTCTTCTTGAGTCTGGTGGGTTTATCCCGGAGAAACGGCCTGAGCTCCTTCTACGCATATTTGACCTTGCCACTGGATTCGGCGCAGAGGTTAGCACCGCAAACGTTTCTGCTGCCAATGACGTCGAGGTTCCATACTTTTTCGAGCCCACTACTATACCCTTGAGCCTGCTCCATCATACGCTACGTGTATACATCGGAAAAGGAGATATTAAAAGTGCTATGACAACCTTGATGCTTCTCCAGCAGTACACGGATAGCAACAAACAGAAATCGGTGCAACAATTCTTCGAGACATTGAAGAGTGCTCCTTCACGGCAAGCGGAACCCTTCACTAGTCGACTACCACCAGTTGATTTTCCAGCCTTTGACGCGAAACTACCCATTCCCGTGCTTGCGAAGCTACTGAATCTGGCCACCGAGTCGAAGCTGTATGACCTTGGGCGGTGGTTTCTTAATTCTGGAGACTTGGACGGTCCACTGATTGGTCGCGATCTTTACGGCGATCGGAACATTGCTGCGTCTATCATACAATTCGGTAGTCTGGCAGGGGAGAATGATTTGGTCCTCAAAGTCATCAAGAAGAGTGGAGTTTGGGATTCAAGGGCCAAACAACAGCGCATGCCTGCTCAGATTCTGACTGCGCTTCTACGTAGCCAAATCCAGCTTCGTCGCTGGGAGTCTGTGAAAGGCATGCAGAAATACGTCGAGGAGTCCTTCACGTTCAGACCGCGCCCAGTGATATTGTCCACCTTTGCTGCAGAGCTTCTTCGCACCTCTCGAGGGACGAGTGATGAGAAGATGCAAGCTCAACAAGCTTTCACAGGATTGTTATTTGGCTGGGAGAGCATTATCCTCAGAAACATTCGAAACGAACTGTACTGCGCTTTGGCGATCATGTCCACTGTCGACGGCGGGTGGAAGGAGTACTGTTCTCGATTTCTGGCACTCAACGCGCGCCAAGGCATTAAGCTTTCTACGGACGATTTCAACCAGATGCTTAGCGGCGTTTTAGACGGATATGGTAGCTCCAAAGGCAAAGAAATCGTCGAGAGATGGTGCTACACGCTGCCGAAGAATTTTGGCTCCTACAGAGCACCTGGTGGACTACTGACTATGCCTCGCTTCCGACCCGGCAAAGGCGAGGAGTACGAGGACCGACCCGAAGACATTGAAGTGGTCCAAGCCTCAGGTGCGAGACTTATCCTGCAAGGACGAGTCCATCCAAACCGACAGACTGTGTGGGCCATTTTACGGAAAATTCAGGAGGAAATCGGCGAGGACTCAACAGCCGCTGCACGCGCAAAAGTGCGTGATACGCTGAAGTGGGCAGCTCGCCTACTCTACTACCTAGGCCTCGACTATGAGGATACCATTCGTGACCTTGGCAGCCTTGCAGATCTTGCCGAGCTTGAGGCTCCCGCGGCGCCTAACGAACTTGGGTATGTTCAAGGCGCACAGCATGACTTCTTTCCGCATCTTGCATAGCCTCCAACGTTCGTAGATACCAATTGCGTAATACGCTTCACTTCAACCCCATACATAATTTTTCCCCTTTTGTCTCCACCCGAAGATTCTTCGAAGGGCACGTGAAGCCCCCAACTGGGGGCATACGCCGTGAGATCTTGCCTTAACGTCAAAACCCTGGGGGCGTTTGATGGAGTCTTTCTCCACTGGTTTTCCACCTGTACTAGACAGTTGTCATACGCCTAGGTAGACTGCTCGAGCCTGGGCGTTATGAACCGGTGATTCTCATTCGAGGGTCGAACTTGGAAGAGACATGTCTGCCTTTGAGGAGCACACTCTAGTGCTACCGTCTCAATCTGACCATCTGCAGCCGTCGTATGTATGCAGAGTTTATCGAATAGTAAACCTGCCTCTGATGTATGTTGTACGTAGACGTTTACAGTCACCCAATCAGGAGCATCCTTAATCCGGACACGTCGAAGGTTTCGGCAGGTCTACAACGGACTCGGGAGTTTTACCCAACCAGGAGCGTTGTGGACCACTTTTTCCCAAGATCCCATGAACGACGTGCATCCCGCTAGAAACCCCAGGGGGGCGCTGGACAAAAAAAGTGTTGTAAAAATTTTGGTTTTGGACAAGCGAGAACCATTGGAACTGGTCGAGTCAGGCACCGGTGTCTTCACATGTCTTTGATACACACCACAAGACATGCAGTGCAATTGGGTCTGGGGTTCCCACCTCCTGCGGGCTGCTACTGCTGTGCTTTTCCTGCCTGCGTTTGCACGTCCTCACCGCCCTTTAGACGCGGGCGCCAAAGGCTCCATGTACATCGATTGATCGTGGATCATGGAGGGGTAGAAGAACGACGTCAATTGAGGGGTCTAGTTTATGATGCCATCCATGTCTGTGCGAACGGACGTCGTTCAGGATTCATACATTGATAGTCGCGCACAGATGTTCGAGTTGAGATGACGAACGCCGTCGAGCTGAAGCGTGCATGCATGGAGCAAAAAGTAACTTTGGTGGGACTGTTGGCCGCTGCTGCAAGGATAGTTACTTTCCGTTGTCTGCTCGTGTTTAGATAGACCAATGAAATCGCGTCGAGTGATGTTTGATGCTGTTCTCTTTTTTAGCTCGCCCATTTGCCTCATTGTTCCGTCTTTTCTCACGGTCCATGGTTTCGATTAGTGGGGCATCGGCGAAAATGTTACGAGGGGCACGCGACTGCAGAACGCAATGTTGATGGAAATTGTAGTTTCTGAGATCGTTGAGGAATTTCCAAAATACTTCATGCATGCAAGATAAGGAGACATTCATGTCAAGACACAGCATGAGGCTTTGTGCCACCATTTGACGCACAACTGGGGAGTCATCGTGCCCTGGTCGATCCATCCCCACCGACAGGCGCAACCGGCGCTAGCGGGGCTTGGCGGGAATTTTACAGCGCCATATCGACTGCGCCCGCTGCCTTTGCTCTCCACAACCTCACTATTGAGACTCCATAATCACACATTACCACCCAAAGACACCTATTCCAGCAGTATCCATATAAATCATCGTCGAGACAATGCCGCAGGCAATCGCTGAGTGCTAAATCCCCACTGGGGGGCCCGCAAAAGTTTGCGGGTCCTCCAGTCCGGCCTACTCGCGAGAATTCACCCTCAACGACGATACAATCCACGACTGCGTGTAGCACATTCTGCTCGCAATTCGTACCAACCGATTGAACATCGTCCAGCCTGCATTGCGAAGACCACGCATTGTCAGTTCTTCTGGCTCAACCCACGAACTTCGGCGACACCCCCAGGACTCAGCATAGTTAAAGAGCCCTGCCCCTCAGTACACCATACATCTAGTCGATCCAATCTTGCTCATTCTCGCCCCCCGACCCACCCGACTTCCTACTCCAACCACCCTCTCCAACCGCGGCACCTTACAATACTTGGCTCTCACACACCACATTCTCACATCCACCTCTGCCACTACCTCAACTGCAACAAGAAGCAACCCACCTATCATGGTCCATCCTAAAAACGGTCGATCGGCTATGGCTGGTTTCGGAGGGCAACATCTCCACGATCAACGGCTCATGCCCGACACTACGGTCAACACACGCTACAGTGACCAGCGACACTCCACCCAAGGCCCCGCCCCACTGAGCACTAACCAAACCGAAGGACGTGGCGACGAACAGTCAGCTACCGAAGAAGTTGCTGATGAAGACGACGAGGAAGACAGTAGCACTGCTCAGGACGACGAACAAGCGGATGATGAAGATGACCGGGAGGTGTTGGCCCCGTCCCGCGGTCGTGGCAAGGGCGGCAAAGGACTAGGGAAACGACCTTCCATCCGAGTCGAACCTGTTGAGGATGGCGAGTCTCAAGATGAAGACGATGACACGGCATCCAATGGGACGGGACTCATTCCCAGCAAGCACCCTGTGAATCAGCTACTAATGAACAACAAGAAACGTACCTTCAGCAACCTCTCTAGTACTTCTGTTTTATTTGGAGAGGATATAACTGAACAGGACTCCTTCCCCAGACGCAAGATGGCGCGGAAGCTCAGCAACGTGGCTAGCAAGCCCTTGCTGACATACCAAGAGAGCGCAGGAGCTCACTTGAAGGGCTTTGAGAATGCCATTGAGAGCGACGATGAAGACTACAGCGGAGTCAATCTCATTCCTGATGACGATGAGTCTGACATAGAAAACATGATGGAGCAAGAGGAAAGTTTCATCATCAATGAACAGGAGCATCAAGCGACTACATTGCTTAACGAGTTTCGTGATGCTCGCCGCCTCAGTCTCGATAGCTGTGCGAGTGATGACATCTTTAATGTCACAGCCCCGCTGGATGAAGCTTACATCTCAGGTCTTCAAGACTACGGGTTTGCTCAATTTTTCGAGCCAGAGGCTCTTCCAAGTTCTCCTGACCCAGCTGTAAAGAGGAAGTACTCTGACAGCTCGACCAAGCGTGTCCGCTTCGATGACGAGGTTCAAGTATCAGATGATTCCAGCTCTGAATCTTCGGAGCTTGATAGCAGCGTCTTCCCCGACCTTTTCTTGGAGCAGGACAAACTGCCTCCCATCCTGCATCAACTCCTCGAGATTGACAATGATGACGATAATGGGGATATGGCCTCTCCTATGTCTGACATCTCATTCTGGGACTTTGGTCAAGAAGAATCAAGGATCACTCAGGCTGAAGACTCCGATGATGAGTCGTCTGCCGGCTCTAGTGGCTACGAAAGTACGGTTGCAATCTACTCTCAGTTTTTCCTAATACTAACATGATTTGCCAGCTGACATGGGTGACACCACTGATGAAGATGAAGACTTGTCGGATTCGCGACCAAGAACTCCCGTCCAGAAGAAGTCTGTCTTGCACCAGCCATCGTCAGCTCCTGGTTCCAGAGCTGCTACTCCTAGGCCATTTCAGCGAAGCTCTCGCCCTACAGGCCGTCAAATCCCTCCTACTCGCGGCATCTTTATCCACGAGGATAGTACCAAGGCGATTGCGGTAACGAACAGAGCTACAAAGACTGTTACCTTCTATCGCCCACGTACAAACATGATTCCTTGGCTCCCAATGAATGGCAGTCGCAGTAGCACTAGCAGCACAGCCAATGACAGTCCTAGGGCATCACTTGCGCAGTTGAACGCCTCGGATAGTGAAGTCAGCAATGAAGTCTTCAACAACGCCTTCAGTACAGACATCATGCTCACTGGCATCTTTGGATCTGCGTCTGGAAACGACTACTTCTTCGGCAACGAAAGTATTGGTCCTCCTGAGGCCTTTTATCCGTTTGTAAGCATCGGATCTAATGGAAATATGGACATCATGGATGAGGAGGACTACGACTCCGAGGACTTTGAAGACGACCTGAAAATCACCGACTTTATGGATTTCGGTTCTGAAGGAGACGACACAGATGTGGAGCAAGACGGCGAAGAGACCGATGCGCCGACAACTCCGGCTACCACAAAAGCGACTCTTCATGATCCTTCTTCTGGTCAGCCACTGCCAATGAACGAGACACCTGTAACTCGCAAGAGGACCACTTCAGATGTCATGGCCGAGCACCTTGAGCACTTTGACCGCGGAGTAGTTACCGCTTTCCGCAACAATCAGAGTCTGTATCGCGACATTGCTTCCCTTCCGTCTGACCCGACAGCTCGAGCTTCAGCTTCTCGCCCAGTTCGATCAGGCAAATCTGCTGAGGCTCTGATTACCCCTCTTCGCAAGCGGTCAAGGTCCAATCGAATGACGAAGTCCCCTTATGCTCCCGCGACATTCGCAAACCACAGCTCGCCACTCAATGGAGTCACCAAAGCCAACACGCGACTACAGAACTCTGTCTTGAGTAATCCGCGTGCCCCGCCACCAAGGATGGGGACTTTTTCTTGAAATCTCGCATGTGATGCCTGCATCTCACTACCATTAGGGGAAATCTAACCACGATTGTCGCCAACCCGAGGGACGGGAGAATTGATGAGGATCTAGGGGGGAGTACTTGGAATGTCTTGTGGAGATAGACTGACGACGTTACGATACCCACGGCCTTTTTTCTTTCTGCCGTACCTACGGCTATGTTGTTACTACGAACGCGGCTATGCGTTTGCATACTTGCCAAAAGTTCTTCATCTTGGACAGGTTCGGTAAAAGTTGGAGGAGGCTTTGGGGCGTCGAGCTCATGTTCTCGATCAGCAGCGCTGACTGCTCATTTCAATTTTTTTGATTTCTTTGCGTTTGAGGAGTTTTCTTTGATTTGTGTCCGAGTTCTGTTTTTCCTACTTCCTTTCGTTAGCTTGTCGTTCACGACGCCTTTTTTCCTTTGTCAAGAGTACCTGTATTTGGATGGCAGGGTTTGCCTGGTGGGAAAGGTCTGACGCTTTCTGCTTCCTCCGGCGTTCAGGGTCGAGACTGCGACGGTCGCAGACTTGATCTGGCTTAGAGGTTAAGGAATCATTCCAGGCGTCAGGTCGTATTGATCGGTGGTCTCATTTGTTGGGGAGTCAATGGTCTATGGGATTCGTGAAGCGAGTGTATGAATACCAGCGTTCGTGATAGTTTTCAGCAGAATCAAAATTGTTTGACCAATTACCTACTTGTTTGACGGTTGCACATGCGCTCAGCCTCCGTCTGACCCGCATCCATGTGTTGCACGTTTATCTGCGGTGGCGTCCATGCAAGATGGCGCAACAGAAGACCGTGCTTTGTGTTCGTTAACATCGACGTCACTGCCTGACATTTGCACATGCATGTGAAGATGAGCATCCAACGAACACCACTACACCACAACGCCAACCACTTGGGGTTTTCGACAATGGACGAAGCTGGAGACGAACACTCGGAACACAAACCGATTGTTCAGCAGGCGACAGTACATACACCCCTAAATCACATCACGCATATTGGTTCTACTCGCGCAAACCATACTGACAAACTCAGGAAACCCTCCTCTACCCAGTTCGTGTCGCAACATCGCCACCCCTGTTACGAACATATCTCCGCACAGCCCTTCTACTCCTCACGTCTGCCATCCTCTTCGGGTCTGCTGTCGTAGCGTACACGTCGTTCTATTATTCATACATTCCCGTGCGCGGTATCACAGTGCCCGTGCATCTACACTTTGACCATGGCGCGCCAGCATGCTTCGCCAGCCCGCAGACCGAAGGTGCAAGAGCAGGAAAGTGGCCATACGGGATCGCTGATGTCGACGGGCTGGTGAGCAGGCAGAAGTACGATGTTGTCGTCGAGATGGAAGTACCCCGGAGCGACGCCAACATCAAGGCGGGGAACTGGATGGTAGGGCTAGAGATGCGCGGCCCTACGACAAGTAATGGGCATGCAAAAGGGGCGATCGACTGGGATGAAGACTGGGACGTCGAAGACCACGCAGGAGCAGACATACCCGCCGACACACCCGCGGGAAAACCCCCCGTCCTCGCAAAAAGCACTCGCGCCGCCCTCCTCACATACCGCTCCCGCCCCACCGAACTCGCAAACCAACTCCTCCGCCTGCCCTTCTACCTCCTCGGCTGGCGCACAGAAGCAGAACGCATCCGCGTCCCCATGATGGACGGGCTGGAATTCAGCAAAGCCCCACACAGCACCCCCTCCTCGCTACGCATCGAACTGCGCTCCCGCTACCCAATCGACATCTACCGCGTGCGCGTCCGCTTCGTCGCCAAGCTCGAGGGCCTGCGCTGGCTCATGTACCACTACCGGCTCACCAGCCTGGTCATCTTCACAACGCTGTTCTGGAGCGTAGAAATGGGCGTCGTACTACTCACGTGGGCGGCCTTCACGCTGCTGTTTAGCTCCACGCCCCCGACACAAGTATACCAGGACATCAAGGCCGAACACACGCACGGAAATGTCACGCCGAAGAGGGAACAATCCCCCGTTAGCGATGCGAGTCGCACGTTCCCTACCCTGCCGTCGCAGCAACCTCTGCACTACTCGTCACCGTCTGAGGCGAAGGTTAAAAATGAGATGCAGATGCAGAGCTTGAGCGATATTCCGCTGCGCGAAGATGCTGAGGCGGATGATGAGGAGGATGATGATTTTGTGCTTGAGGAGCCTGTGGTGAGGAGGGAGGCGGCGTTTGAGGATTCGGGGATTGGGACGAGCTTTGAGAGTGGGGTTGAACGGGAGAGGGAGAGGGGGCTGCGCGGGAGGCAGGGTGGGAGGGTGAAGGTTAAGGAGGAGAGTGATTGATGGGTGTTGTTTGGTGTTGTTTCTTCGTGAGGGGTTTGTTGGAATTGGTGGAATGAAATTTGGTATATATTGATATGTGGAATCTATATCCTTCGCAAATTCTAACCCCCTATCTAACGCGAGAAAACAGGTATACACACATAACCTCCCCATCAACCAAGCGTTTCTAAATCAACGGCCTCCCCTCCGCACTCGCACTCCCCTCCCCCCTCCTCATCCGCGCCTCAATCCTCTCCCTCCCCTTCTGCATAAACGCCGCCGCCTCCTCATCCCCAATCCGCGTCAACCCCGTCCCAACATCCACGCTCCGTCTCTCCAGCGTCTTAGCCGCTATAACCTCCCCACTACTCTGCACGCCCTTCCCTCCGGCGACCACATCGCGACAAAACCTCCCCGTCTCCTCATGATGCACCGCGCTGCCCGCAAGATGCTCAAGCATCATAGCAAACACATGCGGCATCGCCTCGAACTCGCGCCACACAACCCTCACACCCTGGCGCGCCATCCGCTGCGCCAACACAGCCCCCTCATCGCGCAGCATCTCCTCCCCCACGCTGAAAAACACAGGCGGTGCGCCAGTCCAGTCCAAGGCCGCGAGCGGCGAAACAAGAGGATGGCACAGCGCGCTGCCTTCACAGTACAGATCTGCGCGCTCGGGGACGGCGGGCCACGCGTCGCAGGGCGGGTAGACGGTGTGTTGCGCGCGGGATGGCGGGGGGAGGTAGTCGTATTGCGTGAGGTTCTCGATGCTGGGCAGGCTGCGGGTTACGTCCAGCCAGGGGGAGGCGAGGGCCAGGCCGGCGGGGAGCGGGATGGGGACGGTGCGGTTGTGGAAGGTTACTGTTGGGATTTCGCCGGCGGGGCTGCGCCGGTGGAGATGCAGGAGGAGTTGGAGGAGTGCCGTGCAGCACATGCCGCCTGCGGAGTCGCCGGCGAAGACGATTTCGGCCGCGGGGATGGGGGCGTGTGGGGCGTCGGGGGGCGGGTGCAGGAGCGAGAGGTAGGCGGTGAAGCAGTCGAGCAGGGCGGCGGGGAAGGGGTTCTGCGGCGAGAGGCGGTAGCGCGTGCTGAAGACACGACCGCCTGTTTCCTTTGCGAGTCTGGCGCAGCCGGTGCGGTACGTCGCCGGGTCGAGGAGGTACATTGCGCCGCCGTGGAAGTACAGAACCGTGACTTTGCTGCTCGTCTCCTGCACCATGTGGTCGTACTTCGTCTGCTCGCTCATACCCTCGGGCTCACCTGCATCGTCGCGCGCAGAAGCCCGGTACCCATTCCACTCCCCCTCCAACGGCGCGGTGGCAGGCTTCGTCCACTGCTCCTCCCCCGTGCCCATCTCCTCGATCGCCGCGAAGACAAGCTGCCGCGCGTCGTCCTCGGCAGCCGCCAGCTTCACGCGGCTGACCCAGACTTTCCCCTTGACGCCGGGGTCGCGCGTGGTGAGCTTCTGGGTCGCGGAGATGGAGTGCGTGGGCGAGGTTGGGCTGAGCATGTCGCGCAGGATCTTGACTGTGAGTTCGGTCCGTAGATCCCATTTCGAGGACGTGTCGGAGAGGGAGAACATGCTCCATAGTGCGGTTTTGAGGATGAAGGGCGCTTTTGGGACGAGGAGTTTGAGGATGGCCGAGGGGGAGGACTCCATTGTGGCGGTGGGTGGGTTTAGGGGTCTGCTTGACGGAGAGGTGGTGGTCTAAGGAGGGTGGTTTATGGAGGGTGTAGGGCGCGGGAGGAGAGGGCGTGCGTGGAAAGCCTCCATCTTCTTTGTTGCTAGAGAGAAAACGGGTTCGACATTATCCATGACGTTGAAGAGTGCAGGACGCGAGCATGTGCCTCGGCAGCGTGGGACGACGCGCTTGATTGGTCGCACAGACTACGCGTCTTTGCAGCGCGATTCGAGGCGGACGAAGGCGGTGGAGATGCTTGAATGGGAGACAATTAGTAGGAAATCTGGATAGACGTGTCGGTTGAAGAAAGAATATCGATTAAGTGCGAATTGACATGATGTCGCTCTAGAATGGACTCGTGAACCCCAACCCAGGGGTATCTTCCCGTGACCCGAATTCCCTAAACGCCGCCGCCAAATCCTTGACAGCCCTCAGACGCACTCCAGGCAAGAAATGAGATCCCAAGCTCCTTCAACCAGAGCCGAAACTGCGATCGTTCACCAAACCAGACATATCACACAACGAAGGAACCTCAGAAAGGCTGCTGTCGGATGTATTCAACCATCCAACTCGCCCTCTTCACTGCCTCTTTCCGTCTGCCCACCACTATCTGCCCCATTAGCAGGTTGTTGTTGCTGTGTCGATTCCGGATTTGTGAGTTGGACGCCCTCCATACTCTGCGGTGTATCTCCAAAGTCAATGCCCTCCTCGGGTGTCCGCAGACCCGCGTACATATTAGGTTCGCCCTCTTTGTCTGGCGATTTCTCATACAGGTCTGCCATCAGATTGCACGCCTTCCTGATATCGCGCAGCTTGACGTGCTGGATCTCCCACCAGGGCTTCCCGTCGTCGGCTGGGATGTCGACGTCAGCCATGCGCGCGCCCGCGTAGATGGATGCCGCGGCAATCGTCCGTGATGTGAAGAGGAGGCACATTTGTGTCGACGCGGAGTCGGACAGGAAGGCCCAAGCCGAGTTTCGTAGCTTCTTGTTGTGTTCAATGCCGTAGTACTTGAGCATGTCGTACATGACTTTGTATGGCGACTCGACGTTTAGGTCGAAGCATAGACTTTCCAGTAGCACGTCTTCGCTGTATAAGATGGTATCTCGCCATTTCCAGAAGTCTTTCGTCTGCTCGTCGACGAGCTTGTTGGGGTCTTTGAGTGCGACTCGGACGCATGCTACGACGAGTTCCTTCATCTTCCTACAATTCTCTTCGACTTTCGTAGCGAGGAAGAGTCCGGTCGCGGCGACTTGCTAGAACACTGTCAGATATGCGAATACCGGAAAAGAGTATGAGAAGTACGCACATAGTGATGTAGTGGCTTGAAGCCCGGTTTTGGTTTCAGGCTGTTCATCATGAGGTAGCGGTTGAAGAAGACGGCAGCTGTGCTCATAGTGGTTTGAGGCAGCTTAAGCATCATGCCCACTTGCAGAATGAAGTTGACGCCTTTCCGCCGCAGTGTACGCTCCTCCTCCGGTGCCATGCCATCGACGATTGACGGCGCCAACAGTAGCTCGTCTTCCGTAAAGAGCCATTGCTGTTCTGCCTCTACGATGGCGGGCAGTGGTGGCCGCGGGGGTTCGCGACGGGGCTGCGGCGGGTTTGTAGTCGTTGACACCATCGTCAAAGGCTTTTCAAGGCCGTCGCAAGCTTGTAGGTGTTGCGCGAGGCGCTGCACGTCGCGGGAAGCAACTGAATCTGATAGGCGAGAGTTTGGGGCAAGTCGCGCCTTGTTGAGCTGTAGAGGAAGAGCTGGAACAAAAAGTGTGTCGGTGTAAGAAGAAGAGCGTTGCGAGGTCGTTTGCGAATGTCGTGTAAGATATGTCTAAACGTGCAGTTAACGAAGCATGAATGAGAGCTAGCTCTCTTCCGCGGCGATCACAGGGGTCCGTGTAACCAAGAATATCACAGGCATGATTTCGGTCAATTCTCTGAGTGCTTTTCTATTTAGAATTCTTCCAACTCAGCGGGTTTTTTAGAAAGTTCACGCGCATATAAGCCATGTCAAGAGCTCGAGTTGGAAATAAGAAATTGGTTGATTGTTGGCGAAACCACGCCGCGTCTCATACATGCTCCCAGTAATCCGCAATTCAGCCTCCGATATGCAATCCAATCAACACCGTATGGCCACCTTTTGGTCGTTTCGAAGTATCCCGCCAGCCATTACAACTAATAATACAATGCATGATCAACGCATCAGGAGAATAGTGAGTGTAAATTGTTTTTTACAATGGGCATGTGAGCTCCAAGGCGTGATTTAGTGCTTTCATTCAGAGCTTCACTCGTGGTAGAAAGTCTCGAATGAGTAGATGACACCAAAGACAAGAAAGGCAATAGCGCCGCCGAGAGTGACTGTAACGGATTAGCCTTGATACAAACTCGACTTGGAAGGAATATCTCACCATTTCGCATACTGATTCGCCCGGCGATAGCACGGCCACCAATGACCGCTCCAGTAGTACACAGTCCATGTCCAACAATGGCGCCAGCAGTGACCCACCAGTAGTCAGATCCTGCCGCCATAGCGACTGTAGCAATCTGGCTGCGGTCACCCCATTCACCAAGGAAGGTCATGACGAAAGTTTGAACCCATGCGGGGCTGAGCAGCAAAGAAAGGAGGTTGTTCAGACCGCCCAGAATGCCGGAGAACGAGGACCCGTTTGGCGAAGGAGATCGGTCTGGGGAGGTGGAAGGGCTTCGCGCAGGAGCGGGCAGCCGGGAGTTTGATCGCGAACGTCGCAGATGGCCAGACTCGAGGGCGTATGGCGAAATGGAGGATCGTCGACGGTTCTTGTTGTGGCGAGCCTGCTGCTCTTTCTCTTCGAGTTCCTGCTCCACTTCGCGCATTTCTTCTCCAACACCGTCGTCGGGGCTCATGGCGAGTCCTTCCCTCATGAGCTTGAAACCAAAGACGAGGAACAGAACGGCGGCTGCCATGTGTGTAAGCTTTTCGTTGAGGAATGCTGGTACGGCGTGACCGAGCACAGCGGAGAGAATGGTCATGACGATGAGCGCGGAGAAGGCAGCGGAAAAGACCTGGAGACGGGGGTGTCGCATAGCCATCAGCGCAGCAACAAGGAATGTTTTGTCGCCAATCTCAGAGAAGATGATCATGGTGAAGGATAGCACGAAAGAGTGGAAGGGCTGGATGACGCCGCTGGCGGTATCGTCGCCTGGTATGTTGGAAGCGGGAGTCTTGGTGTTTGGTGTTGTGGCTAACGGATCCTTGGAGGAGAGGCCTCCTGGAACGGGATGGGGGATATCATGAGGTGTGTCTGGGAGGTCGGTGGGCTTCTCCAAGCCTGCCGCACCAAGTACACGCGTGGCAGCCTCTGCGTCAGATGTGTCTCCCTGCAGATGCTGCTGCCCGCCATGGGGCTGGAGAGGCACCTCCTTGGGCGACTCGGGCACCTTCTCCATCTTCTCGCCGTGCTTCTCCTCGTGCGCCACACGCTCCTTGTCTTTTGCCGACACGCCACCCTCTGTGCCTGTCTTGCCTGTTGCCACTTTCCTGCCCGGATCCTGCATGACGCTCTTGTCTCCATCCAGCACGGCCTTGCCCTCTTCCACCAAGGTTGAGCCCTTGGTGGAGCTGCCTGATGTCTTGCCCGGCGTCAGGTCCTCGACGACAGCAGGCAGTTTGTGTGATGACGCGGGCGTATCGTCGACGTAGGGGCCATGGTGGGGCTTTCCGTCAAAGCCATCGACTGGCGCATCTTTTGTGCCTTTGGAACCAGCTTGTGGTGCAAGCGATGGGTCTGGTCCAGCGCTGACAGTGCTGTAAGCGGGCACGACGGCTCGCCCGACCAGCTTGTCATCTGCGTTGGTGGCCGAAGCAGCGAGGACTCGTAGTGCAGGGAGCAGGAGCAGGAGAGTGTGCCTCCGGGGTTGTCGCAACCTCATGATGACGGCAATGGAAGTGCGAGCAAGGGTATGCTGGATTTGATGACCGTCTCGAGGTCTGGGTATTGCGAAAGTGATGTATGGTTCGAAAACGGGGTTTAGTAGAGAGCGTCGAGAAGGCGAAGGGCTAAACTGGCTAAGGACGCAGCGACAAGTGTCAAAAAGAAAGGCGGAATAGGTCTCAAGTGCTGTCCAGCAACGCAGGAGGGATAGCTTGGGATGCGCGCAAGGGGTACGTGCAGACAGCCCACTAGATTCTATTTAGGGGCCTCGTCAGCACTCGAGTGCCAGAAAAGGGGTTCCAAAAGAACTGCTGTGACCAGCTTCCCCGTTTCACCCCAAAACATCTCGACTTGAAGCACCAATCGCCCCCTCAGTCCGCATTTGGATGCTAGGCTCGGAGCGGCAAGGGCGATCACGCAGCTCGTGCCTCACGTGAATACCCGTGCGTTAGTCATCCTCACCGCGCATCAACCACAACAAACCACGCCTCATCGCTCCTCAACCACGCATTGACTTGCCCATCTCGCATGCCTCGCTATTGACGTACACATTCTCACACAGTTTGTAATGGCCGACCACAAAGCCGTACGGCCCGCGAGCCGGCGCAAAACGCCAACCCCGCAACCCCAGTCACGCGCAGCTACTGTACATGATGGACGCGCATCGCAATCGAGACGGCTGCGAAGCGCGAGTCGCGACGTTGAGGAGTTCGCTGAGTTACCAAACCCGGTCCGCCGAAGCGCGCGACAGGCGAGCGTTATGAGCGTAGTCAGTGAAGGTGATAATGAAGAGCCAATGGCGCGCAAGACAAAGCAAAAGCCCGCCAAGAAGACAGTGGGTTAGTAACTACTCCAAGGTCTTATGCACCACCACCGCCAGGCCTACTAGTACAGCGTGCGAGCACACCAACTTATATACGATGACGAAAAGACTGGATGCACCTGCTGACTTGAACGCGCGCCAGACCTGACCACTGTTGAAGAACTTGATACACAAATCGACCTTGGGGACGCTCCGGGTACACCTCCTCGTACACAATTCGAGAATACGGCCCCAGATCGCTCGCCCGGCGCTGCTTCCCAGATGTCTGGGACTACTGCGATGCCCTCGTTCTCTCAAATCGAGGATGAGGCTCTGGACTCAGAGGCCATTATGAAACACCTACGTAAACTCGGTAACGCAGCCGAAGATTTTCTTGACCACATTGTTCCCGACAACGGGGGACAGATCAGTGATTTGCGAAACCTTGAAGAGATACAGAACCCGAATTCTCGATTTCTCGAAGGATACCAAGAGTTTGACAATGAGCTGAACGAGTATTTGAAAGATTTCAAAAGCCAGGAACAAGACTACATCAACGTGCAGGGCATTCACCACGCGCTTTTCGATGTAGATGAAGATGCAGCTGCGGTGCAAACTGATCTGGACTCGATTCTATATCTCACCAACCTGGCTGTTTTCGCGAAACGAATGATCCATCCTGATCTAAGTCAGAAGGACATCTGGGATGCTCTTCGACAGCTCGATATGTCGTTCCCAAGCCACTTTGTGCCTTCTTTCTCCGCTGAGGGAGACTTTGCGGCTGGGGGGCAGAGTGCTTTGTTAAAAAAGACATTCAAACTAGCGCTGGAAATGCGCACACAACTTGCAGTCATGGTGATGCAGCGATCCCTCAATGACAGTAGCTTCGACCCTGATAGAGTCATCGACGAAGTTTTCCTCAATTCAGAAGCTTCGCAAGAACCAGGACGTCCTGCTATCCGCGGATGGAGCGATACTGCACTGGGCGAGAAATCGGACCTGTCTCGACGTTTTCAAAGTAGTGTTCTGAAACGGATAGAAGTGATCAGAAAGTACTTTCCCATGGACGCTGGATCACTCGAGCGTGGAGAAAAGGTGCTTATAGAAGACTTGGTTGCCAGGTTCCCCTGGGACGGAGGGGAGGGGTTTGTCGTGCAGCTGCTAGACTGGACACGCTTTCGATACAGAGAGCTTCGTACTGCCATTGAGAAGCTCGGTGGAGCTGCAGCGATTGTGCGCAACGTCAAGAAAGAAAGGGATAGTCTTCAGCCTGCCACTCAAACGATCAAGGTGACCCCAGCCCTGCAAGAGACACTTCGACGGAAGCGGAGTTCATTTGGACCAGACAGAAGGCGTAGTAGTCGCAGGTTTGACCCAAATGCACCTGTGGACATACGAGCAATTGATGCACTAAAAGCGCGCGAGAGAGCATCAGAAATACAAGAGGCAGACGTTTTGCCAGAAACTCAACCCGAACCAGAGACTCAAGCAGATCCAGAAGTTCAAGCGGATGCAGTCGCTCCACAAACGTTCGAAGAAACTCGCGAAGAAGAAACCGTTCTTGAAGACGAGCAAGATGATTGGCAAACGACACTCGCTGAGGACGACTTACAGGTAGACAAACAGCTTGTGAAAGAGGCGGAACAATCGGTCGAAGAGATCATCATCTCGGGCCCACCAAAGATCGATTTGGATCTGGTCAAAAACCTCATAGCAGCTTCTCAACCAGAGAAAGAGAATAGGGACAAGCCGAGATTCGTTGACCGTCAACCCAACGCCCAGCGCGTCGACTTTGGCGATGGTTTCAGCAGCCAGATATCGTCCGGCCCATCGAACATAGTAAAGGAGAAGCAGAGTGCACCGCCACCGTCTAGAAAGCGCGCGCGGTCCGCCGATGAGGACGATGACTCCGACGCCTTTGAGACAGAAGAACGCACCGCCCGCGTCCAAGAACGACGCCAAAAAGCCCCCGTAGCAAAGAAAGTCCGCCTCGATCCCGAGCTCTCCGCCCCGCCCACCAGCCGCCAACCTCCACGTCCAACCCCCGCCTCATCCGGCGCTCCGCCCAGCCACCAACCCCCGCGCCGCAACGACGCGCCCGACGACGAAGACGAGTCCTCCGAAACGGACCCCCCGGATATGACCGAGGAGGCGCCGGCCTCTACATATGAAGCTCAAAAACTCCTAGCAAAGCAAAACGACGCAGTTAGACCTCGGGGTGAACGCAAGCCCCGCACCGCCTGGACAGAAGGAGCGGAGAAGGCGTTTGTGAATTACATGGCCAAGTATCCACAGAAGTACTCGACCATTATGGCACTCGACGAACCTGAAAAGGGGGGCCATGGTTGGTTCCAAGATCGCACGCAGGTTAGCTTGAAAGACAAGGCCGTCGTTATGGCTGTTAATATGATCAAGTAAGTACTTGCTTTGTGTGGCATGGACGTGGGCGGTTTACTGACGGGATTCTAGGTCTGGTACGGGATTAAGAGAAGGGTTCGAGAATGTCGTCAGGCCTTGGACGAAGATCGGCGAGGGGCTGAGTGACGCTGGGTATAAGTGGTGATGTGGAATGAAGTTTGCTCTGGCGTATTGGATTTTCTGATGAGCAGTGGTGAGGGTTTTACCCACTGTTAGGCGTTTTGGGTTGGCTGGCTTCGGCTACGTGAGGTTTATTGATACCCGTAGCCCTTTTGTGCTCCCGTTGTTACGTAGTTCCGCTCGTTTAATGTCAAACATTGCCCTTCTCCATATTCATCTACTCAATCATCTATATACAAAACTACTTACTTATTCCCTCTCCCGCCACCTCACACCCCACTCGCCCTTGGCAAAACTACTCTCAACAACCACGCCCTTCATCACAGCCTCACACTTCCTCTTCTCCGTCTCCCCCTCGACGGTAAACCCAAACGCACACCCCCTCCGCGCTGCCTTGCGTACCATCTCCCGCTCATCAGCCCTCCTCTGCCCCTCGCGTCGCTTGAGCTTCATCTCATCCGTTTCGTGGATCCGCTCGGCCCAGCCCTTTTCGCCGCCCACACTGCCATTCACGTCATTCTGCGACTGCGGGGGACGGATTTTCCCGCCGCCATAGCCGTACTCGATGGAATCAGCGTCTGCAGAACGATCCTGAGAGTGTTCTGCGGCGTCTTCCAAGACGATGCCGCCAGCGTCCTCGGGGTCGGAGTCGGACACGGAGTCTTCTTCATCTTCGTCGCTGGTGGGATCTTGCTGCTGCTGCTGCTGCTGCTGCTGCTGCTGAGTTGTTGCTGTCGATGAGGTTGGATTATCGATCATATCGACGCTGCGCCAGTCCTCTGGTTTCTCCACAACAAAACGCGCCTTGCGATTCTTGCGGCGCCCATAGACTTTCTCAGGATCCTTTGAGCGCTGGAAAACGACGTCCTCGACGGTACTGCACTCCATGATAATCCTATGATCACCCTTCACGACCTTGGACTTTGAAGTTTTCTTCTTGTGTTTCTTCTCCCCCTTTCCGAAATCGGGTTCGTGTTTTTCCGGCTCCTGGGGTTTCGCCTGTACTTCTGGGATGGCTCCGTCTTTGAGGGATTCGGGCGTGGCTCCGTTTAGCAGGGCGGCGAAGGCGGCTTCGATCTTCCGGTCTATGGGCCCTGGCTTGCTGTTTCGGCAGCGTGCTGAACAGTACTTTACTTCTGTCGCGGCGTTGGTGCGGCGCTGGCCGATTACGCGGCCGCAGCTGTGGCAGTAGGGGACTGTGTCGCCGACTGTGAGGTAGAGTGGGGGTGGGGTGGTGGCGTGCTTGTTCGGGCGAGACCAGGAGTCCATCCACGACATTTTGGTGAAGGGTGAGGATTGTTGATGTTGGAAAGATGGGGCAGTTTTGTGTTTTTGGACTGAGTGTGGCCACCTTTTGGCTGGTGAGTGTAGTTGTTGGAATGACGGGTTTGTGATGGGTGAATAGAGTCGTGGATGACTTAGTCGAGATGGCGCCCTTTGAAGAAAGGAATATCGATGATTATTGGATAGTGCGAGGTGTGATGCGAGTGAGATTGTGGAGTGTGGAGATCTGGGGTTACGGGTGCACGACGTCATAGACCATGCTCTCAACTCGTGCATCTGCAACCAATCTTTTGGGTACGAACTGGTGTTCGGTATGGAGCAACGTGTTATTCATAATTGCGGAGGATGGTACCTGAGCTAATGCAAGGATCATGACGTACTTCAAAGAGCATTCTCAGCCTCAGCACATGGACACTACTAAGAATGGATTGCAAGGCTGAACGTCTCAAGAACGCTTTGAAGTTGCCATTTAGTATTTACAACTCATCTTGCGACTACCGGAGCTGTTTTGAGGGGTAACGCAGACCAAAACCTCATGACGAAAGGGCACTCCTTGTGGTGGGCTCATCGCGTGATGTTTACTTAGATTGGAAGCATCAGCGACGACTTGGTCCCATCTTTTAAAATTCCATCGCTCTCTCCAAACTACTTATCTTCCTCTCAAGATTTCAAAGCTGACTTTCTCAACACCTTGATTACAACAAAATGCATCTTTCGATTGGCCATGAGCGTGATCGGCTCTCCACAGGCTGACGGTCAACCTCCTCGGATATTTCCAATCCAGTCCATTGTTACCGAGCTTAACACCGCGATTCGGGTGACAATCTACAATCGCAGGGCTCAAGACTCCATTTTCCCGAGAGAATGGAATCAATATATCTTCCTGCTTTGCGCTCCTCCGGCGCTCAACAAAAAGGGCAATTTGATCGTGGAATCCCTTGGGCTCTAATCTGCGCAGAACACATTATCACGTCTTCCCCCTTCACTGCAGAGACCAGTTTCAAAGCGGACAAATGGAAGACCCGTCGCTATCAGCAGGACCAAGCTCTTCTTCGCTAGCAAACTCTCTGTTCTCTCCCTCCTCGCCTTACCAGTTCGTTGCCAAACGGCCGCAGCGTGTGCGCCATCGCAAGAACCTGAGAAAAGCAAGGCTGCAGCCAAGACGCACCACCTCCGCTCCCATGTCTCCGCCAGCTGATGCGCACCCCGCAACGGGAGAAACCGGACACAAAACGTCGCGCGCGCAAACCACGAGTGTCTCGTCAATCCCGGATACGGCGCGCCCCAGACGCCCAACCGTTCTGAGCGACATCCAGGACACCATTTCGCACCCTGGAAATGTGAGGATTAACGTCCAGGGCGCATTCATTGTCGACGAAGAACAACCGAGCACACCGAAGAGCGAGGACTATGAGCACGATCCAAAGGACATCCGCCTGCCGAACCATACCGCAGTAGTGAGCCATGTGGCCGTTGATGTAAGTGCGTCTGCAGTGGTCGCGTGCCTGATTGGTTGTGGCACGCGACCAACTATTTCCCCTCCAACAACTACTCATGTACACAGAACGCATGCTGATGGTTTTTTTTGGATCAGATTGGAGGCTCCCTTGCGAAACTCGTCTACTTTTCGCGCGAACATGGCGACGACTCTGGCGGCCGTCTCAACTTTCTCAAATTCGAGACGGACAGGATAGATACGTGCATTGAGTTTATGCGCAAGCTGAAAGACGACCACAAGCAGAATAATGGCTCGGCGCGAGGAGAATTGTGCGTCATGGCAACAGGTGGTGGGGCATTCAAGTACTACGACCGCATAACGGAAGCGTTGGGCGTCGAGGTTACCCGGGAAGATGAGATGGAGTGCCTGATCATAGGTATGGTATTCTCAATATATCAGTGACGGGAGACAAGAGACACTAACGTGGATGCACACAGGCCTCGACTTCTTCATCAACGAAATCCCCACCGAAGTTTTCACATACAGTGAAGACATCCCCATGTCCTTCGTACCATTTCCACCAGACCCACCGAACATCTACCCTTACCTCCTCGTCAACATCGGCTCCGGCGTCTCCATGATCAAAGTGTCAGGGCCACGGCAATACGAGCGCATTGGAGGTACATCGTTAGGAGGCGGAACACTCTGGGGTCTTCTGTCCATGCTCACAGGCGCACGAACCTTTGACGACATGTTGAGACTAGCAGAAAAGGGCGACAACTCAACCGTAGACCTGCTCGTAGGCGACATCTACGGACAAGCATACAACAAGATTGGGCTAAAGAGCACCCACATCGCATCCTCCTTCGGCAAGGTCTACAAGATGAAGCGCGCCGCGGAACGAGATGCAGAAGATGGCTGTAGCGGCGACATGAAGAACCGCGAGGAAGCAGAGCACGTCGAAGGCTCCTCAGAACTGCCCCACGAACCAGCAACGTTCCGACCAGAGGACATATCCAGATCTCTCCTCTACGCCGTTTCCAACAACATTGGCCAGATCGCTTATCTACACGCTGAGAAGCATGGGTTGGAGCGCATCTACTTCGGAGGCTCGTTCATTGGCGGCCATTCGCAAACTATGAATACCCTCTCCTACGCTATCCGCTTCTGGTCCAAGGGGACTAAGCAGGCCTACTTCCTGAGACATGAGGGCTACTTGGGCAGCGTGGGTGCGTTTTTGAAGAGGCAGCCTAGGAACTGGGGACGGAGAGCTAGTCTGGATGGGCCGAGGGGTGCTGCTTGATATCAGGTGGGAGAATTAGACAAGGTGACTGATTATATAGATTGAGCGACAGTGTAAGCAAGATACCACTAATAATATATTCCTACTTTGAAATTCTATTCAACAGGATTTCATTGAGCTGGCTTTTCGCGAATATCGCCCTGGTGAGATGGGACTCGGGAGGCATACGATGAGGTTCCAGCCTTGCAGGCTGTGGCATAATCGATCGGTTTGGCTGGATTTTCTGGTCTAAATTTGTAACACCCGCTTTCTCTAACTCCTGCATATAACAAGGCAGAAAGAAGGGCTACCCATGACACGCAACTACCATTCAGTTGAGTGGGGTGGGCATGTGATCTCAACTATTTCCTACGCCGTCATTGTTCTAAAAAACAGCCATGAAAGGAGTATACAGCTGCGATGTTTTGCCACAGGCTGATATACATCGAATTACCTGTAGCAGTACTGCAGGATACCTTGCCCATACTTGTCCGGTTACTCAAGAAGATCGACTGTTTCCGTTACTTACGACTTAGTACTACCTGTACAGAATGTCAACTGTTAGTTCTTCCGAAGTGAACATCAGCATCATACCTCTACATGTGCCAAACATGATGATCTCATGTTCAAAACATCATGCCGCCACCATTCTCACCTCTACACAAGAGGGAGGCATACTATGGATTCCAGCCTTGCAAGCTACATCATAATCAGTTAGCTTGGATGCCTCAGGCTAAACCTGCGGGTACCGATTCGTTCCACCTTTCTCGGCAGGCAGCTGGATCCGATTGGAGAATGTCTTTAGCCCCGGGATCTCGAACCTTGCTGGAGGCATACAATGACATTGTGGAGTAAGCCTTGGACTTCGACATCGTTCGGGGCTGAGCAAACATCTAGATCGATTCTCGAGGATCACAGCCATTGGTCGGATATCATGCCGATCAGCCAGTATGGTTGGACCTTGATTATATGCCTCCCCAGGCCTCAGAGAGGTATTACAGGCCTCCGAGGGAATGTGATATATAAGTCACCCCTCCCTCCACAGGGCCATTTTCTCACCACTCCTCTTCACCACTCGAACCGATCCCGACACCCAACTCCACTGCGACAACGTCCTCCCGCACGTAAAACCCCTACCACCGCACCCACCAGGTGTTTGGTGCTGGGGATCGGTTCCGAAGAGCTTCTTCCCGCACCTCCACATCGAAGTGGTTGGCGAAGGCATTTGTAGTCTTCGCCGCCCTTTCTTCCTATCCCTTTTCCTCAAGATTGCAATTCTGCTTTCGCGAGTTCCAGACTCTCAAATAGTACTTTTTGTTTTGACCCTTGCGTGTTCGAACACGATATCAATCCCGTTATTCACGCTCCATACCTTCCTTCACGTCCGCCGTCAGCCGAGGACTCGATCCAGTCGACAGAATTATCAGATTCGCCGCAGACAACACAGTCGACACAGTCAACTCGATCAACAAACTCGGAGCCTTACAGCGAAGACGAAACGCCCATCTTCCAGTGCAGCCTCTGCGACTCAACTTTCCGTCGAAAGTGCGATCTCAAGTAAGTCATGCGCATCGTCTTTCGATATGACCGCTGACTTAGAGCCTTGAAGCGACCATACTCATCGCAAGCATACACGACGATACAAGTGCACTGCCACTGGTTGTTCTCGGGCCTTCAATCTCAAGGCAGACCAGACGCGCCATACTCGAACCCATCAAGCTGTGGTTGAACGACAACTTATCAACTGTCCGGTGTCTGATTGCCAGAAGACATTCACGAGGAAAGACAATCTGCTGAAACACCTGAAAGGCCAACATCCAGATATTTCAGTTGAACTTCCAGCTTTTTGAACGGCACGTAAACTTCAGCATACCTTTTACCTACGACACCACAACAAGTTATACCGTTGAGGAAGATGTGTGATACAATTCCTAGCTACCTCTGCTCACAGTGGACTGGTTTTTACTCCCCAGAGATGTTGTCGGACTACGACTTCCTCGAACTCGAAAAGGTTGACCTTGAAGACCCTTTCGATCGGCCTGGCACAACCTCTCGCCCACTCCGCATCTGGGACGATTTTGACAACTACATCCACTCCTTCCGCATCTGGGACGATCTTGACAACTACAGTCACTTTTCTCTGTGCCACGCTTCGGCGTTCTGGCTCACCTCGCCCACCCACCTCAACTTACCAGACGACCTAGTCAGGTGCCATCACGTGGAATGGAAGACGGAGGTCAGAAAACGTCCGAATGGCACGAAGTCGGAGTATCTGGAGCCTGACGGCTCTGAAGTCTCGAGGCTCGTCAAGGTCGTTGAGAATCCTAACCTTTGCTGGGAGTTACTCAGCCGCATGCAACAGCTAGACTGGGGTTAACGAGCTGGGAACTATTCAGCCGTATGCAGCAGCTGGACTGGGGTCAGTTGGCTGGGTAGTTCCCAAAGTGGTGCCAAACGAGAGTGTCGGTGAGCGTCTCCATGGTGGGCGAGATTTGAGTTTGTTTTCCTTATACCTTTCAGAGAGTCAAAAAAATTCATCAAAAACTGTTGTGCCCACATGCGTGAGTGGTATTGCTTTGAATGCCATCAGCCCAAAACATCTTGTCTCTAACTCATCGGTTCACGTTGATCCCGATAGAACAGAACGAAGGAAAGATTTGGGGACCTAGATTCCAAAATTCCAGCGTTTCAAATGTACATGTTCAACTCAGAGAGCAAAGATAAAGGAAGACTATCATGCAATTAGCAGTTGTTACTTTAGTTCTTGGACATCTAAATTAGAAAGGCGTTCATCTCTCTTGGTCTCTGAATACGATCTTTCCAGAATTGAAAGGTGGGTCTGGAGAAATATTGACAACAAGAGTTTACGACCGAGTAAACTGGGTTGTTGGATAGCGATGCAGCAAGCCCGGGGTCTCCTTTCACATGTGGCACGTATCCTGTACATGTAAGATGATGAAAGGCTGGCTTTGGAAGGTTCCGCGATTTTCCAATCTCTGGAACGATTCGCAAGCAGTATATCAGTAAATCAGTGAAACACATGGTTCACAACAAAGCGAAGATATCAGCCTATAAATACATATTGTTTGTCGCCTATGGGTATACTGCGATCTGTTTTGAATATTCCAAAATGAAGCTTTCTCCCCGACGCTGTAAAAGAAAACACTTCCCCTTGGTCGTAAGGACCAGAGTGTTCAAGCACCGATGAGCCGGGCAACGTATACATCGACCTATTTCGAGAGATGTTGTGAAGGGATAACATCAAGACCCGACCCAAACCCAGAAGTAAGATGAGTTGCTCATGACGCCGAGGAAACAGCATATCCATTACTACCACTCCCACCTGACAACCCAGACGAGCCACTCGACTTATCCGCAGCCGACGAGTTGCCATCGCCATTCCCACCCTCACTACCATCATCGAAAGCATCGCCATGATGTACTTGCGCCGCGTTGTACTGCTGAGCAGCAGCACCATGATCAGCAGCGAGTGCGTTCTCCGCCGCCACGATCCCAGCAATCTGCTGTGCTTCCGTAGAAGTTGTTGGCAGTGTCGAGTTGATCATTGGGCCAGGAGGGAGCTGCATGACTTGCTGGTAGGTCTTTCCGTCGTAGATGTCGTAGAGCTGCGCCCAGCTACGAGCATCAACCAGTGTGGTTCGGAAGTACCGCGGTAAGAGGCCGAGACCGTCGACGATATAGGTTTGGTGCATTGCTGGGTTGAGGCGTAGAGATGGTGCCCAGGCAGGCGTCAAGAGCGTCTTGCCGTCGCCTGGAGGTGGTGGGTTCATTATATAATAGTCGTTGCTCTTTGCAGGATCCCGGCCACCTGGAGGTGGTGGAGATGGAGGAGATGACCCTGCAGCGGCGGACATTGTGTTGGAAGTCTATATACAATTAGATCGGGGTAAGAAAGTAAAGCGGGAAAGACTGCTTACTGGAATGGAGACAGTGTTATAAAGTTGACTGGGTTGGGGTTGAGTTGAATTCCAGCTGTGTCGTCGTAGTTGGTGAATTGCTCGCCAGTGATCTTGAGTTGCAAATTATATAGCGGCAAGCGTATTCCGTCCAGTTTTTACCTTTGATTTCCCTTCGAACTGTGGGTCAATACAGTGAAAGACTCTCTCCAACAGTATGAGTTAAGCAGTATAGGGAAAGTCGGTAGGGAATACCCCTTTCCCTGACCTCACCTTCGAACTCCGACTCGACACCATAAGCGTTCGGTGCTGAGGACCGAGAGGAAAAGTCCCAACGTCACCTCTTGCTAGGAGAACACGGTTCGACCAAGATGCCAGCAATGCAGAAGAACGTAGCAAGCATAGCGTCTACTTCGGTGTTCTCGTCAACGGTCGGTGGCACTCGTGATGTAGAAACTCGCTGGCGGTAGGAAGATATTTATCCCTCCTCACATGTTTGTCCTCCGTGGACAAGCGGGAGACTGGACCTTAGACAAGCCCTGGGCCAAACTTGGACAAGCATGTTCAGTTCCACCGTGATCGATGGAAGTGTCTCGACTGGTCGCGGGGGTGCGTGTGTTTTCCTTGGGGACTGATAACGTTGCTTGCTGGGCTATCCAGGTGACGGAGTAGGAGATCGGAGCTGTGGCTGCATGATCACGATCTAGGGTAGAAATCTTATGGGGATCGAGGAGTGAGGAGTTGCAAACGAGAGCAAGACGTCAAGAGGAGATTTGTTTCGATGACAGTACTTTGAGAGCAACCGAGACCCGCATTAGGACAAAATTACAAAAAAACCCATGCATTACATAGCCATCTATACAGCCCTAAGGGGGGTATCTAGAAGAAAAACAGACAAACCGTATGCTAACGCTAATCCTACCATACTCCCATTACATATCCACGTGCCACCAATACAGTTGAGTCGATCCATATTCATACAAAGAACCGCAAAAAGCCCAAACAAAAGGAGAAAAAGACACCGCATATTCCTCTCAACAAACCCCCCTTCACTCCGCACCATCAACATCCATCCTCCCGCCATCACCCCAATCTCCACCCCCATCCCTACCTGCCCACGAGCTACCCGCTCCATCCTGACGTTTCTCCGTCCCAGCCCCATTACGACTAGCCACCAGATTAGGAAACAGCGGCTTAATCGCCACAATCGACGCCGACCTGCGCTCGACTTCCTGGCCAATCTCATGCACCTCCTCGTCATCGAGCTCGCTAAGCTCGCTCTCATCGTCAGCATCGTCGTGGATCGAGGACGGAGCGCTGTGCTCAGGCTCGTCGTTGCTGACGCTTGCTGCGGCGGTAGCGGTACCGCTTTTGTCGAAGGAGACATGCAGGTGCTCGGTCGACGGCTTCTCGGGAGAGGTGTTGCGGGTGGGGAGGACTGCTGTTGATGCGGGGGGCGAGCGGATGGCGATGTTGGTTGTTGGGGGCGCGACGGGCTTCTGCACACACGCTTCGGCCCGGCGTTGGATCTCCTTGCGGCCCATGGCTTTTGTTCTTGATTTGACTTGTGGTTCGAGGTGGGGTGGGACTTGCTGCTGGGGTTGTAGCTGGCTTGGATGGTAAACGGCGAAGGGGGTTGGGGCAGTTGTGTCTACGGAGCCGTCTAGTTGCACTGACATCAAGGATGAGATGGGCATCACGCCTGAGGATTGCTGCACGGTTGGGTTTGGTCCGAAATGTGCTAGCTGGATGGGTTGCTGTTGCTGCTGCTCCGACGGTAATGGCAATAAAGTGGGTCCAACGATGGCGTACAGTACGGCGTATGTATCGCCAATGAGATCGTCGATGAGGAGAGGTTTCATGAGCCCGCTGTTGAGGCGCTTGAGCTCGATAGCATCGCGGAGGATGTCCAGGACGGGATGCTGGGTAGCTGGATTGCGACACCATGCTTCTATTCGAGGAGCCAGGATATTGAAATCATCATGGCTGAGTGACTTGAAGGTATAGTCCTCTTGACCATCAGTGATCTGCCCTGTTCGCCGCAACATCTTCAGGTACTGGAGACATAGCTCTTGCCACAACTTCGAGTGCTCAAAGAAGTCAGTCTGCTTCCGTGGTACACGCTTTGCCAACGCCTCGAAGCTAGCCTTGTCTTCAGTGACGTCGAGTAGGTGGATAAAGAACTTCGTGTAGCGCGTTGTGTACACAAAATGCCTGCCAGGTCGCTCGTGCTCTGGTTTCCAAACCTGTACGGCCATGGTCTTCGTGAACATCTGCTGTGTCAACTCATGCTTAGCACCATGAGCCGTCGTCATGTCTTCGCCTCCATCATAGATGACGTGAGCCGAACGAGCGATGATACGATGATGCCAACTCGATTTGTCTGCGGACCGCAGAGACTTGAGCACAGCGATGATATAGCGCTCCCAGTCGTTGGCGTCCTTCGGAGGGCTGATGTTTTTCGCATAAGAGGTGTGCGTGAGGATCTCCGTGCCTTTCTCATGACTGATAGCTTTACGTTGGAAGAGCTTGTGAACGATTGAGACTAGCTTGTAATGCGGTTCAAGAACAGGTTCGCCGTTGCGACCCTTCTTTCCTGGCAGTATCTCGATAGCACTGATGAAAGCATCAATGACTTCCTCCCAGGATGGACCGCGCCGAGAAGACATTGGTGTACCGTTTGATGCGTCATGGAGTATAGCGTTGTGATTAGCAGACCACATTTTCCACCCGCATTTCCCGAGCATATAGTAATTCCACCATTTCTTCGAGTTGCCCTTGATGGCCCGCTTGTACAGAGTGCTAGCGAATTTCCAAGCTGTATAGGCTTGCAACGTAACGAAGGATGCACTGCGATAGGTTTTGCCTTCGGTTGGATGGTTGCAGAACCTCTTCTCGCCGTCCCTGATGTCAAAAGCTTCCATACTGAATGGCTCCCTAGAAGAAGCATATATGCGGTCGCCAAAATCTGTGTACAGGCGTGCGATATTCTCTTGATCATGGGAAGCGGTATTGCCGCTACGAACAACACAAGCAACCGCCATAAGATAGCAGTTAATAGAGGCGCGTTGGTAATTGACCAGCTCCACGCTGTTACTGTTCATCTTGTCTGCGTTCCACATAACAGCTTCTTCGAGTTGTATATCGTTGGCCAGTGCGAGTCGATACCATGTCTCCCAACGTTCAATAGAGTACTCAAGGTCTTGCACAAAGAATGCCTGCGCATAGTTGATCTCTTCTGTAGGTCCTTGAGTCATGCGCTTTTGGGAGCGAAATTTGCTGAGAGCGATATTGCCCATCATGTAGTACCATCCTTTTGACGCAGCCACAGCTTCTTCGTCGGGTATGTGTTTCGTGGGTAACAGGCCGATGCCCTTGAGACAACTGAACAGAGACACGGGATTGATTGCTGACTTGAAGTAAGCCGATATGAGCTTGCGGTTGAAGCTGATGTCGTCGTGCTGTTTTGGTCGTCCCAAGGCCGCATGCACTTTCTCGATGGTGCTCTTGAGTTCTGTCTTTGGCAAGTCTTTGATATCCACCCTTGCGGCTTGAGACATAACGAACGGTAAGAGACTGTATGCGGTCTTCTTGTCAAGAACGTCCGGAGGAGACTGGTAATCCTGACAGTCCAAAGGTTCGATGAACAATTTCAGTCCGTAAAGATCGTGCAAGACCTGGCATAGCTGATTATCGCGGTTGTTAGCATCGATAACGTCATCCAACCGGAGGACTTCATCTTTCACCAGCCTTAGGAATTGGCGGTTAGATGAGTGACACAATCCACGAACGCCAGTAGCATGGTGAACGTGACGAAGGAACTCGAACATGTCTTCTGAAGGAGTCGGAAACTTCTCCCGATTCTGGGACAAGCCTTCTTTGAGAAGATGGTATTGCAGCATCCAGAGGCGCAAGTACATGTCGTCGAGTCTGGCCGACATGCTGATGAATGCCTGGCTTGGTTGTGCCTCGATTCTGGGCATCGGGACTTGTCCAATGCGGATTAAGTCTCGAAGCACATTCGCAGCAGACATTATGTGCAGCAACTCTGCAATGGCGGACATGGATGACAGCACGTGCTCATAAGTGAGGCACTCAAACGCTGTCTTTTCGCTCCTCACGATCTGGAGAATCTTAACGACCATATCATCGATGACTCGATCTCTCGTCAAGAGCTTAACTTGACGTTCCACAGCCGACAACTCCTGAAAGTTAGTGGTCCTTAAATCTCCGACGAACGTTTCGATGCTTCGCAGGTAACACGACAGAACCTTAGGAGGATACTCTATCGCGTCGTATGCCACTCGCAGTCTCTGCCAGAGGGACAAACGTACGTTGACATTGGCCGAGTCAAGAAATTTGCGCATCTCCACGACGGGCGACGGCATCTCAATGAGTGTATTGGCTTCTACGTCTGTGACATTGGTAGTGGTAGGAGAACGCGATGCGCTGGCATCTTCTTCGTCAGGATCGGTTCCTTGCAACTCTGGCGTAGAGTAGACTGTCTCTAGGATTGGTTCCAGACTTTCGATGATTGCCACGGGATCCTTCTCCTCCTGATCGAAGACTTTCAGGAAGAAGTCCTTCATGCTAATGCGCACTAGTTCGCGGTCCACGGCAGCAACAGACAGTTCCGGCATGACTGCGTTGTTTTGCAATTGTATAGTGTGATCGTCTAGTGCCTCAAACATGCTCTTCAAGTCGCCAAGAGCAGAAATGACATGCTCTGGGGGTATTTCGTCCTTGACACTCATTTGGAACACAGAGGCCCAGATGTGACGAAGCGCGAGATCATCCATGCCAAGGTCCGGCTCGCAGTCGGTTCGCAGCTGCATTGCTTCACGCGCCAGCGTCGCCCACCTTTCAAGACGATCACTTTGGATAACCTGCGTGTCGATGTCCACTTGGCTGTGAGGATGTTTGATCAGAGAATAGACGTCGAGATGGAGCTCAAAGAGGATTTGTACAATTTCGATCTGGGATGTATCAAATTCAGATAAGTCGTGTTTTTGCGATTGGTGGCGCGCCTTCAGCATCCGTGTGCTGAGATTGTTGATCCGGTCAAGCATGCGTTCGTATATGTGCTCATCGATGTTGACGATGATTTGTACCAAGATCCGCTTGAGATTCTCAGTCCACCTGAACTGCATGTAGCTAGAATGCCCATCATGTTGCGTGGCGAACGAACCACGCGAAAGAAGAACCTCTAACCAGGCAAAAGCGACTTCTTTAGTGGACAGCCATCCCTCATTCACACTGCGGGTGAAAGTAACGAGCCTTTGGCTATCTAGCGTTGGCTTCACGCAGGCTTGACGAGTGCTCGATTTGGTGTATCCCAGAAATGCATTCAACCCAGCTTCTCGGGTTTGTCCAACTAGATCGAAAGACTCGTTGCTAAGTAACACTTGAGCAGTTTTTGGGTCCCCACTCTGCAGGGCCGTGAACATGTCGCAGGCAGCTTTGTCAATTGGGTTCGTTGCTGAGGTTTCAGGAAGCGCAGTAAGCATGTCGCGCAATTTCTTAGGTTGCTCAATCCCTTCCACGCCGAGTCGCGAGTAAATGTCCTTAACAATTTCATACAAGCATTGATCTGCATGGGTGTATGGTTCGAGCTGCTCTTCCAGCTGCCTATTCCCATCATGAGGTGCACGGTCGCCACCATTACCGGGCTCGGGCATTGAATCGCGTGCTCGGATACGCTTGCTACGGTATCGACCTCCCTCGGCCGTCTCAGGGAGACCAGCAGAGTCAGGAGAGCGTTTGCGGGATGATGCTGGTGCTACTTCTGGAGGAGGTGTGAGCCGAGCTTCTTTTATTTTTGTTCCTAAGTCATCGACTTGATCTTGCATGACAGCATCATCCCCTACTCTCCCCACTGCAGTGTCGGGTTCAGTCGAGCTGGTTAGTGATTGTTGAACTTGTGGAAGCATAGAATCGTCTGGGGACGCAGCGGTTGTGTTTTCTATGACGAGCATTGGCTCAGGTTCGATGTGGGGTGAAATTTCGCTGTCTGGTGGGATGTTGAAGTTGATGCTCGAGCCCGGTCGAATGTCGACGACGCCCCGTTGCTCGGCCAGATACTGCTGCAGAACAGATTCTCCTGCGCCCGCCCAATCCCACTTGGTTGGGTTCAGAACAACAGGCTCAGGCAGTGCACTAAGCATGCGTCTACCATCGACTCGAGTGACATCAGCCGGCAGAGGGGCAAATGGGTAGGGATTCAAGCGCTTCTTGAGAGTTTCCGAAAGCTTCTTCCGCTTCATCGCAGTGAGTGGCGCCTGCATCAGCGACACGTTGTCTTCCAGCTTCTCTACGAGCTCGCGCAGTTGTTGTCCAGCAAAGCCCTCTTCGAGGCCGGGTAGCCGTAAAAGGCCTTCCCACAACTCGTCGTTCCCGTCCAGAACAGCTTCCAGACAGAAACGAGTCAGGCGCTGGCTGCCCAGCATCGCCGCTACAGACGCAGCGCGCAGCCACAAGTCCAGATCCGTGTCTTCTTTGTCCAGAGCTTCGGCAAAGTAGCTTAGAGCACCGCGAATGTCGTCTCGGCCTTGCAATCCAGGCGCGCCGCCTTGTTGGGAGACGCAGTGCTGCATCGACTCGAGCAGGAATTGGCCATGGTTCTTGTACGACAGGTGCAGGATCTGGGGGAGCGTGTTGGGGGCGCTCTCAGCGGCGCCCGTAGACTGTGTTGGCCCCGCATCATAGTCGTCTTCGAGGATGCTGTCGAAAACCAGGGTCTCGCCGAACAGCTCATGGCGCTGGTACTCGGAGAGCGACTCGGTGTATTTGAAGATGTCTGATTCGAAGAGTGCTTTGTAGGCGGCGGCCGTCTTGTCGAAAGACTGGGGGCCTTCTGTGTGGTATTTGAGGGCGGTTTGGTAGAGCTTTAGAGCCTCCTCGATCTGGATTTCCTGCGTGTCGTCGACCTCTTCTTCGGCTTCGATGTCGGCGGCTTCGACGTTCCACGGGTGCCATGTGGACGCCTTCGACGCCTTTGAAGCTTTCGACTGGGAAACGTTAGCCAATAGGTTTCTGCAAAGTGGTCCCGAACGTGGACCAAGACCCGTTTATGGATTGAGACGCACCATGTTGGTTGTGTGTAATTAAAAGAATCCTGCAGGCGAGCAGGCGGTCATTTCCTCACAACATTAGCACACAAGTCTGAGGCAGCAGGCAATCGCAAAAAGGTCGTTTGTTCGTGTACAGTGCGCGCCGGGGTGACGTGACGTGACGCGACGTGCAGTGAATGCTAGAGCTAGCGTGCTTGGCAACGGGTGCTGAGCTGCACTTTGGCGGCTGAACCCTGACAATCGTGGCCGAAGACATCACCGCGCGCATCACGGCCCCTCCCCCTCCTCTCCCCAGTATCCGCGCCCGCACCCCGCTACAGCATCTTCCTTGCCGCGGTGAATCTCGTGCCCCGCGCGGCGTCAATTGAGCCATGGTCACGTCGCCAGCTGTTCCCGAGTACGCCCTGTCTTCTGTAGCCCTCGAACCCACCGTGTTTTGGACATGCGCCCAGCTGTTCCGTCCCATGTGCCTTCGCCTCGATGCGCTGCAATTGCGCTGCTGGGTGCTTTTGCTCCAGCACGCCTACTCTTTGCGTCAACATGCGTACTGACCACTCCCCAGAATCTACGAGGACGAGCTCCAGTCCGCGATCGAAGCACGCTCCGAGTCCCTACAGACACTGCGGGAGCTAGGCCCACCCGACCTCGTGCACCTCGTGAAGCAGCCCGTCAAATCTACCACGAAGCAGGTCCGCTTGGTCCAAACATGACATACACTCAGGGAAGGCTTCTGACCATGTGCACAGGTCGGCGTCTACCACCATGTCTCCGGGATAGACGCATCGTCATCCGCCAGTCTAGCAGCCTACATCAACACCCTCACCTACTCTGCCCACGACAAGCAGCACAAAGTCGTTTCTGGACTATACTGGTACGAGTGAGCAAACGAGGGGTACACGCGTGTGCTGACGGATCAGTTGCTACAATGCCTTTTCGCGACTGGACATGCGCGTGCAGGTCTACATCCCAGGTACCGTGGAGAGCTACTGCATCGACGAGCGGGGCGACAAGCGCGTAGCGACCGACGAACTGTGGCTGGAGACGTACCTATGCAGCGTCCTTCGCGCATACTCATACGCCGATGACGGCTCAGGCGACACCATCAAGAAGATCATTGGCGTGCGACGCTTCAACCCAATCACCAGCACAGAGAGCGAGCACAAGTTTTTGGACGCTGCAGAGCGCCTGTTCTTCAGTGGTAGGCTAGGCTCCTACAGAACACTCCGTCGCAGCTAACCGCGTCCCAGGCTGGCAATTGGGATCTGATCCTGAGATCCAAGTTCCAAACCTCGTCTCGAACCACTTGACCACAGGACTGCTGAGCTACATCCAAACTACAGGCCGATATGCATCAGGCATCAACCTCTTCGAGAAGCTGCGCACTCGCGATCCGGAGATCTCATCTCTGCTCGCGCGTGTCTACATCGAGGCGGACGAGGAGGTCAAGGCCGTTCAGTTGCTCCACGAAGCCATCCAAGAATTACCCATGGACTACTCGTTGCTAGATTGCCAGGCCGAATTCTGCAACAAGAAGGGTCGCGGAGATCTTGCGCTCGAGATTGCGAAGAGAAGCGTAGTGTCTGCACCTAGTGAATTCGGAACCTGGGCAAGATTAGCAGAAATCTACGTCAGCCTGGAGCAGTGGGATCTCGCTCTTCTAACGCTGAACTCATGTCCTATGTTCACTTACCAGGACAAAGACGCACCGCGGATGCCGGAGCCACAGAGAGTCTTTCTACCTGTCATGCAGGAAGCACTGTGTGACGAGATTGAGGACGGCAACCTGGACGAGATGGAAATGGTGCACCCGACCCTGAGAAAACTGCACGCCGCCGGCTTCAAGGGAACTTTCTTGAAAGCGTACATTCTCCTCACTGAGATTACCAAGAAAATTGGGTGGGACCAACTTCTGAAGATTCGGTCTCAAGTCTTCGTCATGGAAGAAGAATACCGCCACGAAAAAACTCAAGCGCCTGCTCCTCATTCCCGCAGCGCAAGCACCACGGCCCTTCGCTCCCCATCGCCCAACGCGCGAGTAAACGGCGGCAGCACTGAAATCGAACAACGCCCTGACGACACCGAAGACGCGCCAAACGGCGAATCCTCCTCCTCTGCCGTCCCACCACCAGACTCATTAGAAAAGCCCAGCCACACGGTAGCCTCTGAAGTCGTCAAAGCAGGCAGCGAAGACCCGCACCTCACCTCTGACTCCAATCCCAACAACCCCAACTACACACAATTCCAGAACAAGCGCCTGTGCGAACGCTGGCTCGACAACCTCTTCATGGTGCTGTACGAAGACCTGCGCGTCTACACGATATGGCGCACAGAGATGGCGCAGTACCGCCAGCAGCAGCTGCTGTACAAGAAGAGCGCCGAGGAGTGGGAGATCCTGGGCGAGCTGGCAGAGCGCTTGCACCACATCGACGAGGCTGTCGAGGCGTACGAGAACTGTCTGCAGATCAAGTTTAGCCCCAAGGCGATGCGCGGCGTGCTGAAACTGGGCCAGGAGAGGCGCAATACGAGGGATGTTTGTGCCGCCCTGATCAGGCTGGTTACGTGGCAGTATCGCTGGTACTCGGAGGTATGTCTCGATTTCCTATGCTGTGTTTTCCGCGCCTTGCTATGCATTGGACTTGGGTACTGACACGTGGTGTAGTTCTCCCCGTCCCTCCTCTTCACCATCCGGAAACTCATCGAGGAGGAAGGCGCGGTCAAGATTCGCAGTATCATTCAGGGTACAAGTTTGCCGCAGCATGTTCTCGACCTGACGCATCAGTATGCAGCGCTGTGTGCGGCGTTCAGGAGCAGCGGGAGCGATGGTTAGTAGCTAGCGCCCATTACCTTTGTTGTTGGACAGGGTATTCAAAGCTGTAGTCATAGATTATTGTAATGCATGGGAGCGTTGGAACTGCTGTGGCTTGTCATTAGACGTGTATTCGTGTTTCACTACGTCTACCCCAACATCACAATTCGAGATTCGTCTTGTGCAGCCAGGGTATTCATTTCCGAGAGCATGTTCATCTGCAGTCATCATCCGGGTCCGACGCATTGTCCTATTGTCCGCAACAACGCCCATTGTGTGTCTTGTGCCTTGCAACCAATGTATTCGTTTTTATCGTCACAAGATGCGAGATCCGTGCAGGCAGGCCGCAAATACCGGCAGAACCACCACATCAAAGAACCTCGCTCGATCCCGAAAGGGGCAGAAGAGCCATGAAAAAGCCCAGGATGAACACCGCTCCATGCTCCCCGATACACTCGTCCTCCACATTTCCCCCGCGATCCGCTTAACGGTACGACTTCTGGTACCTGGAGCGCGCACCTTGACCACCGAACTTCTTGGGCTCGCACCGCCTGTTGTCGGCAACAAGCAGTGTGCGGTCGTACTGGACGAGGGCCTGCTTCAGCTGGTTCTTCGAGTGCTCATCGACGAACTTCTGGTAGTAGGCGATGATGGATTTGGCAATGGCTTGACGGATAGCGTAGATCTGCGAGGTGTGACCACCGCCGGAGACGCGGACACGGATGTCGACGTCAGCTGTGGATGCCGTTAGTAAAGTGTCCTCCTCCGTGCTTCCATCTGCGGGTGTGTGTGCGAGTGCGTACCGAACTTGTCGAGGCCGAGGATCAGGACGGGCTCGTAGACCTTGAATCGCAGGATCTCGGGCTGGACGAGGGAAAGAGGCTTTCCGTTGACCTTGATGAGACCCTTACCGGCCTAGAGACAGTGTGAGCATGCCGTTTGAATGCGCGCGCGCCCGTCGAGGGTGTCGGTGTACCTTGCAGTGGGCGACAGCTGTTGGCCAAATTGTTAGCTTCCCATGTCTCCGTCACGGCTGGATGGCGGGGGTCGTACCAGTCGCGGTCTTCTTCTTGCCGAAGCATTGCACGCTCTGAGAGGCCATGTTGGGCGACTGTGGGATGACGTGCGGTGAGGTCGTGGGCGTGGGTTTGCTGCTGTTGTCAGACAGTCGTGGGAAGATGTTCGGACGTCGCTCTTCAGAATTGAGTGCGCGCCAAGCGGAGAAATGGTCCGTGCGTACGCGACTATCGCTCGAAGCGAGGCGCTAGCGACATCCGTCGACTTCCCCAACTTGAACACCGCCACATGACATTTGCTGCACGGTCTGATCGATACGCTCCAGAGACAGATAATACTTGTTTGATTATTGGTCATGTATTTGAGTTTTGTCATTCTCTCTTTGCCTTCGCGTGTCATAATACACGACGACCGCCCAGCTTGAGCACGGAATCTTCACCATGGCCTACCATCTTTATGTGTTTGGCAGCAACGGCGAGGGCCAACTTGGCATTCCTCCTCAGGACATTGTTAGGTCACCTACACGAACCAGTAATCCTCCTCCAATAGAGGTCCTAAAATCTATTCATGGTGGTGACAACCACACCCTCCTGTTGACCAAAGATGGCTTTATGTACGGAGTGGGGGACAATCGAAAACAGCAGCTCGATCCCGATTCAGAGAAAGATCACCTTGAGCACTTCGTAAATCTAACACCTACTGCCATCTCTCTTGGCGCCGCAACCTGCGAATCGACAGCCTATATCTCCAACAGCAACTCGTCACCTACAAGCGAGCTCCATACTTATGGATCAGGACAATGGGGAGAACTAGGATGCGGAGATGACGTTGTAAATCTATCGATCAACCATCAACCCCGATCACGATGCGTCGCCACACTGCCAGATTGGACAATAAACTTCGCAGCTGGCGTATGGCACTATGTTGCTGTTCTTTCAGATGGATCAGTTTACGGCTGGGGAAAAGCACGCCTAGGCCAACTAGGCGACAGACTCTCCAGCAAAGTCACGGTACCGACTAAGATTGAGGGTATTCCCTTTCGACCCGCGAAGGTCGTCTGCGGGAAAGACTTTACCTACTTTGCCAGCGACCCGGTCTCAGGCAAACATATTATCCTTGGAAGAGATAAGTTCAGCCTCATTTCTTCCATGCCTGAGCATATCAAGTGCTGGAAAGATATTGGCGCAACCTGGCACGCGGTGTTCGTCCTCTTCGATGACGGACGACTCACTGCATGGGGTAAGGAGAACATGTGGAAACTCATCCCCCCGAATTTACCTCCTATTCAAAAGATCACAGTAGGTTCCGATCACGTTCTAGCGGTGACGACAAACGGCAAACTAATTTCATGGGGCTGGGGTAAACATGGAAATTGCGGTGACTTGAGGGGTATGCAAGAGAAAATGAAAAACGACATGGTGAGCGGTTTTTGGAACGAGATCAGCCTTCCGGGAGAAGTATGTACGATTGGAGCTGGGTATTGTACGAGCTTCGTCGTCACGAAAGTCGATGAAGAGGACTCTGGAACGCATGAGTAAATCTTGGGAAAGGAAGGTACTCAAATTTCTCAATCACCACCATCAGACATTGTCTAATTCCTTCTTCAACCGTGGCTCAAATCAATCCGATGATTCGACTGGTTATCTTATAAACTTTCATCCTTCTGAGGGGAGGCCGAACGCGATCCGACAGGGTACCCAGGAAGTCAACATCTCGAAAGGTATTCGACAACCAAACTTGCTCAGAAAACCTGTTTGGATCTATAACCGCTTCTCTTCTGCCCCCTCTAATACGTTCAACCTCCGATACAGATCACGCTCGCGCTCCTTGGCATTCGACACCACGCCATCAGCCTCCCATTCGAGCTTCCACCTGAACCAAGTCCTGAAGTCCCAAACTTGTCGATTGAGCAAGAAGTACGCCATCTCGCGCCCCACATACAGTGCCCACCTTGGGTCACTCGGAGAAACGTCGTCTCTGCCAGGCTCGGCCACGAACTGCTCGAACCGCACACCGTCCTTCGTCACAGGAGTGGTTCCCTGTGTGACCGCAGCATACGTCTCGGTCCATTGCCCATCATCCGAGATGGTGCAGCGCACATAGAACCCCCATCGATACAAAGTCGCGAGGTTGAGAAACGTACCCACAATGACTTCGTTGCCGTCCCTCCGGATCAGCAAACAGTGGCCGTCTCGTCGCCACTCAAAGACCTTGACATTCGGGTTCAAGAAGTCCTGCAGGCAGTTGGGGTTCGTTAGATGTAGCACCGTTGCCACGGCATCGCAGAGTCGCGGGAAAGCACTCTGGACTATGTTGTCCTTGCTGTTGAGATACGCATCTCGATCCACAATATGCATGTGACGAGCGGGACGGGATGCAGGAAGTGCCTTGCAGCAACTCGAGAAAAACTGCTGCATCACTTCGTCGTGCGCGTCGGATCCGTGGGGGTTACCGCAACTTCTATCTGCAAGCTCGTCCATGAGATCGGTATGTTCTTGAGCAGTTAGATTTGCGCCACAGACGAGGATGCCCGATTTGACCTGCTCGCCGATCGCGTCGACGATTGGGTGAGCAGTAGAGTCATTATTTTTAAATGTGTCGCGCTTGAGGGTAAACTTCAGCGCGAGATTATTCAGCATACTTTCGAGTCAATATGTGCGCCTTGCGATCGTGGTCCATCACTTACGTGTCTTGTCCAGGCCAGTTATCAAACTCATCTTCATCTACATCCCAGATGCTCCTGTTCTCTTTACCCGTCTTTCCAACCACTGGTCGAACAAGCGTATTTTGCGTCGATGTAAAATGCCTCACGCGCATCGTCTTATCAGGAGAAAACTCCATACCGCCAAACCGCGCAAGCATTTCCCTCTCATCAATCTCCCCACTCGAAGTCGAGAATCGACCAGGCATTCCATATCGCGACTTTAAACCATCGCCTGGAACAAACTCAAGCGGAGCAGCACTCTCAGTCTGCACAGCGCCACGAATCGACCTAAACGGACTCCCACGGATCGTCACATTCGGCGACACACACCCACTCTCCACGTGCTCGAACTCATCCTCCTCCGCATCCCACAAGCCCTGCGACGAAAAAGAAGACTCTGCCAGAATCTCCGCCCCTCTCCGTCGCAAAGTGCTGAGCTGCGGCGATGCACCAGCCGGCATGCCACGCTGAGATGTTCCAGCACAGGGAGCAAGCTCAGCGCCGATAGGACTCCTCTCGCCCACACCCCGGCTCTCCGTAGACACCCCATGCGATAGCCGCTTCAGGCTCCTTCGACCAAATAGATCTGGACTTCCGCGCAGTGTTTCTCCCGCCGCGACAGGCGATGCAAACTCAAAATCATCAGCCTCGAAGGGATTGTGTGAGGAAAAGGGACTGCGGGAAAAGAGCTCGGCGCCCCTGCGCCTCAGCGTGCTGATACGTGGTGGTGTGACGAGGGTGCTTGTGGGTGGCGGCGTGGCTGGTGGTGGTGTAGCAGCTGGAGTGCTGGGCCTGGAGGGAGGAGGGGATCCTGTGGTTGGCATACCGACGGTGCGGTGTAGATGTAGTGCGGTTTGGAACAGGTTGTGGCTGGATGACGGGGTGCTGAGGTTGGGCTAGGGATGGGTGAGTGGTGATGTAGGACTGTAGTTGAATGTTGAGTTGAGTGTGGTGGAATGACTGGGGGTTAGATATCAGTCGTTTGAGATGGCATGAAGTAAGGACTGAGTCCATCGATACGTGTGGCACCTGTCTTGCCTTGTCCACGTTGTCTCGCTCAACACACGCTTGCATATGGGTGAAAGGGCGGACGCAGTGAATTTCTACAGAAAAGTCCGGATATCTATATCCACGATGACTTGGAGTGATAAGCGTGTGAATGAGACCAGAACAACACCGTTCATCAGCAAAAACCACATAACAGAAACAATTGTGAAAGCAAGTAGAAAGAACATCCAAATCACGCACCAAGACCAACCAACACATATCAAATCTCAGGACTTTTTTCATTCCATCTTTCGCCGCCCAATCTAGGGGCAAAGCTACTAGAAATTCTATAAGATGCACCAAAATGTTTATCTAGCACTGATGCTGAAGCTCCAAGGCCAAGTCTAAGTAGTTTAAATGCATTACATAAATATCCAAAATTCCACTGTTTATCGATTCCATCACTCCTCAATCTTGTCTATTCCCTCTTCTGCTGAAACGGGTTATTCGAATTGCTAGCTGCGCGTGGATCCCACGTCCTCTCGCCCTCATCCGGCTCCTCGACCTGGGGGACGCGAGAACGTGGTGGCGGGGCCATAGTCTGGTAATGATATTCCTCCACATTGCCAGTTGAGATTGAACTTGGCGAGCCGGGTGCTGTGCCGCGCGGCGCAAGAGATGGCTGGGGTTGAGCAGGTGCGTTGGGCGGTGGTACGTATTGGCTCTGGGTACCGAAGTTCGATGTCTGCGGTACTACGGAGAGGGGAAGCGGTGGCGGACGCGACTGTTCGACCGAGAGACGACTACCATAGGGTGAAAGTGTGGTGCCTCCCTTCCTTCGTCCCACCGAGCTGGCCTGGCGCAACAAGCCGCGCACTTCGTCGAGATCGGGTCGCGTGTCGGTGCTGCGTCGTCCAATGGTACTAGCATCGTCGCGAGCACCCCAGGTATCGTCGCGAACGGTATCGACTCCAGGTTTACGGTTGTTCAGAGCGTTGATGGCATGATCCTCGCCATTTCCGACACTGACTCCTAGGTAATCAGTGCCAGTTGATTTGCCTTTGTTGTACTCGTCGTTGTCGGTGTTCAGAGGGCGCAATCGTGAAGCGTCAGCCTTTGCGTTGTACTTCTCATATGCTGAGATCGCCTCAGCTGGTGGAACAGCGACAGACCATGTTGGCTTGGCTTGCGATCCCAAGGTAGCATCTCCACCTCCTGGACCGTTGATTGGGACCCTGCGAAGGGCGAGGACCAAGGCACACATGAATTTGGATCGTCGGGATGAGCGGAGGGATTCGTTGGACCAGTTGCTCTTGTGTCGAATCTCGACATGAAGCTCGAGCTTGTTCATTTCCGCGATGCTGATGACCTCGACCTCAACCTCAGGATGGAAGTCGCGACTGTTGGCAGAATCCCGAACAAAGCTGATCATCTCCGATTTGAGTAGATTGATGTCTTCAAACGATGTACCGAAATCGCAGAACACAGAGATTTGCTCTCTCATGGCCTTGCTTCGGGTGATGTTCTCGACCCACAAGTTGTTCATGACGATGTTGGGGATTTGTACAGTCTTACCATTGGTAACGCGCTTGAATACAGTGTAGAGAAGGGCAATGTGTTCGACTGTGAGTTGCTCGGCTGAGATATCGACACGATCGCCAATGTCGTACGGGTGCTTGGCGAACAGAAAGATGCAAGAACCAAGAATCTCCTGGCAAGTTGTCGCGAAAACGAAGGACATCGAAAGAAGGGCTGTGGCAGAAGTAGCCAGCGTACCGACGAAACTGGGACTGAGGAAGGCAACTATATCAATTAGCGATCATGAAAAGATGGTTGACCCAAGCAAACTTACCAATGACGAAGATGCAGACAATGAAGACGATGGTAAAGAGCAGACCATCGAGAGCGTTGATGGCCTGATCAACATCGTGCATGCTCGTGTTGATAGATTTTCGTTGCCTGGCATAATCGGTCACAGTAAGGATCATCTCGTCGAGACTGATGTCGCCGTTTCCATCGCGGTCCAGCGAAGCGAAGCATTCTTCTGCCTCCTCTTGACGTCCAGCGCCCATGACCTCGACTAAATCCTCCTGGTACAGTTCGTTCTTGCCCTCAACGACAAATGACATCCAGATACGCCTGGCTAGAGCTTCAGACGACTTGTTTCTTTCCAAAGCGGTCAAAACGATGGAGTGAGCTGAAGTCGGATCAAACACTTTCTTTCCAGCCATTTCTGAGGCAATCGTGCCAAAGACTGAAGTGACCTTGTCGCCGATTCGCCCAACGTCGCGGCCAACTTCTCGGACAAGACGCATAGGGGTGCTGCTACCAGAGCGGCCGTGCTTGGTTCCCTTCTTGCTTCCAAGGCCTAGATCAAGAATTGCATCCTGGATGGTGTAGTCTTCTTCGGTGAACTCATGGCAGTATGCGGGAAACAAAGCCCTCGATGTGTCGTATAAGACACCTAGCAAGTAGATGTTTCGCTTTGACTCCTTGATCTTGTCGTCAAATTGCTTCCTGTGGTAGCTGATGCTTATCAATTGGATCAGAACGCGTTCGGCGAGGATGATGACGGTACAGATCAAAAGGGCTAGCAGGACCGATTGCACCTTAGAGATCCATGCTGGTGGGTTCGCGGCTCTGGAAGTGATGGGTCGGCAAAGCTGATGCGGGGTTAGCGATGCTCTGAATATCAGATATAAATACTTACTGGAGGGAACGTAGCCTGATTTACGATCATCCAGAGAACAAAAGAGAGGGGTTGTTCCACAGCTCTCAAAAGCAAAGCGTACTTGCGAACACCAGGGCTAACAACGCCAACGAGGAATTCGAAGATGGCAGGCAGGAAGTGAGCAACGATCTTCATCACCCAGAAACTCAGCCAAACTAGTACAACCCGTCAGTATTGATTGTTCGTTGTGAAATAGAATGTACTCACTGATTTCAATCCATATCCAGAACCTTCTCTGATCTGCACCGCCAATTGAGCCTGTGATAGTTTTTGTCTGTGACAGAATGATGGGAATAGCCAACAACAGAGCGATTGGCGTGACATAAACGATGTAGCGTGTGATAAGACTGTAGTTCAGAATCTTGGTGTAGATCCTACCCATTCGGTTCAATGCTGTCTTCTCCTCGGTTATGCGAGGGGGAGGCATGGGAGCGCCTGTCTGCGAGTCGACCTGCACCAGTCTTCTACGTCCCCTGCCGGACCTGCCATGGAACAGCCCGCCCTTTTCTGTCTTCTCATCTCTGGGACTCGTAGTCGGCGAAGGCGTGTGGCTGACGACAGTCTGCAGCGGGATGTCGCCTGGTCGGGTATCCATGTCGTCGCGTATGCCAGAGAGCGGCTGGAAGCCGTGGTTGGATAGTCGAAAAGACCTCTGAGAGGGTGATCGCAGCGGATTCGTCATTCAGGTGATGGTGTGAGTAATTGCAGAAAAGGGTATGTGAACGAGGCAAATGATGAGGTGCAGAGTCTATAACCGCTGGCGGTGAAAGAAAGGAACGAAGAGCGGTCGAAGAATGTGCGTCGAGCACTGTTCACTTTGCGATTCGGAGGTGGAGAGAGGCACAACGACAGCGAATGAACGATGGCCAGCCGTCGGTTTTCTATACAGGCAAGGAGAGGAATAAGGAGACAGGGAAAACAAGCGTCCAGCTCTTGGACACGCGACAGTAACGCAACGAGGAGGGAAAAGTGAAGAAATGAAGTCAGGGAGGCGGTCCGTCTTCAAAAGGCCGCTGCATCAGTGATCCATGCAGGAACAAGCCTCGACGCAGGGTTGATCGTCCTGAAACTACACTAGCACCTCGCCACGGCAAATCAAGGGCAAGCCCTCCCGCCGCCCGCGTACGATGCCCAAAATGTGCCACCACGCCAAACCGTTAGGTTGTCAACCGTTGGCTTGCAGCTCAACAGTCTCTCGGGAATAGACAGCTGGTGGCGGTAGAGGGTTGGGTTTGCAAGAGCTGGGCTTGACCATCATCTCATGTTCATACACAACCAGTGCCCCTGTCCTTCCAAGCAGATCTCCGTTGCGAATGCGAACAAAAACCTTGCCGATGATCCGATCTGGCCATTGCTCCGATTATCGATAAGACTTCATGTTGGGACCAGCTCCTGTGCGGTGGAGATTGATGCGTCGCATCTCCATAAAAGCCCTCCACAAACGATGCGAGATCGCTGCGTGGACACAGGCAGAGTGTTAATAAGCAGCATCCGTTTCGGTCAAAAGCACTCTGCACTGTCTGAAACATAAACCTCCGATCTGAAGCAGCGAACAACTCAAGGAAAGTTACTGTTCAGTGATTGGGTGACCGTCTACGCCCCTAAATTGCATTCATAAGGCAGCATGCCTAGTCAAGAAATCCCTTTCCAACAACATACCCTGACAGCCGGCAAGGCCTTGCCGGTCGTCTGTCAGTCGTCGAAGGGCGAGCTTCCAACGCCCTCGCGTGTCGCCGAAGTTATCCTTCGATACGGAAGCATACGTAATGAACCCCTACTAGGCGAGCCGCCATCCGCATTTGGAAAATCTTCGCTCACGAGAGCTCCACCTCGAGAAACGCAATCGTCAACCTTGTCACAAATCTTTGCGTGTAAACCCAACGAGGGGTGTTCGTCGCTCACACCAAGGACTATGTCATCGACCACACATCATGCGATGAATTTGGTAGGCACGAGACCACAATATAATGTCGAGACTGTTGGTCGCCTTCACTCTAAGAATAGACAGCCTAAAGACTGGTACCCGAAGTCACGTCGACTGTACCCACAACCACGGTTAAGACCGAAGGTCAACAGCACAGCCCATGGTACTATCGACCGAATTCTATCACCCCGCAGACTTTAGGACATGACTATTCGAAAATAGATACAAAGCCGACGTCACCGCATACGCTCAGAACACGTCCACCTCCACGCGTCAGGTGTCGTTCGTACCGAAAAATTGACTCTCCAGCTTCTATGCACGATTTTGTGTGGTCGGTAATCGCCACCATAACTATATTTTTTTCTTTATTCATTCTAACCTTACAGAAAACGTCTGATCCACCAGAGCTAGCCTCTTCAACTCCTTCCACAAAGCGTCAAACCAGCAACAACACACCAATCCCAATTCCATCTCGTAGCAGACACTAAATCATCAACGTTCAAAACTCCGACCCCTAATTCTGTGAACTTGAACCACAGCATATCTCTCACACTTATCGGCCACCCCGGAGTTTCCCAGTACCTGCTCTTTAAGCCCTTCTCTTCCGTTGTTTTGATCTGTCTTTCCAACGTCTGTTCTTGCTTCGTGCTCAAACGATTGAGCCACAACTTCCCAACTGCATCCTTTAGACTGACACTGGCGTAATATGAATTCGTAGAGTTGTAGCTGGTGTCAGAAATAGACAGAAGCGGGGCATCGAAGAAGACGAAGCGGTTTGTAGAATTCCGCTGCACGAGCTCGAAGGGTGTGCTGCCTGTGCCCACAACGGTAAGCGGTCCGCGGTGCATCATTTCGCCGTCATAGTACGTGAGCCAACCTCTGTCGCGAAGAGGCTGTAGCTGCGCAAGGAGAGCCGACCAAACTGCATGCCCGTCGCTCTTGAAGTCGATCAGCAACACAACAGAGACATCTGCATCCTCGTCGAAAACGCCAACCTCTCTTTCCTGAATGGACGCCTGAGATACATTCCGCTTCTCGAAGATGGCCGCCAACGGATCCAGATACAAAGTCCTCAACGTCCGCGTGAGCGTAGTTGTTTTCCATGAATGACCGACAAGCAGCTCTCCGTCTGAGGCCAGCCACACATCTGCTTCCACACTCATACACCCCGCTGCAAGCGCGCTGTACAGCGGTACAGAGCGCGAGTAATCGTTGTGCGAGTGGCAATTCTTAGGCACGATGTCGCGGCTGAAGTCGTCTCGCCATGCAAACTTATACGCACCGTTGGCATCCGGCGCCCTCCAGTTCTGAACAATGTGCTCAAGACCGCTGTGATTTGGTGGGGGAGTGAGGTTGTGGAGAAGGGCGGCAACGAGAGATGTGTATACGCTAATCCATGTCAGCCGCTTGTATGGGAAGGTGGGGTGAGGTGAGGTGAGGTGAGTATAAGAGGATCTTACATTGCTGCGATAGTACCAAGCACCGTCAACACAACGACAGCGATTAGCAACCATCGACACCACTGTCTTCTCCGCGTCCCCTTTGTCTGATCTGGGTCTCCCAACCCCCGTAATCGTACTCTACACCAGCGACACCCGCTCCCCCAAGTCACCAACCATTTCTGCCGATACGGCGTTCCTGGCAGTTCGTCCTCGATGCTCATCGTACTCGGCGAGTCCCACCGCGTCTCCTCATCCGACTCATCACGAAACCTCCCCCCTCCCTCCATCCCCGAGCGCAAAGCCCGCAACGGCACGCCGCCCTCTAAGCTCTGATCTCCAGCGAATGAACCCATGATATACCGAGAAGAGTAACGCACAAAGCATACTTCAACCTCCCATCAACGGCCCGAATCCGCGACATATAACACCATAGAGAAAGCACATACCACGCCCACCAGCCGCAGTAATCGAGGCATCCAGCAGCAATCGAAGCATCCGCAGCAGTCAAGGCATCCAGCACCACAGTACACACCCTCACCGGAGCACCGCCCCAATACAATACAGCAACCACTTCAGCATAAGCATCAAAATGCCCAGACGCACCAACTCCTACCGGGAGATAAGCTTCCACCCACCTACGAGAACAAGCTCCACCCCATACGCCCAAATGCTTACAGTGGGTACAGATCGACACCCGTCCCAGCAACGTTTCATGTCTATCCATGCAAGGATCGTCCGGTTCGGGTAGTTCTGCATTCCTGCCAAAACTTGGCGGATTACTACCAACTCTCTTGGTTTCGGGCGGATTTTGTGTGTTACGACGAGCTGCTCAGCCCCTTCGTGTACAACACTCAACCAAGGATAAACATCGAATCGCGGCGGTTTCGCATGATGCGCAAACTGGTGTATACACTGTACATTGAAGGTTTACTTCTTGTCTGGATATGTCATGTCATACCGTGCCATGCTCCGCCTCGTTACGCCCCGCCCCGCTCCGTCCCGCCCACCTCCGGCGCCGTCCGGCGACGCTGTGTGATGGGGAATACGTCGTCGTGTTACACAGACACAGACACAGATACAAGACGTGACGTGACACGACATACCATGACATGATCGCGCGAAACACAGTGTAGCATACCGAACGTGGAAAAAGTGGCTCATCCATCGACTCGTCAAGATCGGCACTGTACAGAGCATGTGAATGTAGATACACTTCACCGGAGCATAGCATAGCCCGGTACCACGCGTATGCAGATCTAAAGCAACATGACCTTCTTCCTCTGTTCCCGCTGACAAGTAACAACATCAGACTGAGGATCGGCGGACTCGCCACCAGAGCAGAAACCATGTTTTTGACAACGTTGCACTCACTGGGCGAGTAAGCACAAAGAAAGAGAGACTTTCGCCCGCCATGGAGGTAGTTAATCATACGGACGTGTTAGGATGACTTGCTTATAGAATTCCGGTGTGTGGATGTGTTTGTAAGGCAGACTGGACGAATTCCGTGATGTTGGTTTCGTGAGGCGGATGTGTGGGTCTGCGAAGGATGGAGAGGGGGGATTGGGGAGTGGTATAGCATGTGTAACTCGGTTAGTATGTTCGAATTGGTAGTGTTGCTTCTCGCTTAGATACCATAGTGGAGGGGTGAGGTCACTGTACTGTACTTTACTGTACTGTGCTGTACAGTGATATAATGTAATGCGGCATCCCATGTATTCCCCTCCGTCAATCTACATACAGCCAGCCATTCATTCCAACGCCGCACCTGCACCTGCACCCGCATACCCCCCAACTGCGACAAGTGTTACCCGGACAAGCCAGACTGCTCACCCCGGCGGACAAAGGATGGTAAAGCGAGAAATAAGTAAATGATCGAAGCCACTTTGGCGGCAAGAAGAATAGTTTGAAAACGAAGGTGTCCTCCCTGGTAAGACACATAGCCACATGCCCAACGCCCCAATCAACACCGAAACCAAAAAAATATATATGTAGATATGCGGAAAGGGGAAAGCGGGAAACGATCAAGCGTCACTGGGTAGCTTGGTGGGTTAACTGGCTGCGCGTGCTGACGTCCCCGATATGCTTTCGGTCAAACGAGAGGTTGTCCGCAACGAGTTCGACGGGAGGTGCTGGTGCGATCTCATCGTCATCGTGTGTAGCGTTGGATGGCTTGATCGTCGCAACGCTCGCGCCTAAGGTTTCCGACGTTTCCGAGTCAAACCTCGGAGACGATTCTTTATCGCCGTGTCTAGCCGTTCCAGCCGCTCCATCACGCTCCGTATCGTGTCGTCTGATGGGTGGTCCGTCGCCGAGTCTGCCGAATGCCTCTGGAGCAGCGCTGTTAGCAGAAGCCCCTTTTCCAGTGGTGGGCTTAGCCTCGGCAACATGTTCGATGTGCTGTGCGCCATTCCTGTCCTTGTCGTCGTTGTCGTGCGTTATGGCGTCTGTGAGGCTTTGGAAATTGAACATGGGCTCGGTTCCAGGTGTGCCCTGTGCAGACGTCTCGTCCTGATTCAAGCTTACCCCTGAGCCATTACGGTTCGACTCGTTGAATTGGCCAGGCATAACGTTGCTTCGACTCTCTCGGCTACGCCGGCGTGGAGAATCTTGATCTGATTCAGCAAACGATGAAGAGGAGGATGATGGGTTGGAGAGACGGCCTAGGGCCGCGCGATGCGATGATTGCTCATTATCGAGAGGATCGTAGGGCATCAAATTACCCGAACCAGATGTCTTTCCTTGGATTTGCGCGCGACTAGATTCAAGGTGCTTTTGCGGGTCGTCTCTCGATGGTGAAGAATTGATCGCAGCAGAGGAAGATTCGCCCGATGGATTGAATCCGTATGGATTGCCAGAACGGTCGATCGCCTTGCCTTTGCCCGCCACAGAAGAGCTGCCTGCACCCGAGTCGTCGAGTCCACCCACACTTATGGGGTGGAATCCGCTCCCAATGTTCTTCTGGGCTTTTGCTACTTTCTTCGCTTCCTTGGCTTTCTTTTTTCCCTCCTTTTTGGCTTCTTTGGCAGCATCTTTTTCTCCTTTACGTTTGCGTTCGTCCTCCGCTGCCAGACTAAGACGTATGGCTTCCATCATCATCAGCTCTTCGAGTTCGTCGGCTCTGTTGCCTCCACGCGCGCTGTGACGTCCAGGGTAAAAGTCGTGCGAGCCTTCGGGATTGCGTCCTGAAGATCCTTCACCATCTCCTCGCGGTGTGCCTTGTCCACTGCTACCAGCGCTATCAGTGTTAAACATGGGTCGTCTTCGCCCACCTAGACGGAAGCCGCGACCCTCCTGTTGAAGAACGCCTTGCATATAGGCAGCTGTGTGCAGAGCGGTTGCGGCTGCAGATCTTCGCATCGCGAGAGATTTCGCGTCTGCCAATTTCTTGGCCCAGTCAGGTCGCACCAAATCGGTTGTGATGACTGCCTTGTCCGTTACAGCAAGCGATTCTGCGCGTCTGCGTCCTTGGGAAGAAGCACCCGGCGAGCCAAGTGACGAATTAGACGACGTCCCTGGATTCACGATACTTGTGTTGTGCTGAGTCTGACCTGCGTACGCCAGTCCTCGTCTGAAATATGGAGATTCGTATGTAACTCCGAATTCGGGCTGCTTGCAAAATGGGCACGTGGCAGGCTCTGAAACAAGCTGGATCTCTTCCTGGGGCTCGGCTGATGGAGTTGGCGCTTCTCCATGATGCTCAGGCGGATGCGGGTCAGGTCTTTTGAGCTGTACGAAGCACTCTGAGCAGATGTGTTGATCGCAACAGCGCGTCTTGTTGAGGTAAGGCGGGTAGTACAGACAGCAAATCGGGCATTCCACAACGTTTTTGTACAGAAAGGCCTCGACCCGGTGACCGTTGACGTACGGGTCTCTGGGCAGCTGCACTTCCTGCGGCACCATTTCGGTCTGAGACGCATTGCGTGAGCCGGTCGCGAGAGAAGCAAGTGTCTTTGCCCGACTGCGGAAGAATGGAGACGTCGATGAATTGCTGTACATGGGGGACACGGGCGGAGGGAGGGAGGAGGCGGGGTGCAGGGGCGACAGACCCGTGGACTGATCTGAGTTCTGCGACATGGAGCGTGAGCCCATGGGGACTGTGAGGTTGTTGATGTTGGAGTCGGAGGAGCGAGCGTTCCACGCGGGGCTGAGGCGGGTGCTCGGCTGGGGCGGGTCGTCTGGCGGGATGTCGTCGGGCGCGGGGAGCGGGCGGCCGTTCACGATAGCGACGAGCTGGTGCTCAGTCCACGTGTCTTCGTGGTCGTCGAGGCCCTTCCAGAAGGGCGCAATGCGGCGCTCGATCTAGCCTGTGTGAGAATCATCAAGGGGGAGTCGGCGCTGGGTGACGCGTACCTGCAGTTGCCGCACGACGGGCTTGCTGAAGTCCTCTGGCCCCGTGTAGGTGCCCAGCGTGACCAGGAAGCCGCCGTCGACACCTTCCTCGCGCAGGCTGCGCTCCCGCTCTTGGGCTCGGAGCACGCGCTCCTTCTCCAGCTTGCGGGCTTCGCGCTCAGCCTTGGTCTCCCGCCGCGGCTCGAGAGCAAGGTCGCGCTGCTCAGAGCCCGGCGGCGCCCCAATGCCCAGGAAGGTCAGGTCGTGTCTGCTGCCTCGCCCGCTCCTCGAGGCGTACATGCCGCTGCCTGCCCGGTCCTGGGACGGCCCCGCGGAGCCAGACGTCGTGGGCGACGTGGGATTGGTGTGGGCACTCGAGCGCCGCACATGGCCCCCCGAAGGCCGCGCCTCCCTACCCTGAGCGTTGCCCATGGTGGCAAGCAGTCGAATGCAGAAAAGCGATGGGGTAGAAATGCAAGTCGGGCGGCGGGACGCGCCGGCGTGGTGGTGGGCGAGGTGTCGATGCCCAAGCGGGGGACGTGGGTGTCGAGCGCGGATCCGTCGTTATCGCGCGGGGCTGGCGAGCGACGGTGGTGGAATAGCGGTCGTGGTGGTGGTGTGCAAGTGCGAACAGATAGCAGGTGTCACAAGGACATGATCCTATGCAGCCCGGCGAAACCTGGTCGACAGTCGCTCTTTCCTGCTTCGCGTCGTCAGAGCACACGGGCGGCGGTCATTGGGAAGTCGCGGCCGGCACACATGCACATGGACAGGCACACAGGCACAGGCAGGATGGCTCACAGTCGTGGAAGGGGGACTGAGGCCGTGTTGGGCAGAGCAGCTCGACGGATGATGTCGTTCGCTTCCGAGCCAAGGTTGGCGGCCAATCGCAAGCGCATGGATGGCGTAGCTGCTGGTAGGCCCGAATGCGTGGGGAGAGTACTCTGGGCTCTAGCACATGTCAGCCCAGCAGCTTTCACCGCCGGTAGCGTGGTTGAGCGTCCGCACCTAACATCAGCCAAACATCCTCACGTCATATTATAGTAATTAGACATGTCTAGATCCATCCCTTTCCCTTCCCTTTCGTTTCGCAAGAAATTACTCTGTTGCTACAGCAGAGGGCATTGAACAACACGCGGCCACGGCCACAGCCTTGCACCCATCTGCCCCACTTTGACGCGGGGTGAGTGATTTATGGCACGACAGATGCTTTTTCCAGTGAAAGAGAGTTTGGCACTATACAGCCTCACAGCCTCATAGTTGCTCACTTTAGTCTATCGTGTTGATCAACTTGCCACTCTCTCACACTATAACGCTTGGCCTGCCAGTGAGGAAGCGTGCCTGGAATCGCCATAGGGTAGTGGCGAGGTACAAGTCTTTGAAGCGCAACATGCGTCGTTGTCGAACCACAACTTCCTCTGTCCGTCTCAATCATAGCATCTCTCATAGTTCATGTGAATACACTCTCCTTGATTCCTTTGCCCCGCGTACCAATAATTTCTATTATTCCTTCAATCTCGTCTTGTACGCTTGATAATCAGCCCTATGGGCGCCCTCGAGTTCCTATGCGATGTGCGATTCCACAAAAGTTACACTCTCCCACCAAATCTCGAAACTGGCAGAGACAAGCCATATCATGTCTCATACGCAGACTATGGCGATCCAAACAGCAACGCGGTCGTCCTGTTTTGCGGCGCATTAATGGGCACACGTTTCTGCTACTCGCCCCTAGACGAACTGGCCAAGGCACATAATGTCCGGATCATCCATCCAGACAGGCCTGGGATAGGCGGCAGTGATGCTGTGGATCTTGAGAAGAGAATACAAATCTGGCTAGGTGAGCAGATGCCATTGTATGTCTTTTCTTGTGTCTTCATGCTCATGCTCGCCTCGCAGAAATGGTCCCCCAGTTGCTGGCTCATCTTGGGATCTCACACATCTCACTCGCAAGCCACAGTGGAGGCGTCATCTACCTAATTAACACTATGCTCACATATCCACATCTCCTACATCCGCAGAATCCCTATGTGACTTTCTTTGCGCCCTGGGTTCACCAGTCGCATTCCAAGGTCATGCAAATGCGAGCAACTGAATTGCTTCCCGCGCCACTCATTGGCAACTTCGCGAACCTACTACGATTTCTCAACGACAACGTCATCCCTTTGACCGATCTGAGTGGCAGTCTAGTTCAGGCAATCAGAGACTCGCTACTCAGTTCACATACCACGCCTGCTCCGGTCCCATTAACACCATCCAACCGTAGTTTTCGGTCGCGAGCGCCTTCAATCTCGTCGTGCGAGACATCAAACAGACTCGATTTAGATGATCCAGACACAGTCGATGAACTGCGGAAATACATCAACGCATTTCTATTCGCAGAGTCCATGGATGGCATATCTGCAGATGCACAACTTTTTCTGAAGAAGCGCTCCATTCCATGGTGTTCCTCAAGCATTTTCTGGTCCGACCTCGACTACGTGGTACCCCTGCTCTCGAAGATCATCGATGAAGAAGATAGCCTGGATGGCAGTGGTAGGAGATGGACTATCGATGCTTTCCACGCCGACAATGATAACATGGTAGGCGAAAGGGGCCAGCAATGGTTCGACGACTGCTGGTCACAAACACAAAGCACTGCACCACAACAGCAACGCACAAAAAGCTACGAGTACAGCAGCGAGGTAGTTGAAGGGACTGAGCACAATTTCCTCATGGACCCAGCCTTTGGTGCAAGTGAGCTCTGGCTTCAGCGAGTTAGGGAGTCGTTCCCTCTGACAGTAGAAGATTACCAGCTTCCTTTCACTACAACGCCTTGTCGGATTGATTCAACCAAGACAGACAAGATGCTGATATCGAGCCGAACTACGCAGACTGAATTCGAAGATGGGATGTCATCGATATCTACCCGACAGAGTAGCGAGAGGAGGAGGTCGCTTCGTTTCTTTCTACGCAAGTTCAGGGACACAACGCGACGTACTATTTCGCGCAGATCCACGCTGGAGTCACGGCAAGGAGTGCTGATGAGTAGTTGAGAACTGTCTAATGTCTTGAGCCCGCGACGCGATGGAGACCTTGGGTTCGTAATGGAAATGCTTCAGGCCAAGATTATGATCCTGCGTAACCTTTAGTCTTTATCGAGAACTCAATTGAGTCTTTCAGTGATATTCCCCAGACTTGCCAAGAAGTGATCTATGACGAGGCTGACGGAGTTAAACACTCCAAACTAAACTCCGCGACTTGACGTCTTCGAGCTCGCACAACTTCCCACTCACAACACCACACAGCAAAACAATGGCAGACGACATGAAAATCAACGCACAACGCGCAAAACAGCTGGCGGAAAACCTCGCTAGTATATCCTCTCGCGTCAATGCAGCGAGTAAAGGGAACAAGCAGGTACCCCACCAACCATTACCACAACGCCCTCAATCTCCACCTCCTAACCTCACACCAGGTCCGCCTCATAGCCGTCTCTAAACTCAAACCTGCGACGGATATCCTCTCCCTCCACCAAACCCCGTCACCCCTACATACGCACTTTGGCGAAAACTACGTCCAAGAGCTCCTCGAGAAGTCGAAACTGCTCCCGCGCTCGATACGCTGGCACATGATCGGCGGCCTGCAGTCGAACAAATGCAAGCAGCTGGCCGAGCAAATCCCCAACCTATGGTGCGTGAGCAGCGTCGACAGCGAGAAGAAAGCCAACGAGCTAGAAAAGGGGCGGAAAGCGCTACACGAGAAGGAAGACAGTGAAGTCAAGGACAACGACAAGCTGAAGATCATGGTCCAAGTCAATACGAGCGGCGAGGAGAGCAAGAGCGGTGTTGAACCTGCGGATACGTTGAAGCTCTGTAGGCATGTTGTGGAGAAGTGCCCGCATCTTGAACTCGTGGGGCTGATGACTATTGGGGCTATTGCGAGGAGTAGAGCGACTACGCCCGAGAATGAGAATGAGGATTTTGTCGCGCTGAGGGAGACGAGGGATCGGGTTGCGAAGGAGTTGGGCTGGGAGGCGGACAGGTTGGAGCTCAGTATGGGCATGAGTGCAGATTTCGAGGGCGCGATCAAGATGGGGAGTGACGAGGTTAGAGTTGGGAGCGAGATATTTGGCGAGAGACCCGCAAAGAAGGACGCCGTTGTTAAAGAGACAGCGGCGGAGGGTGAAAGCTGATAAGCAGGTTTATGCTGAGAAATGATACCAGAAGTAAAACATACGATGCATACGCGGTATTTCCTGCTCTCTTCACATGTCTATTTCCATCTCACCGCTTCTACACGTCTCGCTCATTTCCGATGTACCTTCCCTTCGGGACCCCCTGCGTGCGTGCGTTTGTTTGCGCTGCAGCTATCCATTCGCGCTAGCGCGTTTGCTCTCACCTTGATATCTCGCCTCGATACTTCACCTCGATGCTTCGCTCTACTTCACCTACCTTCCTCAGTAACCTGCCAACAAGCAGACTCAGACATCTGCATGTCCACCATGAGGTACCTCATCCCCTTCCTCACCTCACATCTTACTTCCGCGTCTAACAGCACTGCAGTCCCTACGGTCCTCTCCCTCCGGGAAATGGCATACCGCCCAGTCAATCGACGGGCAGCTTCGCAGGAACTCCATCAGCCGGTACAAACAGCGCGCGCGCGTCAATTGTATCTTCGTTTGCACGTGGAGTCTCGACGATATCTCCACCCGCCACCAATGACAGCTCGTTCAGAGCGCAGCCGCATGTCTTTGGTTCTTCGGTGCTGCCGCGGGGTGAGAGGGCGGGGTCGTCCAGTCCTTTCGTCGCTCTGAACGCTCAATCCGTAGATGCAAACAACACTTCTTTGGGTTCGTTCTCTGGGGTCGACAGGCCGAGTACCGCCCAAGGCTTTGGTAGTGGTATCTGGTCTCGACCCACTTTCGCTGATCCCACGGCGAGCAGTGGCAGTCGGTTGGGAAGCGGTGCTACTCAGCCTGTTGTTTTTGGCAGTTCGCGTCCTCAGTCCGCCGTTCAGCCTCTGTTTGGCTCGCACACTGCTACGCGACCTAGTGCAACACTGCGGAATCCAGGTCTTACTTCTGTTGATAACGGATTCGAGCAGCCACGAGTTCATCTGTACGTTCTAGTATATCTCTACTGAACCGTTTCTGACAATCATAGGCTCAGTGGTCCCAGTATCGAAATCGTTGTTGGCTCCGCAAACAACTCCGCTACGTCGAACCATCAAGATTCCTGGACGCTTCCAAAAGCGTTAGTTGACCGTCATTCTACCTTCCTCAGAACGGCACCAGGAAATCGCATTTATCTTCCTGGTCACGATCCAAAGATCTTCAGCCTCTTCGTGGGATGGATGTACTATGACCACTACCGCCTTATCACCGCAGCAGAATTGACGTTCGCTAATCTCGATGCACATGCTTGGGTATTGGGAAGCAAACTTCTGTGTGTCAAATTCCAGAACTATGCAATGAGTCGGCTCTATATACAACATACGGCTGTCTCCACACCACAACCTATCAGCACAGCAGACGTCGAATACGTATGCCAAAACAGCACTGCAGGTTCCAAGCTTCGTCAGTTCTTTTTCGACATCGTTGCGACGCACTTCGCCGATCCTGAGCGCGTCAGTGGTGGTCCAGAAGCTTGGGATTGGATCCTGCTGGAGCATGCAGAAGCTCGATCGTTGATTCTACAGGGATACAGAATGGCGTTGCCAGAGCGCAAATTCATGAAAACGATGAAGGAGTATATGGTGGAGGAGGAGGCGCCGCCAATGAACAATGCCAGTGTGAGTGGGGAAATACGGGTCACTCCTGCGAAGAGGGACGCAGAAGGTTTGGCTGTGAAGAGGGAAGCTCACGATGACTGATGGCACGTCATGCTCATGATAGTCGTCAAGAGGGCTTGTACTGTGGAGATTACTCGTGTCCTAGAGGACAAAGGGGACAGAATTTATGGGAAAGAAATAACGCTGTTGGATTGTCGGAAACGAACGGAATGCGTCAAAGATTGTTGTGGACGCTAAAGGAGCTGAAATCATGTACGTAAAATATACTAGCCCACTATGATGGTAATTCCAACTATGATATCGAGATCGTTTGCAATGACTGCTTGGACCTGCTTCTTCTCACAGACTATTCCTTGTCAGCTAACTCATCATCGTGCCCTGTCATATACGTACTGACAACAACACTTTCAGCTATAATCAGTGTTGCAGAGCGCTTCGATAGTACAATCAACGTCGAAATAATAATATTGCATCGCCTCTAAACACTGTGCTACATCACTTTCAGAAAAGAAAAAAACATAGCGGTGTTTCGATCAAGCTTTGACTATCCGTACGAGGTTTCGGATTGATCTATGGACCAGGGACGTAAGTTCGAAAACGCACGTCCACTCCTTGATGGGATGGGTGGTTGGAAAAGTCTAGACTTGCACTGTACGGAAGGAGATATGATGTATCCACGACAAAAGCGTTGCGCAGACAAGTTCCTTGGAGAGAAGTGAGGGGACGCTGTACTTTTGCTTTGAGAAGCGGGTGGTGGATGCATGCGTGATTGGGAGGAATTGAAGTACAGACAGATCAACATATCGATGTGATGCTATTGATATATTATGAGAATCTTTTCTCCCAAGCAGCCTGTAGCTGTTTCCGAACATGGTATACAAACTCTTTGAAAAGACCTTATATTATTGTGACTATTATCTCCTCTGTAGCGCTCTCGTACATGGCTCCCATTTTCAGCTCCATGTCCGAGGGTCCGTTGTCAGTGTAGTCAGACTCGTAGTTGGGATCGTAGTCAAACTTGCCCTCAGGGACAGGACTGCTGATAGGACTGTAGGGAGGACTGCACTGGGAACTGTTGTCGGGTATCAAGGGAGGACTGCACTGGGAACTGTTGTTGGCTATGAAGGGAGGACTATAGCGAGGACTGACAGGATTGTAGACAGGACTGTCAACATTGCGTCTAAGATATTCCTGCTCCAGACACCAAGACTTGGACAGAAATTTGCTATGAAGTAAGCCAATGCGCGTGTATGTGTTTTCCCGACCATCCAATTTTCTTAGTATGAGCCAGTTTCGACGATACTGACCTTCACTCTCGCTCACGTCCAAGACTAGGACCGCGGAGTGGTTTGCAACATGGTCAGATCCTTCGTTTTCAAGCGTGTAGTCCCACCAGACTTCACTATCTTCCGTCCCGTGTGTGTTCAACTCTTCGTGAGCATCTCCGAAAGCAAGAGACGCATACGATACCCTGATGTCCCGCAGTGAAAAATTGTGTTCAGGCTTGTTGTTGTAAGTAATTCTGCCGTTCAGGTATTTTCCCCTAATGGTCAATGATCCAGAGGAAAGCTGTCCCGTAGGGTCCGTTCCGCTTGGAACCGTCTTCGCGCTGAGAATGGTAGCTGTCGCTGTTTTTCCGCTAGATCCGAGCCACTTCACCTTGCCTTGAACCGACGCCCATGACCACGTTGGGGCACGCCATTCACATGGTCTCTTGCAGTTCGGTTTGCCATAGTCCACTACCCAAGCAAGGCTCTGCGCCAATGTTGTTCTCCAGTGACCGGCTAGATAATCGCCCATGGTTGGCTGGAATTTCTTTGCTAGGCCCTGTAGAGCAGGAAAAATGTCGTTAGAAAATGTCAACGACCTCCTCGTATATTGTGTCACAATCTCTTCCCAGCGGTCCTGTTCCAAACCACTGAGCAAAACGTGGATATTCTTTTTGTGCTTGGCGTAACTGTAGGACCACCCGAGTTCGTGCGATATTCGGGAACATTCGCAATCGAAACGTTGAGGGCACTCCCACGTTATTTCTTGCTCCAAGAAACTGATCATGCGTGTAGAAAGCACACTTTCCTGGAATGCCCAACCTCTCTCGTCAAGTGGTCGACTTGTCGTTTGATGGTCCAGTGGTACCCGGCCATGGATATCACATGGCTCCCCTTTTGAATTTCGAATGGTTATTGTACGGGATATATGTTTAGGATGCGAAGCAGCAAAGCAGCCGGCAGAAGCTCCAGTCGATTTTGTGGCGGCAAGGGTGACATATGAATCTTGATATATCCGTGACATGCTACTTCCTTCTCGGCGCCAATCCTCAACCGAATCCTGTACGATGCATAAGCTGTCAATCCAGAGGTACCTAAGTCCAAGACGATAAGTAAAGGAAATAGCGTCCTGGAATGTTTTTGGTAGATCGTTCCATGGTATGCCGGATTGATGGATCTGCAAGTTCAAAGTTGTTGTTGTGATGAAAGGTTCTTTTCCCCAACAGTGACTCAGACAGGCATAGGAGGCAATCTCGTTGTCGGGAATGTAAAGTCTAACATCGTCAATTCCGTCAATACGCAACACCCTAGTGGGTAGTAGTGAAGAAGACGCAAAGTAACATTCGTGGTGCTCATTCAAGCATTCATCAATCCATGCGCGTGCCCAAGAGACTGCTTTATTAGAGCCTGTGTTACCAGAGATCTTCGATGATGGGCTTATACAACTCCACGGTGAGGGATTTACTACTTTTGTCAGCATATTCGAGATGGTTTACATCTAATGGTAACAACTCACCAGACAACGCTGGGAAAGAGGCGATAATAGGCGTAGCCGATATGTCTCCAATTTCGAGCTCTACGATCAACGGTTCATGCACATTTTTCCTCCGCCTAAGGCAAATATGTAGTGTTGGCGAGTACATAGTCATCTTAACTGTACTGTTGTTTTCGATATACCTAGTGTAAGGTTCGAGAGCTTTGCGGACAACTGTACAGCCTTGGCAATCTTGTTCCGCGACCTTGAAAATCTTGTTCGCGTCTACTACTTGACACCTTCCCGCTTCAAGATTGAGACATATTGGGCAACTGCGTAATCTTGAAACGGAAGCCATGACCTGAGGCTACGCTTCACCCCGCACTTGCCCAGGATCATGTGAACTGGTGTAACCTCAGCTCGAGGAGCAGCAAGCGACGCGTTGTGTCGGGCGAGACCGTGTTTCGAGCGGACGACAGAGTGAGAGGTTTCCTGCGGGGAAAAGAAAAGAAAGACGAGAACAAGACGAAGAGGAGAAACTGGAGAAGACGAAGGCAACTGCCATGCAAGTGAGACTCCGCCCGATGTAAGCCGCTAATCCGGAACAGGCAAAGCGTCCTGGCAATACAATCCAAACATACACACCAAGAAGGCGGGATACATTGTAAATGTAAGGTAAAAGGGAATAGAGGATATGGAAGTTACAATCTTCGACGTATGGCAACCAAAAAGCAGTACAACGAAACCAGACTTATTATTTAGTTAGACAGGAGTATTGTTATCATACATACATATATACATACCTACGTAAGCTCAATCAAAACACCATGCTCCAACACCCCGAACACAAATAACCAGTCGCATAAAAACAAATCATCCTCCAGCGTACGAAAGTCATCATCTATCTCGCAAGACACAAACTTCCATCCATCCCCCTCCCTACCACTATGCAGCAGGATCCATATATCCCTCCAACGTGTCATAATTCAACGGCTTGAACAACTCATTACTCCAATCCGCACCCGAGCTCCCCAGTAACCCCTCAAAGTTCTCAAACGCCGCGTCAAAATCCAGCCAATCGGGCGATGTCTCTGAAAATCCAAAGCCCGGTGGCATCGGCGCTCGATTTGCACGCTCGCTGCTCGTGGGGTGCTGACCAGGTGTCAGCGTTGGGATGGGGTTGAGTAAGTTGGTCATTGGGGCAGGTGCTTGATGATGGTGCAGTCTGGGATCGATAGGGGTATCAAGTGACTGCGGCCAGTGTGCCGAGTTGGGTGGAGGTAATGCGTTATGTACGGATTGAGGGGTGGGTAGCTCGATCTTTGTCTCAGACGGACGAGGTTCTGGTGCTGGAGTGTTTGCTGCGTTCGTTGTGCGTCCCGCTGCGTTGTTGAGGACTGCACGACCTAGGTCTGCCATGGTGCCTGCTGACCACCAGGCGTTGCGGAGGCGGTCGAGGAGACGGACGCATTGTTTTAGTTCCTCAGTCGCCCGGTTCACGTGCACCTTCAGGCGGCGGGATCGGAAGTGACGGTATACCACGCTTAGGGCTACCCCAAGAGCGTAGGGGACGAGAGGAAGCGGTGGAAGGAGCTCCGGTAACTCTGCGTTGAGAAGGTGGATGACACGTGTTGCTGAGAGACTCTGGCGCACGTATGAAGGTGTAGATTTAACCGGGGCGTTGATAGAGAGAGACTTGTGGGAGGCCATGCACATGGTGTGATGGAAGAGCGACAGGAGACCTAGCGCATGTCAGATGGAATGGAAACAGCTCGAAACTAGGGAAACTCACTCATGATCGGGCCCTCCAACTTGTCCTCACCATCTCCTACCATCTCCTCGAACCCCAAGAAGTCGTCCCCCTCCCAACCTGTTTCGTCGGCAGACCTACCAGGTCTGTAGTAGTCGATCACCTTATCCAGCATCTCCGATATCTGTAGCCAAATACCAAGCGGACTGGACCTCTTCTCTGGATCTGAAGGCAGCTGCCGCAGACTATTGTCTCGGTCATGCATGAGCAGTGGCCTTCCATACATGCAAGCATTCATCTTGTCCAGACTCCATAAACACCAAAACACGTCTTCCAAGTTGCCTTGTGACTCTGAGCTCTGATTCTTCCACTGGTGACCAAACTGTAGTCCAAATGTGTGAGCGTGATGGATGGCCTGGGCAAGGTGCATTGAGGCTTGCTCCGCCCCATCGGGTCCCTCGCAATGAAGTGATAGGAGAGCAAGTACTTGGATCAGCACGACACGGTTCTTCTCCAGCTTTGCCTCGATGCCCACTATAACGGCATTGTACAGCCTTTGAGAGAAGTCGCGTGGATTGAGGGGCTGAGGGTCGTCTCCCAGACAGAGAGCCTTTGCTGCATGGGCATGTTTGGACGCTACGATACACATTGTCTGTAGCACCATACGAGGTTCTCTGCCCAAAGCATACTGCTCGTAAAACAAATCCTTGTCGACAATGGGAAGTAGGGGATGAACATAACCAAAGTAGATTTCGAGGAGCACATCTTGGCTCTTGCGTGGAGGTAATATGGCAACGCCTACTGCATCTAAATACTGTTGAAGAGCTCGAGCGACCTTGAGCTCCTGGGTAGTTTGCGGGCCTGTTTCGATAATCCGCGATGAGGTCGAGCCTGCCCTTGCGGACGTTGGTCCCTGGTTGTGCTCGTCAATCCATTGACCGATCAGGTTCCCGCCAGGTGATTGGGCTGGCTTTCCACGTTCAGAGTGGACCTGCTCCCTGAGAACGGCCTCGGGATTCAGGTAGCCCAGGAAGTTGGGCGGCGTTGTTGGTGATCGTGGATCCTCTGCCGGACTGATTGGCATTGGAGGCAGCATGGAGTGGGGAAGGGGAGCATGTCCATGTCCATGGTTCTGGGAATCTCCATGAGGTACCCTGGGATCCTGAGCCTGATGCTGGCCACTTGCAGCAAAAGGCTGAGGATCTGAGGTTGGATTGGGTGCGTGTCCACTTTGGGTAGAGCTTCCGTCTGCCTCGTCGTCGAAGGTGTGGCTGCAGCGCTTCTGTGGGTTTGTAGTTAGCAGGTAGCCACGCTATTGCGAGCTTCCTTCACTCACTCTCCGCTTCTTGCATGATTCGCACGCGCGGTGGACTCCTGGGGCCGTGTTAGCTAGGATTTCGCCGTGCGCACCGACAGAGTTATGACGCACGCTTGCGCTTCCTGAAGAACTCGTTGTTGGCCGCGAACGTGATCATGGTGGACATTCTGGCGACTTGCTGTGCGTTTACGACGTCCGGCTGGCGGATACCTCGTGTTTACAGTACTTCGACGCGAGCTCGTCGCTCTCACAAGCTCAGGCGAGAGACGGTATATCACGTGGATTTCTCCGCATTTCTCCTCATCTCCGTGTGAGTGAGCTTGTCTGATTGGCTGTATTGATTAGCTTACAAGGATCATGGCTCCAGCAACTCCTTTACAATTGCGAACGCGATGCTCGGCCTGCCTTTCATGGCTGGCTGCGGGGCATAAATTAATCAAAGCGCGTGAGATTCTGGAACATGGCGCTGCCCGTCGACGTCTGGCTGCTTGTTTTCGACAACATTGACGACCTCGACCTGCTCTGGTCCGTCGTCCGCAACGTCTCCCACTTCCTCCGCGGGTGCGTAGAGGAGCATTTTCGCCATGGCGTGCTCCGTACTGCCTTGGTCGACTTGCACTACAGCACCGTGCACTCACACAGCGGGCCTTCCTTCTCGTACCTGCATCTGCCCATGCACTTCTCTCGTCTCTCATCAGACGGGACACGCGCAATCTTTCGGCAGATGGCATACACGCACTACCCCAGGCTCGCAGCTGGGGGCTCCGTTCGCGGATGGGTGCCCTTCGTCGAGCGCTATTGTGAAGAGACACTGAAGTCCATGCCCGTGGTGCTACACAAGAGGAGCAGCACGAAAGCGCCCCCGCTGTGGGAGCAAGAGCACTTCGACCTGCGCAACACGCTGGCTGGCGAAGACAAGACATCCTATCTCAGTGAACTACGTGATCACACCAGCATTGGGCGAGGCTATCGACCACCCTACTACATCAAGATCTCCGAGCACATCAACGATACGGAGCTTGTCAGCCTAGAAATCGACTGCGAGGCGCGCGAGATTTCCTTTGAATGGCGACGTACATTCTCCGCCTTCTTCCAGGAGCGGCATTTCATTGCGCTCTCTGGCAAGAACATGGGCAAGAAGCGTGCATACGATGACGATGTGAGCCTCGCTGCTGCAAGACTAGGCTACGACTTGGCGAAACAGTCGAATGTAGCCGCATACGATGCCAGACGCGCACGCAGGAAGCGTCTGCAGCCCTGGGTAGTTAAGAACAAACACCGCATGACGCCAGACCATCGGTGGAAGATTGAGAATGCAGTGGAGTGCGAGAAATTTCACGTCAAGCATAACATGCATCGAGGAAACTTGCGTGAACTCAAGCCTGAAGAGCTGGTCTGTGAGGAGTTGGTCCCTGAAAGATGCGCTGACGATCTTCCCTATCTATTGATGTGGCCCTGGGGCGGCGAAGACACTTTCTTTACTCCTAGAAAGCCGGTGGAATGCAGTCCAAGTTGTTGTACTGTTCTTTGAATGGGCTATGCGCATACCGTCGCACTCTTATCTTCTCGGCTTTATACCCTGTCTGTTTCCATTCAACTGGCTATCATTTGTAAGGTTTTATACCGTCGCGTTGCACAAACACCCTTCAAATCTCATGATTCACGAACGATGACTACAAGTCCGTACTTCTATCTAAAGCAGAATAATAACCAACATCTGTTTCCAACTCGACAAGCAATTCCCACAATTTCAGGGTACCCTCCGAATCAATCGAGCCCTCCTTCCCATCTTGTGCCCACCCCATCCCTCAGTCAGCACCACCCTCTCTCCTCATCCGCTCCCTAACCTCCTCCAACGCCCTTCCTAACAAATTCTGCCCCCACCGTTCCCGATTCACACCCGCATCCCTCTCGCCAAACCCCACGCCCCAAACGCGATCCAACGGACTGGCCTCTACCAGCTCCCGCTCCCCAGTCGCAAGCAGCAAGCCCTGCAGCCGCTGCGCGTCCCTGCTCTTAGTAAACTTGTAATAGTTCCCCTCCGTCACAATACGCAATTTATCTGTTCCGAGAAAGGATCAGCTCGTCGTCTTAAGAACATGCGTCACGCGACGCAACATGACGTGACGAAGATAGGAATGGGTGCAAGAAAGAGAGGAGAGGAGAGGAGAGGAGACAACGCACGCTCATCCCACACCCCCTCACTGAACCCCCTCACACTACGGCCCAGCGCTTTATGCTCCCTCGGATTGGTGGTAGCGAGCATTTTCTTCGCGATTGCTTCGTCGCCAAAGAGCCGGGCTTTTTGCACCATCATCCACATTTCAGCCGTTGCGTACGTGTCGCCTTCATGCGTGAAGGCGCCGCGGTACCATTGGCCCAGGTAACCATTGGCGTCTTGCGGGCGCCAGAAGTAGACTGGTTGGGGTTGGGACGAGGCGTTGGAGGAAGAAGGATGGGGGATGGTTGATACGGGCATGGTTATCGGTTGAGATTGTGGAGTGGAAGGTTGTGCGTGGTGTGGTTTCAGTGTCTGTCGAAAAATATATAAGTTGTAGATTTTGAATAGGAGGGGTTTTCTCTTTTATACAGCGTTCTTTCTGTGTGACTCGACGTTCCGGTGGGATCTTGGAAGGTATGTATACTAGTTGAGGTGCAGTACCATGGATTGAAGGAAGTTGCGCCCTTTTACAATGTTTTGGTTTCCTCGTTCATTTCCATACGGAAGGAAAGTTAAAGGACTAAGAATTAACTGGTGTGCGGAAAACAAACTGGATTGGTCATAGATCCCAATTACGAAAGCGCAACCGGAGCTGAACAAGGGCGTCGCAACAGATCGCCTCCGCCCTTTCTATGGACAGGCGGAGTCTGCTTTCTGAGGCGCAAAAGCTCAGTAAGACATGCACACCCCAAAAGGGGAACAGGGGAATGACAATTCCTATTAATGCGGCTATGAGTTGTCATATTAAAGACGGTCCAAGATTCTTTGCTAACGCTAGATAGAAATGATTAGGGTATGCGACAGACCTCCCGCTTCTCTCGTTCTCAAATACAGTAGAACGCAATAAGATCCTCCAGGAGAATGCACCACCAAGATCCTTCAAGCAAACAAGACTATGTAAATCGTCTCTTTGTACACCAAAAATTGTACAAAAGAATGATAGTATTGAGAATTTAGAAGCTTGATGATTAGACCATGCCTTCAATGCCCTGCGAAAGTCGCTGTTCCATGGCCTTGATCAGCACAGGTGGCACGGCCTCGTCGGTAGCGCGTATCGTAATGCGATACATCTGTCAATCGTTAGTTCTCTGCATACGCATCACAACACTTGTAACATACCTGAGTATCGAAGTTGGGCTCCAATCTCATCAAGCATCCGAACTTGCCACCCTCACTTGTATGCAACACCGTTGCACCGACGATGTTCTTCGCATTCGGGTCGACTCCACTGACAATACCCCACTTGAAACCCTGCACTACCTTCCGTACAAATTCTGTATTCATTGTCCGGTTCTTGCTGACGAGACCAAAAATAGCTTGGGCTTCACGTGGAGCACCGCCGATTTGCTTCCATCGCTTGAAAAAGTCTTCTGCGCTCAGCTCGGCACCTTCCATGTACTTGTGCAGCAGCACAGGAAGTTGGAGTGTGAGACCCTGCAGAGCTCCAGCCAGATAGGATATACGAATAGTTGGTGCTTCCGTGAAAACGTTTTTACATTCGAACATGATTGTTTGCTGGGTCTGGCCTTGGGGTGCGATGGTCGTGTCAGGCAGGCCCTTGATGTCTGATTTCAGGTTCTCCGCGGATCTGTTGTCGAGTGTTGTTGTAAACGAGCCCATTGGAAACGAAGACCTGTTTGCGAAGTAGAAGATGAGACATCCAAGTTGGCCTCGGTACTCGGTTCGTAGCCCAATCTGTACTTGTTGGTCTTCGTAAAGCACACCCTCTCCGCGAAGCAGTAAGCGATTATACCCGGTCTCCCAATCTGGACTCAGGTGGGCAGCGCTTGCGAGATTTGGAGCCTTCGTGGCCCTGCCCATATCGATGTTCAGATCAAGTCCCGCAAGATCGCTTGAAAGAGAGTTGGCACCATTTGTACCATTTGCTGCGGCAGCTTTGGCGTCTTTCGGTACCGGCTCAGTGAAGCTTCGCTTGAAACCTGCTGTCGAATTTTGTCGGCCGAGACCAAACTCCTTGAGATCTGCGTTCGCGTCTTTACCTCCGACTACCCATGTCCTCTTGTCACTGGTCGTAGCATGCTTCTGATGTAATCGTGATAGCAATGCTGATGTTCTTTCGGGATATGGTGGCATTTCATCGCATACGGTTCGTAACAAATCGTCCGTTGGCATCGTGGCGAGTGTGAGATACTCGCATGCTCTCTGCTGGAGCTCGGAGTCGAGCGAGTGACTGTAGGCGCGGAATGCTTGTAAAAGTTGCGGCTTGATCTCAGGGAACAAGTTAACGAACTTGACGTAACACGATAGCAATATTGCTCTTGTAGTCGATGAACAGCCTCTCATCTTTGCACTCATTGCCATAAACTGCTCGATCGGATTGCAGCCCTTATTGTCGGCGATCAAATGGCCGAATTCTCCGAGCAGATACCCGCCGATCTTCACAAGGGTCTCATGACAATCAGACTTGACGTACTGCAGGATGGTTTGCGCTGCGTACACCTGCAACTCCTCGTTGTTCGTCACAATTTGAATTACTCGTTGCCACACTTCGTCGCTAACGTGATCTCCCGCCATGGCAATCAACCGCAGTGTGATATCGACGTACCACTGAACATCTGTAGCGTACTTCTCGGTCAAAATGGCGATCTTGAGCACCATCTCCTCTCTTATCGCGTAATCTGCAGATTGAAGATACCTCAGCAGCTCGCCTACGATTGCTTGGGCATTGGTAGGATCGCACATGCTGTAAAGGAGGTCCAGTCCCTGCCTTCGCACACTGATGTCCCTATCTCTTAGCGAACCGATAATGATCGTTTGGTGCTTCTTGATAGGATCCAGCGTTTCTGATCGAGCAGCCAGATGTGTCATGGCCTCTAGGCCAAGGTAGCGCACATTGGTCTCCCTGGATGCGATGAATTTGCCTAACCTCTGAGAGATTTGCACCATGAGGTCTTGTTCGGTGTCCAGATGGATTACAAGATTAATTGCTTCGAATAGAACAGCATTTTGAGCATTGTTCTGCTGTACATTCTTTGGCATTTCCAAGGCTGAGTCCATGATCTTTTGCAATGCTTCTCGAATGAGCTTACGGACGTGCGAATCCTCTACTTTTGTTAGTTACATCCAGATGACCAAACTGTTTTGGAGGATTCACTGACCAGGAGGTGGGTAGTACTGGAGTAGCTTGAGAAGCTTCACCAGTATCCAAGGACAAGGTACTTTGTAGTAGTAGTAGCCTTCCGCGCATTCGTTATCCACAACTATCCGCTTCAGCCTGTTAGCAGCCTTGACGTAGCTTCCTTTGTATTGTTCCATGTTGTCCTGAACCAAAGCTGTGACTAACGAAGTGACAGATAGCGCAACGCCCATGTCGGGTTCGTCCATCAGCGATATTATTCGTTCCGCCCACTCATTCTGTACAATGCCAGGGTGTTTTCGATACAGACGCAGCAGCGTCAAAGCTGCCTTCTTCTTCACGAATGCTTTCGATGCCCTGTCCATTCGTCAGTTCGGTCAATTCTACCCTGCGCCGATAAAACTAACGGTGATATGAGGAGTCGGTGAACTTCAGGGCTGAGAGACTCTCCCAGTTCTTTGCCGCCGACATTCGCAATGGCATGTAACGCCAGGCAGTTGTTGAGTTCATTGTGATCCAGCAAGTCTTTCCTAATACTGTTGACAACCAGGTGTAATAGCTCGTGCTCTTCGTGTAAGAACAGGGTGACTGCGAGGTATCCGATCTGCTTTTCCGAGTATTTTGTAGCCGAGATGAGGTTGACTGCTTCAAGATGTCCGAAATCGACGTTCCAACCTAGGATGTATATGTATAGAAGCTGTAGTAATCAGCATTGGCGCTTTGAGCTTGGCTTAGATTTAGGGTACCTTGCAGACGTATTTCTTCTTCTGGTAGCCATTGAGACCGCCATCTGGAAAAGTCCACGTCAGAGTAATTCGAAATTGAAAGAAGTCCAAGTCGTACCCCTGAACTTTTGCCTGCAGCATTCCGTCAGCATTTCGTATCTTCCGCAGACTCAATATAAGGCACCCACCGAATGTTGGCTAACTCCTTGTTGATCCTCTTCTCTTCCAGCTCTCGTGCGCGAGCATTCCTCAGATCCGCAATGAACGACACCAATCCTGTACCAAATCATATAAGCCTTCGTCCAGTATATAGCGTGACTTTCTCATGTACCTCGCATAGCTGGGACATTGCCCGACTGCCCCCGGCTGAATAGCCCTCCTCCTGCACTCGACGCCATTTTCGCAGAGACGGACGTCATGGATGCTGTGAACGGGCGATTCCCGCGTGATAGATGCTCTAGCAGCCTAGAAGTGGTGCGTGTGCGCGATTTCGGATAGGAGGGTGTCGAGGGACTGTCTCGGTGAACAAGCTGTTATGGGGCGTTCGTGATCGCGAAAGGGGTCGGAGGTAGCGGAGCCTAGACGTCAATCACACGGCTATGTGAGACAATACAAGACTGAAGAGAGAGCGGTGATACGAGTAATGAGCAAGCATGCTGCAGGCGGCCGCTGTGCAGCTGTATGCTCGATGCGCGAGGTTGCGGCCTCGTAGTGGAGTTCGACATGGGGGTCGCCAAGACGCCTTTAGCGCTTTCCCTAAACTCCGCAGAGCTCCTTCCTCACCAAGACCACAGACTCATGCCATTCGAGATTGAGTCCTTTACTGTGATTCTTCTTCAAACAGAAGTCATGCTTCTCTCCATCCGCCAGATCTGCACATACGACGCGTCTCGTTAGTCCATAAAGGTGGTGCATGGCCTATACCTCTAGACAGGTAACACAGCAGACATCTGCTCTCCTTCACCGCTGGTCGATGCCTTGCCGAGTTTCCAGCCTCCTAAGTTTGCAACCCTTTCTTTACTGCAGTGGCCAACGGCGAAGAGCTCGAATGGGCTTTGCACCATCCCTCATTCGACACTGACAGGCCGTTAGTGGTGGCGTGCCAGAGAGGTCGTGCGCTCCGTTGGTAGCCATCGAGCTGATGTGCTTAGGGCAGTGAGAAACGCGCCATTGTTTTTTTGTACAACATCCCCCATTTCTTTGTTGTACAGCTTCGAGTCTGAATGCTATGATGGTGTTGATGCCCGCAGTTCATCCAGGTTTCAAACATGTGCCATGGTCGAGCTTAGGGACGGGCCGCCGCCTAGCACTAATCTCGATGGAACCTAGTGATTTATACGGTGGCTGCAAGCCTTGGTATTTGATGCAGCTGTCGGAACAAGTGAGGATTGATTAGGAGGGGCGAGTTGCTGCGCAAGAAAGGTGTCATAAGACTTCGAAAGCATACGCCGGGATTGCTAGTAAAGAAGCTTTTCAAATGACTAGCCTTGAAAATCGTATAATCGGAATGATCCTTGCTTCCTCTGTTTCACGAGACACAACGTCTGGATATTGCTGCAGGCCGACGTGATTGTTATCTTGACAAAGTCTGTTGAAATCCTGGCACAGCTATGGCTTGCAATATCAACCTACGACCAGGTTCTCTACTCTCATAGAAACTAAATTGCATTGACAACATTGAAACAACCATGTAAGGTTTCAAAGCAACTGATCTCTCGACTGCTTTCTGATACTCAACTTAGCTTGCCAATCTTGCAGACACAGCTCAGATGTTGCAACCAACAAAAGATGCGCATGTTATTCATCAATATGAGACAGCTTCGCGTCGATACAACACAGCCTTGGTAGTTTTACAGTCTTGAGGTTTTGCTATTCCAAACCTCGCTGGCACTATTGAATAAATCTGCTCATGTCATAGTTTGCGATGTACCGCATGTTTAGAAAGTGATAGAAGCGGTAATCAACTACTTCTGCAAGCAAACGACATGTTGTCAAACTACGGCATGCTTGACCGACAAAGGCTCCACCTCACACCACGCTCAACCAACCATCACTTCCCTATTCAAAGCATCAAACAACCCTTCAAATTCTCAGCAAATAGTAATCCTTCCAATTGCTGTGAATCAGCAAGTGGCAAGCCCAGCCTCACCGTGTCCGAGAACTGGTGACACAGCGTAATCACAAGCGTTCTGATTGGTCAGTCACTAAAACCACGTGATACGTTCGAGGCATGAGAGACTACGTAGTCATCCAAGAGAGGAAGTGAGAGAAGGTATAAAGATCAAGCGTGTGACTGTCTATATATCTCAGTCCAAACAACCAAACCAGTCAACTTTCCAACACCACCATCAGTTCACTTCCCCGAACCAACCAACCCTTTCAACTCTACCACCAAATCACCAACCATCAACATGGCCTGCTGCGGACGTAACAACGGCGAATGTGTATGCGCCAAGGAGGCAACCTGCTCCTGCGGAAAGCAGCCTGCTCTTCAATGCAGTATGCCCCCCCTCTTCCTCCACCCCGCCTCCACTGGTCCGTTCGATACACCGCGCCTTCACATACAATACATGACATACATCCACTAACATGTTCCAGCTTGCGACAAGGCCGTCTCCGAGAACAAGCTCCCCACGAGCACATGTGCGTGCGGAAAGAGGGCTGAGGGTAAGTCGTCTCCGTTGTCCGGTTGTGTGGGTTAGTGGTGGTTAATCGATTAATGTGTAGATTCGTGCACTTGCGGCAAGGGTAGCTCGAATTCCGAGTCGGCGCTCGAGACGGACTTCACGACGAAGAAATAGGTTCTCCTGAGAGGATGTGATGGGAGGAACGATGGAGAGGATCTACATTGGGAGGTGTTTTGGCGTTCTTCTACGGTTCTTGGGGCGAGGGACGGCGTGGAAGCTGGAATCTGGCCATAGGCATGCAGTATGAAGCAAGAAAAATATTTTGACAATCGTCGGCTTGGTGGTGATGCTATGTGATCTTCCAGACTGTTATCATTGCCTTATGATATTGTGTTTCTGATGTGAGTGTATCGAGTCATCTTCGAACCTTGAGGCAGCGATATGTTGTGTGTATTGAAAGACCGTATATTCATAAAACTTTGCTCCGACCAGATTGCCTCACAATCATGGGGCTTATGTCATGAGTTTACCCAGTTCGTTTTGGAGAGTGGCGACATCGTTCCTAAGCGTGTTGTCCGTCTCATCGCCCTGTACCTCTGTCAGCAACCATTAAACATGTATCAAGACATTGAATTTACCCAGTTATTCTGCAACGCTTGTAGCAAAACAATCGCATTCTGATAGTCTCTCCCACCCGTCGATTCCTGCTGCTCGATCCCTCCATCCTTTCCATTGGCAAAATCTTTGATAGCGTCTAGTAACCCGTCGTCTTCCTTGAACTCTTCAATGACACGAGCAGCACCCTCAGCCGACTGCGCCATAAGTCCAAGACCAAGCAGTCCTTCGGATCTCGCATCGGCGTAGAAGCGTTGGCGCACGAGTCTGGCTACCGGCCGAGCAATCAATGGCACTTTGAACATCTGTCGCCTCACTGCATCGACATCCTCTTCTGCACCTGCCCGACCAAGATACCGCAACATTGTCACTATCGTCCGCCCGAGCTCGATCATGGAATTCTTCATCGCGGTGCTGGGTAGAGGCGCGGAGGGAGCGAGCGCCTGTGTAGCGATACAGTCCAAGATTGTCGGCTCGGTGGAAGTCCCAATGCCGGCTACTTGAGGTGTATCTACTGTGACGATCTCTCCGCCCTTCTCATATACGACTTTCATGATGTTATGGAAGTTATTTGTGACGAGTTTGCAAAGCATAGCTGCTGCTTCGCCGCGAACGGCAGGGTCAGTGTTTAGAAGTAGACGGTTGCATACTTGGAGAAGGCCTGCGTCACCCAGGATCTCTCGGTTGGCCTCTGGGAATGTGAGATGGCGCATGAATCCTGCTGCGGCGAACAGAAGAGCTGATTCCTTGCTTGATGAGAGTATGTCGCCCAAGGTAACATGAAGTTGCATTATGTTAACCATATCGATGCAGACCTCGTCTGACATTGCAAGGTTGCCAAGTATGACGCATGTGCAGACAGTGGATGGGGAATTTGCTTGGGTCCGTAGCCTGGCTCTGATCTGCTCGACGACTGGACTTCGGACGTTGAAATCTTGCGCAAAGGCGTCTGTAGCTGAGATGGCGGATATCGAAGCAATCAACTGAGACAGCAGGAGAACATTTGTCTCGTCCGAGGAAATCTTCTCTTCCTTTTTCGAAATAGCCAGTTCCTGGAAAACGGCTGCAATCTCTTCAGACGTGAGTCGAGCCTCAAAATCCAACATGAGCACAACGAGGCCGTCAAGCAATTCGGGCGTTGCTATCAGTTGCTGAAATTCCTGATCCTGCAGATAATGTACCAGTATTGCAACGTACTCATGGTAATGATCTTCATCATACTGGAGAGTGACCTTCAAGACACTAGCGAAAACCTTCAGCGAGCTACCGTCTTTCATCTGAACAGCAGTGAGCTTCTCGGTAGTCCAGTTCAGTAGATCCGTAGCATAGTCGAGAGCTCCTTCGGGAACCTTGCCAGCGACAAGGAGGCCGGAAATATGTACATCCAGTCTTAGAGCTGCTGCCCCCGCTTTTGCAGGATCTATCCGTGTGAGCAGTCACGTTTATTCCAGGGTAGTTATGGGCATACCGAAATCGTTGCAGAGATTGAACAGTACTACCAAGGCAATAGGCACAAGTTCCTCCAGCTTAGCCTGAGTAAGGAACTCGACGAGCGTCAGCATGTGCCTGATAACGATCTCACGGCTCGCATCTTGAGCAACGGTCAATCTTTGTGTGATCACGGCAGAGGTGAGACATAGGTACCATTGTCAGCGACGCAGTTACCAACGACTCTGAGGTATTGTTTTTGTAACGAAAGAGGAGCGTTGTGCTGATCCAAACGTTTCAAAACAGACTCGAGGATGCCGAGTTCTCTGAACGGCGTTTGCCAGGTCTCTACAGTTTATCAGCTCAATTGATACTTTGCTATAGTCAGGATCTCTTACTTTGTTTGCCAACAGCAGTTCCTAGGGCCTGAGCTACTTTTTCGAGAACCCCAAAATTTTCATCTTCCTCTAGTTTTTCGAGCTGTTGAAGTAGGTCACCAAGAGCCGTGTTCTCGTCGTCGGGTCCATGCTCAAGCAGAAGTTCTACCGAGTCAATGAACTCTGGCGAATCGCTAGGAAATGACGCCATATCGAACAAGTCGAAAAAGAACAGTTATATCTGCTAAAACAAGCAAGCATTCAAATGCTCATTGTAATGCTGATGTCTTCTGAGTTTGAGAGCAAAGCCTGTCGAATGAGACTACTTTCTTGATCTGATCTGAGCTTGTTTGAGCCTATTTGAATTTGGGGGGACTGATCTAGATCACGTAAGTTGGAAAGTGTTGAATGCTTCTGTGAGTGTTTGTCTTCGACTTGACTTTGCCTTGGCGCACTAGCTCTCACGTGTCAATTTCAGGGGACGCGCGATCTGGCTCCCCAACATTAGCATCTCGACGACGAGTACTACGAGCTCTCAATTCCCCTCACCCGATACCCTCCTTTCAGCTCGAATTTCAACACACCGCAAACATGACGCGTGCCCAACAAACAATCAGCATTGCGCTGCTCCTGACCTCTGTATGCGCAACACCCCCTCTTTCAAGATTATCGACTAACACCTGCCAGCTCTACCTCGCCGTGTTCACGCATCTTATCCCTGTCCCCGAGAAGATCCAGACGGAAATCGTCCCTGTGGTATGCCTCTCACGCCTCTCAAAGATCCTCTACATCCCTGAGAAACCTCCCTCGAGAGCCCATGCTAAATATATGATAGATCCCCTTCTGGGCACTCATTTCTTTCGGCGCATACCTCCTTTTCAAGCTCGGCTGGGGGGTCTTCACGTTCAACGATGTACCTGAGGCGCACAAGGAGTTGATGCAGCAGATATCGCAGGCAAGGGTGGAACTACAGGCCATGGGCGTAGATGTTGGTCAAGACTAGATCGGATAATGGGAGATGGAGGTATAATGGACATTGCATTGGGAACTAGAAGGCATTCTAGGTGAAGGATATGGGTAGCATGGTCAATGCTATTGCTGCGTTTGTGGTACTCAGTAATCGACGTCCAAATCGCACAGGCTTAGTTGCTTTGGCGAGTCTGAAACCGGCAAGACACTTGCAACTCTTCAGCTACAACGATATTTGCATCTGAGTGCTGAGGGGTATTCAAGTGCTACACCTCAAACCGTAGTCGCCTGCGCCGCCTTATGTCGCTGTTTCAACTTCTTCTCCGTCTTCATAAACTCTCTGATGCCCACTGGCACATCCTCAAATAGATCCCTTGTCTCTTCGCCCCAATTCGTCTCACTCCCACCGCCATCATCATCCATGCTTACAGCAACAAGATTCGGCGCGCCTTTTTCTGCCACTTCCTCGCCATTCTTCCTCCTCGCTTGCATTGCAACTCTCGCCTTCGTACTCTTCTCCGCCCACTCCTCCATCTCATCGCGATACATATCCCACACGCAGTTCACGCACCCAGACATGCAGCAGTTATCCGGCTCCGAGGGTTTGGGAGGGACTATTATGCCAGCAATATTGTGCGATGCTGCGTCGATTGCCTTTCTGCGCTCACGAACGCCAGGCTTCGAGCCGAAGACCAGCCGTTGCTTTGCAAGTATCTCTTCTTTTTGAGCCAAAGCTCTTGCTTCTTCAAGTGATGATTCGGGGACGGTGTTGGTTTGAGTTCGTGGTGTTATCTTCTTGCGCATTTCTAGTCTTTGTCAGTTGCTTTGTAGGGATCATAGATATGGTGTGGGGTTCTGACCTGCGTAAAAACCGGCTATAGGATGGGCTTGTCCGCCATCTGGTGCAATGTACCCTTTATGGCGTCGCTGTATCCGGTTGCTGTTTTGTAGTCCCATTGTTTTTGAGGTGTTTGATATACATGTCTTGCTCCATGGTTTGATGCTCGAGGCGCGAAGGTTCGGGCGCAATGCCAGCGGTCGAGCGGAATGGATGAGTCGTTCCATGATGGCGATAAAATGAATATGCAGCGTAGGTATTCACTGATCAAGATTACTTCGCCACATCATATTTGAGGTTGTCAAGGTTGTCAAATACGCAGCGGCTTGAATCAATCGATGAATGGCGGAGAGACGTCATTTTGCGCCGGACTCCCGAGGTCGGCAATTCGACACCGACAGGGTTGAGCGCTCGAGAACGCGCTTCGACGCGTCGACACCTACCACACAACAACTTGGTATCTACCCCACCACCATATTGCTACCTGATTTGACGCGCCCTACTATCTCGTCGACCTTATACCTCGGTATCAAATTGTCAACACCATGGACGAGCCAACACCTAAACGCCGAAGGACCAATTCACCAGACGAGAGAGCACCAAATTCACTGAGGAAGCCACCAAGACGACCTTCGTTTGCGTCGCCGACTAAATCCAGTCTGGCGCGCAATTACCCAAATCTATTGCCATCACGGCCTGCTTCTGGCCGGGACGGATTGCAAGAGACACAGACGGATGCGCCTGAAGAGGAGGATACAGAGCTACCATCGGCACAGCCACGAAATGAGCAGGATGTGCCTCGTCGCGGCATACTCTTTTCTTCGCCGAGCAGGAAGCCACCCCGGATAAAGGGTGTGGCTAAAGAATTGCCTCCAATACCAAAAGCACCGCCAGTCGAAAGCTCGTACCTTGGAGGTACTTCGGAGAATAACGACGTCGTCGATGCGACGCAACAAGACATACAGCCTCTGGATCCAGAAATCGAGAAGAGAAAACAGGAGAAGGCGCGACTTCAGCGCGAAATGGAAGATCTGGAAGCCCAGGTGTCGAGATGCACAGAGGAGATTGTGAAAGAGCAGCAACGAACCCCAGAACAGCAGTTTCGACATGCTGAGCGGACTGACCTGATGTGAGTTGCAGTGACAAGATCTGTACCACGTTTTAAGCGGAGACTGACCCTGCGATAGCGATTTTATTGGAAAGATATATGGCACAGATGCAGAGGAGAAGCAACCTCCGCTGATATCAAGCCTTCTCTGCTCATTCCTGCCATTCTCAGGCTTAGCTGTATTGCCACCCCGACGAAAACAACCTGACAGCCCCATCCCCTCCCATCGACCTATCGAACTCGCAGACCCCTTGCCTTACCTCGAGATGTTCACCTCTTTCAAATTCTCTACCCAACTCAGCCTACCACGCGGGAAAGTCTTTCCTTCATCGAACCGCGTCCATCAAAAGCACACAATCGATATTGTCGGGCCCCAGAAACTCCTCACAGTACAGCTCTCAATCATCATCGACGCAATGGCGAACGAGATCATCGACATGCAAATCCTACATCTATCTTCGTGGGCTGAGCGCGAACTCGGCACGTTCTTGCGCCAGAAAGCGAAAGAGAAGGACCTCGGCAACGCATGCTGGGCAATTGATTCGTACTGGGAAATCGCGACGAAACGCGCACAATACTGGCATAAGTGCGAGGCATCGTTTTCACACCTGATTGCTGGGCATACAGATGAGGATACGGAGAATACACGCCCTCAAGTAAAGGCGAACCAGACCATTTCACGCAAAGATCTGAACCGCCATCTAGGGCGAGACACGCTCGTCTTGCAAGACAAACATGTGCTCTTGAAGATCAACTGGCGTATCAGTTTTGACTGGACAGGCGAGGCGGAGTCGGAAGTCAGCGTCGAGCCGGCTTTTCCTCGAGTCTGTAAGTATATGTCTAAGTCTGCAATATATCAGTGGCTAACTAGTCATCTTAGGGTCTGAGGGCGATGCCGCGAATGCCTTCAAGAAGATTCCCGAGACATTTATATCACTTCTGCAAACTAGAGGTGCATATGAAGCCACTAGAGTGATGACTGCGTTGCTGTTCCCCCAGTAGAGGATGGGCTACTGTTTGTTGTTTGCGTATAGCGTGCTTTCAAGATACCATTATAAATCGCGAAGTTTTCGCGTTCTGGAAACGCAATGTCAAATTATTTGTCCAGTCAATCAGTATGGGCATGAGATGTAAAGAGTCTATAAGACCTTATAGCTCCCAGCAACCATTACTGCCATATACTCACACCTGGTGTTTACTCTGAACATCCACGTTTCATGCATGTCCACGATACAGATGACTCCCACAAAGCTCACTGAAGTGTTTCTATGCTCCGTACTTAGATACTCACAGCGGCCGACAAAAAATCAACCAACTTCGACTCTTTCAAGCTTGAAAGGCCCAACGTCAATTGGAGTGAGCTTAGTTAATAGCTTCTCGACGTATTAGTATCTAACTTTCACTTATCTATTACCATTGGCGTACACATTGTCCTTCAGAGATTGCAAAGTACCTTCATGAACAGAACCTCAACTTTGTCGTCTCTTGACGAAATATGACGAAGAAAAAGCAAAAGAGAAAAAGCAGTAAGTGTAACTGTTAGTTTCACATTTGAAAACATTTACCATCACAGTCCCTGCCTATCCTATCTTTCGACAACTTCAGGCCCTTCCAGAGCCGCAAGGATTGCGTGGGGCGAAGAAGCGGTGAGAAGTGCGAAGTGGCAGTGGACTCGAGATTGTAAAGCAAAAGAGACTGGTATCTATCAACATCCCAGGATAATATTGCATATACGCGCGTTGTGTATGTAGCATAGTCATGAACCCTGGTTTGAGCACATGTCGCGAGTATGCCGCTCGGAAAGTGGAGGGTAGTGGGTTGACGAAGTACTTTGAGCCGCGAACGCCGCACTGAAAGAAATATGTCGTGTTTACTCACAATACCGGTTGAGTTGATCCGATAATCAACGATAGCGTTGTCTTCTATGTAGTACCGTCTACAAGTCCGTTGACTGAGAGCCACTTGATGATTAAGCTCGCATGGCAACAACGCGCAGGAGACAAGCTATCCTGCCGTGAAGCCATGGACGAATAACGCAGCCTCTACTAGTCCGAAGGACTCGAGGACCCGCAGACCCATTCGTTTCGAATCCTCCGACGCCCATACTAGTGTTGTGACACAAGGACTCGAAAATGGTTGTACAGATACGGAAGCCTACAGCGACAGCGATGCTTAACCGCTAGCCTGAAGAATTTAGGTCAAGCGGCGGATTGATTGTGCCTGACGGTTTGCAACAGCTGCAAACGAAGATATCCTGGGATGATCCTGGTGGTACGATCGGAGGCCAGTCGTTTGCTTTGGCTTCGGATAGCCGCGTAATCGAACTAACTCCACGCGTCGTGTGCGTTCTTGTGCCTTGTGGAGTAAGTAAGCTAGCAAACGGCCGTCTACAAAGCACCAAAACGAGTCGTCAGAAGCTTATGCTGAGTTATCGTGGTTCAACACGCTATTGATACTGACTCAATATTATTGCGCAACTCACATGGGCAAATTTCGGGTTGCTGCAGCTGAGAAGCCCCTCTCAAAGCGATGCATAGCTCTTTCTCCACCCCGAACTGAGTCAACTCAGAGCTCTGGAAGCGGCTGCAAGGTGACTGCAGGTTCCCATGACCAGAAAGGTTCGTATACGACATAACTAGGCATCTCTTTGCGGGTACGCGTGATTCCGAGAGGCTCGGCTCGGGAATGCATCCTGATTTTAGGCATCAACGTGAGTGGAGTTTGGTGGCGTGTGTGACGATAATGCCCTTCTGGAGGATTGGGCGTGACAGTGAAAACGACAAGTCGTTTCAATAGGAGAATCTCGGAGGAACTCGAATATCGCAGCTGGCCCGGAGCTTAGAGGTCTGGAATGATGTGCATAGAATTCCTTCGCTATCAAATGCTGTACGCTTCTGAGGGTCATGCGTTTCCGCAAGTGTGACGAGCACCGGTTTCAAAAGTCTATACACGATGGGTGACGACTTACAAGAGACAACATGTGATATTGACCATGTTGAATTGGCTGCGCTCGGCCATAATGGATTGCCAAGCAGTGTTGTACCTGTCGGGCCGTTGATTATACGCGGAGTACATGGGCACTCGACAGTGAAAGAAGTGTCGGAGTTGACCAGTTTCTTGCTCAGTTAACACAGTAACCAACCTTCGTCAGTCTCACGCTTGTCTCCTTGCACAGATACCTGTGAATGAGTCGTCATGTGCGTCTTTCTAAAACAGAAATGGTGACCCAAGTGGGCTGTCACGCAGGTCTAACCGGTCAAACTCGGATCGGTAGCACGGCTACGGGAGACTGCTGGAGCACATTTAATAGAGTGCGGGAAACGCGTCGTCATGTCAAACAGGTGGCGAGTGTAGCAAACTAGTTTGAGGTGATACCATCGGAGAGCGCGGTGCAGCAGCATCAGGCGGCAGTCTGCAGCAACACCAATCCAGAAGGTCGCTGTGTAACTTGTAACGACTGTCGAACCCTATGAGGGTGTAAATATACCATGTTGAAGGTTCGAGCCTAGCACATATTGACAGTTGGCGCATGTCGTGCCGTGTGGGGGAATACTGTGCAAGAACTGAGCAACGATCTGAGGATGCTGTGTAAACATGGCTGGGAAAGCGATGTGCTACTATGTGGAATCGTTTAACCGCATCACAAAGGAATATGCATTTCGGCAGGAGAAGTGTGCAGATACCTAAACCCGCAAACCTCAAACCAAGCGGTGATTGACGCGTGCAAAAGGTCCCGTTTTTATCTTCGACCCGCATGTCTTCGATACATGAGCAACTGGTTCATGGTTGACATGACCAAACTTAAATTTCATCTAGGCCGCCGATAAACAAAGGAAGAAGAAGCTGGGGTCGTTCGTCGCGCGACACGATGCGATTTGACAGGCGAATTCTGTGGTTCTCTACGGCAAGACTTGTTTTGTAGGCTCAAAGCTATATTCAGTGTTAGTGCGAATAGAGACCCGACAACTATTTTGTCTGAAACGCTTCGTCTTTTGCCTAGCAAACATGCTCAGGACGTTGGACGTGACTCGGGACTGATCAGGAAACCACACCAACATTCAGGGGTTTGAAAGAAGGGCACGAGCACTGCACAAGCTACGGTCCATGAGGCTGGACACCGGTTAACAAACCCGAATAGAGAGACATGTGCAAGAAGCATCATTTGGAGCTGTTACACAGGCATACAAGCCACAAAGCTTACAGTGCAGGATGTGCTCTGTGCTCCTTACATAGGATTGTCGTCACCCAAAACAGTAATCCCTATTCGGACATCGATATTCCGTCTGCAACTCGCCATGCTTACGGGCCTGACGAAGGATATCTTTGCCTTGTGATGATCATGCGAGGTCCAGCTGGGACCACGTCATTAAATGAATATGCAACTTGTGGCTCCGTGGCGTCCGACAAAACAACTCTTGGGTGACGGAAGGACGCGAAATCCTACATGTCGGTTACTTGCAGGAACAAGAGGCTGCATAGTCGGTCTATCACATGGATGTGTCGTGTACTGACAGCTTCCCGTAAGACGAAGAACAAAGGAGCCGTTACAAGAAAGTCAGGGTATCAATCTACGCCTTGTGGTGTCTGGATGAGCTGATGGCAGGACACGTTGATCGTACCGTATGGCTAGGTTGACCCATCTGGTTACGGAACTTGCATTTCCTGATTCACCGACCGATCAGCTCAGAAAATGAAGGAGATCATGTACCAACAAGATACACAGAAACACGTCGTATAAGGTGACGATGGCCAAGGCACACTGAGCACGCTGAGGACAATGAATCAGATTAAGCTCACCAACCCGTGAGTGGAACGCACCCGCGTTCTTGGATACGATGATGCAGGACGACGGGCTGTGAGGGATTTCTTTGACCAGTGCGGGCAACGGTGGGAAGGATTGCGCAAATCCGTTGGTGTGTAGACTTGGCAAAGGGGTAAGCTCGGTCGCATTATGGATCAACAGCACACAACACCATCAGGCGTTTTTCCGGTCATACGGTAATTATGCGCATTCTCTCATTCGCGAAGGCGCGCGGTCCGAGGACGTTACTTTTTGCAAGGGATCAGATGACTGGCGGCCGGAAAAGAAATTCCCTGTAACGGTTGGTCTTGGCCGGTGCGGGATCGAGATTACGGTGACGCCTTCCTGCAGCTCTGTGTGCTTTTTGCAGTTTTTACTACGCCTTGGAGGTCAGGTTTAGCCGACGCGAAGCGAAAGGACGTTTGGTGATTGACTGGGATTCCAGCTTCAGCCCCAGCCCCAGCCTACCAGCTGACCGACGTTGAAGCGAGAGTACCTTCTCATCAGGAGCGTTGAGTGGCTGAGACATGATACAGTTGCCTATTGATAATCTTGTTGGTATGCCTCCAACACGAGTAGTGATCCTGCAGGACTACATTGCGGGACCACCATAGGTGGCAGGACTCGGAAGATCGCTTTGCAGGACTAAAAGTGCTACACCACCTTGAACGTCCCAACCTCCGCTTAGTCTTGCATACTGTGTATGCGAAGTTGTAGAGGTTGTCGCGGCGCCCTCCCAACACCCAACAAAATCGCTTATGAGCAGAAACGCGAACCTAAACATGGAAGTTCTGATCGTGCGTCTATCCACCATGTTCCAGACGCCTGCCTACATCCGCTATCCGTCATCCTCCAGATGCGAGGCCCTACATATATTGGTCTTTGCATGTGAACTTAACCTTATAGAAGCTAGCCTGGGTGTAACGTGTAATGCCGGCAGAGGCAGAGTTCTGCGTAGGCAACTTACTGCACGCTCTACTCTCCGCGTGCATATAGACGTGCAGATATCGGGGCTTAGAGGATCGTGCTATTTGCTGATGCGCATGGGCTTACTGCATGTATCATAACAGATCACGGTGCGGGTGCATGTCGATAATCCAAGCCATGCAGGCTTGGAGGGAAGACGCGTGCTATGGTTGGATGGCAGTCACTTGCTTGTCCAAGTGCGAGCATGTTTTCGGACGGTCGCGCGAGCGTGGCCGGGATATGGCAGCTCGATGCAGATCTGTGTGTTGTGCCACCACGCGTGTCCCCATGGGGGTTGGTGGCCTAGGATGCGATTCAGTGTTGATTGTCTTGTGGAAGGCGTGAAGATAAGATCAGGGCGGCTGGGAAATTGATCACAGGACCAGGTTGGGACTAGAACAATGTGGCTGTGTTTTGACTGCCTGCAACGAAAGTTGCAGCGCCTGTTTTTGCTTTCATTTGGTTTTGGGCTTTGCTCTGAAGCAAGTGCCGCCGTCCATCTTCCGGGACATACTACAGTACAGTAGTGAGCTAATGCTCTGGTATCTATTCAAAAAACAACGACCGTAAACGACAATGGGCCTCTTCTGGTCCAAGTCTCAATGCTATGACGACTCCGTGTAAATGCTTGACAGTCCCAACTCCATCTGCGGGTAACACCGTAAAACAAAAAATTGTAAGAAAGAATAAATCGACCCGACGACGAAAAACACCGGTGGATAAAGCAATTCTAGGTCCAACCAGTTGAAGTCCTGAACCGTCTATTTTGTAACGCCAGAAATTTCTGATCCGTACCAACACCGTGCGGGAAAACACCAGTATCATGTCGTCATGACTTTTGAAATGTTGGTAAAAAATATGAACACATCGAAGAAGGATAGCTGAATACGACCTTTGGTCGTGGAATCGTGACAAAGGAAACGGTTTTAATAGACACGAACCGGACCGGCCATCATCGACGGCTGGAAGGACACGTGCTTGACCAGATTGGCTGCCTGGATAAAGGGTTGGAACCACGTATTTGCCGGAGGCGGTGGAGAAACGTATGTTGACTGAGGAACTCGGGCAGCAAACTTGATACCCTGAGGGGAAACGTTCTGGTACGACGAGTTCGAAGAAACGGACGAGGCTGATGAGCAAGAAGAGAAGATCGAGTCGTTGTCGGAGTTGGAGCTTCCAGAAGACGTGGAGTATCGAGGATAAGGAAGCTGGTAAGCAGGCGGAGAGTACACTGGACCAGAGAGGGGAGTAACGAAAGGTACCGGAGGAGGCTGGTAGCATCCCTGGAAAGCAGCATCCCGGGAATAATCCACTGGGTGGGAGGGGGGAGAGGGAAGTGGTGTGCATACTGCAGATTTGGTAGCTGTGAAAGTTGAGCACTGGAGGATCATCTCTCGGAGCTCGGGAATTGTGATCCTCTTGGCTGGGTTGAACTCGAAAATTCGTCTCAGGATGGCGTCCAATTCCAGGGAGATGGGAAGAATGGACCTGAGAAACTTGGGATCCTTCATGAAGGCGCGGAAAGTGCTATCCTCGAATGAAGCTCGCTTCCAGGGGTTACGTCCACAAGTCAAGTTTACCAGAATGACACCCAGGCTCCAGACATCGTTAGGTGCTGAAGCGTAGCAGGAGTATGCTTTTGGTGCTGGTGTTTGACATTCTGTCTAAAGTTAGCATGCACCTCATATTGACTCAGGATGAATGACACATACCTGGTGACATGTAAAAAGTCGAACCGCATCCGAAGTCCGAGCTGACATGATCGGTCGTGGCAAGTCCGAAATCAGCAAGTTTGCAAGTCATGCCCTGGTCAGTGACCAAAACGTTCTCGGGCTTCAAGTCCCGGTGGTAAATTCCAATAGAATGGCAGTACTCCACGGCATCCAGGATCTGGAGAAAGGCTCGCTTGGCAAGAGCTTCATTACCAATGTATTTGCCTTGTTCAGTGATGTTGGAGAAAAGATCACCCTCTGGGCAGTACTCCATGACAACGTATGTGCAATCAGGGGCGTCCATGATTTTGACCAAAGAAACCACATTAGGGTGAGCGCTAGCCTGGTGATGGAGTTGAATCTCTCTCTGTTGGAACTTGCGTTGGCGAGGCTCAAGGCCAAGCTTGTTGAGCGCCTTTACAGCATATGGGATGTTGGTCTGGATGTCCACGGCTGTGTAAACTACTCCATAGGCTCCAACTCCGAGAACGCTGGTCAATGATAGGCGTCCTGCAAGTAGCTGGCCTAATCGATCTTCCGGTGCGCAAAATCCATTTTGGGTTGGGGATGTTGGCGGCGTTGGATACATACTTGGAAGGAAGAGAGAAAGGGTAAGTCCTCGCAGGTCCAGTCAAGGCCTCAAGGACAAAACACAAATGATCCGGGGAGATAAAATAGGCTAGACCGGTTTGGTGTTGACGGACAAAGACCTTTACAGAGCTCTCAAGATGGAAGGGAACAACGTATTATGAGAGCGGATTCCTGATATGATAGTAATCCAAATCCGGAAGTCAAGAGCTTGGGTAGGCTGTAGAGAGGGACAGATAGGATGTTGTGGAAGGAGTGTTGGAAGGGAGGAATAGTGGTTTGATATGACAGAGTGTAGATGGTGTTGTGAAGTGTGAGGCGGGATATGATGTATGTATGTATGTGCACGGCTGGGCACCAGTAATAAAGACTGGCCTTCAAGGGAAGTCCCTGGCAACTATTGGCAGGCTCGAAGCCCCAGTTTTCTGTAAATAGGGAGGGATTGGCCTGGGAGCAGCGCTATGACGAAGAAGGATGGGCCTACAGGCCGCCTGCATCCCATCAGCGATGCATGCCATGGCTCACGGCACGCATACGGGCGCCCGCTAAAACCGTCTGGTTCCACTTCGCGCAGCCACCCCGGCTACTTTGGCGGCGTGGGTCAAACTCGAGCAGGAGGCGAAGGCGAGGATGAGCAGGGGCGGGATGTCGTGTAAGCCGCCTTGTCCACAAGCGTACTAGCAGCGTCCAACAAAGACCTCAGTGCGGTTACCGAACGATCGGAGCCCTGTCCTTGACTCAGTGGATTGATGGGCCACTGTGAGTCCGCAGCTCGTCGGGCGGCTGTGAGCAGCAACGAATCACCAGCCTCCCAGCACACCATGGTGACACACACCCGTCACTGCTCAACCCACACTGTCTGGGGCTCGACGCTCGAATTGCAGCAGCCTCGAGGCTCCAAAGCACTGCAGTCTGCCAGGAAAACTAGCCAGCAATGTGTGGCACGGACATGTTAACCCACCCTCTCCACACTACCCACCCCAATAGCGCTCAGCTGTCCGCAAAATGGACACATTTCGAAGGCAAATCGAAGCAATCCTGCCCAAGCCACGCATTGTACACGAAGACCGGCGGCTGATCGTATTGTGTGGAGTGAGCTGATTCGCCACTTTGGCCCAACCCTCTACCTCACGCGGCCCCTGATCTATCTCAGCGCCTGTCACCGGCCGACAAGACGGGCTTTCAAAAACAACCGTGCATCGCCCCGAAAAGAAGGCTGAAAGGATCAAGTTATGCTGTAGTCGGCTAGCACAACCTTAGCTTCCTGCAAAAGCTTACGACGTCTTTGTAGAGCCAACCAGCGCACGGTCACCGTTCGATAGTGTGCTCGATGGCTCCGACCATGACGAGCGCAGACCCTCTAGGCGTTAATCTGGACAATAACGCTGCTCTCGATGATCTCTGACTCTCATGTCACCAGCAGGCTTTTCATCCCGTCCATGTGAACCCGGTGATATGAGCTCCGAGACAGCCTTGTAGCAACCCGCGATCACGTTTCGGTTTCGTGTTGGTGGAGCTGCACTTTCGGCGCTTCCAAAGATTCTTTGTCCTCCAATTTTGCTCCCGCGCGTGCTGTTGCCTAGGAGCAAGGGCGAGCTCGCCTCGCTCGAACAGTTCCAGCGCCAACGAGCGTTGGCGATATGACACATGGCAGACGAAGCCCGATTGGATTTCGTTCGACGCCTAGAATCTACTGCGGTGGGCTTCGCCCTACGTTTGCACCACGGACTAATTGGATCGGGTGCATTCTGCCTACCATTCATAACTGATTAACTAATCCGTTTGCCGTGGATTGCCAGCAATCTTGCCGTGATTTGTGTGAGATCCGCCAGTGGCGCGGCGTTGCCCTACAAGGGTTCTCGATATATTTCTACGCCTGGCGAATGATGTCGGAAATTGTTTTCACAATCATGCCAATCACCAGTTGAGTTGCGACTGGGGGTCACGTTCCAGCCCTGATCTTGTGACATGGCAAATACTAAGTGGAGCGTGAGCGTTCCACACATACCGGCTCTTCACCCTGGGAGATGCGGTTCATCGTTGCTTCGAAAATGATACTCGCCAGGACGTGTGAACGTTACTCGTATACGACTTGGATATGACTCTGAGGTCATGGCGTGCAGAAATAACCCGTAATATACCCGTTATGAAGATCGTAATACGCCACAATTGTCTCGTCTCTGCAAGGCAAGCCTGTGCGGAAATATGGTGAAGGCCAGGTTGCGACACTTGCTCCATGCAAGCGAGGTTGAGAACCTGCATTTTTTGTTGCTTTTGTCATCCGGCGTAATCCGTGCATAATGCAGATGTCGCCAAGTTCCGCTTCCCGTAGGCTAAAGTCGTGAGCGGGAGTCTGTGGTCCACAAACGGACGATCATTCTTGAGCCGGATTGTTATTAGCATCTTCTGTCACGTTTGCGTAGTGATCATACCACACCATCTGCGTTGGCATGAACGTTTGGGACTTCAGACTCGACATGAGGACGATTCCCAACAGTATGTTCACGATTAGCTCTCGAGTCCCCGTTACAGCGACGAGTGCGTGCGTCCCACAGGTCTTTTACTACTTGGGATCCAACGAATCTTTCTGCTTTCTGTCGGTTTGATATGACCAAAGGTGACACAGCAGACGCAAATCATCCACCTTAGCGAAGCTGATGGACGCTCCCTCTGGACAAACCAAGTCAGCACTTTGTGCGCGATAGCCGGATCTGAACGATAAGTGTCCGCCATCAATGGACTTTGGGCAGTGATGCTTATTGCGTGGATGATTCGGTGTTCTTTCTGTTCACCGCCGATTGCTGAATTGCCAAGCACTTAGTGCATTCGATGGTTGCTGGACGATATGTTATGGATGTGCCCCTCCAAACACTGCCCCGCCCCGCCACCATTATGACATCTCAGCCATCTCAAACTCTGCTCTTCACTCCACAATCCGCGAGTAACAAGTGAGAGGGAGATCAGTCCACTCGAGTGAGTTGCATGGGTGGTGTCTTCCAGCTGACCGACAGAGTTTGCAACGTGGCGTTCTATGAACGAACGCCAGAAGAGACGACGAGGTTGTTCGACAATCTTCTGTAAATCCACAGAAACTCAAGAGCACCACAAGACTGGGATCGAGCAATTCCAGACCCTTTGGGCCATTTCAGATGGCGGATGGTTGGCGAACCACTGTGAACCAATCTCGTCAGTGTTGCGTTGTTGAGCAGCCGTTGCCTTGCCCATACCTTGCAACGTTTCCCCAACTAAACGTACAATCTACCCTAGCAACCAATCATCGCCGCCTTCTAACCAACATACTAACTGTTGTTACTAACCGCCGGCGCACAATGATTCGCCATACTAAATGTAGGCACAGACAATCTACTGGGTAACGGTGTTCCCGCCACCGTTCTTTCACGAGCTGCCGACTTCATAACATGATCTCCAAGCGTGGACATTGCGCAATATACGGTTGCCGCGGAAGGGTTCAGCTCTAAAAAGCCAGCCGCTCTCATCTAGTTGGAACCTATAAGCATCAAGACATATATACCCAGGTTTTGAGGTTGCTAACCATGAGCACACCGTAGGCAGGCATCTTGAAGGGTTTTGCAAACCTGCGACGGTAGCGTCCATGTATTCCAAATAAACTGCTATTGGAAACTCCCTTCGAAGACAGATGGCTTTCCACAATTAACAACTATGTGCATGTGTGCGGTTGCATAAATCTCTTGGTCACAGACGACGGCATATGTAGATATTGATCAATATTTACTTCGCTACGCTAAGCTCTTACTCAGCCCGCGACATCGTAAACAAACTTCGATCGCCAAGAAGGTCTTACAATCGGATCTACTATGTGTTTGGATCTTGGTGGCGGACACAAGCCGCCCCGAATGATTCCCGCATGAACATACACCGGACATGAAGCACTTTCGAGTCTACCCTCAGATCAACAGTGGAAATTTGATCTCCATGGAAATAGTCATGTTCTACTTCCTCACATCGCTCGATTGTATGCACCTCGATTCGCAAATGACTGCTGGAAAGTAACGTTTGACCCACATTTCACAACAACAACAGAATGAGATCTTCATCATCCTTGACTATCCTCATACTCGCGTCTACCCGCTCCGCGCTGTGACATCCCTTAACCTTCGCATCGGTCTCTTGGTTCCGCTTCTCGAAATACCAACCCAAGGTTCAAAGGAGCTACAAAGTTTAATGCGTCACTCTTAAAGTTTCCCGAATACGTCGTCGCAATATTTAGTAAGGGTTATTTGCATACGCTCGTGCAGTAGACCGCAGTGGATCAAAAACTATCGGCAGCACCGGGCCTCTGTAGTCACTAGCCCAAACTATATTGGCTCAGGCTATCGGACCTTCTCCGAACTACGACTTAGGGCCCGCCCCTTTCCGTTCCATCAGATCTTCCTCCGTACCGAGTCTCAGCCCGTAATCGTTCAGCGCGAACTTTTGCGCACGCGTAGAATTGCTTGGTACGATGGACCATCGTATGTGCATCGTGTTGAACTCAGCCCAGTGAACGGAAGAGTTTCCGTGCTCAACCATTATGCAGGGCGCAAATGAGGCGAGATCCGCTGTGATTTACCTTAGCGTTTAAAAAGCACTGCAACGTGTTCGGTTTCTGGTCCAGGAGATATTTCTTCTCTTCGGTTGATGTGTGCTTGAGCCGAGGCGGAATCATGTTGAGACTGAAACTCCTGACTGTTGGGGAGACACGGCAGAAAGAGCAAAATCTTCGGTATCTATCCTTGCTTCTCGTCATGGGTCATTTGCATGAACCGAACTGGCAATGATGGTGATGGTGTGATGATCTCGAGAAAACGGAGAAGATGTACAAAGGTGTTGAGTAACAACTTGTGGTGCAGAGCAACAATAGCCAAGCGTAAACAGTACATACACGTTGCTAGAGCAGACGGAAGATGTCCTTTGATAGCTTCCGACGTCGAATCGTACTTCAAGTCGCAGATCAACAACAGTAATGACCAAAGTACGACAAAACAACAACAGCAATGGTAATGGCTACTTCGTCTATAGATTGGTCGAGTATTTCTTTATCCTCAACGCATAATCCACGAGGTACGTTCTACAACTACCGCTGTGAGGCATCTGTTGCATCCCATCACTAATGCAGAAATTCAGCCAGCATCAGCAACAAGACCAAATAATCCCAACCCCAAGTAAAACACCTAGTCGCTCAAGCATTACCCATGAACAGCTACTCCGCACGGCACTCCGCCATTAACCACCAAGCCCACATCGCAAGGTCTTCCCTGCCCCACCGTCGCGCCTAACCGCGTACTACGTATACATAGCCACGAAACTTATGCAAACCACCGTCCTCCTCATCATGCCCCATAAGCACCAACCTGCACCTGAAACAAGGCGATTTGGTGGCACGGCATAGTAGTAGGAAGCCTTACATCAGCGCCGACGAAGACATGTGTAGCTAGGCGTCCACAACAAGAAGACAGCGTCTACGATGCGCCTCCACCAATACACGACTTATGGTTTAGAAATAGACAGCCGTATCTGCATCCTCAGCTCAACGCAAGCGAGCGATTTTTGATGCGGATCGGTAATGCACATGTGGGGCGTGAACGATGCAGGGCTCACGTAAGAATAGGCGTTTAGTGTAGTGCGATTAAACATACATACGCGCTCTTGACATGTAGGTCACGTTAGGCCAGCCAGAGCGCTTGAGTAGGGCAGAATAGTTGTTTACTCATGGTGCGCGCGTAGGTGCGTAACCGCTGTTGGCATCTGTGCAGATGCGGCGAGGTGCAAAGGACTCGCCCGTATCGTGGGAATTATTCTATGCGAAACGCCAACGTACAACTACACCACCGATCGACATATGACGCCGGGAGAAGTGTGTTTGGACACCGCGGGCTCGGCGAGACGCCGGTGGCAATGGAATGTCGCTGGCTGATTCTCGGATGGAACACTGCCTTGGGCGCCAGAGCCTTATTGCATGGCAGCTATGATTCAACGGGTTTGAGTCTGACATCATGCGGGTTGGTGCTCTCACCGGATGTAGCAATAATTCGTGTCTGATTACCTTGGCAACCTAGAACGTCAGTAGGATGTAGATGATGAAGCCCAACGCAATGGTTTTGTGCGCGTTGGGAGACTACAGAACAATTGGGAAAACTGCTCTTGAATCGTACAAACTTCTACAAGATGACGACTAGGTTGTGTTGCAAGGAAGTGGAAAGGGTATGCTGGGGTACTGGGTCATGAGTTATTGTTGCACCTAGTGCTGTGGGGTTGTCTGAGATGCAGAGGTACTCGTAAGCTCTACCGTACCGTTATCATGCGAAACGTGATACGGTTTCGGGAGCCGGGTGAAAAGCGTACTGGACACTCGCCCTGTGGAGCATATCTGTCCGCGATGATATGTTTAGATTGTGTTTGGGACCCTGGAGTCGGACAGTGGACGCGAGTTGCTGCGTAAGTTGTTGCGTAGTGAAGTCTCTTCCGTTGGGGTAATGGCAAGCATAATCGTTGAGGATATTGGACGATCAATGATATCATTTGAACATTGGCTGTTAGTGATTTGAAGGTCGGATTATAGCGTATGCTTGCAAGCCTTTCGATGACCTCGTCATTAGTACATGTCGTGAGAACCTTCAGTGGATGACTACATCTTTTCGGTGATCATATAGTGACCACTAAACAGGGCGCTTAATCAGATGCGGAAGTTGGTGGAATGGATATCAAGGTCGCTCATACAACTCCAATGATTGCCTGTATAAAAATTAGAGTTTCGAGATTATATATGGAATCCAATACCTTGCTCTAGAGTATGAAATTGACAGTGCTCGTATCCAAGAAAACTGCTGTCCTGTTTCAACAAGAACAATCTTGACAATTGAAAGAACGCAAGATACCATATTCCCAAACCACGGTACCATACCTCTACCCATTCCTCTCTCCTAACACCGCTTCCACCTTCTCAACCAAACCTTGTACCCACCTTGCCACATCATCTTCTTTACTGGCAACCACACAAATCCCTCTAAATGAAACGCATCACTCACATATAACAATAACCTGAACGACCTATGATCTCTGTGTCATTTCTCTCACCTTTCTTTTTAATTTACTTAAGTTCCGCTCACCCCCCCCCAAAAACACCTCTGAACGAACATACGCCTCGATAAATTCAATCTTCGTGTCAATCTCAACCTCATTCTAATAACCATCCCCACCCACCCCCCCCTGATAAACAACATACCCTGCCCACACTTCCCCAGTACTCTGCACCACACCCAAAACCCTCACCGCACACCCTCTCCCAAGTCCCTCAAAAGACCCGCTATATCTCCATTGAACGTCATTCTTCCCGCCAAATTCTCGTGAGGAAGTACCAGATCTAGTCGGTCAACAAATTGCTACTTGGGCATACATGTTCTGCTCAGATCACATAACAGCAAACTCGTTGTGTCGCTTGTATAGCATTGTTTCTGTGCTTGTGTGGACATGTTATCGAATACTGAATAGGTTATTTGGTTGGGGATGATTGACTTGCAGCTTGCGGAAGCGGTAGTTGGAGGTCGTTTTTGAACAGTGATGGTGATGACGACGACGAAGACAGATTGGTAGGTCGTTGAGTTTGCGTGGTGAGTCGAGAATAAAACCGATGGGAATGACATCACACGTCTTCACCGCTGTCTATATCCAGCCGCAACACATGATATGAAAGGGGTATTAGATATTATTTCTACAGCACAACTTACTCTCAACCTACATCTCGACCACCACCACCAACCCAACACACATCACCCCACCCCACCCCACCCCTCAAACCTTCCCCACACCCACAGGAAACTTCTCCAAACTCTCATACCACTGCACAACACTCCCAATCAAAAACGCCCAACTCGCCCAAAACGTGCTCAAACACGCCTGATACTGCGCCCAACTCCTCTGATCGTACCCAAAAGCCGGGGAAACAGTGAAGCCAATACCGCCAATGAGGTTCCATGCGCCGATCCACCAGCCCAGCGTGCCAAACGCGGGTTTCCACCACTTGGACTGGGTTTCGAGCATGAAGAGGGTGCCGGAGATGATGAAGCCGCAGCCGCCGACGACTTGCGGGGTCCAGTAGAAGATGATGGTTATGGGGCGCGACATGTGGTTGTAGATGCCTGGGAGGGCTGTCAGGCCGGCGACCCAGAATATGCATGCGCCGATGAGTTGGGCGAGGGAGGCGAGGAAGCTGAAGGAGTGGAGGTAGTGCGTGGTTAGTTCTTGGTGGGATGGCCACCATGTCCATGACTTGGGTGCGTCTACATTGGGCTGCGATGAGGGGTCCTTCAGCTCGGTTTTGTGGCTGGTGGTGTTGCTGTTGCTGTTGCCAATGATATGGCTCTTGTCTATGTGGTGGTGTGTGCATGTCGCCGTCGACGGCAGGAGTCCCACGCCGTTCTTACCACTCACTTCGTGCGAGAGGGCGGACTCGAGCGCCCAGCCAAAGCACGCCGAACGGTTCTCATTCACCGCCTCGGCCATGAGCAAGAAAGAGCCAACCACGAAGATTGTCGCGCCAACAAACGCCGTGATGCCTCCCCCGTACAGCTCCTCGGTCGCGAACTCGGTGTCTGGCCGCTGGAGAGGCAGCCAGACGAAAAACGCGTTTATAACCCACACGACACTGCCAATGGTGAAGATGAATGCGACGTCGAACGATATGTCCCACACGGGATAGTACGTGAGCATGCGCCATATCCCACGCGCGACGCTGGGGAGCGACGCGGTGGAGCGCGGAGTCGCGTGCTTCGGCTCGACGGCATGCTGATTGGGGGCGACGACAATGGCATGTCGGCCCTTACGGTTGTTGCGCGACGTCCATTTGAAAGCTACATCGGGGCGCGATTCGTGGTGGAAGTGGGCGCGTGTGGGGTTGAGGAAGGAGAGCGGGCCCGACACGCGGTCGTGGTCGAGACGAAGGGCGGTGTCGTGGATGAATGGTCGGTGCGATGGATGGAAAGCTCCACTGCGCGTGGAGGCGTGTTTTCCTCCATCTGTATCAAGGGAGTGTCCTGGTGGTGGAGACATGGCTTCGCTGTCGTGTGGAGCAAAGACTGGAGGTGCCTGTGCTGTGGACGCTGTGCATATTATCAGTGGGACGGTTAGCAGTTGATGTCATCTTCAGAATTATTGCCGCGGAAAAATTTCCAAGCTCTGCCTGTTCGTTGGCCATGGTTGATAGGAGTCGGTGTTCGCGCGTCATCGGGATTCGCGGCTCTTTATGCTGAATCAGCTGCTGGTCATGAAATTGCGTCCACCACATGCTTCGATCAGCCTCAATGGGTGGAAAGGCGAATCTGACGAATCACCACCATGGTTGTGTACTTTGCCGAATCCTTCCGCAGATTCGATACGAGTTGTGTCGGTCAAGGTTCCATGGAATTGTTCTACAACACCAAAATACTTCGACAACCTTCGAAGCCGTGTAGAATTGGTCAACTGCCGCTCGATTAGAATGCTAATATCACAAGGATCACAAGCACTGCAGCCGGGAACAGATGCAGAAACGTCATCAATACTCATTCGAGAGCGGCTACATTGTAGTTATGTGCCGCGATATGGTTTATTTCACAAATTTCGACTGGCACCAAAGTACATGCAAAGCACAGTTCAACCACAGCAGACCCAGTGCTACAAGAACACCGCCTTGATCTACACATAAAAACTATCCCAGTGGAAGCTAGGTGTGTAGTGCAATTCTCCACACCACGCTCCTGATGAACGAGTTAGAGAAGACAGCAGGCCTGTACAAGAAATTTGCATCCATCTCACCTAACCCGGGGGCGTGTAGTGTACTTTGCGAAACACTGATATGCTAGACACACGCCAGTACACGTCCCGCGGTTAGAGACTACAAAAGAAGAGTCCTTAACTAAACCTTTGCCTACGCGCCTGCTGCGCTTTCTTCCTGTATTTATTGAGGGGCCCTGACTCTAACAACCATTATAAAGCAATCTTCCCAAAGCACCCATCTAGTTTTACATCCACAAAGCCACTACGTACCCACAGACCTTCCATACACTGTAATCATTATTGCATAAGTACCCAACACACACACCGTCTCCCGCATGTCGTTCCATATACACATCACTTCCCAAAGACAGTCAATGCAATGCAAAAAAAAGAGAAGAGAAGGTAAGACACAAAACACCATTCGACGTAATATCCTACAGTATGTGCACGCACCAACTCCATCCCACCTCCCCACCCCCTTTACCAATCCCATGCCCATCCATCCATGCCCCATCCATCCCAGTCCCCCCACCTCCCAAAAAAATCGCCTCAAAAATGCTAATCTACACGAATCGCCAGACTAGAACCTCATCCGCGTCGTGTCGTCCATCATCACGAGGGAATAGAAATAGACTCCCCCTCCCCCCATTCCCCGCCAACACGCCCACAAGAACTCCGTGCTTTTTTAATATCGCCCGCCCGCCCGCCCGAGGTCGTAAGTAAAAAAAGAGTAGATGAAGAAGAAGGAGAAGAAGAAACCAAAGAATGCCAAGCCCGTAATTGTCATTTGTCGCGTACTTTTCCCGTCCGCGGTACAGTTTTTCTACCATTAATCCTTATTTGCCAAGCCTCCAGCCCAGAAGAAATCGTGAAAAAAACCATATCGGTCGACGTGCAAAGGGAGGGGGGACCGTCAGAGGAACAAGTTGGAAAACAGGTATTAGGTTAAGGGTGTGAGAAAGGAAATGTAGCGCGCTTCGTTGTCATGCAATAAATCTCGAAGATCAAACCGGTAAAAACCCCCCCGAACACGAAGATGCAACAAGCAGAAGTGTGTTGTGGATGATGTTGAAGGAAGCAGACGAATGAGGTGATGGGTCATTCGTTTACTGATGAGTGAGATGACATGGAAGTTCTAAGCGACCAGTCCGTTGTCCGATCTCTTGAAGAGTCGGATGAGCCCCGAGCATCAGCCGTCTAAGCTAGTGGTCGAGGGCTCTGTTGCGCATGCGTAAAGAGAGCATTGAGAAGACGCTCAACCTTCAAGTGACGATAAGTTAGTGGTGCCCGACAAGCGATCCATGAGAAGGGAACGTACTTCGGGCGCCGCCTTTACGAACGGCAAGTCCCAGAACCCATAAGTGCGGTTCTTCAAAATCTCCAGCAGAGTGATGATGAGTCCCCATGGGTGGGGACGGTGGACCAGCAGACGTTCCAGAAGCACCCTTGTAATGACCTCTTGGATTTCCAACGCTTGTGGGTCGTCGTTGGGAGGACCAAAGAGATGCAGGAGCGCATAGCTGAAGAAGTGCGTATGGGTATTCGGAAAGCGGAGCTGATCGGCAATGGTGCTGATGAAGTGGAATTTAGCTTCGTATTGGAACTCCTTCACCAGCTCCTCAATAAGCTTGGCAGCTGCGCTGTCCGCATCGAAGAGAGGCGCTGTGGCTCCCTCGGTACCCAAAGTTGCGATCCCGATGTAGAGCGTGATTGCGTGGATCAATGCTGGATCAGCGGTGGTGGGGAGCTGCTCAAAACCAGCCGGCTTTGGTTCTGTATAGTACACCGCGTTGCAAATCTTCTGGACGTCCTGGGTCTTCGGCTCGGAGGCGTTGAGCAAACCATCGATTGTGTTCTTGATGCCTGCCTCGATAAGGATTTGCTCAATATTGCCACGAATGATCGGTGCTTGAAGGTTGTTCTCAAGTCGGTCGACCTTCAGTCCTGCTGTGAAAGGATCTGGCATCTCGAGAATAGTCGATGGATACGCGCTGATGATCAGGTTTCGAAGCTGCGTGCAATGCATGGGAATGCTATTGCAAAATCGGAAATGGTTCTCAACAAGGAATTCCGGGTAGTCATGATGAATGACGAGCAGGACACGCAAGACACCACGATAGAAATTCTGTGCCATAAGCGTCTCTCCAGTGGGTTTAATCAATTGCCCAGTAAAGACCAGAAGCGTCTCGATCAGTCGAGCATAGACGTCCCAGCGCTCATCTTTTTGGGGTTCTTCTAACAACGCTGGTATAAAGATGCGGTGGGAAACCAGAGTCAGCCATGCGAAAGTGAATCGCGGGAAGTGGCTAGGCTGCAAGATTAGGAGCGCTCTGGCGACGCCAAGGAAAACATCGGCCTTCTGATCAGCCAATGTGCTGTCTTTGACTGCCTCGTTGAGTCGGAACAGAATAGCCGAGAACAATCGGAAGAAAACCTTCTGGTTGAAGGCGTCCCCGCGGGTGTTATGGTGGTTGCAGAGCACAAGCACAACGACGACAAGTATCTGGTCCAAATACCTTGCCTTGCTCTCCTTCACGGCTTCATCCTGCTCTCCTTGGTAGACGACAAGGTCAACGATGAGTTTGCCGAGCGCATCGACCTTCACAGTGGCCACATCCAAATTTCCAGCGCCATATGGAAGAGCGTGCTCGCGCTCGTATGAATCCACAGAGGCGTCGACACAGGAGCGAATGAATTCGATCGACGATTCCTGGGTTTCCATCACATTTTGCTTGTGAAGCTGGTAAATGAAGGCACCGATCGTTTTCCTTGGCGCCTCTGTCATCTGGAGATGTACCCATTCATCAAAGATGTACTCCAGCTGGTCTTTCTGTCCAGTCATGGGTGGACTCATGGATAGGTCAGTAAGCGACGCTTGCAGGTCAGCAACTATGCGCTTTCCGACTTCCAAGGTAGGATCCTCTGCCAACCAGATAGTAAGAGCATCGATGGACGCAGCAAAGTCGGCACGGAACGCGCTTGGATGCTCACCAAGCAGCAGCTCGTCCATCAGGCTGGAAAGCATCTCTACTGCAGCAACACGGCGCTCAGAAATGGCTTTTGCGATGGTGCTATTCAAGCGATGCATGTCCATCAGACTAACATCCATCAACGCGACCATTACGGTGGATTTGAAGATACGGTCATCATCGTGGAGCGTCGCAAGCCACATCAAGACCTGTCGTGAGGTTTGAACAGACAGCTGGCACAGATGGCTCAGAAGATGCGCTAGAACCTCGACTTCAAGGCGAGATAGAGAGTCGTTGAAAAGATGATTCGTGACCTGGCCAGCAATGCGGAAAGCCCATGTATCCTTGTTAGGGCCGGCAAACTCAATGCTTGATATCAACTGATCGAAGACTTGGTGGATGGTGCTGCTACCGGGTGAAAGCTCGCTGATCCGTTCTTCAGTAGCCTCTTTCATGACACGCGTAAGCTCAAGGAGTAGCTCCTCAACACCACGCTGACCTCGCTCTGGACCAGAAGCATCCATGTAGCCATTCATTTGCTGTTGCGCAAGAGGTGCATGTGATGTTTGAAGACTTTGGAGCCTGGGCTGTTGGGCCGGTTGACGCGGTTCCGCTGGGGTAGCACCAGGAGTCGGCAAATTAGGAACTGCTGCGAATTGGTCTTGAAGTACATCTGGAAGTTGACGTCCGCCATCCTGGGAAGCACTGTTAATATGAGGAGCGCCTCGAGATTGTCTACCAAAGTCTTCGTAGATAGCCAGTTGTTCTCTGTTCAACCCACCAGCTGTCTGCTTGTAAGGCTCAGGGATGTAAAATGCCCAAGGGCTGATATTCGCATCCTTAAAAGGCTCGTTCGGACGGGTGTTGCGGAAGATTCGGCGGAGTCGAACAGCTTCCTCGACCTGCATATCAATCTCGGCAAGCGATGACATTTCAGCGGCTTGCTCTACCGTATTACAGACGAGATCGAGATTGTCATTGACAAACATCAGGACATGGCCTTCAGGAAGCGCCTGCTCGGGGAGGTCCCGTGCCATCACGCGGATATTGTTCTGAATGCTCATACGCAATGGCTCCTTGCACGTAACAAGCGCTAGCGCACCCGAGAGGGCTTTGACAACAGTATGGGCTGCGTTGCGAAGTTTTTCTTCGTCTGGCTCCATCGCAAAATCTTTGCTGATGAGTTGCGAAGTCGAAATTGCCGCAATCGTTACGGAACGCTCAACCACTGGAGCAATGATCTCTTGGATAGCCTGGTTGACAGCAGTGAGGAAGATCTTCTTCAACGTCGCAGGCGGCACAACACTGTTTCCGGATGGTGGATACTGTAGCTGATTGGTGAAATCGGGCAGAGCGGCGGTTATCGCTGCAGACGAGAAGCGCTCGCTGGTACCTCTTGCACGGTTCAGGCTCATGATCGAGAGATCGCCAAAAGCATCCATTCCATCTGTCACCATTGGTCCCAGGAACTCTTCATCAACTTGTGGCCGCGCTCGGATACTGTTGGTTGGCTCAATATCCTTATGGTCGAGATCTAATCCTTTGCAAAGAACCTCGATTTCGAATTTTTGGTTGAGCTTCAGGTCCGCGAAATGATATAGTTCCATGAGCACGCCGATGATCTCCATCAACCACGGGTTGGGAGGCCTGAAGACCGTGGATTTTGCAGCCTGTACCAAGACTTTGCAGGTGAAAGGGATCACTAGCAACAGGCGATCAGTATCGTAGCCTTCAGTCAAGAGGTCCTTGAAGGAAATATTCCTGAACTTGATAGGCTGATCACGAGCAATCGTTAGAGAGCCAAGCCAGGAACCCAGGTTCTTCAAATGACCTCGCTCGGTCGATCCAAGCGCAGCATCGTTATTGAGCATACGAACAACGCTGACATAGGTCTCGCGAAGAACCTCAGCCCATAGGGTCTTGTTGTTGAAAAGGTCCAACATGTCGAGATACAGTTGTTGAAAGTTGGGCTGCATCTTGGCACGTTCTTCCACAAGGTAATTGGCGAACCACTGATGATGTCTTGCCTCCACAGCCTCGGTAAGGTCGTTGATCTTGTCACGCAAATTACGCTCTGATACGTTGTTGAGTACAAACAACACTCTATCTTGAACGTCCTCATCTGGTTCTTCGTAGGCTTCTGACTGGAGGGGTGAGTCAATGAAGAGACAAGAAAACTTTGGTACTGCCGATTCTTGTTGAAGAGCATCCTCGATGTGATTGCCGTTGGTCAGCCCGATGCCATTTTGTGCTTCTCCGTTGACTTCCCCCACTTGCTGCCCCACGACTTCTTCTGCCTTTGCGAATATCTCAGTACCCTGAAGACCAGGAACAATCAAGAGTTGGTCGCAGTAGTTGGGCCATTCGGATAGTCGGGTTGAGAAGTGAAGCAGAGCTTGGAGTCCGAACTTGTACATGGAATCATCCGGTCTATACTCCTGAACGGCCTCCAAAACCATCGCCAGTCCGACCTGCAGTGCGATTCGAGATAGGAGATTAAAGTTGATGATTCCACCGAAAAGTACAGCAGTTGTTGCCAAAGCTTCCAATGGATATTCACCGAAACAGTTGTACTCATCGAACAGTCCGTGGATCATACAAGCGAATAGTTCCTGCTCGGCGGAATCGCGCGACTCTTTGTATTTTTTCAGCACAGAAATGATATCGCGTACATCGCTCTCGCCGCTGTACATGTTCTTGAAGTGCTCCTGCATTTTCTTATCAGCATCCTCTGGAAGAGCGTTTCCATTCGGGCCGTTGCCATTGGCGTCGATGACATCGTCTACGCCTTCACCATAGTTGATTAAACGAGGATATGCTTGGATGCAGTTTCGTTGCAGGGGTAATAGCTCTTGCTCTGGGAGTCCACATTCCGCGAGAAACCAGAGCAGTGGGTAGACGGTCTTGACAGCCAGGGGCAAGCTGAGGGGATGATGGTCGTCTCGTACGCGCTGCATCTCGTCCGAAGCTCTAGCACTCAGGAAGTTGGTCAGGATCCGACGAAAGAGTGGACCAGCTTGTTCGAATGTCTGTTGCAGCCACGGCTCAATTTCAAACTTCCCCCGTGCGTGTGCCTGCGCGGCAAGATCCAAGCTGATATCAGTGTTACTGCGAATCAGGGTGTCCAACCAGCCATTGGCCTCGGCGTGTTCGAGGATGAGCGTGAGTGACATCGGATCGGCGTTATATGCGTCAACAAATCGGTCGATAAGCCACTGGAGGTCTTGTTGCCACAGACCGTAGAGGACAAAGTTGTAGATGGGTAACTTCTTGTGGAAATAGGGATCGAACAACTGCTTCAACGCCTGCTCTTGTAATGCGCCCCATGGCTTTGGAACGGCGGCCGCAGCGACAAGGAACTCAGCAGTATGCGGATTGATGACCAAGTCTGGAATGCCCATCGTTTGTGCGATGTGGTAGGTTTCAGAGGTTCGGAATATCATGCTGAACAGCGCGCCGGTGGCGTCGAGAGATACGAACGGATGCTTTACTGCTTGCTCAGCAAAGGCCTTGATGTCGTCGGAGGCATTCTCAAAAGTCTTCATCGAGTAGGAAGCGCGTAACCGCGGAATTTGGGAGACATCGAGCTCTTGAGGTGTGCACGACAAGTAGCACACCAGGAAATAAAGATGCGTTAGGTCGTGCTGCCAGGACCCTCCCCACAATGCCTGGATGTCGAATGTTTCCGAGTCCTGGGCAACTGGGAGCAAGGCGTTGTAGAGGGTGAGGAACTGGTGCTTCTCGATGCGCAGGCTATCCCTGTCGAATGCCTGGACGACATCCTGCCAGTCGAGTCGTTGTCCAGCCCGATGTTCCCGCAGTGCAGCCACAAAGTTTTTCGCATTGTGTCCTGTAGAGAGCGCCAGGTAGAGCAGGACAGTGGCGACCTGCTGGTAACTGATGTCACGCGTCTCGGCCGAGGCGAGCATATCTTTGCATGCCTCTACTGTGGCGGTACCCTGTGGTCCTGCGCGCTGTACTAGCTTCACCAAGGGGTTCCGTGAGCCGTCGGTAAGCTCTACGAGTAGCAGCTTCGACTCGACGACGCCAGGTATGGCTATGTGGAGGTTTTGGCACCGCACCTGGACAGCATATGCGAGGCTCATCTTCTTGTCTTCGTCCCAGCCCTGTAGCGGGTCCTGCAGCAGGCGGTCGATGAGGGCGGCGAGATAGTCAGGGCTCAGGTCGTCGGGCTGGGTGGGTTGCGCGATGGCCATCAGCAGGTCGTCGCCTACCGTGGAGAGGACTGTGTCGGCTGTGCGAGTCAGTGCAAGCGCAGAAAACAAGACAACTTATAAACTCACCCTTTACCCGCAGATCTGTCTTTCTACATGCTAGCGCAAGCATCGTCTTAGCGATTGGGTCGAGCTGGAAGTGCGACACGAAGGTCGACAGGTCAAAGTCGCGGAACAGGTCGCCTTCGCTCGAGCTTATCGACTCTGCAATCTTATCTGCTTGCTCGGGCTCCTTGCGCAGCTTCTGCATCTCGCCTACGAGGATCTGGTAGCTGCCATTGGCGTCGGTGTTGCGGCCACCCGAGCCAAAGACGTGGGCGGCATTGTTCTGCAGCACGCGGCGGAAGTACTTGGAGAAGACCTCCATGCCGTGTGAGTCGACCAGCTGAGCGGGTGTTAGTCAGGTGCAAGGGGCAGTGGTGCAAGCGGGCGTCGACGTTACCTTCTTTATCTGCTCGATGCGGTCCCTGGCCCGGTCTTTCTCGTCCTTTGCTCCAAACTGGCTGAGCAGGAGGAAGATTTGTGCGATGACAATCTTCTGCAGAGAGGCACTGGATGTCGAGCTCGGCGTCGTGCTTGTGTTTGTGCTGGCGGAGAGTGAAGCAGAAGGCGAGCGATGGAGCAGCTTGGGGGCTCCCGTCTGGCTGTGTTTCGGGGCGCCCCACGGAAGTTGGCTCATCGAAAAGAGCGCGCGAGTATTCTGGGTATTGTGGCAAGTGCTTCCATGTGCAGCGCGCGTGCGGTCGGGAGAGGTTGGGGCGGGGCGGGTGTCGAACGTGGAGAGTTGATGATGTGGTGGTTCAGCGAGGTTCGCGAGAGGGCGTCACTTGGCATTCTTCCCTAACTTACCCCACTGGATTTCAGTCACATGCATCATGCTATGCGACCTGCACAACGATTTTCGACGAACTTGATTAATTCACATTTATTTTTGATGATTGTGACGCCAGGACAGGTTGTGTTATCGTTTACAAGCAACACTTTCCAAGTTGTTCTCTTAATTCGCCCTCAGCATGAACATTTAATCCCGAGGATTGAGAACGCTTGACAGTTTCACCAGAGCGGATGTTCGAATTTGTGTGCCAACATCGAGGATGGTTGAGGAGCTGCAACCTCCTCGCCAACCTGCAGACGGCCTGGGCAACACTCGACCTTGAACAGTCCAATACATCGACTACCCAATCAAGCGATGCTACAAACAGCTCTTGGGACTCGTCGAGTAATTCATAGCGAGTGAAACTAGTATCCAGAAATCGTTGATAGAAATCTCAACTCCCTATGTTTTCTTTTTATAGTCCCTACCATGGTCCCACCATCGTATTCGGTGGTACACAATGGCGCGCACTGTCCAGTCGGTCTCTAGAACAGCATGTTACTGAGAGTGGAAAGAGCTAGGAAAATCCGTGGCATGCAAAACGCACAATTTTGGTAGATCTCCAGTAGTTACCGGTCAACAAAGAGCATACTCACCTCGTCTATCGAACGGACCGAAAAGACACCGATGCATCTCCCACCCTCGCTATTATGTCGCGTCCCGTCACGAGGTAAGCCTGCTGAGATTTGCTCGATTGAATTTCGAGAAATCGATTTACAGCATCAGTAGCTATACCCCTGCCTGTAAACTGCAATGCGCAGGCACGAAGATTGAAAAAGTAGCATATATGTGTGATTTGAAAATTGCCATCACGCCTACCCTCACACCTGTCAATTGTACTACCAGGAGTGGGGTGAGAGCGGCATCCTGCCCAAGACTTCTCTGCGACGTCATATATCTACGGCCGTGGAATATGGGGAAAACAAAAGCGAAAAGGTTGTTGCTGCACCAAGGCCACCACGTCATCGCAGGGCTGGGAGCCCTGAGGCCCAACCTTGCTCTATTGGTGGCCATCGTTGGCGCTGCCTCCAGGGTCTCGACGTTTCCATAGAAACGTCTACACCGACAACACACGCGTGCCGATTCACCCCTCGATACCCTGACCCTGGGTTTCCGCATCCCCTGGTGCGATACCCCAATATTTTACACGAGCATTCTTTCTTTTTGCGAGCGTTTGTTGCTAGTTCCTGGTACCGCTCGTTTTGTGCACGTTGCACGTTTGGCCTGAACATCTCACAAGATGTCGGAGCCACCCTCAGTCTCGCTCTCGTTTGCGAACAACTTCTGGGGAAAAGATGACGCCGGAGTGGGGCCTATGCTGGACCGGATGCATTATGCTAAAGTTACGAATGGTATCTTGCCTGGTGTCTGTCTGATTGACCTCCCTAACCAGACCCCTCAGACGAATTGAAATCTTTTTATGCGCAAAGAGGGGCTATCGAAGAGGAGTACGCGCGAAAACTCCTAAATCTCTCACGCAAACCTCTCGGGTCCACAGAAACCGGAACGCTAAAATTATCGTGCGATGTCCTCCGAGCCGAAGTCGAGTCCATGGGCAAGTCCCACCAGAACGTCGCCCAGCAGATGAAGACAGAATTGGAGGAGCCATTGGCCGCATTCGCTGGAGGGATGAAGGAGCGGCGAAAGATTGTGCAGAACGGCATCGAAAAGGTTATCAAGCTCAAGATGCAGCAGACGGGGACGGTCAACAAGGCGCGCGACCGGTACGAGCAGGACTGTCTGAAGATCAAGGGCTTCCTCGCACAGGCGCACATGGTCATGGGACATGAGGAACGGAAGAACAAGGCGAAGCTGGAGAAGACACAGATCAACCTTACGACCACGAGTAGCGAATACGAGGCAGCAGTCAAGATTCTCGAAGAGACAACAGTCAGGTGGAATAGGGATTGGAAAGCTGCCTGCGATGTGTGTATGATCATGTGAGTATCAGGGAGATGACTGACAATTGTGCAGAAATTCCAGGATCTCGAGGAAGAGCGCATCGACTACACCAAGAGCAGTCTCTGGAATTATGCCAACATTGCCTCGACAGTGTGTGTGAGCGACGATGCCTCTTGCGAAAAGATGCGCCTATCGCTCGAGGACTGCGACGTGGAGAAGGACATCAGCAGTTTCATCAAGGACAGCGGGACTGGCCAAGAGATACCTGACGCGCCCAAGTTTATCAACTTCTGTCGTGGGGACGCCGAAACATCTTCAGTAGTATCCGACGACGACAACTACTGTGTAGCACAGTTCGCTAGGACTATGAATCCAGCGTATCGTGCTTCATCACCTCCCATCTCAGTCTTCGAATCGCACCACGACCCGAATAACCCTCTAGCAAGAGAGTTGGGACTGCAGCAGGATACCCAACCCATTGTGCGGGATGAAACCAGTAAGCGTGCGCGAAAGTCGATAGACCAGAAACGACCACCTCCAGAGATGCAGCGACACTACACAGAATCGCCTCGACACTTCATGGAGTCGCCTCAGCCGCCTATGGAGTCGCTGCGAAGACAACACACGGAGCCAGTGCAACAATTCGCAGAGCATCCACGACGGTATGCAGAGTCGCCACAGCAGTATGTGGAGCCTCAAAGACAGTACAAAGAGCCACCGCAACAGTACGTAGAGGCTCCAAGGCAATATCAAGAGCCACCACAGCAATACCAGGATCCTCCACAGCAGTATGTAGAGCCTCCACGACAGTACACAGAGCCTCCAAGACAGTATGCAGAACCGCCACAACAGTATGCGGAACCGATGCGGAGACAACCTACAGAGCAACTACGACAGCACATAGAGGCACCGCAATACCCACCAGAGCCTTCACGCCAGTCTACAGAGCTGTCACGGCAATATACGGAACCGCCACAGCAGTATGTGGAACCGCCACAGCAATATACGGAGCCGCCACAGCAATACACAGAGCCGCCACAGCAACAAATCGAGCCATTGCGAAGACAGCATACAGAGCCGCCACAACAACAACACATCGAACCGTTGCGAAGACAACATACGGAGTCCCCACATCCATTCGTAGAGCCTCCGCGTCCGTTTGCCGAGTCACCTCGGCAGTCCGTAGAGCTTCAGCGGCATCGTCCAGAACCTCCGCGTCCATTCGTGGAGACGCCTCGACAGTCTGGGGAGCTACAGCGCCACCGACCAGAGCCACCACGTCCGTTTGTGGAGTCCCCTCGACAGTCCTTGGAGCTGCAACGACACCGTCCAGAACCTCCGCGTCCATTTGTGGAATCGCCTCGGCAATCAGTAGAGTTGCAGAGACACCGTCCAGAACCTCCGCAACCAGTGAAACCGGTGCAAGCTCCGCAACCAGTACAGAAAGCACAACCAGCACCATCACGCCCAGCTTCGCGGGGAGTGCAGCCGGATCCACGTTTGCTTCAAGCACAGCAGGAAGCAAATCTCCAACAACAACAAAGCCAAGTCCCGCACAACGACTACCCGTCAGATGGTATGACACAGTTCTGCCGGATTGGGCCACCGTCCGACCGAAGCACTATCCCAAGCCCTGCAAGACCCGCCAGTGTCGATTCGTTGAGCGAACACTCAAATCATACATCTTTCTCTAGCATCGAGCCACCCAGCGGCTCTGCTTCTCCTGGCAAGCCATTGGCGCCGCAGTCACCGCTACCAGAACCTAGCCCTATCGAAGAAAGCTCAGTACAGAAGAAGAGGAGCTTTTTCCAAAATAGCCCGTTCCGGAGAAAGAGCAAGACCGAAAAGGACATTCCAGTCGTGAAACCGAGCACCCAAAACACTAAGAAAGACATTCCGGTCGTCCTAAAACCGAGCAATCGCAACACTTGGGCACCTACTCCACGACAAACCAACAATGAGAATATCAGCCCTACCAGACCGTATAGCAGGGGTACTCGCCGCACAACCACTCAAGAAGCTCCTCGAACAGCCAGTCCCGAGCCCGTGGATCCCCGAGCTCAGTTCCAGCTGAATGTTGGAAACAATGTGTTTGATGTGGCCTCGCCGGACGGGAAAAAGCAGGAAGAGCAGGACGAGCCTCAAGATGAGCTTGACCCTATTGCTCAGGCTTTGGAAGAACTCAGAGGTGTCACTAAACAGGCCTCTACGCGTGTTACTGCCGACCGATATCATGGTCTCGCCACGCCTAAGCCTCCACCCACACCCGCAGTGGGTTCGTCTTTGGCTGGAAGCGCTCCTACGCCGCTTGCGAAGCTCAATGTAAGGGCCGCGAAAGAAAGCACACCTCCACCTTCCTACGAACCGCCCTCACCTGCGCAGCTACCGGCAGCACTACGACCGGCACCACAGCGACCGGCACCAAAGCCATCAGTATCACAGCGACCAATATTACAACGGCCGGTAACAAAACCTTTGGTTGTAAAACCACCAGTTTCGAAGCCGTTAGTACCACAGTCGCCCGTTCTACAGTCGCCTGTTCTACAGTCACCAACACCGCAACCACTCATGCCGCAGTTGCCAGTGTCACAGCCACGAGTAGCACAGCCTCCTGCACTGCAGCCGCGAGTAACACAACCACCTGCACTACAGCCGCGGGTGACGCAGCCTCCAGCACTACAACCTCGGGTGACACAACCTCCGGCACTGCAGCCCCAGGTTCCACAATCCCCAGCGCGAGTGACGCAACCTGCAGCGCTGCAGCCTCGCGTTCCACAATCACCAGCACCACAGCCGCGAGTACCACAACAAACAGTACCACAGTCACCCATATCACAGCCGCGAGTGCCACCATCGCTGATGCCACAGTCGCCAATTTCGCAGCCCCGAGTAGCACAATCAACAGCACCCCAGTCACCAGCGCCACAATCACCAATGTCGCAGCCGCGAATGGTACAACCCCCTGTATCGAAACCACCAGTGCAACAGCCGCCAGTCTCGAAGCCGCCAGTCTCGAAACCACCTGTGTCGCAGCCGCCAGTATCGCAGCCATCGATGTCTCGTCTAGGAGCTCCAAAACCCGCTCATACTGCGCGCCAGATGCAGAAGACGACGCAGATGTATGTTAATCAGACGGCCAATGTGTTCAAAGGCAACGATAGTGCTCGGCCTTCAACCCGCGGTAGCACGAGACAGGAGGAGCCTCCGCGAGCGGCGTCTCCTGCACCTCCACGGGCGGCATCTCCCGCCCCTCCTCGTGCTTTGAGCCCCCGACCGAGTCTGTACACTGCACCAAAACAGGCACCGTCTCGTCCAACATCCCAACAGATGCCGTCGCGTACCGCGACGCAGCAGGGTCCATCCCGCACTGCGACACAGCAGGGCCCGTCCCGCGCCGCACAACAGCAAGCGCCATCTCCAAGCACATACCATCCGGTACAGCAACCTCAATCGCCTTCAACGTACCGTCCAGCGTCACGGCAACAACAACCATCACCCGCTCCCGCCCCTACTCCTGCTGCCAACTTCCGGACAGCGACATCATCGCCTAACCCTTACGCTGCATCCAATGCTGGAAGGCCACGAGCCCAAACCAACGGTTCCACCTCATCACAGGCGTACGGTACTCCTATGGGACGCAATTCCTACTCTTCTGCCCGAGCTCCTTCCCCAAGCGTAAATAGCACTCCCACGCCTCGAGCTCCTTCCCCTCAGCCTCCTTCGCAACCCACTTTCGCAAGCTCTCGTCCAGCATCTCGCGCCGCACCTAGCTCCCGAGCTGTAAGTCCTCAGCCTCAGTTCCGCCAGTCGCACGAACGGCCATCTACCCGGGGAAGTGAACGATCCATGAACATGGCACCCAGCGAGCGCGGCGAGGGCAGCGTTTTTGGTGGTGGAAGCGTGCACGGCGGAAGCATATACGGTGGCAGTTCACGTGGCAGACCGCAAAGCGTGTACCAAGGCGCTGGCGGTAGCAGTGCGGCTTCAGTCAGAGCGGAGTCGAGGACAAGGAGCAAGAGTCTTGCCGAGCCAAAGAACTATAACACCGATGGAAGGATCATATTGAACTATTGTGAGTACTCGTTTGCATAAGAGTTTGAGTAGCAAGTACTAACCATTGACAGCGCGCGCCATGTACTCGTACACTGCCCAGATTCCCGAGGAACTTGGCTTTATGAAGGGCGATATTCTTGCGGTTCTGAGACTGCAGGATGATGGGTGGTGGGAGGCCGAGGCTGTTGGCAAGACTGGGAGACCGGGACTGGTTCCCTCGAACTACCTCCAGGCTTGCTAGACTTGTGTAATGATGTGGATAATGAGATGGAGCGGACGATGTCGATTTCTGCATCATGGGTTTGGATTGGATTCTTGTTTTCAGCGATTGCTACATGCTACATACCCTCGTTACGATTGGCATTATGGCTTTGTTTTTGTTCGGCGTTGGGTTGAGTAACGAGGTGTTTGGATCAGCTTGCTTGTGGACGATTGATAAGTCGTCAGTGTGTGGACATTGGGTAATAAATTGTATATGAATGTCTTCCCCACTTGTACATTCATCAGATTGCTGTGGTACTAGCCTTCGTCTAAGATAAATCTTTGGTAGCCATCTATCTAAACCTTCGGCGTCTAAACCATACCCACATCTATTGGTGTCCCAGTCACTTACTCTCTATCTTCTTTACCAGCTTAAGCGCTATCAAATGGCTCTCCGTCTACCACAAGTTCATCCCATCTACGTAGCCATGCCCAGTCATCCTGGCCCCGATGGTCTATCCGCATCCACCTCGAAGTCCTCCTCTTCAACGACCGCCTCCTCATCTTCTTCGTCTTCCCTCATGATCTCACCCAAATTCTCCTCCCGCGCCTCCACACTCTGTCTCATATGCCGACTACTCGTGCTCCTGTGAAAAGGCCGAGGTCTCGGCCGCGGTCTCGCAAATGCGCGTCCACGACCGCCCAGCTCTCCACCCCCAGCCTCTCCTCCCTTCCTCTCGATCACCCCTTCTTCCGCTCCCTGACATTTCAAATACTCCTCCACAGGCCGTAACAGCGCCTCGCGCCAAGCATCCTTCATCCGCAACGACTCCATAAGCGCATCCCTAAACCCAGGGTACCGATTATACAACTCCAACCACGTCACCGCCACCTCCTCCCCCATCTGTCCCGCATCCACATCCGTGTCCGCATCTGTTTCCGTCCCCACCCCAATATTCAACACATCAGTCTGCGTCCAATGGCTCGTCACAGCATCGAAAAACAACCGCCGAAGCACACTCCCCTCCCCGGTCCGCACACACACAACCTCCACATCCGCGGCGCGAATCGGCGATAACCGCGCATGGCTGATCCACATGCGCGACAGCGGCTCGAAGATGGCGTGCAGCTGCCGCATCGCCGCGTCGCTGTACTGCTTTGCGCCGAGTTCCTCGCCGAGGATGGCCGCGAGCGTGTTCTGGTGGATGGGCCGGAAGCCGACGATGTGGGGGTTTAGCGTGTAGATGCTGGAGTGCATGTAGTCGACGTAGTTTTGGAAGGCCTGGGGAGTTGTGTTTTGGAGTGTGGTTTGGGAGAGGGAGGTTGAGGCGCATAGGGCGGCGAAGTGGGTTGAGTGGCGGGCGAGTAGTGATTTGGGGAGTGTCCATGTGCGTTGCGTGGAGGGGTTGGCGCCGACGGTGACGATGAGTGTGCCGGTTAGAGGGGGTGGGGGGTCGGGATCTGAGGCGGAGCGGTATGTGCGATTGTGGTTGAGGGCCATGGTGGGTTGGGTTGGATGTGGGTCGGTGGAGGGATGTCGGGAGGTTAATGGGTGGTGGGAAAGCGAGGATTTGTATCTTGACGAGTTGTGGCGAGCAAACGGATGGGGCAGCACGTGTGCTTGGTGAATGACAGACATTTCGATGTGGTTGGATAGAGAAGGTTCTGGAGGTGAAAGACAGGAAAGGGTTGGTGTGAAGGGAGATGGGAGAACCCCATCAATAAACCCAGAAATTACAGGCACTTGCTACAACATCAAATCCATCGTTGACGCGTGAAAACATATGCGAGGGCCTCTCGCTTGCGAAGTCGTTGTATTCTGTGGTTCGAAAAACGAAAGACAATCCTGCCCTGGCCCTGGCCTGGAGCAAACCTACAAAGGTGTGATGTGCATGTCGAAGATACCTCATGTGTTTTCTCAACATCAGCTTTCCGTTTTCATCACGTATGTTGTCGACTGACAGATCATTTGTGGATTGCCTAGCAATAGGGGTAAATTCTCGGAACTGGAATAGTGGGCATCACATTCTGCTCGGAGATGAGAAGGAATGAGAGGAAATGACACAAAGTAAATGGTGAGGCTTTTATTACTTTTCCGTTCGACCCTGAACTACCCCATTGTCCGAGCGTATTCCCATAGTCAAAGTCCCTATAATGAAGAAGAAAAAGAAGAAGAGAAGTATACGTGTGAAAAATAAACCATATTAACCGTGCAAGTAAGCCCATTCGCGACCCCGACACAACCACAGATAGGTAAGTCTGCCAACTCGTTCACCCTGACGGTCGCAGCTTTTCCGTTCGTTCATCCATAATCCAGTATCATCAGGCGTCCAAGCTCCACATTTGCTCACTCCACCTCCCCTGATTTTCATCTCAGCCCTCAAATCCCAGCGTAGTATCGTGGTCGGACGCGTCTCCGGGAGCTTTGCTCCTCAATGTCGGCGTCCCGTGTTATCCGCAGCATCTCGCGCACTTTGCCGTCGAATGTGACGATAATGTGTTGGGGGATTGGTGGCAGGGAGGCGAGGCTTTGCGACGATGTGGTTGGGGAGACGGCGTCCATTGTGTATGTGTGTTTGTGTTTGTATTCAAGATTGTTTGTATTATATGCAGAATACCGCAATCGATGAGGCGTTGTTGGGATGTATTGGTATTATTGTGCTAGAATAGGGTTAGTGATGCTGCATTCAGACGATGTAGGTAGACCCTGCACATACCTCGCTCGATTTGTTGTATTTTTGAACCGGTCAACGATTGAAGATATGTTTCAGTGAAGTAGTATGTACGTATGAAATGTTCAAAACACCTCGAGAATCACGCACCGAGCGCTGTTTACTTATGCTCCGATTTGATTACGGGACCCATACGCCACGCGGCACACGTCCGCGTCATAGCACGATCCAAGACCCCTGAACCCGGTATTTTGCGCAGCCGTTGAGCGTCCTCGTGCGTATTGAGGCTTTTGACAAGGCGTAAGTAAAGATCGAGCGTACTATATTTAGCCAGGGGATCGTGTCTTATCCATGGTTCTGGTACCGTTGCATCAGCGCGGAACGCGGGGTGCAGGTGGATAGAAGCTGATCTTCACGAGAAATGCTACCTTGGTTCCGTTTACGACTTGCTTAACGTCATGGCAGACGTGTTAACTTGACGTACCATGGATCCCTAGGTGTGTTTCAATGTCACTCGGTCTTTGTTCCGCTTAGCGTTGCCGGATCACCCCGCAACTTTGACCACGTTCACGTTCACGATCGTTGTCCTCGCTCATTTGGTCCTTATCTCCGTGTCTCTTTGTTGCTCCTGACACCGAGCTTCCCATAAAAAATTCTATCTTCTTATGCTGTTCGCCTGTGTCTACCCCAGCAGATTGCTTTTTCGCATAGCCTTTGTGGCTTCACTAACGCTTCCAGGCGTGCCATAAATCTTGGATTCTGAAGTCGTGTTGTTGAAGAGGCTGAAACAGACTCATCCTAGACATGAATATGATTGGGCAGTCATAATGTTGTGGGCGGCCTCGGAGGCTGAGTTCAGGAGAACTATTACGAATTCTACAACTGCGCCTTACGCGATGGCTGATCTCTTCTCACATGAGCAGCATCACAGTCAGTTGTAGTGCATAGAGCAGGATTCTAAAAAAGCATCGTTTTAGAGTCGAAGTATTGGTATTGCTTGTGTCCTATATCCTATATACACATGAGGCCAGCATAGCCATACCCAAACGCCGTCGCTTTGCACGTGATATAATCGTAAGATACAGGATCTGCCTAGGGGTATATGTTCTGGTCACTCCACCGCCTCTCTCTCATCCCCTGTCAAGACTCTCCTTGCTCCATGTCGTAAATCCTTACTCAACCTGTGGACTCGTCAAATCCTTCACCAATTGCTTCCCCATCTGCCTCGAAATCTCCCTTGCGTAGTCTCTGATCCGCATTCCGTTCTGTTCATCCTCAGTCTTCCCATCGTACGCATCCTCCGAGTACGGCGGCGGCGCGTGCGTGTACCGCCTGTACTCGGCCTCGACCGTATGTGAGTTTAGGTCCATGTCGCCGACCGTGTCAACCTCTGCAGAGTCGGAGTCGATTAGATGTTGTGCTGAGTCTGGGGAGGACACAGACTCCGGTAATGTGTCGTTGGAGTCTAGTCGTTGAGTTGGTGGGGCGCGGGAGACCTTTGACTTGGTGACTGATGATGCGGAATCATGTCGTAAGTCAGAGTGCTCATGCTCTGAGACTCTGATTTCGGGGTAGTGGCCCATGATGACTGTTGTTTGTCCACGTCGATATGCTTTGATCAAACACAAAGGAGTATTAGTGTAGTGCGGTGTGGTATCGTATTGTGGTCAGGATAGTTCTTTGAATGTATGGATTACTGATGGTCGAATGTATGTTCGATGAGCCTGTGGATGTGGAGGGACTCATTGTATTTAAGCACCTGCTTTACCAATCGTCTGGATAGCGGAAGCCAAGCCCGTCGTCCCAAGACTTTTCACGTCATGCTTGTGCCATGTATGCGCAGCCATGGTATGTGTGTCAGGGACCGAAAGGAGTAATGATATGTGGCCAATCAATGATCGTTACTAGAATCGCTGATTTCTGACGACCGCTGACATCCGGCTGCCTAATCCGACCTCCGCGGCCCTGAGATCGACATGAGAAGCGGGAACATCTTGGGGCTTCTGAGCGTTGTGGGTAAGAGTTGCAGTTCTGGGATCGCAAACGGGAATGATGCCATATGACGATGTGTTACACGATCAACGACACCCATCGCTTACTATTAACAGTCATTTCAGCATATTTCTAGCATTCGAGACGTATTGCCACTCATAATACAATGGATACCAGGACAAGACACAATCGTAAATCCCGGGCCTTGGACTCCAAGCTTGCATATGGACCAGCTGAATACCTGAATGCTGTCAAGAAACAAGAAGCGTAGAAGACCCCACCCGCGGCCAAGCATGGCCGCTTCCACTACAGACGCAGGTTCAATGCAGGTTTCTCCCGCAACAGGTGCGCCTCTTGCCTCCCCGCAGTAAACACGCGATGTTATCGCCGATCCAGAATATGAAACACGTGGATCTTGGAAGTCGGGCAACTCAAGACGACTTTTCTAGAGCATCGGCGCACGGGGCAGTAATGTTCACCTAACCCAGGGCTGATCGTCGAAATCATACCGACAGATTAACGCTACACCCTCACATACCTCAACCTTTGTCATCTCTCCGCTTTGAAGACCCCATGACCGCCATGCACATATGTAGGAATCAGGCTCTCACCCACCCCTTGACTCTATCTTCCCACTTTCGAAGCCTATCAGCCCCCCTCGAGCTTTTCTTATGGTCTTCATGCCTTTCGACTTCGATATTTGTGGGCGCATTGAAAGCCCCACTCAACCGTTTGATCTCCGGCTGCGAACTGCGATGCGCCAACAAAAATGGGGAGTTGTGATTTGACGCCGATGAGAATCTCCTTTGGCGTTCCCTATCTTGTGAGTCGTGCAGGTCTGGTTGTGGAACAGCGTGTGATCCTGCGCGTTTTCGAGATGCTGTTGTGGCCGATGGGGAGTGAGAGTGGTGATCCTCTTGGGCGTAGCTCTTTGCAATCTTTTGCGCTTGGTCATGTAAGTTTGTGGATCAATAGACCGTGTACCGGGAATGCATACCGCGTTGTTGTGACTGGTACTCTTCCCACTTCTCTTTCATCTTTTGCCTGTCCTTCGTCGGGCTGCTTGGGGCGACGTAGCCCGCTGCCTGGTAGGTGCCTAAATTCATTTTTGATGCAATAATGTTTGGTTTTCTTGTACACTTAAGTCACTTGATGAGTAAAAGGTCTGATGCTACAGTGCATTTCGAATTCGTACGCAGAGGCTGGTTATATCACAAACGACGCTCATCGCGAGTCCCTTCGCATCGTAGCGTATATTGAACGTCATCGACCTAGGCGCTTCCCAGCCACCACAAGTTCAAGGCCATGCTTCCATTCGCTCAGCCACAAGTGTATGAAGCTCCGTCGAATAAACACTCATGGAAAGTTGGTTCGTGGATTGGATCTGGAGGTGAGTGTGGCGTTGCAAGGCTTGTAGGCCAATGATCAACAGCGACTGTGGAGGATCGTCATGATTTGCAAGATCCGGGAATAAACAGTCGTTGGGTTATTCTTGACAATCGCTACCATGAAACCATGTAATCTTGCTTAATAAGTTTACCACTAGCAAGCATTAAATTGCAGCGCAATGACTGAGCTATCGTAGCGTGGATGACTTATTGTAAGATTGGTTGGCTCTAACCTCGCTAGTAGTAGTTCTGTTGAGTAGACCTTTAAGGTATGTATCAATTTACACGAATCCGAACGCGCTCCAACAACTCATCTTTGTGCACTCGATAGTATACACACATTGTTCTTGAAACGTTCAAAAGATACGGCAATACGTCACCGCTACAACGACCTTGCAAACGAGACGGAAGTTGTTGCAGAAGACGCATACATATGTGTGTAGGGGTAGAAACAAGGAAGGCCCTCAACAACACAACGTTTTCTATGATCAATACCACGTTACGTTAAACGCCTTTCGGAATAATTTGATTTCTGGTTTTGGTTAACCGAGAGCCTACCTCTTATACATCTACTAGGCAACCTGAGGCCGTATATTCTCATTTGTAAGGTGGCAGGTTCTGTACGTGTTCACAAAAGGGGGTCATGTCAAGCGGTGTGATATTCGAGATGGGAGGCCTAATCAAGCTCCTATATGCCGCAAGGCTGGGGCTGAGCAGTCCCTGAACTCCAAGTATGCAACAAACGTACTAACATTGCTATCTAGAATTTCTCCAAAGGAGTTATCATCTTGTGAGGTTGTAGTCGTGGTCGTCGCGATTTAAATAAAATCTAAGTCAAAGATCAGGCATATCGACAGCATTACGTGTAGAAGTGCTTTCTACTGTATCAAAGTTATCGAATTTCTCACGTTAGGCTGAGGCATCCGAATAAAGTTGCTTGTGCCACCCATGTTCATTCAAAGCTGTACACAGCCTCAATCCGTACCAACACCGCCTCCCACATCAATGCCATCTCAATTTGACTCTGAGCTTCTCGCCCCCTTACTCGTTCTCTCCATGTTCCATCTAGGAGTTAGGACCGTCTGAGTTTGCGCCTTTCGATGTATACTCTGCCCACAATCGACAATGGCAGAACTTGTGGGACTCACAGCTAGTATCATTCAGATCGCTGGCGTTGGCGTCAAGCTATCAACAACCCTATACGATTTTGTCGGTTCAGCAGCCCGGGCTGACCAAGAAATCGCTGCTATCGCGGGAGACGTAGAGCTCACAGCAAACGCTCTCGACAGTGTTGGCAAGGTCTTTGAGAACAAGGATATCCAGTCAATCGTGTCGAACAGGGCGATTCAGGACGCGAATAACCTCATCAAGCGATGCGAAGCTGTTTTCAAAGAAATCTCCGAAGTTCTGGATAAGAGAAGAAAGACGTGGAAGAATGGCAAGAAGAGCCTAAGCACATTGGGAAAGTTGTCCTGGCCGATGAAAGAGCAAAGAGTCGAGCTTCTTCGCCGGCGTCTTGAGAGTTTGAAGAATAGCCTCATGTTGCTGCTTCATGTCATCCAGTTTGCCAACGGGCAAGCTAAAGGGTATGTTTACTCGAACTTGATTCACGTCGCCCATCTAAAAGGTTGTCTAGGGAATTCGAGAAGAAGGCCCTTGAAAAAGAGTGTGAGAAGCTTCGCCAACTTCATGAGTGCCAACAAGAGTCCCTAAGACGCCTTCAAGTCATCGAAGGCAAACTAGGTGAAGTAAACTTGGATGCTGACGAGACCCTACGAAAACTCGATCCATATTCACCAATTCCTATCATTGAGCCTAGCACCACGTCGACCCTATCGAGCCCGGACGACCAGCTCATCGCAAAGTACAATACAGAGAGACCTGTAATGCTATATAGTTTGGAAACTTCTGACAGCGACGACGCAACTACCGACGATGAGGGAGAGCACTTGACAATGGTCGAGCTATCTCAATGCGTAGAACATGTTCAAAAGCTGCTCCAGAGGATCTCAGTGCTCCAACAGACATTCGAAGCCACACAGTCGACAAGCCACTGCCCCAAGAATCGGGTTTATAAACATTACCGTCGCTTCTGTCGGAAGTTTGAGTCCGAGATGATGCCTACAAAAAGCGCAAATCCTCCTACCCCTTTGCCTCATTCGAAGATTATTCCACCAGTCAATGATATGTATGATTCTGAGTCAAGCTCTCAATCGGCTTGTGTATCGCCTATGCAGCAGAGAAACCGCGCCTACAAACGCACAGAGGAACCTCCACGTAACATAAACGGCAAGATGGTCTGCAAGCACCAAGAGTGTTCCAACATCACCTTCAACCGCAAATACGAATGGAGGTAAGTCCCCATCTGTCCATTGTCTCACGACCAAAACCAACTAACGACTCACAGCAAACACATGAACAAGCACGATCGTCCTTACAAGCGCCATATCGAGCGCTATGAAAAACCACAAGTCTTCAAATACAGTGCAGGGTTTCTGTGTGACGAGCGTGAAAGCCAACAGATGCGTTGTCAACGATCAGCGATAGCAAGGTGTAGATTAGGCGACAGTATCTCTGATACAAGCGACGAGTCAGACGCCCGTCCTGCATCCAAGCGAATACGGAGAGAAAACGAAGAGGAAGATGTACGACTACCAGTTTTCGTTCGAGATAGAACACATGATTACTACAATGAAATTCATCATAATACGACGATAGACCCTCCTTGGAGTCCACAAACGATACAGGATGACTCTGTTCTATCTTCAGAGGAAGGGGATATTGTTAGCCTCCTTCTGGGAATGTGGACAATCCGGGTACACTAGTTGGCTTCCTGTATTGTACGCTATTTGTTCAGCGGCGTTGCAGGACTTGGACTTGGGTAGGATGGGATTTTATCATGATGATCTATTTGGAACTTGGTATTCTGATGTCTTCTACTTCGGATTCGTTTTCTCTCTCGTCAGCTCAAGACTATGGTTCTTGACGTCTGGATGTTACTGCTCGGTGTTTGTGCGTAGGGGTTTACCCAGGAGTTGTGTTTGAGTACTGAGAAATTAAATGTACTCGTCGAGATGCCATGTTGTGTCTTGAGCAACAGAAGTAAAGCCTGTTAATACAAGCACCTCAGAGGAGGATCAACAGGCGAAGATGGAGAGTAAACCAGGATTACAACAGACCTAGAGCTCCAAAGTGCCAATCCTACTTCCAACACCTCCGCTAACTCCCCAAGGACCCTCGCCGACCCTTCTCCTCACCATAGCCAGAACGTCTTGCCGTCCACCACTTTCTTCCAGCTTCCGTCCTAACGCTTTCAACACATCGAACTTTGCCATTGCAACCTGATATGCCGCGTTCTCAGCATCGCCTCGGCCGCCAACCAGATTCGAGAATGTGATAGCAGGTTTCAGTAGAGAGGGAAGTACTCCGCCGCTGATAGTTGGGTCGAGAATGAGGTCCAGACCTGTCTTGGGGAAGTTATTGAGGCGGGCGTAGGTTAGGTCGTTCGTGGGAATGATGTCAGGTAACGGGTCGGAAGACCATGAAGCGGTGATGATGGCGCGAACGAGAGTGAGTGCGGCGAGTGCGTTCTCTTTCATAGCGATTGTTTCGATGTGATTCACAATGTCACCGAACATATTGGGTTTCCTGCTGTAGAAGAGGGCTGTGAGTAGTCGTGCGAAGACCGATTCGACTTGCGTATGTTTGAAGTCAACGCCTACTACTTCTACTTGGGGGAAAGTGATTTCTTCCTATGACGAGTCAGTACGATGCTCCCAAAACGAATTTAACCATATGACGAACCTTCAGCGGGCCGTGAATTACAGAAGCCAACGCTTTCAACGCGTCTTGATTTGTCCTCGTGATAGGCAAGTCCAGGATCACACAGTCGTCCCAAGCCAGCCCCGAGGCTCGACGTGGAATCAAAGCTGAACGAGGCATAGAAGCAAGGATGTTGAGATCGTGGGCTTCGCACTTGCGAATGCTGCGATGAACATAGTTTCGGATGGCGGGCATTTCAGGACTGTTTTCGAAGTTCTCTGGATAGTTTGAGGCGTAGTCACTGATGTACTGTGCAGTCCGGCTACTTAGAAACGAATGCTCCAGACTTGGTTCATCTGATGTGTGGAAGTCAATGATTCCTTTGTGAACGCCCTCTTCTTTCAAGAAATCCAGAGATAGGCTTGAGTCATAGTGTCTGCGATGTTGTTAGTACCAGGATATCACCTTTATGAGATTAACGTACGTGAGATGTGGCTTTGCCTTGACAGAAGTGATAAGCGAGCTGAAGAAGTTGATAAGGGTCGTGTGCATGAGAATGTCATCCTCGGTGTTGACCATCTTCGTTGCAGCGTAGTGGAGAAGACCTTGGTCGGTGCGTAGACCAACTTCGCGCTCGATGTCAGTGTCATACGAGGTAACGAGAGTGTTCCAGTCCATGGCCCCTACACGGGGTAACCAAGACAACAGCCTAGCTTGTGCTATTGTCTTGTCACGTTTATTCAAGAGTGGCAAGGGCGGAGAGACTAGCTGCTTGAGCGACGTGTAATGGTAGTAGAGCGAACTTATGTCTCTGTCGTGGAACAGCCGCCGCCACATTGGAGCGATACCATGGGTGCGTAATGGAGCATCCTCTTTATTCGGTACTGGCTCGTTCTTCGAGACCCGTAATAGCGAAGTGAGTAAGTCCTCCGCTTGGGTTGCTACTCCTGTGTCCTGAACACACAGCCATACGCGCACGATGGATAGGATGACTCCAGGTCTATTCGCGAGAGCCTGGGCATCGATACTGCTCACAGTGGCCTTCTCGAGTAGTGAAAGGAGAAGCCCGTGAAACGGAGTGGCCTGCAAATCGAGCCCAATTTCAAAGTCAACATCCTTGATGTCTTCGAATCGATAGGGCTCAGCTAGCCTGAGTATGAAATGCGTCAATGGCGATGGATCTTGCTGGAGTTTTGGTAGTAAGGCTGCTACCTGTAGAAACAGTGGTCTCGTTTCTTTCCATATGTGTGACCTGAAGTCTGGCGTACTTGTGAAGAGCTCGCACTTCTCTAACAAGTCTCTGTCGAGTTGGGTAGTGGGGTCTTCGTCGACGCTCTGCAGATGGGTTGATAACTCGCTCAATACAGCTGCTGGCGATGCCATGTTGGTTGGCGTGGAGGATAGTTTGTAGAGTTTGGTAGAGTCAGAACTTGAAGGTTACTGACGGTGTACGACAGTCTGAGACAGGGGTCGTAGTATATGTTGGAACGGGTGGCGGGAGTAAACTGGCAAGAAGAACGTTCTAGTTCCTCATGTGACTGCGCGTGGATCAAACGCGTCTCTGACAGGTGTTCCTGACTTGACTCGATGTGACGAACGACGGATGCAGTTGGTCCCACGCCAAGATACAGATTTCGTTATTCGCCGCGCAGGAGGTCCTGGAAGAACGCAGCGTCTTCGGTATTCCAAACTCGTTAAAAGTATCCGTGTCTTGAAGTTGAAAGCGGGACAGTAAATGGGTGCAGGCAACAAGCTTTGCGGGGCTCGCTAGTGGGGCCCCACCTCGAAATGCGGCTGATGGCATGGAACAATTTCTGACTCCATCCCAACTCTAGCTTCACAGCTTCAGCCACAGATCACGACTTTTCGATATGCCGCCAGCACGAGGAGGACGAGGCGGAGGTCGAGGCGGATTCAATCCTCGCTCAGGGACAGTAACAATTGCAGGCACGGAGCTGAACTGGGACTTGTCTGGCCTTGATATACAGAAGGGACCTGCCGAGCGCTTTCCAGTGAGCATTTCTCTTTGTCGCATCACGCGTCAACATCAAACCTCTATCGCTTCAATTCGCGCATTCGTCAAGTTGCATGGTTGGGCTGCTTAGAACAGACGCGGCTCTGCGCAGCCTTCATTTGTTGTCCTTCCCAACCACGCTGATGCGCCAGCTGTCACGATTGCGAATGCGAACATTGCACAACCCATTAGAAGTCCGCCCACTAAGACGTTGCAGGAAGCTCCACCTCCGCAAGCCCCTCCAGCAAGCGCCGACGAAGCCAGCATCGTGCAGCACCACCTAGCAGTTCGCGATCGCATACACGAGGGTCCCTTCTACACCATTCTGAACGACGGCATGAAGAATGGACTGAAAAGAAAGGTCAACGAACACGCGCCGACAGAAGCCTCGCTGTTCAATCCCTTTACCGACAACCAGACCTTCTCAGCCAAATATCTAAAGGTGCGGAGGAGATTGCCCAAGCTGGATGCACGACCATATGGTGAGTTGGGGATAAGAATGTCGAGAGAGAGCTATGGCTGATGTTTTTCAGTCACCGACTTATTTCCCGCGGAGTTGCGATCCACCTTGGACGGCACCAGAGCCAACGGCAACCCGTCGAAAAAACGAAGAACGCTCGGCGTCACGAAAGTCGATGCTGTGTCGCAGATCGATCGCCTGATCCAGTCCGAGCAGAACCGTGTCAACGACGCAGAGGACGTTGGCGAAGGCTCAGGCGGCGAAGATACAGATGATGATGAAAAGGAGCAAGAAGAAGACAAGCCGGAAGTGAATGACGGCGAAGATGATTGGTCGGCCCAGTCGAGTGACTCTGAAGAATCTGACGACGATTACAACGCCGAGCAATACTTCGACAACGGCGACGACGACGACATTGATGACGCAGATCCATACGAGAATACGTACGAGTAGCAGTAGACTTTTTGAATAGGCGTTTGGGTTGGAATTGTATCACGCATCCATGGCGTTTAGTTGAGTAGATACCCAATTTCACATTTGTTGACTTATACCTCGAATTCGGAAGACTGGCTCTCGCGACCTCAACAAGAATTCAACGCACATGCAGGGAAACTGAACCGATATGCGCATGTTCAGGTGGAAGTTTAAGTAGCGAGTAGACGCTTCCTGTCAAGGGTATCACACGTGTGATATGTCGAGCACGGAGCTTTAATAGGGAAACGTGCAGTTGACAGAATCCTCAAAAGATTGTTAAAAAAAACAGACGAGGTATATCTTGTGTATCGGCTCACCAGCACTTTTTCTTGGATTCTCAGGCCCTCCCCCCGTTCCCCACAGAACTCCACCGCCTCCTCATCTGCCCTATATCCGTCTGCGATCTCTTCACAGTCCCTCTATCCGCATGTACACTCCCCACCCCTCCACCCCTCCGACTAAACGTCTTCACCAACTGCAACGCCCTCTCCCCCACAGTCTCCTCCGCATCCCCAGCCCTCCTCCGCGCTTCAGCACTCTGTTCCTTCCACCCGCCCTCGGTCCGATCCTCCTGTTTCTGCGGCCAAAGCACCTGCCCCACCACCACAGCCCTAACATTCATCACAACGACAAACCCCCACATCAGCACCAACCCGCCCGTCATCACACACCCCACAACCTCAATCGCGCGATTCCCATCCAACGCCCTCGCAATCGCAAACGTAGCCGTCGTCAGCGCCGTATTGGGGAATACAAACGAATACCACGTCATGGCAAAGTCCATCTTCCCGCGCGCAGCACAACTCCAGTGCGCGCCGACGCTGACGAAGAAAAACCACAGCGCGAGCCCCCACAGCCACAGCCCGATGAAATTCGCGCAGATCAGGCCCACGCGCCCCGCGAGCTCGCCGTTGTTGCCCATGAACGAGCTCGGCACGACGGAGGGGAGGTGCTGGCCCATTGTTATGATGCCGGAGATGGTGAACCCGCTTGGCCCCACGGAGACGAACATGCCGGGCCGCAGCGACTCTTTGGGCAGCTTCTGCGTCATTAGCCGGTAGATGAAGGCTGCGTAGATCATCAGCGAGACGAGGAAGCCGATACCTTGGATTGTGTAGCCGCCGAGGATGATGGTGAGGGCTGTGTTTGGGTTGGAGACTTTGGGCGCGAGGTTTCCTGCGTGCGGGCCGATGATTAGTAAAGGATACGCCGGGAAGATCCACAGAGTCGTCATCTGCGAGATGGTGTAGGTTGTTGTTGACCAGCTGTTGAGGTTTGTCAGTCTGGGGTTGAAGTCAGGGGTGGGGGGGATGCACATACATGGTCAGATAAATCCCAATGGAAAACGTAACAGCAAGACCACAATCAAACCAAAACAACACTATCATACACCGCTCCAACCACATCCCCGTCCCCGCCATCCCGACGCCGTACTGCGTGATGTTGATCAGGATGATGCCGAAGCTGACGATGGCGGCGGGGATGAAGAGCGATTCGGTCGGATGGACAAATGACGCGCGGAACGTGCGGGGGTAGAAGTAGAAACGGCAGGAGATCATGACGACGTTGAAGACGAAAAGCGCTATGTTGAGGAGGAAGAAGGCGCAGCCTAGGGCGTACAGGCCGTGGAAACGGAGGGGCACTGGAGAGCGTTAGCCTGATAAAAGTATCTTTCCCAGTGGAACATACCAGTGTAAAGCACATTAGCAAGCCCCCCCGTCGCCATAGTCATGCAAAACCACGTCCAAGTAAAATGGCGGACTCTTTCGAGGAGACTAAGTCTTTTCCTCCCTTCTCCATCCGCATCCGCATCCGCATCCATACTTATATCCCCTGGGCTCTCATCTTCTATCCCCTCCACTCCATTCCCTCCCAAAACACCCTCCCCAGATCCCTCATCTTCCTTCTCCTCCTCACTCCCCCTCCCCCTCCCTCTTCCCATCCCAACACCCACCTCTGCAAACGGGTCCCCCCGCCCCTCCTCCGCACTCGGCGTACACACAGACGCATGACTCCGCCAATGCAAGCGCTCCGCCGCCGTACTGTATTCGCGCGCGGAACCCGAGTCTGGCGGACGCATACCCACGCGTTGATCGTTGCGCATGCTAATCCTCGCGCGCGCTCGTCAATTTGCGCTCGCAATTCTCAACCGCGGTTTCGCTGCGGCGTTGTGTTGTCTTTCGTTTCCCTCGCTCTTTCTAGGTATGCTTCTTCCTACTATCTACCGTTTACCTACTATCTACGCTCTATTTCCCCAGCACATCCGATTGCAGCAGAAAACCCAGATAGCCACCGCCCTGGATCAGCGCCTCGTAGATAAAGCACCCCCACAAGACGACTCATCATCGCACATTCCGCGCGACAAATCAGCTCCAGATACGGCGTGATAGTCGCAGCGCTACGTCTGGCTAGCGAGCCGGGGCGTGGAGAAAGCACGGATATGCGGGAAGAGCTAGTCAGGGGAGTGTAGATCGTTTTGTGTTTCACCGCCGGATAGTGGAGTACGGCACAGCACTGCATGTCAAGATTATGTTCAAGATCAAGTGGGAGGAAAATATTCGCGTAGGGTAAATGCACGGTTTGGGTAAATAGGTATCAAGACAAATACTTCCATCTAAATCGCTTCACGCTACATACCGACTAACACGAAGTAGAAGAAGATGAAGCACAATATCATACCTACAAATACACTCCAAAAGGCCCCCTCGCATCACATCCTCCGTGCAAGAAGGAGACCCCTCCACCCCCCAGTCCAATCCAATGCCCACGCACCCAGAAGAAAAGAAAAGAAAAGAAAAGAAACACCCTCAACCACAAGAATGTCTAAAGCAGATACAAGCAACCACCATACGCCACCCAACCCATATGCGGCCGCCCCACGAAACCCCCCCATCCCATCCCATTCGAACCCCCCATTACGCCCACTACGCCAAATCATCCAGCAGACAAAAACAGCAACAACAACAACACACCCACCCACCCACCCATCCACCCTACCAAAAACTACACCACCCAATATAATGCTGACACAAATTCTCCAAATTCGTCGCCTCCTTAATCAGTCGATCCACCTGGCCAATAACGCCCAGCTCCTCCCCTTGCCTAAAGTCCCTACCCGTGAGTTTCTCCTTAACGCGGGATAAAACCTGCAGCGCGCGAGCGTTCTGGACTTCCTTTGCCTCTGCCTCGTTTGGCGGGGCGATGCTCGAGCGGTGGCGGGCGCGGACTTGCATGCTGGACATGTCGCCGACGTCGCCCATGATGGATTGGCGGCGCTCGGAGGGGTAGTTTGGCTCTGGGGGGGACATTTCGCGGTGGCCGAGGCGCCAGGTTAGGAGGGGGTCGTGGATGAACTGTGGGTTGTGTTAGTATGTTTTTGTGGTGTGTGTGGGGATGGGAGGGGTGGGGTGGAGTAATACGTACGGCTTCGAGTACCGCCATGACGGATTCTTTGTTGCTGCGTAGTACGCGCATGACGTGTTCGCATGTTGTGCGGTAGCTTCCTTCGATGTTGCTGACTTCCATGGCGTAGGTTAACATGCGCGTTAGTCGGAAGGGCACGCGTTCGGGGTATTTCTCGCGGTGCATAGCCACTTCGAAGCAGTCGCCGAAATCAATGTGCACGATCTTTCCAGTTACCCTGTCGAGCATGAGATTGGACGGGTGGCGATCACCCAATCCGAGGATGTAGCCGACCATGGACATGACGGCGAGCGAGCGAGTGTAATTTGTACGGCGGTCCAGCCAGGCTTCCGAGCTCTTACTCTTGAGCCACAGGACACGGTACAGATCTTGACCCGTCGTGTTGTCGAGCGCATAGCCGAACACCTCAACCTTCTGCATGAGGGTGAGACAGTCGTAGTCCGGCGCCATCTGCAACATAATACGGTGCTCGATGTTGAGCAGGATCTTTCGACTGTCACGGTACTCTCTGATGAGAACGTGAAGTGTGTCGCTGTTTGGCACGAAACCCAGTAGTCCGGACTGCGTCGACAGCGGCACAGCAGCATACCGTTGGATGTTGAGATGGCGCTTGCGGCTCTCAACATCGTTGGCAAGTAGGGTATTGCACAGACCGAACAGCTGCATAACGCGCTCATCTTGACGGATATCCTCATGACCCTTCAGAATATGCGTATGCGCCTTGCCATCACTACCTCGCATCTCCAATTTCCTAGGCCGCTGTTTAGACTGGATAACAGAAGCCAGCGGGTCAACAGATATGATCCGAATAACCGGCTTGCCAACTTGGTATGTTCCCGGAACCGCGAGCTCAAGATCATGCGCATCCTTGAGTTTCGGCGACACGTACTGAAGCTCCAGCGTCATCAACGACGGCAGCTGACGCGCAATCTTGCGGAACACCTGGTAGTACAGATCCCAAGCCTGGTTAAGGTCTCCAATCTCGCCAGAAGTCCTGAACGTATTGCACCAGTCGCGAGCCTCCTGCAGCTCGCGACCGAAAGACTGGATGAACGAGATTTCGCGCAACGTCTCAGGTCCCTTGTCAAGCATAGCGTGTAACGGCGCGAGCGTGGCAAACATGCCGTCGATGTTATGGTCGCCAAAGTAGAGCCTACTCGCCTCTTCAAGACCCTCATGCCATTGCTCGTGCCACAACACGGCTATCCTGATTAGTTCGTGACTGACAAGATCGGCCTGTTCAACAAGACGCGGTGAGTGCTCGCGCATGGCCTCCATGAGCTCCCTGGCGGACCGCGAACGACGAGATACATCGGACTTCATCGAGACTGTCAACGGGAAAACCAAAGCCTGAGGATGCGCCTTGCCGACCTCAATCAGCAGCTGATGGATAGACTGCCTGACCGTGGGATTGGGCTGATTGATCCTGGCAAGCAACTGCGGTATAACCTCAAGCCAAGTGTCAATCGGAACCGACTTCGTGCCCTCAGTAATCGTACGGTTGACTTCCGGCAGCCCACCATGACTGAACCAAAGCGTAAGCAATCGCAGCGTATCCTGAAGCGAGCTAGTCGACGACAGCGCAATCGACTTGAAGAAGCCATGGATAGCCGGAACGACGTGATCGTGCACCATGTTAGAGGGCACATCTGTAGTCTCCCGATCGGCCTTTGACGTGATCGAGTTGATGACCTCGAAGTTGGCAAGCGCCCACGCATGCCATGCCTTGTACCAGTTCTGGTTATATCGAGTGGCAGCGGCATACGCGGACAGGATCTCGTGAACGTATTCATGTCCCCATTCTCCGTCGTGCAGTGCTTGTTGCCATTCGCCCTGCTTCAGGTAGCATTTAGCGAGAAGGCGATGGCAGTCGGCCATATCCATGGTCGAGACGCCCATAGCTGATCCGTTGAGCATGCTCGAGCCGTTCATTCCATTAACGCCATTGGTACCATTCGTGGCTGCGAAGGGATTCGCGTTGCTGAACAGACCATTCGTCGTACCGTTCATCCCGTTCATGCCATTTTGCGGCATCATCGGATTGGACGCCGCCCTCGTGCGCATAGCAAGGTCTTCCGATAGTCGCGTAGTAAAGTCCTTCATCAAGTTGAGCGCCTCCTGTTTATAAGGATGATCCGCCCACATATACTTGTACGTCGCATACGCCACAGGATGCGGGATCTTGTGGGCGTTTTCACGCACGTACTCGACGACTCTCCCTTCGCCTGCACCCTCAATATCTAGCAGCTTCTGCAGTGCCTTGTTCGCAAGGTTCATCCGATCGTTCTTGCGACAGAGATTGGTGTACTTGATCCACATGTCTGTGCCTTCACTAGGCGAGATGACGAGTTGGCGGACCTTCATCATTCGCTGCCAGACTTCCGGATTCGGTTGCAGACCTCGCAGACGCTTCATCCAGGTCTTGCGCATGCTCTCTTGCTTGTCCTTGTTGTTCTCATTCTGCTTGTAGACCATGATCTCCTCCAGCTCAGCCAGCATCTGCACGCGGATCATCGGCAGGTAGGCGCGTTGGTAGGACTCGCCGAGTAGCGAGCTCAACTCGGTGTCGAGACCCTTTCGAGCCTTGGCAATCTCTTCAATCGCAATCTCGAAGCGATTGTTGTGGATATTGAGGATAGACGCAAAGAATGCCCTGTCCGGCGACTGTTCTTTCATAACGTTGAGGTAGGAATCCATATCAGCGAACTTGCCCAGACCCCAAGCAGCCGTCGCAGCAAGCGGAGCAATCGCCTTCCGATACTCCTGACTAGCAGTAGACCACTTCTCCTTCGACAAAGTCGACAAAAGGTCCCATTCACCGAGAGCATGCAAACAGCGCATCTTGCCCATTGTGACCTCAAACGAGCCCGGCTCTTCAATCTCACGCCGTTGGTAGGAAGCGAGCGCTTCGTCCCATCTCTGCAACTTCTCGAACCAAGTCTCTTTCAACTCGACGTCGTTATAGTTCTGTGCTTTCCTAAGGATACCGAACGCTGCGTCTGTCTGCTGTAGCTGGTTGTTGATGCTAATGAGTGCCTCCACGGCGCCAGAGTTCTGCTCCGCGTTGAACTCCAACTCCTTGTAGTGTAGCGCTTTGGCAAAGGCGTGGCACTTGCCGGCGTACATGCCCAGTATCCGAACGTCGATGGGAAGGGCTTTGTCGTCATGCTCCATAAATTCCGCCAAGTTCAGAAGAATCTGCAAGATCTCTGGTGGGATGTTCGGCGACGTGAGCGCACACTCGATGGACCGAACAAGCTCTTCCTGGTACTGATCGTACAACTCCGTCCAACACGAGACGAAAGCCGAGTTGAACAGACTTCTAGCGATGGGATTGTAAATACTACCCAGTGGTGTGCAAGCACGCAGCGCCTGCTGCGGTGACTCCCGAAGCAGCTCCACACTAAACCTTCGCATCCATTCAATCCAGTCTTCCCTCGTTGTCTTGGACGATGCCTCCCAAGCCTGTTTGAGATGTTGTTGATTGACAGCCAGTTTCTTTGTAAGAATCTCCGCAGGGTTCAGATCTTCGTCGTCTTCCCCATACCGCTCGTCTGGACTCAGATCTTGCGGCAGAGGTTCCCCTTTCTGCAGCTTCGACACAATACGGCCATAATTCTCATGAGGCACCTTGTGTGCGATGAGGATCTTGTTGACAGTCGGCACAAAGTGGACATAGTCAGGTCCGAGCTGGAAGATGAGTGCACAAAGCGTCTCGAGAGCAGTCTGCTTCAGCGTCGGCTCGGTGCCAGCAAGCACGCGGCAGAGAGGATGGACGATTCGCGCAGCAAATTCGGAAACGTTGACTTGCTTCGACAGTCTCCCCAATGTCTCGATGGCCTGTCTTCGGATATGCACAGGCTGACCTGGCTTGTCAAACATCTTGACCATGATCGGTATAATGAGGTGCATATACTCTTCCGCACTCGACCCAAAGATGAGAAACGCATGAAGCACCCGCTCAGAAGGTAGCCGTTTACCAGTCTGATCCGAGTCTAGAACGCTGAGCATAAGAGGTAGGACATCAGCCAGATAGACCTTGAACTCGCCCTCAAGCGACTTAGCAATAGCTTCTATCAGCGACAAGATGGTCGACTGTAGCTGAGGGCTGCTGCTCCAGTACTCTTTGATGGTTGCCAGTATGCTAGGCAGATACGGCCGGATGTGCTGGCGTACAATTCGAACAAGCTGGCTAAGCTGATTGAAGTAACCCTCTGAGCGTCCCGCCGGAGTGGCGCGGATAACTTGCAGGAATCCAGGCACCACCTGGTTGAGGAAAGGCACACATTTGAGGCCCATGGTGGCGTATATGTTCATGACAGCATCCACGATAGCGGAGTGAAACTGAGTCAGTGATGTATCTTTCAGCAATCCCATGAGCGTGCTGATGACAATCGTGGGGTAGTACTCTTCGTTCGAAGGAGTAATGCCTTGCATGATGAGCGAGACGTCGGTAACTGCTTGAGCCTCCAGGATGAGATGCTTGTCTGGCGACTGCTCCATGATCTTCACGTACTCGTCCGGATCCAGAGCACCAAGGGTACCCATGAGCCTTACGGTTTCCCTCCTAAGTTCACCTTCAGGCTCCGTCTTGACAATGTTCATCAAGATGTTCATCAACTCTGGATAGTCTCTGTACGGTTCGATGACATAGCCTGCATTGGTAGCCAGCTGTCCCAGAGCCCTCAGCGCGGCAAATCGTTTCGAATCTGCACTCAAATCTTGCATGAAGTCGAGGATCACGGGCATGAGCTCTGGGATGTATTTGATCATACCTTCGCCACCAACCGTCGCCAAATCGCCAATAGCTTTGAGTGTAGTCGACGCAACCTCAGGATTGAGGTCCTTTGTCTTCGGAAGAAGCACAGTGACAATCGGATCAACGAGTGGCTTGATAAGACTGTCTGCTGCTCCAACCAGACTACTGATAAGCTTCGCACTCTCTTCTTTGCTTCGCGGGCTATTCGCGTAATTGACTTCCGTCAACAACTGCAGGAGGACTTTGCGTAATGAGGGGAAGACGTATGCCGGGTTGACAGATGTGAGCCGACCGATGATAGACATGGCAGCTTCTCGAATGGCGAAAACTTCATCGTTGAGGGCAAGAAACAGGGTCCGTACATTATCCGCCTTTCCTAGATGGCGGTCAAAGCGCGCATCGAGCGCCATGAGGACCTCCCATCGAATCTCAGGGTCAATGTCGCCCACACCGACTGTTAGCAGTTTCTCGATGATGTCGCCAACAACCTTGGTAGCATGAGTGCTCGTCTGATGCACAATGGGATCCTTGACAAACAGCTGACAACACGTCAGGGCAGCGCGCTTCCTGATCTCCGGGTTGTCAGCCTCGACGTAGCGGATGGCAACGTCGCGAACAAACTCGTTCAGAACATGGCCGGTAAAGTCGAAGCTCCCTAGTGTGTGTAGAGCCAAGGCAATCTCTGCTTCTCGCGGCGCAATCGTCTGCGGGTCCTTGTGATCTCGTGTCCATATCTGCGGTGTCTGCGATACCTGGTAGGGACTGCCTAGGGGTAAGAAATGTCTGCCGGCGAGGATCTGGCTAAGCAAGTCGAGGAGCTTCTCCTGGATCATGGGTCGGGAAGGCGGTACATAGTGGGCCATGTCCACAAGGGCCTGGAACAAGGAATCGCTCAGTCCGCAGGAAAAGATGGGGTCCAGCAGCCGTTCCACGCTCTTGGTGAGGGCCTGGCCTACGGCTGCGGCGATCATGCTCAGACACTGGAAGATGGGGGCTTCGTTGATGACACTCTTGTTTCGCCTGGGATTGTCAGCAGAGTCATGGAGGGATATATCATCTTTGCATACGCTTTCGCTGTGAGGCCCTCCTGTATGAAGACCAGGATGCCCTCGAGGTAGGGAGAGATGGCGACGCCGACTGCATTCGCAATCTGCCCAATGGCAATAAAGGCCTTGTCGCGGTCGCGGTCCTTGCGTATCAGGCCCTGCAGATGCAGCATGCACGGGTGCAGGTACTTTGCGGCGAACTCGGTCGGCGAGTAGCTGGCGAGGATGGGGATGATGAGCACCACCTCGCGCCGCACCAGGGCATCGCGGTGCTCCCTGTACTTGAGCACCGTCTCGACCGTCTCCTTGTACTTCTGGTCGTTCATGAACATGGCGCTCTTGTCCAGCAGCTCCTTCATGGTGAGCAGCGAGCCGTGAATGGCCTCGTTGGTGTTGATGGTGAAGCCGCGCAGGATCTCGTCGTAGACCTTGCCGAACCACAGCTGGCGCATCTGCGAGTCGCGGGGGGAGATGATCTCGAAGCAGGCGCTGATGGCCTCGGCGGCCGACTCGCGGATGAGCACCTTGGGGTCGCGCAGGGCGACCCAGATGACGTCGAAGATCTGGGCGATCCACTGGTACATGAGCGTGGGCGAGTTCTTGGCCAGCTCGCGCAGGATCAGCACGGCGGCGAAGCGGCGGTTCTCCAGGCGCTCCAGCTGCAGCCACTCGAGCGCGCCCTTGACCTCGGCCTCGACCAGCTCGGCCGTCAGCGTGCCGCCGGGCTTCGCGAGCCGGCCCAGCGCCTTGGCCGCCACCACCATGGCCGTCGTGTCCTGCCCGCGCATGACGGCGCGCAGGTACGAGGCGAAGCGCGTCGTCTTCTGGCCGGCATCGTCGCCGCGGAAGTCGATGAGGGCGTTGAGGGCGTGGATGCCGCCGATGCGTTCGTTGGAGTCGCTGCCCGTGACGATGAGGCCCGAGATCTTGCCGTAGACTTCGCTGTAGAAGGTCGTGAAGACGTTGGGCGCGAGCTCTGCGCAGCGTCAGTCAGTGCCTGCCTGCGCGGGGCCGGGCCTGGGCCTGCCGCTCACCTCGATGCGCCGACTCGACCGTCTGCCGGAGCGTGTGGGCGGCCTTTTGCCGTGTGTCGTCATGTCTGGCCAGCATTAGCTCTGCACCTCGTCTGCCTCCCAGCTGGCGGGCTCACTTGGAGCGCAGCTCGTGGACTATGCGGTCCAGCGTCTGCGAGAGCGGCGTCTGCTGCGCCATTGTGTCTGCTTCACCTGAAGCGCGCGGCAGCTGTCGAGTAGAAAGTGTCGTCTTCCATGAAAAGGAAGGACGTGTGGTCCAAGTCAATGTGTGGTTGAGGTGGACGTAGCTGTGGTAAAGTTACTGGTTCAAGATCACGAGTCAAGTTGCTAGCGCGTCTGGCCCATCCTCACCGCGGGCCGCATTGGGAGCATCACCGACACCACCGCGGTGAGCAAATACAGTAGAAGACGATGTAGAATGTTTCAAACGATAATACCATTCAGCTCAATTAGGTCATAACATACAATCCCAATCACCCAAGCACCCCCCGTGCCGCAGCCCCCACCAGCCCGCCCATCTCACTAAAGAAGATGCTCTTCAGCACCGTCTCGCCCTCCCCAACAGTCCACATCCCCGCATCCACCAGTTTCTCCCTCCACCTCTTCTTCTCCTCCTTACTAAGCTCATCCCACTTCCTAGCCGCCGCGTGCTTCTTAACCACATCCTCATCACCCTCATGCACCTCCGTGCTGAGGGAGGACTCCGCGTCCGGGTCGTGGGCGATGACGAGCGCCTTCTTCTGCCGCTCGACAGCGTCATGCGACACGTCAGGGAAGTGGAGATGGAGCAGATCGCTGATGCGGTGAGCTGTTTTGACGACCGGCGAGTCGGCGTTGTTCAGGATGGCTTGGTGCCGCTTCTCGCGCAGCAGCTCGCCGAAGGGCTTGTGCTGGCTGGCTGCGCTTTGCAGGCTCGCGGGGAGTAGGCTTCTGGTTAGGCTTCCCTCAGGGTCGATGAGTGATTGGATCATCAACGAGACGGCTGCGATGACCACGGCTGCTACGATGTAGTATGCCGCCTGGTACATGGTTCTTGTTCGTGCTGTTTGGAGAACATGGCGTGACCCGTAGTATTGCAGTTCGAATGTCTCAACGGAGATGGTGTTGCCCAGCGATGTCGAAGCCAGGCGGAGGTACTGTGGTGCTGCGGTCTTCCCCACTGGTGCGTCGGACTTGTAGAACGGTGAGAACACGACTTTTGTCATCTGCATGCTATGAACCTATCTCGTGTTAGTCCGTTTGCCATGGCACAGAGAAGTCAAACTTACATCCGTATACGTATCAAACAGATGCAGGTTACTGAGCGAGTCTCGCGCAGGGCCGTGGTAGTCAATCACATACACACTCAGGGAGTTGTCTATGGCAGCGACAGCAACCACAATCTGATACACGCCGTCCGCTCCGGGGTCCAGTAACGCGACATCCATATCCGTAGCCGCCTTGACGTGCTTTGGCAGCGTTTTCCGCAGTACAACGCTGGCCGGTCCCTCCTCATACATGTGAAGCACCAGCAGGTCGACGCCCGTCCTATTTGGCTTGTTCGCTAGAAGCAGCAAGTGTTTTGGGGAGAGCCAGCGTATGCACCTAAGCTTCGAGCGTGGCTTTTTCTCCATGACATCGGCATGCGGCACGGTATATAGCTTTCTGCGCTCACTCTTCTCCTTACTCCTGCGCTGGTCGAAGTCATAGTTGATATCCTGGAGATAGACTTCTTGGTCCAACGCATAAGCAACCTGGAAGCGCCCTTCGCCTTGGTCGAGAATGTCCACGTCATTCGCTTCCTGGCCCTTGTACAGACCAATCCGTTGTATTATGTCCTGCGCATCTGGCCGGTTCGACGTCGCGCCGAAGACGACAATCTCGTTCTCGTCGCCCGCCAGACTCGACGCAATTGCGCCAATGCGCTTCGTAGGCGTGCTGGAAGCCGTCCGCTGCGGCGGCGACAGTCTTACCACGCGCTGGTAGTTCTCCTTCTTCGCATTCGTCGACTGCGGGGGCGTGAAAAGCGTCGTCTTGCTCAAGAACGAGATATTGCCATCCAACTTATCTCCTCCCTCAATCGTCGCCTTGATGGCTGGAAAGCGAACCTCAAAGGCCTGGAAGTGCATGTTCCTGTCCTTGAGGCGGTCCTCCTCGCTGCCGCCGATTCCAGCATACACTATCAAGCCATCTTTTGTCGCAAGATTCGCAAGACATGTCACCGAGTCGTCTTTGGAGACCTCGGCCTCGGCGCACGGTTGGACGGTCGGCGCTCGTGAGTTGAAGTCGAAGAGGGTGATGCTGTTCTTCACGCCATGACGCCCGGCGCCTCCACCCCCACCCACCACCAGGTAGCCCGGTCTGCTGTTGGCAAAGCTAGCAGCGTAGATGGGATAGGAAGCTGCAACAGTCAGCCCGTGTTTGCCGCAAATCCTCACATCAACGCGACAACATACTTTGCGCTTTCGAAACGGTAGGACGCGACATTGAGAGGCTCGGGGGCATGCGCCGCTATCGCATGTAGTGGGAGAGTGTGAGATGACGATGTGAAGTTTATTAGGGTACAGATATCAGGGTATCGAATTCTAGGTGTTTGCGAGACCAAGTACAGTCGCCGTCGTTCAGGGGACAATAGATAGAAGAGTCGTGGGTTGCTTCAGTCCACGTTGCCATGATGCGCGCGAGATCAAGCCGCAAGCGTCATCGTCGCGATCCGCGCCTGACAATCGTTTGTCGATCAGCCACCACGACCAAGGAAATGCACGGATTGAGAAATTCAAATGATTCGCGAGACAACTCCTTGTCAATTGACCGATTTGTATTAAATCTAACACAACATATACCTACCATCTACTCTATAATTCTAAGAAACTCTTCAACAAAACATTCACAATTACAATTCCAGATTCTCCCTCTCAGCCACCTCCCCCTCTCTAATCAAATTCCACTCCGCAACCGTCCCACCGACCTCCACGTCACCAAACTGATTCCCCTTTATCCCCAAATGCGCAAACCTCCCACTCCACACACTGCGCTCCAACGTGACATTCGTCTGGTTCCCCACATACGTCCTGATCTCAAACGCAGTGACAGGATCATACGGCGCAGAGAGCTCAACCTTGCCCGCAACCACACTGCGCACGTCCTTCTCCCCATCCTTGAACGGCGGGAGCGACGAGTTCGAGAAGAGGATCTCATAGTAAGACGGCGCCTGGTTGCCCCAGTCCACCATCAAGTTGGTGATGGGGTAGAACTCCGCATCTCCCAAGTCGACGGTCATGTAGGAGAGGACGGACGAGTTGGCGGGCTGCCATTTCGTGCTCGCTGCGCCGTCGATGGCAGCGATGGGGAATTGACCTGGTGCGTTTCCCTGCGGCGATGGCAGGACGGATTTACATTGCAGGATGTTGCCGTCCATAGTGAGTGTCTGGCCCATCATGCGGTTCGGGAGGACGAGCGGCTCGGCGCCCAGCGAGAACTCTCCGGGCCGTGTGCCGAATGTGACGGGGATGGGCTTCTCAAAGTAGGTCTCGTTTGCTGATGGGAGCGCATACTTCTCGCGAGGTAGACGGATGAGAGTAGTATGTGTAGCGTTGGACGTAGCGTTGATGCCATGGCCCTGCCAGTAAAACGTGCGGTAGTCCAGGTAGGAGATCTGGGGTGGAAGTGAAGGGTCGATATCCAGTCTATCGTAGAAAAGACGCAATCCCAAGTAGCCAAACACAGCTACTCGGTTCGATCCTCCCATGCCTGTCAAGAACGGGTATGCGGGATGGGTTCCTCCGTTCTCTGCGACTTCATCAATGAGTTGCTCGGAGTATTGGTACCATGGTGCACGAATGTATGGCGATGAAGAATACAAATCGTAAGTGTAACTAGAGCATCCCGACGGTGAGACTTGATTCGCGACGACACTGAACGAGGAATATGTCATCGCCGGCCCATCAAGTGATTGCTTTGCTGCGTAGTAATCCAGGTTCGCAAGGCTGTACGGATTCGGGTAGTGCAGAAGATCGTCGATGAGCACTACATCTGCTTGCTTCACCATCACAGTGCCATTCATGCCCTCGTATTCGACGACGATGTCTGCTTGCCTGTTGACGGGGAGTTGCATACGCGATGCAATCTTCGACCAATTTGCGTTTTGAGCCACACCAAACCAATTGTTGAACTCGCTCGTTTCGATAAACTGCCTCTGGATAAGAGCAGTAGTAAATCCAGCGTTGTTGACTTGGTTCGCATACTCGTCCGGATCCGTAGCGTTCCAGAGCTCGTACGCGCCCGACGATTTGTTAAAGTCCAGTACCTCCCCGAAGAAATGCGCAACGGCATTCGAAATAGGAAGCAACGTTTCTTTGAAATATGCCCCATCACCAGTTACCGCGAGATGGTTGTTAAAAGCGATGCAAACGTCTCCATTCACATGGTATTCGTAGTCGAAGCAAGGCCCTGTTCCCGTGCAGTTGCCGAAACGCCCACTGGTCCATGGGAATACTGCTCCACCCGGCGTGAACCTGTCGGTTTGATTCTTCGACGAAGTAAAAGCCGTCTCAACATTTCTCTGCGCTTGCTCGAAGTGCTCAACCCGGTACTTGATGACGTTCTGAGCATGCTGCGGATGCGAGACCTGCAATCCTGGCGCCATCCACGCGTCAGCATCCCAGTAGATCTGGCCAGCGTAGCAGTCAGAAGCAAGTCCGCAAACAGGGATGCTGTGGATGTCAAGCCGCGTATTACCTCCCGCTGCTGCGATGGCGTTGGGTCCAACGGTGTTTGACAAGATATAAAACGGGTTCGTGTGCGCCAGAATGTGGAGTTCTCTGATGTTAGGATCATCTGGCAATGAGCCACTTGGTAGGCGGTAGTCGTCCACCGAGTCCTCGGTCAAGATGCTGTGCCACTCCTTGGTGTGTGACTGCAAAAGGGTATCATATCCTTCCCTAGCACCATATACTGAGGCATTGCATGCCGCCTCCTGCGGATCCGAGAACGCATCGGTAGATGCAATACCAACAAATTTGCTCAACTGAGCCGATTTCTCTGCCTTTAGTTTGACCTGCACAGACTGCGCAATTGTCATCTCGTTCCCGTTGGCATAAACATCCTGAGCCTTGCTTCGAGTCCTCATATCCACTGTAGCATCCCCGACAAGAGTCGAGTAAACATACGCGGTGACATCGTGCATATTCTCAGGGCTGACAGCGGTCCATATTGTCGGCCAATCATCCTCAAACTTCTTATCCACGAACTCGCTTCGAACAGCACAGTCTCCATCCAAAACATCGTATACTGTGATATTCAGGTCGCGAGCCGCCGTAAGTCGAAGTCGAACAGCCGCTTGGTTGACATTGAGCTTGTGCACGAACAGTTCATAGTCAACGTCGATAGCGTCTCTTTCTTCTCCCCCGGGCGCCCATTTATACTTCCAATTCGCAATGCCAGCTCTTACATTAAGACTGGTCGTGAAGTCTGAGATATGTTTCGGATTCACAGACGCGTTAAGCCACGCGCCATTGGCCTCGACCACAAGCCCACTCCAATGCGGTATACCGCTAATAACACTATCCCAGCCATACTGGTCCAACCAAGGATAATTCGAGTTGTTGAGTTCCGGCTGCGTATTGAAGAAACCCGCGATCGACGAGAAAGTCTGCCGTCTGCTGAAAAGTGGCCAGCCACTGAGATTGTCGCCCTCTACGGGTTTGTCGACTTCGAAAAACGGGCCCGCAGCCGCAACGCTGATTCCGACATAGCCGTTCGCAAGGGAGAGCCGGGACTGATAATGACCCTGATCGAGGGCGCGGCTTGACAAAGTCCAGTTGTCGTCGTCCCAGTCGACGTGTTTAAACTGATCTCGATGTTGATCTTGACCCTGACTGCTCGAAACAAGGCGACAAGCTGCTAGTAATATGCTCAATCTCTGCAAGCGCATTTCCAAGGGGTAAGTCGAGGAATAAAGAACGGGTAGACAGAAAGAAACGCAAGCAAACCCCACGAGGGCATTGTCTAATCTTTAAGGCCAGGGGTAAGAAAAAGCCACGCTGATCATGACTGATACCCGCATCCTTGCACATCTTGTCGTGCGACCGATCGCTATCGTGCTCTTTCTCACCGCTAGGCGACCGGACCAGCTGTCATCCTCACGTGGACCCTTTTCTATGGCGGAAAGTAGCCCGTAGGCGCGCGTAGGCACGTACCACCCTCATTTGACAACGCGACAGGAACGAGACAGCTGTGTGGCAAGGGAATCCGCGTCCAGTCGGATGGTGTGGGAATGCGGCTGAGTGGAGGCTGAAGGAATGCAACAAAGTTTAGTTATCGGACGTGACGTCATCGATAACAATCTTTGTTTTCTTCGGCTCCATCAAATTGATTAGATGGATATCGCGTGGAGAAAGGAAATCTCTTCAAGACATGACGAAGTGAATTCACGACGGTGGGGATGTTCATGTTTGTAGGATGACGGTGTGTGTACCATTGCTATCTAATAGAGTTTGGTGTGGTGATGCTAGAAAAGAACCTCAAAACGCGCCAGAAAATGCTGTGCAAGAACGCCATGCAATGCTGCTAACCCACCCGCGAGAAAATGCTCAAGAACAAAAGAAACTCACACGAAGAGCCTGAACCGGCAGCCTCTCGTACATATTAGACTTCTCAACTGCTTACGCTCTTGGTCCTCCGTCCCTTTCCACACTCCCTCTTGCTCAAGGGTTCTTCGGGGAACACCCATCCCCGGATCCTCTTCGCCTCGCGCTTCTCTCCCAGTTGGGGCTTAGGAATCCAAGTATCCTTCTCCAAGAAGTTTTGCCTTGTAAGGGCAGCGGGTCCACCGACGTCCATGCGCCATGTTCCCATGCCTTCGAACGGGTTCTCCTTGGCGAGCATGTGCAAGTACCACAATGCAAGGGGGGCAGTGAGCTGGATGTCACCAGTCTCTGGGTGCACACCTTGTGTAGACAGGCGAATAGGCGCGCTGGTCTCAAGGTACCCGAAGATGGGAACGCCAGTCTGCGCGTTGACAATGGTAGGATCGACGGTCGCAGCGTCAGATGGACCACCGCATCGAACGCACAGGAGCTCGATCTCAGTCATGATGAAGCCGTAGCGGCATCCGTGCTCACGCATGACGCGGTGCAGGTGCGCAAGGCCCTGGAGGTAGAGGACTTGCTTTGGCGGCGACTCTCCACGCATGCCAGTGTTCCACTGGTCGTAGCACTTGACAAGTCCAACGACACGTCCACGGCTGTCGCCGAAGATGGTCTTCTCGTAGTCGGAGGGGTAGCTAGAGACGAACTCGGGCTGTTGGCGCGCTCCAGCGATTGGCTTGACAGCGCGCATGACCATGTGTGTGTTTCCCTGTGCGACCTTGAGTGCAGCATTGACCTTGTTGGCGTAGTAGTTTGTGCAGATGTCATGGAGACCAGACTCGTTCTCTGGCTGGAGGTTCTGGCGGCAAGGCTGCGGGAGGTAGGACGACGGGACAGGAACCTCAAGGAGGGGCAGTACTGAAGGAATGGACTTGATAGTGGAGATATTGAAGTCCTCCCAGCTTCGCAGGTTGCGAATGTCCCACCAGAAGTGGTTGTTGATACCGCGTGGTGCGCTAGTGACACGACGGACTAGGGCGGGGGAAGGGTTGGGAGAGGAAAGATACTCGGAAAGAGAAGAAGTGGCAGCAATAGGCTGGAAGGTGTCGAAGTTGACCTCATTAAAGGAAGGGTATTGAACAGCGGGAGCTGGCTCAAAGTCTACAACGCCAAAGTCGTGCGTGGCGGCCGCGGTGTAGTTGGGAATCTCCTGGACAGTAGAGTATGGGGGCGAGACGGAAGAGACGTGGCTCAAGTTTGAGTGAGATACGCCCGAGGCGGTCACGTAGCTTGGCAAATTACGGTATGTAGGGAAGCCATATCGGCTGACGACGTTCTCGTCGACACTTCCAGCCGAAGAAGATCGGTCATGACGAGCTCGGCCAGCAGAGTTGGAACGAGAGTGCGAGCCCATGTACGAAGACGAGCGGCGAGCGCCTGGTCGTGTGAAGTTGATGGGCGAGTTGAGGGTAGCAAGACCCATATCATAGGAAGCAATAGTAGAGGCAGGGGAAGCCATAGCACTGTGCACATTCTGGTTGAAGGGGCTCAAGCTACGGCGGACCATTGAAGTTGGTCGCGAGTAGGGGCTGTAGCCATAGCCAATGCTGCTGGAGGTAGACGGCGTCCTGCGATGTCTAACGGGACCAGAGGTAGGCTCAGCAATCTGATCTTGCATCCGGACCTTGGGGAGGAGAAGTGGTCCATGGCACCGGATGGGCGAGCGCGGGGGAGTAAGACTGAGAGCGCTGACGTCTGGCGAGGAGGCTCGCGAGTAGTAGCTAGCATCTGACCCGACACTGCCAGGGATGTAGTTGAAGGAGGAACTTGGTGGTGTTGTTTGGCGGTTGAACATTGTGAATGAGTATGAGCTACCAGACTGCTTCGTGTGAGTATGACTTGCATTCCAAACGACCGTATCCAATGACTTACGCTGAGTATCAAAAGGTCGAGCAGGAATTATCGAATAGCGGTTTAGTGGGAGATCCAGCTCCTGATTCTAAGACAAATGGAATTTAAAAAAGGACACAAAAAGAGCACTGTCTCGACCCGTCGGACAATGTAAACGCTTTTGCTGATAGAGAGTACCAGAAGGATGATGGAGCAAGTGGTTGTGCGGCGAGGCAATCATACTTATCCTCTCCCCCACAAAGCCACCACAACCAGTCCTCCGTCCGCGCTAAAACACCTGAAACACGATTCATCGTCGTCGAAAAACCAGATCTCAGGCGGTCAGGACTCAAGCGGTAGCATCACGACGGAATGTTCTACGGGGTGGAGCCCGTCTGAAACACAGAGGTGGTGCTGGGCGAGTACATGGGCAGAACATGTCTAGTGAACGACTCTGTGTTATTTCTGATCTATTCGGTATAGGTTGGGTGGGTTGTGATGCTCCTCACTGGCCGGAGCATTAAAGCTGGCGAGGAATATGTCCGAAACGGGTAAGCAAACGGCGAGGCGCCTGCAGGCGAGGCGGTTGGGGACATGAAACCCAGAATTGCGCGCCGTATTACAATACTGCTGTAGTACATTGAACCGTCGAGTTCCGGGGGGGCGGCAGTTGGACGTCTGGCAGAACGAATGGATGGTCGTGGTGGAGGATGGTTTAGCGCCTGCACCGTCGTCTGTGCGCCGCATGACAAGTCGGCAGAAACGAAACAACAGATTATCGTGGCCCAATCAAGTCTCCAGAAGCCATGGTGACTCTTAACAACGCGCATGTCGGGCCCTGCTTCGCTTGTGCAAGTGTATGCACCAGAGGGTGACTCACAAGAACAGCATTCACGACTATAACACGCTCACGACAACACACAACCGACGCGTGAAGGAGCGCGTTGTTGTTTTTCCGGGTCTTGAGCTTGCCCACCTCTTTGCCGCTGTCCATGTCTACTCGACCTCGGGATCGGGACCGCCCGAACGTCAGTTTGCGCTTCCGAGTGTCGTTCTCGAGCATTGTACCCGGAACCCCGCCTTTCTATTGGCCACAGTCCACCTGCCAATCCAAGCGCCGACACTGTCCAGACGTCGCACGGGGAGACGCTCTTACGCGGAATTGCGATGGGGCATCTCGCTGTCGTTCGTCTCGCAGAGCCTCACGCCATGCCCCGACAGACAAGGGCTATTAAGCGCCGACGACTCCCAAAGAGGAGGAATTATGCTGCACAAATAGCCCACTAATGAGCCAAATATAGCCAAATTGCCCCCAAGCCAGCAGCCAAGCAAAGACCGTAAATTACAGCATCGGGAAATTAACTGTCAAACCCTCTTGAGGTGGGCGATGCTTCATCGCTCGCTCGCTGCATATTGGAGACAGCACGGATGTTGTCATCGCGGTTTCACAAGCCTCGGAATACTGTTCATGCCCTACTGTACGCGCCCATCTCCACTAGATTTGGAAGGGGATCCTAAACTGCTTTTTCGGCTGGGTCGTTCATCAGCTCATGCGTAAGGGCGGCTCTCCTGCGTCAGCGACGAGTGTCGTAGACTGATTGATACTGTGGGTAAGGCTGCGTACGCGATGAGCCACGTATGAAAATGAGGGAATAAGAGCAGAGAGAGGAGAATATAGGCGAGATGAGGGGCTGAGGAAGTCTTTCTCGTGCTGTGTTCTGTCCTCGAAGGTAGATGTGTATCCCTCTTCTTTTTCCTTTCCTCTCGCTTCTTCCTTCCTTCCTCACGTCAACATCTCAGGAATTATTAATCGTTTATGGTGTGCACATCTGTAAGAGATGTTATAGGGCTCTCCCAAAGTCGATTTCTCATCTTCTCACGGATCATTACTCGCTGTAGTACTGTCATATCAAAAGCTTCATGTTCTCGAACAGGTGTTAAAAACAAGTCATACTGTAGCAACTTGCCACATTTCTGTGTTCGTCAATCTCAACTTCAAGGACTCTTCGACGCCGCCACATAATGAAGTTCCATCTCATACACCCTCCCCTCCCCTCCTCTTTCCAGCCATCTACGCCCCCAACCCCCCCTCAACCCTCTCCCCCCACCAAACCCCCCAATCCACCACCCTCCCCTCCCTCCTCGCCTCCTCAGCCGCAAACACAACCGCATGACTCCTCACCACCTCCTCCAAATCGCACCCAAGGAACCTCCTCTGCGCCTCCTGCGCCTCTACGCCCCCACTCTCCACCGCATCCACCGCCCTCAAAAACTGCCTCACCAGCCCCTCATCCCCGCCCCCATGCCCCCCGCCCGCCAAATGCGGCTCATGAACCACCGTCTCCCCCGACGCAAAATCATACACGCTAATCGTCGTGCTGTCATACGCGAGCTCGCCAGCAGTGCCGTAGATGCGGCCGCGGCGCTCGCAGATCTTCTGCGTGAAGGCCGTCATGTGGAAGGACGCTGTTTTTGCAGCGCGGCGGTTCCTCTCATCATCGGTGTTGGGCCCGGGAAGGGGGGAGTCCGCCCAGCTGATGACTACGTGCTGGTCATCGCACACATCGTTATCAGCGTCCCACACGCAGCGCCCGAACCAAGGCCGTTTCTCGACGTCAGCCACAGGCGTGCTGGACGTGTAGTCCTCCGCGAGGTTAGCTAGGAGCTGGGCTTCTGCTGCGTCTTTCCCCGCGGTGTGGAAGATGTCTTCGATTTCCGGGTTGATGATTTTTATGGGCCAGGCTGTGTTGCCCTTGCGCAGGTGCCGGTCGAGGTAGATCTTCTTGGCGCTGTAGGTGCAGGCTTGTTCGTGCGGGCAGGAGAGACAGTTTGTTGCGGTGCCGGCGGCTTTTGGTTTGCGCTCGCGCCGGAAGAAGGAGCGTGTGCCTGTGGAGGTTATGGTTGAGGGGAGGTGTGGGGGCGTGGAGATGGGTGCGGATCGGGCGGGCGAGCAGAGGAGCCACATCAGGAAGTCGATGTCGTGGCATGATTTTGTGAGGAGAGAGGGCGCGGATGTGGATTCTTTGCGCCAGTTGCCTCTGGTTTTGTTAGTATGGTTTGAGTGAGGGAGTAGGGGAGGGAGATGTACCGGACGTAGCTGTGACTAAAGTGCCACCAGCCCACCGGCTCGACATGTTCGACGCTCAGAACATCGCCGATGACGTTCTTCTCCAGGACTAGATCCCGCAGCAGCATGTTATGCGGCGAGTAGCGCAGGACGTGGCAGATGCCGAAGATGGGGTCTTTCTTCTTTCCTATATCTGCATCTGTGCCAGCGCTCTTCAACGCCCGATACATCCTCACGCAGCTCTCCAGCCGCGTGCTCAGCGGCTTCTCAACGCAAACATGCACGCGTAGATGTGCAATGCCACACACTACCTCTTCGTGCATCTCGTCCAGCACGCATACAAACACGGCGTCGATGCCCGCCTCTACGTCTTCCCCCTGTTCCTCTTTCTCGCGCCGCTGCGCCTCGTACGCGGCCCATGCTCGCCAGTCTGGAAACGCTTGGTTAGGCTTCGCGGGGCTGGTGCCCCAGATGAACTTTCGTCCGAATTCCCGCCTCTTGTACTCTATGGGTTCGCAGACTGCGGCCACGAGGGAGTTTGTTGCGTTGAGTGTGGATTGGGCGTATGCTGTTCCTCGGCTCCCGGCGCCGATTACTAGGACACGGAGAGGTCTGGTGAAGATCTGTTTTTCTGGGGCTTTGAGGAAGGAGTCTGAGGTGTCCATGGTGTTATGGGTTGGAGTTGGTGGAGTTGAACTAGTTTGGCAAGGATATGTCGATCGAGAGGTTGTGATGGATTGATTAAGGATGGTTAGATGTATTTGATGGCGTCTCTGGAATTGATGTTTTCGGTTTGCTCAAGTAGTACTTCTTCGCTGGAATAATGACCCGGATTTGATGTTACAGCCTTGAGAGGCAATCGTCATTTGCAGCAAATCCACAAGCCCTGTTAGGCGAAAATAGCTGAGAAGGTTTGTCTTACTTGCGTCTCACAGCTGCATGATTCGACTGAGCAATGTAGGTCAAGCGAGTGAGACCGTAGCACCAATCCACAGCTGAAGATGTAACGCTGTGCAAGCTGCAGTAAGTTAGTAGCTAGTCAGCAGAGTCCCTCGAGCAAGAAGTGTGGGGTAAATCTCAAGCCAATAAGAAGCGTGCTGATAAATCGTGTTATTCGTGACGCTGGCGCGAGGGAAATCTAGTCTATCGCGTGCATACAAAGTGCCTGGCAAACATGCCTCAGAAAACCACGGCAGCATGAGTACCAACCAATGCCCATACAGCATGCCAACACCATGAAAAACCACGTCTTCGAGACCCCCAGTCTAGGATGATCGATCGAGTTCGTAAAACAACAAGTAAACCTCCTTCTGCATGCCTAGAACCTCACCCGTTTTGCTCTCCTTGATCTTGTCGTCGCTGATGCGCCACCATCTATTGTTTGCTCGTTTTGACTTGCGCTTGAGAGGGTTTGCTTCAGCCAATGAAGCTGCCTTCTCTGACGCCCGTTCCTTGAGAGAACGCCCGGTCTTGACTGATGACAGTGATGCCATGTCGGGCGGCGGTGCAAATTCTCCACTATCCTTATTGACCCGCGGTGCAGACGTCGGGGCCGGACCCCGGGAGTATGACGCCTTCGATGATTGCGAGGAGAGAGACCCCGTGGACGGAGAGTCTAGTGGCCGGATCGAAGATAGCAGTGATGCGCGGTCTGTGCCAGTGAGGTTCGACGTAGATATGCGTGGCGTTGGTACCGCTGAATGAGTCGCAGAGGGAAGTGGTGTCGCATGGCGACTGTATGCGCCTTCAGTTCCAAACGAATGGGGTGTGGAAAAGGGCACTGCTTGAACCTGGCGGCGGAATGACTCGTAATGACCACTGTTGTGGCTGCCCTTATGCGTAACCATGCCCAATAGGCGGTAGTTCTTGCGATGTAACAAGCCACCTAGTGGCAGAGATTCTGGGAAAGACACCTTGGCGAGGTTCTTCGTCGAGACAGTGCCAACGGCGAACATGGAGCGGGACAGGTGGACTGCGAGGACTTTGGGGAATTGCGAGATGTACATGTGGCGAGCTATGCGACGCTTTGGGGCCTGTTTGGAGTCTGGGAGTTCGACGCCTTCTGGTGGTGTCTCTGGGTCTTCATCGAGAGCCTTGCGAATCTTGACGATGTCTGATTGCAGCCGCTCTCTGGTCTCGTCGTCTGTCGCCTTGGACAACTCATGGTCTTTGCTCCTCAATGCGTGCTCTAGCCGACACCACTCGCATTTGAAATCTTCGATATGTTCGACCTTGAGCATCCCGTCGAAGCAGGCGTTGAGCGAAGTGGAGGCGACGTGCGGTACGTTCAGGGTCAGGGTGACAAAGGTCGACGCGGAGGGCTTGGGCTTGAATTTGCAAGTCTGACACTCGATCTGCGATTCGATCTTCCCTTCGAATGGAAATCCCTCCTCCTCTGGCAGCACACTATTTGTGTCATGGGCTTCCTCTTTGCTGTCGCTGCCGGAAGCATGACTGGTCGCAATACTGAGTTGCTTGGCGATCTCATGCGGTTCTAACGCGCCGTCTTGGATCGCCGTCACACTCGCAGGCCGTTGTGCCTGTCGCCTGGCCTTGGTGCCCGCATGGTATTCGTCGCAAAGGCGTTCTGTTACGATCTGGAGAAACTCCTGCGCGTCTTGCTGTTGCCGGCTGATGCGCGTGCCAAACGCTTTCTCGAGCGAGATGATGAAGGGCTGGGGGGATATCGTCTTTCTGTATATAGGGCGCTCGTTGAGGTGGTCCAGTATGTTTTTCAGTCCGTATGTCAGCACGCCCGTCTGCAGATTCTCAAGCTTTCCTGGGCTTGCTGTCGCATCGTCTGCGCTCAGCCTCTCCAGGTCGACCTCGTACACCTCTGGCCCGTCCAGCTTCCGGCGATGCGTCTCGCGTATCAGGTATATGCGCAGGTCTGGTAGGCCTGCCAGCGCCTGCAGGACCGAGTTGATGAAGCAGTCGTTGGCGGCGTTGCTGAGGCCGACGGCGCCCTTCTTCTTGGAGCTCGTGGCGTCATCGTCGAGAAAATAGGTGGGCCCAAAGACGTAGACGAGGGTAATGGCAGCGAGAGAGGCGCCCGCTGCATATGTCGCGATTGTGAGTGGCTTCTCAGGCATTTTGCGGAGGGTACCACTTCCGCTGCCGCGGGATTGGACGGAACGGGGGTGTGCAGGCCTTGTCAACGTCGTGTCGGGTCAAGAGGGAGCGTGGTGAGGAGCACGGGGGAATAAGGCATGAGCGAGGGCGAGCAGTCCATCGTCTGACACCTGCACGGCCAGCGACGTGACGCTGGCGTGTACTCATCGTTTGCGCCGTGAGCCAGTCTGCCGAGACGTCGGCCATTTTCCCTTCCCGCCCCGTCCAGAAGATCGACGTGCTACGCGACGACGTCTATCTTTTTCGGCGACACCACCAATCCGCACCGCATCACCCCCCATGGCGTCGTTGACCAGGTCAGCGCTGCGCCCGCAGTGCACGTCATGTATGCGCAGAGTTGCGCGGCAGGGCTTGGATGCGTGGGGGCCACAGCAGCAAACACGCACCATCTCGAAGAAGGCGAAGGAGGCAGAGCGCAACATAGTCGTCAAACTGCTCCAGGACGTCCCGCGCTTTGGGCGAGCAGGTACGGAGGGCAGACTGAAGCCACAGGGCTCTGCTGATGCTGGACAGGCTCGTATGTGCCCCTCAACCCAGCACAGATGCGCAATCGCTGGTTTCCTGCCCGCATTGCAGACTACGTGCCCTTCACCCAGATGAAGCAGATGAAGGCTCAGGAGGTGCTCATAGCAAGAGATTTCACATTCGGCGTAAAGGTCAACCTGGAGGAGGTCGATGAAGATGACCAGGTCTTTCTCGACCAGCCAAAGCGCTACGTACGGCCTATTGAGATTGACGTCTTGAGTGTATGTTCCGCGCAACCGTATGCTACCACAGAGCTGACACAACCAGCCTGAGCGATCAATGGCCCTCCTAAATGCATTCGTCCCGCCCACGATCGACTTCTCCCGCCAGCGCATCGAGCAAGAAAAGGAGAGGACGCGATATGGCGCGTCAGGTGCAGCAGATGTCCTGACTGCAGCTGCCATGGCAAGCAAATCCAAGACGCCTGCAAACGCCATATACGGCTCAGTATCGACCTCGGACATCGTCGCGACCCTCAAGGCAGCGCTGGCGCACAACGACGAGGCGGCTCGTGTGATATTGAACGAGGCTGATGTGAGGTTCGTCTCGGGACATGACCAGGACGATCCATCGCGAGTAAAGCAGCTGGGCACCTTCACGGTTGAGATCCAGTTACCCGGCGCGTTAGAGCCTCTGATAAGAACCATTCGGGTTAAAGAGAAGACGACGGCATCGTAGTAACTAGTCCACAGCGGTCACGCGCACACAGCCTCACTCCTGGGCCAGACCTCGGAGGATGGTCCGTTCTGTTGCTGTGCTGTGAGGATACACTTGTACAAAACATGTAGCCGCCAACTCATAGTTCCGGAAAAATGACACCAGAACTTGTGAAGCATCTGCCTTGCCCGCGCCATGGTGAGACGTGATTCGTGGCCTGACATGTTGCGTGAAGGTGGTCGGTAAATCCAGGGAGACACGGGCAAGGCCGCTCGCATCTTCTGCGGCGAGACTCGGACAAGCCCTTCAGTCGTGCAACGTCCTGCCGAGACCAACGGCTCCGCATGACTTCAGAGCGCGGCCGTGAGGAAGCACCGCTCTCGCTCTCTAGCAAAGGCCTCACTTAAACTCCACCCATCTCGCTTGCACGTAGCAATTGGATCGAAGCATCTCGTCAATTGGTACCCACGGTATGTGCACTTTTTTCTGTTTGCTATCTGCATCGTGATAGCTGTGCTGGGCCGGGGAGTTTATGGTTGGTTGTCATGTTTGAAGGGTGACGGGCTAGTGGATCAGTGGCGTCACCCAGCGGGGTCTTCCAGCAACAGCGCCCCGCTATGAGAGAGTTCTGCTTTCAACACGCGCCTGAAACTGCTCAGCTCTGATATATAACCTTACTGATATCACGTCGCTCCAAACAGTCACAACACTCTACAATCCACTACACACATCACAAAACACCAAACACACAATGGTCGCCGCTAAGGAAGTTCTGTCCCGCAAGACGGGTGTACGATACCCCTCCAGCACACTCCATAGCTGCAACTGACAGGCCTCAGGTCATCTACGGTGATGACGTCCTTGCTCTCTTCAAGCACGCAAAGGACAACGGCTACGCGATTCCCGCCGTCAACGTACGTCTATCATACGACCCAAACTCGCGGTTATGCTAATCAGAGCAGGTTACCTCTTCCTCCACTGTCGTAGCCAGTAAGACAATCGAAGCTGTACGCTTGTAACCGCATCTGACCAGATACAGCACTCGAGGCCGCACGCGACAAGAAGTCGCCCATCATCCTCCAGACTTCCCAGGGTGGTGCTGCGTACTTCGCCGGCAAGGGTGTCGGTATGTCTCTTGCAGCTCTGTCCCATGTCTCTTCTTGCTGATAACGTCCAGGCAACAAGAACCAGGAGGCTTCCATCGCTGGTGCCGTCGCTGCCGCTCACTACATCCGCGCTATTGCACCAACATACGACGTGAGCTGAAGCAATCAATATCGATGCAATACCCAATTGACCACCAACACAGATCCCCGTCATCCTACACACCGACCACTGCGCCAAGAAGCTGCTGCCATGGTTGGACGGTACATATTCCCGATTCTGCGATCTCGAATTGATTTGGCTGACATGAACAGGCATGCTCGACGCTGACGAGGCCCACTTCAAGGTAAGTTCTTCATAAAACGCGTTCTTGAATTTAGACTAACATGGTAAACAGGCTACCGGCGAGCCTTTGTTCTCCTCCCACATGATCGATCTCAGCGAGGAGGAGGTTGAATTCAACGTCCAGACCACCAAGAAGTGTACGTCGGATTGTACGATACGGATGAGAGTCGCGACTGATTAGTATGCAGACCTCCAGCGCGCCGCCCCGATGAAGCAGTGGCTCGAGATGGAGATTGGTATCACAGGTGGTGAGGAAGATGGTGTTGACAACGAGGTGAGTTCGAAAGCTGGATTTACGCTTCCCAATTACTGACTGAAGGACAGGGCGTTGACAACGCGAGCTTGTACACACAACCCGAGGACATCCTCAACATCTACAACGAGCTCTCCTCCGTGAGCCCATACTTCTCCATCGCGTAAGTTGGTTTTTCTCGAACTCGAGTCGTACCATACTAACTATGTGCAAAGTGCTGGTTTCGGCAACGTCCACGGAGTCTACAAGCCCGGAAACGTCAAGCTCCAGCCTTCCCTTCTCAAGAAGCACCAGGAGCACGTCAAGGAGCAGGCAAAGACCAAGGAGGACAAGCCTGTTTACCTTGTTTTCCACGGTGGATCCGGTTCCTCGGTCGATGATTTCCGCGAGGCTATCTCCTACGGTGTCGTCAAGGTCAACCTTGACACCGACATGCAGTGGGCTTACCTGACCGGTATCCGGGATTACGTCCAGAACAAGTCTGGATACCTCCAGACCCAGGTTGGCAACCCTGGTAAGCAAAAACCTCGATTCTTTGAGAAAAAGCCGTCAACTAATTCATTCCAGATGGCGATGACAAGCCCAACAAGAAGTACTACGACCCCCGTGTCTGGGTTCGTGAGGGCGAGAAGACGATGACCAAGCGCGTCGAGGTCGCGCTGGAGGATTTCTACGCTGCGGGCAAGGTTTAAACGCCCTCTCGGGAGTCCGAATGGACTGACATCGACGTTGTATAGTCGAGGTGTTTGGGGATGAGAGTGGAACAGACTGGACTGTATCAGTATGCGGCAGTCCGTTGGTCAGTTGATGAAGAACATGAAAACGTATGTACAGTTCTCAGGAAGAGACTTACGAGTATTACAATGAACACACTCAATCACCAAATTCTCTACCACTCAATGGCATGATTCCTGAACTAGATATGTCATAGCTTCAAATGTGAAGCCTGGGGACAAGCCAGGGAGCGAGGTCAATCGATTATTTGTCACCTAGCGAATCCAGTGCTGGAAGCCCCATACAATTCCTCTATCCACGTGGTCGTTTACAGGTACTAAGGGAATCGCTGTTTAGCCGCATCGAGCTTAGTCTATCCTTCTGATTTGTGATGTTGTTGATGGGTGACATCATAAGCTTGTTATGATGTCGATGCCTCTTTCCCGGAACTCACTATCAGCGCAAACCATGGCAGCCATGAGTAGACTAAATCTTGCTCGTGACTGCCCATGGATAGGAGGGGTATTTAAAACTGTATTCCCCTGCCTTCTCTCCTCCTCATATCACCAACGTTACACCACATCTTCAACTCCACAAACCTACAGCCCACCTATACCATTTCCCCCTTGACATTTTTTTTTCGAAGACCTACATAACACAACACAACATGACTGGCACCAGCTCAAGCGGCGGAATCGGCGACACAATTCGCAAGGGTGTTGGGATGTTTCATGTAAGACTTCTATATTCCTCCTGGCCTCATGTACTAACCACGTCCAGGGAACAGGCGAAGCCATCCGCGGAAACTTCAACGCTACCCTTGACAAGGCCACCGGCGACTCGGCAGCCGCACAGAAGAACCAAGCAATCGCTGACCAGGGCGTCAATGAGTTCGAGCATGGCTATCAGAAGCACCGCACCGGTGCAGGTGTTGCCCCCGGCACTGCTGAGAGTTTGAATACGACGCACTCTACTTCGACAAACTACGGGCCTCACAGCACCAACGCGGGTAACAAGCTCGATCCCCGCTTCGATTCTGATATGGACCACCGCGGTACTGCGACCACGTCAACGAACTACGGATCGCACAGCACCAACACAGCCAACAAGCTCGACCCTCGCTTCGACTCCGATCTGGATCATCGCGGTACTACAACCACATCGACGAACTACGGACCACACTCGACGAATGTCGCAAACAAGCTTGACCCGACCGTCGACTCGGACATGGATCACCGCGCAGACCTGAACTCCGGTAGGCGTTTGTAGATGCCGCATAGCACTTTGCTAGCACAACAATATCAATATACCCCTGATCTCATCTTACATGCTTCCGCTTTCCTTTGTTTTACTGACAATCTTGACCCCCTAGTCTCCAACTTTTCCAGGCAGACTGACGGCGCAGGGTCAACCAATCATGGCCCTCATAGCACAAACATCGCAAACAAGTTGGATCCGCGTGTCGACTCTGATACTGATCATCGGGGTACTGCACAGAGCTCTACAAATCAAGGCCCACATTCGACAAATGCTGCTAACAAGCTCGACCCCCGCGTCGACTCCGACACAGACCATCGTGGTGCTACGCCGGCGTTTGCGGAGAAGTTTGACCCACTGAAGCACAATGCAGCACACCAAGACCACGAATCGCTTGCAGGAGTACGCCGAGGTTCGATAAATGGAGGCTCAGAGCTTGAGGCAGCGGAAAAGCTTCAGCCGCCAGATTTTGGTAAGGGAGATACTCATGGGCCCAACACTCATGTTCATCGCGGTTCCATTTCCGGTGGTTCGGTATTGGAAGCAGCTCAAAAGCTTGATCCTGCCAGGTACGATGGCGGAGACGAGTCAACAAACTACGGCCCTCACAGCATGAATATTGGCAACAAGCTGGATCCCCGTGTCGACTCTGATCAAGACCATCGGAGATGCGGTACACGCGAGATGACAGCTCGTGGGCCAGGATACACACAGCCTGATCCTTCGTATCATCAACCAAGGCCGCAACCTAAGCATCAAAACCATGTACTCAATATGCTCGATCCGAAAGTCGAGTCCCAGAAGGGTAGGTTTGAGTGACTGGCTATTCCGAACGATCCCTGGACATGATACCCACCACATTCAAGCCTCCCTTTGTTTGAATTTATTACTGATACCTGGTGTGCCAGATCAAGCCTGTCCCTCCACCTGCTGTCAAAATTACGATCTCAGAAGCTCCACATTGCCGGATCGCAGAGCGAGCGTCCCTGACACCAAGAGCGAGGCTCATTCAACAGCGAATCCTCACAAGAGCGACTTCTTGAATTTGATAGATCCCATGGTGGACCGGAACGCGGTGAAGAAGGCGAGGGCGAGCGACAATACCCAGAAGTTTGGATGATGGCGTGGATTGTGTGTCTAGATGAGATGTTAAGATAGCTTGGTAGTTCGAATGAGATGCTGGTCTATCACATGTGTTCGAAAGTTCAAGCAGGTTTTGCTTGAAGTTTGGTTCCTCAACTTCGGATCCCGAGAAACCCTTCAATCGACGAGTAATCTTCCACGCCTGACCAACAGATTCCTCCTCCTGTTAGCGTCATCTCATCGAACCTGAGTTTTACAATGAAGTCCATGAAGGTGCAGGATCCGATCAAACGATGTGAAGCACAGCTATCAGCGCCCCTGTCTGATATCTTGACCTTGATGGAAAGTTAGCACTTGCCCCTTGAGCTCAGATGTATCAACCTCTACCAGCCAACCTCTTTCGCGTCTCAATCCCTCACATTCATACCCACATAAACGCATTACTTTTATACACATACATGCTCGTCTTCAACCCCTATATCCTCCACCTTCTCCGTCCCCCGCAATGCCCAACCATCCTCGATGGTCTCAGCGTCACAACCTTCCCACCCAACCGATCCCTCACCCGCATACGCTGTTGTGAACCCCTAGGACCCCCAGACCCGCCCCCAAGACCGCCTCACCGTCCACCACCCATCCCCCGCATCCATCATCTCCAGCACAACACCCCCACCCCGCCATCCCCCGCGCACGTCGCAACGCCCCACCCCATCCCCGCGCCTCCCACCGCAAAATTGCACAACCTGCCACACCCGCCGAGAACCCTACGAGTTCTCCCCCTTCCTCCCAACGGCAACATGCACTTACCCTGTCACAACGTGCGCGTACTGTCTGCACACGACGATTCAGCGGGTGGAATGCGGTGGTTTGTCCGCAGTGTGGGGTGCGGCTTAGTAGGGCGGATGGACGGTGTGGTGTGTTGCTGTGGGTGGAGAGAGAGTGAATGTTGCCTGTCTAGGGGGTTCGAATGGGTGCTAAGGAGGGATGGGGTGGGACTGGATGATTGGACAGACGCAGATGAGAGGGATACAATACAGGCAGGCTCTTGGTTGATCGGGATACTAGGAGTTAAGGTGCGGTGAGATCTCGCAATGACATGATAACTACATCGAGGATTAGTGTAGGAGTCTTGTGTCTGGGTTCCTGACAGTATATGCCTTGTGTGCACTTTTGCAAATGTTACACGTGTGGTTTCGCGGGATGTAGAAGCCTTGAGGAACGCAGCTTACTACCTGCTTTTACACTTGACTGAGAGACATGTCAATCATACTACTTGTCACGTTTGGACACGGTCGAGCGAAATAGAAGAAGGGGCGTTTTTGCTCGTACACTGTGTTTTAATAACTTGTAGTAGGGTCGACTAGTTTCGATGACTTTACTGCATTTTGATTCTGAACATAGTGTGAACGTAAAGTAAAGAAAGTCTGACCAAACCAATTCACCAACGCCGATGAGCCGACAATCTATCGCACTGGCTATGAAGGAATCAATATGTCGCCGAGATTTTGGTACGCTAATGTGTTACAAATTATATGGACTGGAAGTTGTCGTGGGTATCATGAAGAATATGGTATGCAAAGTTTTGAATCAACACTGATACAAAGTATCCGCCAGACGAAGTACATATCCGAGAAGTCGTCGTGGAGAGGGGAAGGGTGTATCGATTTATAGCATGGTCCAATCGTCGTCGCTGGAGGGGTCGATGTGAGTCACAGGGTCCTTGCCTGATGGAACAGACGGGATGAGCTCGGGACTCGACATGGGCTCATCGGTTGTCGCGTGAACCGGTGAGTCAGGATGATGTACGACGGAGAACCCTTCGTCTTCATCTGAAGAGTCTTTCGTGAAAGTTTGCTGGGTTTGTGCCTTTGGAGGGTCTCTTACGAACATCTCGCGTGATGAGGTTCCAGCAAGACCCTCTGCATGGGCAGTTGTGCCAGGGAGCAGACCTGGGCGGCAAGCCCGTTTTGAAGCGAGACTCATACGACTCCCCTGATTGTGTCTATGTGAGATGGGTCGTGACGGGTCATTTCGGCGCCGGAAGAGCCAGCATTCATGACAGAGCGCGGCACCCGCCTCGTCGCGGTGCCACAGCGCAGTGCTGGACGATGTGCAGTTTCCGCACACAGCCTCTGTGTCGGAATCCCAATCTCTTACTGGTTGTGGAACTTTTGGCCTGAGGACAAGTGTGGGGGTACCACACATATCTGAGCTTGCCCGATTTGTGGTATTGTTTGTGGACAAAGATAACTTCATCTTACGCCACTTATTTCTATACCTGCTGGCCGAGACGATAGTACTAACGGCCTGTAGAGTACGGTTCGCATTGTGACATAATTCACTGGGGAGTGTCTCAGAGGCGGCCGCGGTGGGATGGAAATCAAGCTCAGGCGCAGGCGCCGATTCCAAACGTAACCTTATAATATCAGGGGCACCTGTAGGGTGTTGTTAGTTCGACGCGCTTCATACCCATGGAACTACTTACTGTCATCAGTAAAACCGCGTGCAATATTTGTACGGCACAGGTCTTGACGAAATATAGGTATATCATCAACGACCTTCAGGAACTCAGCGTTCTCCCCTAGCTTGTGGTAATGATATGCCGAGACGCAATAATTGAGGAGGGTATTGACAAGATTGTGCTCTTGTTGCAATTCGTGGCCAGAGAAGTGCTTGTATACGAAGCGTATTGTCTCAGGTAAGTCTTGGGGTGTTGTCGGCAGGCTGCAAGCACACTCGATCTGGCACGAGAAGTTGCCGTGCGCAACAAGCTGAAGTTCAGGAACGTCAAAGTTTGATGCCAGCTTGTAAATCTCTGCATGCTGGAGGAGAGAGAAGAGTTCGGCACATTGTTCGATGGGGATGTAACCGCCGGTATAGCAGAATCTCAGTAACGAGACAACGGATGATGTCGAGGTAGCCTCGATGCTGGCTTGGAGACGGCCGTGCTCGTCTGACTCGAAGGCGTGGTACAGGAGTGGACAGTGATCGAGGAACCTGAAAGGATTGACGCAGTCTGAGATATGGCAGACTTGCCCATCAGGAAGTGCTACCTTCAAGGTAGCGTTGTCAGCGTACCCATAGTTTTCAAGGAATGAGAGATCGTCCATGTTGGGTCTGAGGTTAGCGAGAATGGCAAAGACGTAGAACAAGTGGTCGTCGCAAGTGATATCAATCTATGCAATATGTGGAGGTAAGATGGAAGATGATGAAGGATGACGGGGCTTTCAGCTCAAAAGCAACGGCATGACCCAAGGCCTGACGAGGCTTGATTCACCGGCGATGAAATTGGCTAGGCTGAGGGTGCCTGGAGGAGGACTGCTACTCGTGCTCCAAACACGGTTCGAGTACGGTCCGCACGATGATTAGCCACTAGATCTGAGGAGCATATGCTCACGACTTTTACTTGAGGTCAAGTATGGAATAAGCAGTGTATGTACGTGAATAGTGCAACAGCAGGCGGGGAGTCCGGGCTGAGCTGCCCTGAATGAGGCGGAGGACATCGTGATCCGCCCCACCCAGACGCTTATTGGCTTTGTGAAGCAAGAGGTGGATGCATCCAATGGGTCATTCCAACGGATGCCTAAAAGTCAGGTGAGTGGCTTGGTGTTGAGGAGGGGAAAAGCATGGCCCAAGCGTCGAAGCTGTCAGCCACACGCGAGCCACAACAATGACGGCTTGGGGAAGGTGCTTACCAGCCGCGACTCCCAACACTCCCAACATCTGCTCTATCTCCCGCCATTCCTTTCGCTGTGATTCCAATCTGCTTTTGCTCGCTGTTGTTCGTACGCCCATCCTTCTCCAGCCATCAATCGCGCGTCAGAACAGCCTGCGCTCTGCAAATGGGATTTCTTTCGATTCTCCCCGCGAGCTTCGTTGTGGTAGAGACATGGATCACGAGATTATCGGTAAGCTCTAAATTGAAATTGAAACAGACGAGAACACTGGCTCACAGTGCCACGCAGCTCTTCCTGGGCCTGGTGCTCATCGGTCCATGGCTCGCCCTGGTTGTATACGACTTGTTCCTTTACATCTTCCGCGCCATCACGTACGAGATCCCGGTTATCGGCGGACGAGCTCGAGGGAAGGCACGACCGCGTGCTCCAACTCTCACGGAACGGCCTGACGGTCATCGGCGCAGATTCAGTCTCGCTCGGCGTCCCGAAGAACCAGCGCACAGCACCGGCGGCTCGCAATCGGAAGGCTCGGATGCTCGGCTAAGGCATATAACCGAGAAGGATGGTGATTCTTCCTCCACATGAGGTTGGAGATACAAAACGCTTTTGTCCCACACTGTGGAGTGGAAGACATGGCAGTAGAGTATGCCAAGGCACACTGTTTCGGGTGATCAAGAGATGTTGCTAGCCGGGGATCGTCTGTTGTGTGCAGATCTGGTGTGCAACAACGATTGATCGAAAGCACGTACATGCTGAGCGATTGCACAGCTCAATCACGATGCGCAAGGCATGCTGTAGACTTCGCAATGCCAATTGCATTTCGAGCCATCTTGTTCACTCTTCCAAAAAGTGCTGACAAGCGAAGACACACGTTCCATTCAACGACTTAAAAGCACAACATCGTAACTTCGGTTCGGCAATTCGATTGCTCAGGCAGCGTTGTCATCACGAACCAAGGACCTGGTCTTCTTTTAGTGGACGAGAATTGGTCTATCAGGACCTACCACTCCACGTTAGCTTCTTTTGCATATCTTCGACAACGAAAGGGAGACGCGCAGGATCAGTGCTATGACTCGTTCAATTTCCAACGACACAACGGACACTTCCACCATACCTGTTGTTACAAGATAATGGAATACAAACATAATCGTCCATCGCCAAACACCGCGCTGCTAGACTTCCATGCCCAGCCACAATCAGAAATCGGTCTTCTTCAGAGGGTTGTTGTTGGGGTCGAGGAACAGTAGCGAGCTTGGTGCTGCTGAGCAGAAAGAAGACTACGATAACATTGTGGCGCTTGCGGATGAGTGGAGGCTGAGACAAGGCCTTCGAAACGAGATTAATCGAATTGGTAGTGATGGTCTGACACACATGGCTGTCCTCGCACGGACTACATATCACCACCCGCGACCTATAATGTTTGGAATAGAACGATAGGCCAAGTAATGCATGTCTGAATCAAAAGCTGAATTGATTGGAAAATATATACACTTTGAAATAAGAATATGTTGACAGTGAACCAACCCACACTGACATGAAAATAGGACAATCCAGTCTAACCTCCATCAGCAGTCCCCTCATCTAAAGACAGGTTCCCTCAATGCTCGCCGTGGCGTTCTTGACGAACCCCTGTAGGAACCCAGCACCGTCGCACTGCAGCGCCTTGACAAACGCCTTGTGCACGATATCCGCACCCTGGGGGCTGGTATGCGTATGATCTGCAGGAAACAGCGCATCGACCTTGGTCTTACCCATGCTCTCGAAGATGCTCGCCACATACGCGCCGTGGTTAACATACATAGCGTTCGCGCCGATCTGGCTTGCAACCTTCTCGGCGTACCCGTAGAACCTGCTCTCGCTGTACACGAAGCTGCCGGTCTCCCAGGGGTTGTTTGGCGTCGGGCTGCTGTAGATGACCTTTGCGCCCTTGGCGACCAGCGCCTTGCCCGCCTGCAGCAGGTAGAACGGGTACGTGTACACGGTCGTGGCAGCGCCGTTGTAGGTGGATTGGCACGTCTCGGAGCCTCCGCCGGGGCATACGCTGCGTCCGTTGTCGGTGGGGGTCAGCGAGCCGCCGTCGTTGTGCCCGAACTCGATGATGACGATGTCGTTGGCTTTTACTAGGTTGACGATCTCGGTGAAGCGGCCTTCGACGGTGAAGGAGCGCGAGCTGCGGCCTCCGATGGCTTTGTTTACTACCGAGAGGGAGAGGGAGTAGGGGAGGTAGACACCCCAGCCTGGGAGGGAGTTAGTGGTGTGTATAGTAAAGGATAGTTAGGGCAGTGTGTACCTTGCTCCGCAGAGCCCGCAGCCCATTTCGTCATCGTCGAGTCTCCAGCCATGTAGACAGTCTGCGCGCGTTTCTCCACATCGCTAGTTGGCGCACCGAGGACGGTAGCAGCCAGTGCCAGCGAGGAGAGGATCTGGGGGAAGTAAAGCATCGTGAAGGGAATCAGATCAAGATGAACGAAACTTGACAGTGAAGTACACAGCAGCGAAAGACCTCAGAGAAAGACTGAATTGAACACACAAGACCCAGAAAACAAAACTTCTTCCCAAGGGCAAACCTCACCCTTTCTATACCACCGCTTTCTACCATCTAATTTCCATTTACCGCCCCCCCTAAGCACCAGAAAAGGCGAAAATGCCAAAACTCCGTCTCCCACTAATCAAACAACCCACACACAAACTCCGCTCGCACCTGAATCAAAAGATTTCCCACGAAAGAGCTACCACACGCACTAAGATGCCCACGGGCGTGCCCATACTCCACCGCAGATAGATTGGCACAGAGATTCGGGGGAAGGGCCGTATCACTAGGTACTATAAATTGACCGACCGACACCGCCGGGTTTAAGGCCACGGCGCTAAGTTGTATACGTTGGGCTGGATATATTGTAGACCGCCATGCATGCATGCGGGGGAGGAAACGGACTAGACTACTACCCGACGCTATGCAGTGTGTACTGTAATTGTCCGTAGCGGGGGACGTGCGGGCTCGGTTAGCGGGTGTGTCGTGCGCTGGGGTGGGGACTGGGTATCCGCTTAGGGCAGCGGTGTTTGGGGCTTGGATGCTAGCAATTGGAGGTTAATTGTTGGTGATGGGGTTGGTGGGTAGATGGGTAGTCGCTATCTAGCTGGCTATCTATTCAGGTACCATACCATTATTCCTTCATAGATACCGTATTTCGTACGTCAGCAATACGCGCCTCGCAAATACTTCACCATCCATCTATCCGTCCATCTACAAACCCACCCAATCAGCAATACCCTACTCTACCATATAATATAGTATAGTACAGTACACTATATTACAACCCACACGTCAATTTCCTCCGTCCGGAGATTTCTCTGAAACACGACATGACACGACACGACATGTGGAAGAATCTGATCCGGGTTCTCGTTTATTTTTTGTTCTAGAGCGGGAAGATGTTGGCTGGCTGGCTGGGCGCCTTGTCGTGTCAAGTCTAGTCACGCGCAGAGGTGCGAGTCAGGTGGTGTGGAGGTGAAACGGCGGCCAAGATGTGCGGATGAGTACCAAGGCTTGGGGTGCGTGTGAATCAACGCAGGTGGCGGGATGGAGGGAGGTGAATGGGGGAGGTTTGAATCGTGGTAGGTAGGTAGGGGCGGTGTATTTTCTCCCGAGACTTTTTATCGAGTGAGTGGGTGAGTGAGTGGTTGATTGGTGAATTGATGGATTGATGGATTGTACGGAGTCGGCTCCTACACATTTACTGTGGTAATCTCAGGTACTCGTCAGATTGCCCACAGATTGGTCGACACTGTCTTAATCACCAAGCCTGACGAATTAGAGGTAAGCACATAATGTGGAGAATGGCTTAGACTTAGGGGTACCACCGTATCTCTCGAGAAAGCCTCTACTCACATCGGTACATACTCTGCCATCCCGCCCAGTCTACCCAGTCTCCCCATCTCTAAGCCGTAATTACCAGGTCCCCAACCAACAATCCAGACCGCCCATCATCTCATCTGCGACTCAAGAACCCATCCCAAGACAAACATCAGCAACCTGGTATATTACGTGATTCCATCTACACAGGGGTAGATTTCTACTCTGTACTAGGTATTCCTTGATTACATCAAAACCCCTCACTCTACCAAGATACTCATGCACGACTTCCCCTCCATCGCAGGCAACGCCACGACGGAGAGAGGGTCTTGCGATGTGTTGTGTTGAAGTGCCCCTACACTACATGTATACGATACACACTCCTCATTGTAGTCTCAGAGCACACAGTAGATAAGTAAAGTGTGATACTGTAGTGAAAGGTGCGGTATTCCATACGCCAAGTTCCGTTCTAGATATGACAGAACAACCCATCCAGCCATCCAGCCATCCACCGCCCCACCAAACCAAAAGACCAGCCCAGCCATGCCATGCCCAGCCATGCCATCCAGCAGTGTTGAAAACGGACATATATGTCGCGCAGGGCGCCAAAACTCCATGCTTATGTTGAAAAGCGGTCGTAAAGGGCGTCAAAAAAACGCCATTCGTCATCTATCAATCAGTCATCCCAATCCAAGCCATCCCGTTCCGTTCCATTCCATCGCAGTATCGAACCTTCTGCTCTTTTACGTCGGCGACGGCGCCGCCGCCCCGGTAATATCCCCGTCCTCGCCCTGCACCGGCGCACACGTGCAGAAGAGATTTGTATCGCCGTACGCTGTATCTCCGCGTTAGCTTCCATCCACCCAAGCAATCAATTCACAGTAAGAAGAACTCGCAACATACCATCATCCACCCTCGTAACACTAGGCCAAAACTTCTTCTCCCTAAGATACCCCAACGGATACGCCGCCTTCTCCCGCCCATACGGCCTCTCCCACTCAGAAACAATAAGATCCATCTGCGAATGCGGCGCCATCCTCAGAACATTCTTCTCCCTTGGCTGCTCACCCCGCTCCACCTCCGCGATCTCCTTGCGAATCGCAATCAGCGCGTCGCAAAAGCGGTCCAACTCCGCCTTGCTCTCGCTCTCCGTGGGCTCGATCATAAGCGTGTTAGCGACGGGCCAGCTCATAGTCGGGGCGTGGAAGCCATAGTCTTGCAGCCGCTTCGCGACATCGATGGCCTCGATGCCCGCTGACTCCTTGAAGCCGCGGATATCGAGGATGAATTCGTGGGCGCAGCGGCCTTGGTCGTTGGTGTAGAGGATGGGGTAGTGGGGCCGCAGGCGCGAGAGGATGTAGTTTGCATTGAGCAGGGTGATCTTGGTGGCTTGGGTCAGGCCCACGGCGCCCATCATCTTGATGTAGGACCAGCTGATGGGCAGGATGCTGGCGCTGCCCCAGGGGGCGCCGCTGATGGGGTGGATGGCTTGCGCGCCGCCGGTTTCGTTGCGCAGGTGTCCGGGGAGGAAGGGCGAGAGGTGCGATTTTACGCCGATGGGGCCTACGCCGGGGCCGCCGCCGCCGTGTGGGATGCAGAATGTCTTGTGGAGGTTGAGGTGGCAGACGTCGGCGCCGATTTCGCCGGGGGAGGTGAGCCCGATTTGCGCGTTCATGTTCGCTCCGTCCATGTACACTTGCCCGCCGTGTTGGTGGACGAGGTTGCAAGCTTCCTTTACTTTTGGCTCGAATACGCCGAATGTGCTGGGGTAGGTGATCATGATGGCGCCGAGTTCTTCGCTGTGCTTCTCGCACTTGGCCTTTAGATCTGCCATGTCCAGGTTGCCGGTAGCTGTGTCGCACTTGATGGCTACAACTCGCATACCAGCCATCGCAGCACTGGCAGGGTTGGTGCCATGCGCAGACACAGGAATCAGGCAGATGTCTCGCTTCTTCCCGGGCTGCTGCTCCAGGTACTTGCGGATAACGCGGAGACCTGCGAACTCGCCTTGGGCGCCAGAGTTGGGTTGCAGTGAGACCGAGTGGAAACCAGTGATGTTGGCCAAATCATCTTCTAGCTGCTTGATCATCTCGAGATACCCCTTAGCTCGGTCCAGCGGTAGGAAAGGATGGAGGTTTGCCGACTCAAAAGAGACTGGTGCCATTTCTGTAGTGGCATTGAGCTTCATTGTGCACGATCCAAGCGGAATCATGGAGTGAACGAGGGAAAGATCCTTGGACTGAAGGTGGTGAATGTACCGCAAAAGCTCCGTCTCCGAGTGATGTGAATTGAAAACCTTATGCGTCAGGAACTCGCTAGTCCTCTTGAACGGCGCAGGTGGCTCTATCTCGATAGCTGTAGAGAATGACGTCTTGTCGCCCTTGCCGAGCTTTCGGAAAGGTTCAAGTAGTTTAGTGATGGTCTTGGATGTAGTTGTCTCGTCGACAGAAATGCCAATGTGGCTGTCGTCTACTTTTCGTACGAGAATCTGGCTGCGGTCAAGGTCGGCGATGATTGCATCCGTCTTGTCTCCAGTCTCTACGAGGAAAGTGTCAAACAGGGCTGGTGTATTGTCCATCTTTCCGCGTTTGCCAGTCTTGAAGCCGTTCTCGACGAGAGCCTGCTGAACAAGACGGGCCTTTGCAACAACCTGCTTGGCAATAGCAGTCAAGCCGTTCGGTCCATGGTACACAGCGTACATGGCACTCATGTTGGCCAGCAGAGCCTGCGCCGTGCAAATGTTACTCGTAGCCTTCTCACGGCGAATATGCTGCTCGCGAGTCTGCAGCGCAAGTCGCGCCGCAGGATTGCCCAGTCTATCTTTTGACAAGCCGATCAAACGGCCAGGAATCTTGCGCTTGTACTTCTCGTCGCAGGCAAAGAAAGCTGCGTGTGGCCCGCCAAAGCCCAAAGGCACACCAAAGCGCTGCGCATTCCCAAAGGCAATGTCAGCACCAAACTCCCCTGGCGGAGTGAGCAGCGTCAAGGCGAGCAAGTCGGTGGCAACGCTGAACAGGGCGCCAGTCTTGTGCACCTTATCCGCCAGACCACGGAAATCGCTGACCCCTCCATCCGTGTCCGGGTACTGCGCCAGCACACCAACAAGATCCTGGCCCAGTTCCTCAACCCTCTTGCTGTTGTCCTTGAGCACATCGGCGACCTCAATCGTGATGCCAAAGCCCTCAGCACGCGAGTACAAGACAGAAATCGTCTGCGGATGGCACGCCGAAGAGACGAGGAACGTCTTATTCGGGCGCTTCTGCCTCGACACCGGCAGCATGCCCAGCGACATAGTCATCGCCTCAGCAGCAGCCGTCGACTCATCCAACACGGAGGCATTCGCAATAGAAAGGGCCGTCAGATCCGAGACCATTGTCTGGAAGTTGAGCAGCGACTCCAGCCTACCCTGGCTGATCTCAGGCTGGTAGGGCGTGTAGCTCGTGTACCAGGCGGGGTTCTCAAGCACGTTGCGCTTGATGACCTCGGGCACCTTTGTGCCGTAGTAGCCCTGGCCGATCAGGCTCTTGCCCGGCCGATTCTGGTCCATGATGCGCTTGGCGTTCTTGAGGAAGACTGACTCGGGCACACCGTCGCTCTGCCATTGCGCCTCGTGGTGCTGCGACAGCTTCCCGATCTGCAGCTCGCGCGCCGACAGAATGTCCGCGGGGATGACTTGGCGGACGAACTCGTCGAGGCTGGCTACGGGCGGGTCGAGCGCTTGGAGCATCGCTTCTGCTGAGGACGCTGAGGGCCCGATGTGGCGGCGGGGGAACGTGTCGAGCGCTTCGGTGGGCTTCGCGGAGCTGGTGTGCTGGGGAGGGGTGTTGAAGACGTCGGCCGCGGCGTCTGGGGCAGGTACGGCAGCCGTTTGTTGGAATCGTTTCTGGAGACATTGCTGGCCATAGTGTGTTGCAGCTCGCGGGGAGCCAGCCAGCAATTGTGGGCGCGAAAGCTGGGCTATACGCGTCGAGCGGGAGAGCCTGCTAGCAGAGCAAGCTGCCCTGAGACAAGCCGTACGCATCGTGAATGACGTTGACCATACAGCTCAACTTCAAGATGACCTGTTGCTATTATCAAGCAAGTGTTCGCGGAACTCTTGTCAAGCTCGCCACGACAGAGCAAACACTCGCTTCTACCTCGTAAAGACCTGGGAGATGAAGACGCGAGACAAACACCACCTCAAAGCAAGTGAGCGACAGAAGAATGCAACGTCACGACATGGCAAAAATTCTAGCTGCACTCAACAGTAAGGGCACGTCTTAGCTATCACAAGCGTAACCCGTCATTATCCGTCCATGCTCGTAGCTCGATAACCAACCGAGCCAATCGCTACCATCCTCGACCGCGATAACACCGCACGCATCCACTGCACTCTTTGGGCAAAACTAAGCCTCGCCGCGTCGTGTCTTGGACATGATGTTACGTGATTTCTCATCGACCTGAATCTATGAACGTAAAGGTCATCAAATACTAGCCCGTCTCGGAGCCATGGTCCTCCTGAGGTTCTTCTCCTTCTCCGTCTCCTCCTGCACGGGCAGCACCCCCTGCTCCCTCAATTGCCCGAGATACTCCTGCCCGTACCTGTACCCAACCTCGTAGATCTCCTCGAACTTGGCAAAATCCAGCGTCCCGTACGGGTCAATAGGCGGGCGCATGTACCTGCATCCAGGCGTGTTCTTCGCGCGCTCCAGCGCATCAATGCTAGATACGTATGCCAAGCGCGACTGGATCTCGGACAGAGTGGGTGGGTTGGTGTACGTGGAAAAGGGGTTCCATCGATTGACAATGGCCCAGAAGCCTGAAAGCGAGTCGCCAAAGGCTTGAGGCGTGTCGTCGTCGAGACTACCCACGTCGACGGCGAAGATCACGTCGGCTCCTAGGCTCTTCATGTGTGCTACTGTGAGGTTGTCAATGTAGCCGCCGTCCAAGAGCATGCTACCATTGTCGCAGAGCGGAGGTAGGAGGCCAGCGAGCGACATGGATGCTCGAACATAGCGCCACGTGTAACCGCTTGTGTGAATTTCTGATCTGCTCTTGCTGATGTTGGTTGTGTTGCAATAAAACTCGAGCCATGAGTCCTCCATTTGGGAGTTGCCGAATGTCTTGAAGATGCCTCGATTGAACTCATGACCGGTCGTGTATGAAGCACTAGTACGTCAGCTTATCCTACTCACGAGAAGAAGAACTCAACTTACGAGGGATATGTGAGGTCGAGAGCAAACCTCCACATGCTGCCCATACGACTTGCAAACTTCTTCGCCCTACCGTACATGGGAACCACATCCGCATCCCAAGCATACAGCGCTCCGATGAAAGCACCAATCGAGGTACCGCCAATGATGTCAATGGGAATACCGGCCTCTTCAAGCGCCCGGATGATGCCAATCTGTGAAATGCCTCGAGCACCGCCGCCTCCCAGCACCAGCCCGACCGATTTGCCGCATAACCGCCTCGCAAGTCGGTGGAAATCACCTTTGAAGGGTGTGTCTGCCGAGTACAAAGGCGTCTGTCGAACTCTCCTCGACGTGTACTTCTGAATCTCAGCCTGAATGACTTGAACACGCTGCTTGAGCGCGTTGCCGAACCGACGACCTGCAGGATGCACCGGTTCCTGGGTAGCGCGGAAAGACATCTGAATATGATGATGACTTCCATTGATCCACGGGCGGTTACGCAACCACTTGCGCGTGAGACCAGATTGACAATACCTCTCGGCATGCAATAAGACCAGCTCTTTTCGCGCCGTTGTCTTGGTCGTGAGAAGGAACCGCTCATATTCACCAATATTCGGCGACGACTCAGCCAGGCCCACAAGCAGAATGCAATCTGCTTGGCTGATACAAGTTTGTGTCCAGGGCGACTTGACCGGCGTATCCGCGACGTAAAGAACCATGCCGTACTTCTCTTCCAGGTCTGCAAGATATTGGGAGAGCTTCAGCTTTCCCATACGGTTGAATGCATGTCGGCCGAGGTGGTTGAGAATCGCGGCCTGGTTGAGAGAGACTGCACCTCGTGGGGTCCCAATTTGTGTGAGCGCGTTCAGGAGACGGCTCGCAAAATCCACCACTGGTATACCGGAAGTGACAGGAAGGATCGCAATCGTGCGCAGGTTGACTGTCGAAGATACATTGGTACGCGTGGCCTTTGCGCTGCGTTCCTTACTCTGTTCGTGCAGCGGGTCATCAACCAACGCCCGCATACGGGAGGCAATGATTTTTGAGATTTTGATGGTGATGCCCGGATGCTCCAGAGCAAGACTGTTGAAAAGGGTCTTGGGGAACTTTGCAAGTTCCGTATCTCGAACTACATGCAACGACCCAGGACGAGCAGTCTCAGTAAGCACTTCGAGCTCACCAACGCTGTCACCTTGCCCATATTCGCCAATGACTTTCATGCTGCTGTTCTCGGCATCCTGTATAATTCGCAGTCGACCGTTCAGAACAATGTAAATAGCATCGCTTTCATCGCCTTGGTTGTAGATGACTTGTCCGGCGTTGACTTGAACCCATTCCAATGCAAAGTCAATATGCTGTATCAGGCGAGGAAGAAGAGTCGTAAGGCGCTTTGCCATTGTGAGCAGCACGACGGGGTATCTATCGACAATCCTCTCAATAGACGCCCGGGGCAGGAAGCCGACATAAACGTCTGTCTTCGCTGTGACATCTACGAAAGACCGGTTGGAGGATACGGTTCCGAGATAGCCGGCAAGACCGCCTGGTTTGGTCATAAACAGACTCTTTCTTGTCCGCTTCTTCTTGCTGCCATCAGGTTGTCGTTGAGACGAATTCGTGGCTGTACGCTTCAGTGGTGGGCCAAAAAGTTCCTCTGGCGTAAACCCGGTTTCAGTAGGAACAGTTCCAAGTACGTTCGAATCTGAGCCGTCTTCTTCAATAGACACGCTGACGTCGAGGAATCCATCCACGACATAGTATAGGCCCGGATTTCTCTCTCCTTGCTCAACAAGAACTGCATCTTTCGGGAAATACACAATCTCGACGTCGTTGACAATCTCTTCCAGGATGTTATGATGACCCACAGCACTCATTGTTGACATTCCTGATGCAGAAGCCATCGATTCAGTATCTCCATCCCGGGACGCCTCGTAAGGGTCAATGAACCCGAACGCGTTTGTAAAGATAGCCTTTTGTCGTTTGGTATCAAAAGAGAGAAGACGGGGAGATTGTTCGACTGATACGGCTGGTCTAGGTCTGTTTCCATTCTCTAGGTCTGTCAAACCGATAGCCCGGAACATGCATCGAAGAACGGATTCTCTAAAAACGGTAGCTTCGTCTATGGATTCTTGTCTATGCAACGTGGCGGGCCGCTTCAGCGGGGAGGCAAAAGGATTGAACCCGCCAGCGTCAAGCGGTGTGCGAGGATCTCGACGCTGGTCATGTTGATATGGTTGAGAAAAGCTGTTGCGACCGGACCGACCGCTTCCTCGCGCCATCTGAGAGTTTGTCAAAAGATCTCCCGCACTGATTCGGTCGTTGCGAGGGCCAGGTTCCGGGGAAGTCAGCTTGAACTGTATCTCACTGCTTGACTCCATTGGCGTCCCACGATTAGCGGCAGCCCGAGCTTGCGCGGCCGTTTCTCTCCTGAGCGAGACACTAGACCTGCGACGACGCCCGGCTCCAGGGTTGTGCAGTGCAATACCTTTCATGCCTTCGTCTGGACCAAGCCGCTCTTTCTCTTTGGCAAACTTTTCTTTCAGCCTTTCTAGAGGAGCGTCACGGAGGAACCCTGGAAGATCGTAGTTGGTGTACTTGTTCATAAGTTTCTCGGTACGAAGAACCTCGTTGGTCAAACTGAGGTATGCATGACTGGTTGCGAGGGTTACCCGTTGCAGACGTGTGAGAATAACTTGAACGATGTGTGCGGTCGCCTTGGGATAGATGCGGGTGAGGCGGTGGAATGCAGTGGCTGGAATAATGGCAATGGTGGTATCTACAGTCGCTCGTGCAACAATGTCTGGATGAGCAGACTTGAGCTTCTTCGGTCGTGCCGGTGATGTTCGAATTTTGGTGGGTTTAGGACGGTCACCAAACCCATCAGCATCCAAGGACAAGGGCGGCACGCTCGAAAGAGGTCCTCCTACCGTGGGACTGGCAACAGTAGATGTTCGTCGATGCCCTGATCCAACTTGTGGAACATAGTTTGGAGTTTGCGGTAGGGAATGGTTCGCTTCAAAGCCAGCATTTCTCGTCAGTGGCGTTTTTCGCTGAGGCGTCCCAGGCGCACTTAGGTCTGGGTCCTCATCATCGTCATGACGGAGCTTCACGTCCTCGGTGAATAGGGAGAGAATGGAAAACAACGAGGACATGGGCGCCCCGTTCTTCACTTCAGTAAGCAGTTGATAACCTTGACGGTGACTACTAGAATCTCCCGAAGACCCTTCGTCGGCATCTTCATCCTCGTCAGAGTCGCTTCCCTCTCGGTTTGACTTGACAAAGATTTGGACCAAACCGTCCACGACCAGACAGAAACCTTTTTCCTCTTCAAGAAGGATAGTCTCTCCAGCAGCAAGTCGTCGAGTTTGCATGGTACGCGTGAGTTCATGAAAGACAGGTCGCTCTAGGTAACCAAAGACCTTGATTGCGCTTAGAAACTCATCGAGGTAATTAGAAAGGCCCCTCTTGGAGTCAAATTCTTGAGTTTCGGGAAAAACCTCGACTTGAGGTTCCTCGCGTTGGGGTTCCGGCGGTAACCTTGCGTACATGGTCATGTAGCGATATCTCACAAAGTAACTGATTGTGGACACGACGAATACGACGAGCAACATACTATGACGATCAGCCAAACACCCAGCGACCCAGGTGACGGGAGATCTTACAGGGTTGTAAAGTTCATGGTGAAGGTCAGGCTCATAGAAAAGAGCGTGAAGAGCAGGGTTGGCAGTGTGTAGGTGAGCCAGTACAGAACGGTGGGGAGTACGCTCAACATGGACAGGATAACACGTCCGAGCAGACCAAAAGTTGACGTCGAGACTACTTCTGCGGCCTTCATGGCTGCAACAGAGGTCTGAGAAACGGCCGAAGCAGACGTCACAGCTTCGGAAGCCGCCATGGTAGCCATAGTGGGAGGCTAGCAAGTTCTTCGGAACGCTAGTTATGACAAGGTGGTTCCCTCGTGGGCGCGATTATACCACAAATGGGAGTGCGTGGAGCATATTTCCATGGTGTTTGGATCCTACGAAGCCGAAGACGATGACATGCTAGGTACATGTGCAAACGCACTTGGCTTGTGATAGACTCGAAGTGGATCGCTGCTGACTAAGCCGAGCCTGGGCAACCGCGACCCTTACGCGAGAGCTCCAGCTCCAGGTCCAGCTCGCGAAAGCGCTCCGAGCTTCTTCTCACCCATTGGCGCGCCATGGCTCCGTTCAAAGACGACCAGATCATTGTACGCGCCGCCGCGACACTGTTCCCTGCACGTGCACGAGCTGACATGTTTTCCAGGTCATCGCGCCGGGCTCCGAGACGACAGTCGCGCAGCTCGGTCTGCCCGAGTCGTTCACGCCCCCGCGTCTGCGCGTGAGGTCGCGCATGTTCGCTGCCGAGAAGGAGGGCGAATTCGAACCGTACAAGATCAGGCGGCGACAGGACAAGGCCGCGGAAAAGACTGGCGACGCCCAGGATCAGGCGCAAGATGAGACCAAGCAGGGCGCCGAGGGCGAAGACGACGTGATATGGGAGGAAGACCGCGTGTCGGAGGAAGGCGCGATATGGCCGATCCAGGAGGGCAAGATTGTCGACTGGCCCTGCTTCTTTGCCCTCATCTCCCACGTCTACAACACGCTCAACCCGCCCTTCCACACGGCCATCCTCCTCATAACCCAGCCGGCATGGACTCCGCGCGAGCACGAGAAGCTCACCCAGTTCTTCTTCGAGAAATTCAAGACGCCCGCATTCGGCCTGGTGGACGCGGCGCTGGCGACGACATGGGCGTATGGCGTGCACACTGCAACTATTATCGACGTGGGCAAGGAGAAGACTGATGTTACGGCTGTCAGCGAGTTCATTCCCCACACGCAAGGGAGGGTCATCTCGCTGCCAGAATGTGGAGGCGAGGCCTTCACCCAGGGTCTGCTCTCCAGGCTAAAGCCAAAGGGCCTCAACCGCGACATGTGCGAACAGCTCAAGAAGTCGCCCATCTGCGAAATCTTACCTATCGGGACACCTGTTCCGGGGTCGGGAGAGGTTGAGGAGCATCAGGTCGTCTCAAATCCCGCGGCAGCCGCGTCTACGGGTGCCCTGGCTTCCGGGCCTGCTGCAGCTGCATCAATCGGCAACGCACCACGAGGCCCTGGTCCTGACACCGAAGTTGGCGAGGAGCCCGCTGCCGATGAGAACGAGGGCGTCCTGGACGTCGCAAGCATCGTGGCAGGCGGCAAGATGACCGAATACCTCGCCAAGAAAGAGAGGGAGAAGCAAGACAAGGCCATTGCTAAGAAAAAGGGTGCACCGGTACAAGAACCGAACAAGCCTGTCAGGTTACCCAATTTCAAACGGCTCAAGGCAACGTTTCAATACGAGGATCATACGCTTCTGGATACCCTCAAGAATATGAACTTAAATACTCAGGACATGGCAGATGCGAAAGCCGCCCTCGACGAAGGTCCTGGCAAGAAGACACACACCGAAGGAGACAACGGCGAACCAAAGTCCGCGACCGAGGCAAACGGCGCAGGCTCTCTCAGACGGGAAATCGAGGTCGGCACAGAGCGATTCCTGGCGGGGAGCACCGGTACCCTAGAGAGGATTGCAGATGCTGTGTACCGAGCCATTTCATCAGTTGATGAGGTCAACAAGCGTAGCGAGCTTTGGGATTCTTTGATCATCTGCGGCAACGGATCAAAGCTGCGAGGTTCGTGAAGATCAATGACCCTTTCCTATCGTGATCTAAACTAATTCGTAACCAGGATTCAAGGAAGCACTTCTCCAAAGCGTACAAGCCAAATACCTCATCTCCCCTTCCTCGGCGACAATATTCACCTCTGAGATCCCCTCCAACGTCTCCACCCCCCTTGGAACAGGCGCCAATACTCCACAGCCTCAAATGGGCCAATACGGTCAACTTGGTCCCCACGGCGGCTCACAAGTCAACCCACTCCTTCTTGCGGCCACAACAGCGCAAACTCAGCACCTCATGTCGCATGGCGGCAACCAGCTGATGTCCACCATGTCACACAATACGCACTCTTCGCACGGCCAGACACCCACCTCGATCAAGACTGTCAAGCCCCCAGAATACTTCCCCGAGTGGAAAGACGTAGGATTTGACGAAGCAGCGTTCCTGGGAGCGCAGGTCGCCGCGAAGGTCATTTTCGTGGTCGACCAAGGTCAAAGTAAGGGCTACATGACGCGTCCAGACTACAACGATCAAGGTCCGCAGGGCATTCACGACTACAGTTTGTGATTTTGATAGGGGTGAGTATCGATGTAGTCGAATCTTGTATAGCTAGCTTTGGAGTTTGAAGATATCCCGGCGCAACGAAAAAGCAATATTTGGGCATAATAGGCTACCGGCGACCTGCGTAATGTGATCCTGCACTGACATTCTCTCACACTTTGTATCTGGCTTGTACGCAGTGGTCGAGCATTTGCTGCTTTCGGATGTGGAAGCTTCCCTCTGTATCGGGCGGCTCCGATACCTGACTCCACGTGCTAAGGGCGTACTAGATTAAGCGAGCGACTAGTCCCGTCAGTCCCATCCATACGCCGCCGCGGCTGAGAGATAGATAAAGCTGCTTGTGTGTCTCCGTTTGTAGACTTGTCTTGTCGTCTGTTTGCTTTCTATCTGGTTCTTTCCTGCAAGGTGTCCTTTATCCAGACTTCATATTGATATTCGTCCCCGCCCACATCGCATCTCCACTGTTTCCCCACAGAACACGGAATCAAGATCCCCCCGTCCAATCGTCCAGCGTTGAACCGGATACTTTCCCAACCCTCATTCACATTCATCGAAATGGCGGCCTCGGCACCCATATCGAAGACCATCTACCTCGGCCCCTTCGTGCATAGCACATCACTTACGGAGCTTGAGATTAGCGAGCAGGGAGCTATTGGGGTTGATGAGAAGGGTGTGATTGCTTTTGTTGAAAGAGATGTGGCCCATGACGGAGTCGACGAGATTAAGAGGCGGAATCAGGGGTGGGAGAATGCAGAGGTTGTGAGTGTTGAGGGAAACGGATTCTTCTTTCCGGGATTTATTGGTGAGTTTTTTGCAGGTCGTTATTTGAAAACTGGGAGAGTCAAACTCGTTGAAGATCTTGATTGGAATTTGTCGAAATCCTCACCTCACGCTCCATCTTGTTGAGGAAAATGACAAGCCAACGTTCAACTATCAAAATTGGCAACTCAAACTAACAAACTTGCAGACACACACACCCACGCCCCCCAACATCCAAATACCGGCCTCTTCGGGAAAACAACACTCCTCGACTGGCTACAGACTTACACCTTCCCTATGGAAGCCTCCTTTGCCTCGCTCCAAAAAGCATCAACCATCTACCGCAACTTCGTCTCGAGAACCCTCTCCCACGGCACAACAACCTGCGCCTACTACGCCACCATCCACGTCCCCGCCACCAACCTCCTCGCCGACATCTGCCTGGCACGCGGCCAACGAGCACTCGTAGGACGAGTATGCATGAACAGCGACCTAAGCCCAGAATACTACCGCGACGAAAGCACAGAAACCGGCCTCCGCGACAGTCTGGAAAGCATAAACTACATCCGCTCCATCGACCCCGCAGGCGAGATCGTAAAGCCCATCGTAACCCCCCGCTTCGCACCCTCTTGCACACCCGACTGCCTCTCCGCCATGGGCCGCCTAGCAAAAGAAACAGACACACACATCCAAACCCACATCTCGGAGAACGTCAACGAAATCGCCTTTGTGGCGGAAATGTTCCCCGCCCAAGACTCCTACACACACGTCTACGACACGCACGGCTTGCTCACCCCGAAAACTATCCTCGCCCACGCCGTTCATCTGTCCCCCGAGGAACGCGCGACCATCAAGCAGCGCGGGAGCAAGATCTCCCACTGCCCCGCGTCAAACACGGCGATTACGTCCGGCTGCGCCCCGGTCCGCACCCTGCTGGATGAAGGCCATACGGTCGGTCTCGGCACAGACGTATCCGGCGGTTTCCACCCGTCTATCCTCGAGAACGTGCGCCAGTGCATATGGGTATCCCGACACCTAGCGCTGCAGACATCCGACGCAGCGAAGCTCTCGACCGAAGAAGCGCTGTACCTCGCTACGCGTGGCGGGGCGGCCGTCGTCGGGCTGGAGGATAAGGTCGGTGCGTTTGAAGTCGGTATGGAATGGGATGCGCAGATGATTAGTCTGGGGACTGCGAATGAAGAAGGGTGTCCTGATGGGGCGTTTGAGGACGGGCCGGTCGATGTGTTTGGCTGGGAGAACTGGACGGAGAAGGTCGAGAAGTGGGTGTATAGTGGGGATGATAGGAATACGGTTGCGGTGTGGGTGAGGGGGCGGTTGGTGCATCGGACTGGGAAGTTTATGGGGGCTAGGGGTGCGGCGACGCCGTGAGTGTTTGGGGGTTTTCATGCTGGGTTTGCGACTTGTGGACATATAGATTCGCTTTGGTCTTCACTTGTAACCGTTGCCAAACCAAACTAAACTCAAATGCAAAAACGTCTATATTACTCCCCACTGATCACGACCCAAAGCACGCTTTAAAAAATGGCTTTTGCAGTCTGCATTTCGATCCGGCAAGATCAATTTCCCATACATCTGAAAAGTTTGTGAGCCATGAAACGGCAGGTTTCATAGCATTAAAGAAACTCGAAATCTTCACAAGCAGCGCCCAGACACCAGACACATAGGGGCTGGTTATCATACTTTTGCATCGATGCAAATGGCAAAGAACGTTCATTTGTTCTTGGGCATTACCTTTGGACAGAGAGACAGACAGACAGACACACTCCATATGAGTTTACTGCAGCTTTTTTTGAGTATTTGGACAGGTGAAGTTTTTAGAAAAGGCGGGGAGAAGACTTCATGTGACGGTCATGCAAACAATTGCAACCCTTTTTAAGAGAAAAGAAGACTTCTCGAGGTTTCTGGTCATAACTGTGCATTGCATTCGGTTTGATTCGGAAGTCTTTTGTTGTGGATGAGTGTGTTGGTTACAGACAGACAGACAAAAGAGTATACGTGATCGTTTTCTTTTCTCTACAGGCGGAAACATGAGATTCTAGGTGGCATGTTTTACAGAGAGTCGGGTCCTAAAAGGGTAAGGAAAACATAGAGGACCTGTTTCCAGCATTTTGGGATAGACATGACAGCGAAGAAGTTGGTTTTGAGGTGTGTTAGGTTTCGCGCACCTAGCAGTTCTGGGAGTGTTATCGGAGCTGGAGAACGCTTTTATTGGGGATTTGCTGAAGGTAAAAACATGTGGTCAAGGATAAGCACATTTCGATATATGAGGGTCCAAAACACATTGATCCATTTTATGCTCGAGCTAGTCATGGTTATTGTCCTCCTGATTTTTTATTGGGAACCGGAGAGGCGAGGAAGCGCATTGGCTTGCTTGTAATGACATTTAGAGGGCCCAGAAGCCATATTGGTCCCATGGGATCAGTTTGATTATGCGAGTTTATTAGGTAGGACTTTTCTTGACACAAAGGAAGACGTCCTGGAACATTGATCTTGGATTCTGATCTTTCAGGAGGGAGATGTAGAAGTATTTTGAAGTAGAAGGGAGCTTTTGAGAGGCGGGAGGAGGCGCCAGAGCATGACACAGGTGAGACCAATCTTTTAGAAAACGCCGATGAACCGTAGAGCAGTGATAGTAAACATGTATTTCGAGTTTGTGCGTTTTGTATATAGAGAACTAGGAGAATATTATCTGGAGGAAGAAGAACCAGCAAGCATGATCTGTAGATCCGGAAATTTGTCGGTGTGTGTAGGTAATGGTGTTTCATGTCATCAGTGTTGACAGGCTTGAGACATGACAAAATGTCGTGTCTTTTATATCGAGGGTTTTAGGAGTTTCTGAGGAGTTTGACAAGCGATTGTTTTGTTGCATCCCAAAGACCTCATGAAAAGCATGTATGCAATTTCGAGAAATGACGCCTAGTCGTGCAATCTCGAGATCAGAGTTCTGTAGAGAGTTGAAAGTGGATTTTGAGAGTTCGGCGTTATGTTGGCCGCAGGAACTTGACCAAATGCGGTAAGACTACCCCGAGCTAATACCGTATAAACTTGGTTAATCCGTTATATACTAGACAGGAGTAAATTAGACTAAATTTAAATAATCTAATACAATATTTAAGCTAATAGACCTTACTTATTAATTTATATCTTTAAGTATTACTTTAATTTTATTAATTTACTCTATAAATTGCTATTTAAAGCTTAAAAATTGCCTAATTCTATTATCTTAATAGAAACTTTAGTATTGCAATTTTTAAGTTATATAGGCTTAGTATTAGGTATATATATTAGATTATTTAAGCTGTTACATTAAAATATTAAGCGTTTAAATATAGAAGGTTAATTTAGTAATTAGAGTAATATTTTAAAATAATATAGTAGTCTAAACTAAAGCGCTAAGCTTTATTAATTTATTAGCTATATATATATTTTTTAAAAGTTATTAATAAACTTAGAGACTAGTAATATACTATAGAGTAGTTACTCTAAACCTTTCTAATTCTTTACCTTAATAATAGATATTAGATAGTACCTAAAAAAGCTAACGCGTTACTAGATTAGGCTATACTAAGCTCTTAGCGTAGTGCTAAGAACTTTATAAAACTTTAAACTTTTAAACTTATTAAATTATCTAAAGTATACTATAACTTTAATTAATAAGCTAGTATGCTTAACGCCCTTTTACTTAACTTAATTAAATTAATAATCTTCTTCTTCTACTTAGCCTCTACTGCTATATATACTTAATAGGAAGTTACTTACTTTATTTAACTAGAAAACTCTACTAATTTTAGTATAGTAAATAAGCTAGATAGAGCTTTAAGTTCCTCTATTATAATTACTCTAGTAGCTATTAAGCTCTCTATATTAGCCTTATATAATTATTAGATAAGCTCTAATCTTCTTAATTAACTATAACCTATAAGTCTTCTTAATTTATACATAAGTTTAAGTATATTAATAGTAACTTTAGGTAGTATATATATAGCTATATATTTAGCTAGCTACTTACCTTTATCTTAAGCTCTATTAGTTAGTAAAGCCTATTTAAAGCTATTCTATATATTATCCTTAATCTTAAGCTTAATAGGTAGCTTAGTAGTCTCCTATCTATTAAAGTTAATAAGATTACTTAGTATATCTTTTATTCTAATTAACCTATCTTATAATCTACTTAGGCTAATAGCTATTCTAGTATATATAAAGGAGTTAACTATAATCTTTTATAAGTTATAGTAGAGATAATTCTAGGTATTACTAATAGCTTTAGTAATAGCTATCCTTTATTCTAAAATTACTACTTAACTTAAGGTAGGTTTATTCTAATCTAAAATAAGTTCTATCTCTTTTCTTAGGTATACCTTAAAAGGTTTATTAATAGTAATATCTAGTAGCTAGAGTATTTCTATATATCTAAGTAGAATTAATGCTAGTATAATTCTACGCGCTAGCTTCTTATACTAGGTTAAAACCTAATTAGTTTTATAGAAGAAAGTGTAGTTTATTATAAGTAAGCTCTTTCTTCCTCCTAATACTAGTATAAGCTACGCTAGTAAATAGGTTAGAGTTAAGTAGAAGTTAGGTCTTATATAAGTATAACCTAACTCTAACCTAACTTATACCTAACGTATAGTCTACTCTAACCTAACTCTAACCTAAGTTTTTTACACTAGTATTAGGTTAGGGTAGAGTTAGAGTTGCATAGACCTTAGGTAGAGGTTAGGTAGGCTCTACTAATTAAAGGACTTTACTATAATCTATTATTATATACCTAATTAGCTATACCCCTGTCTAGGTCTGTATAACCTAACTCTAACCCTAACCTAACGTATAGTCTACCTTAACCTAACTCTAACTCTAAGCTTAGACTACCTTAACCTAACTATAACTCTAAGCTTAGACTACTCTAACCTAACCTTAACCTAGAGTCTATATAACTCTAACTTAACCCTAACCTATTATTAGGTACTCTAAACCTATTTACTAGTATAGTATAAGCTCTAAATCTAACTATTTTTAAAATAAGGTCTTATTATTATATACTAACTTATTTACCTTAATAGTTACCTAAGGATTCTACTAGAGACGTTCTACTATATTAATTAGCCTACCTAGTGTTCTATAAAAGATTAACTTAGGCTTTAACTAGAGCTTATAAGAGGCTAACTCTAAGAGTAGTTACTAGTATAAATTAAATAAATTTACTAAGGATTTATAGTACTAGCTTTTCTTTACTTATAGTTCTTTTAGTAGTATACTAGCTATTTCTAGTAGGCTAGCTAAGAGTAGGTATTAGTAGTTAGAGTTACTAAGCTCTAAGGCTTTACTTACTAAAGTTTTACTAGGCCTAGCCTATTATATAAGCTCTCTTCTAGTAAGAAAAAATTATTTATATTTTTACTCTACTATAATATAACGTGTTAACCTGCCTCTATACGTAATTTTTACTATAGCTATACTAACTTTACTAGCCTTAACTTCTACTTTACCTACTACTATAATAGTAGGTCTACCTAAAAAGCTTATATTATTTTTTAAGTTCTTTTTTATAGCTGCTAGCTCTCTAAAGAAGTCTTTAGTAAGAAAGTAAACTTATTCTATTACTAAAGGTAATAAGAAGGCCTTATTTTTACCTATAAGTTTATTTAGTTTATTAGATTTACTCTTTTCTTTACTAACTTTTTATTTTATTAGTTTTACGCCTTACTACTTACTTATTTATTACTACTAATACTATCTCTACTCTTACTTCTACCTCTATTACTAAAAGCTACTAGCCTCTTTAGCTACCTATTTACTTAGGCTACACCTACTATCTTCTAAAAAATAAGAAAACCTATATCTTTAAGAAAGGTAGGTAGTTTTATAATTATTATTCTTAAAAGTAGTATACTACTTATTATAAAGTAAGTAATATTTATCTTTATATAAGTACTACTAGTTAACTTTTAGGTAAGTTTCTAATTAGCTTAAGGCTAAAGTTATCTTTTTTTATAGTCTTCTTTCTATCTCTTCTAGTAACTTTACTATAAAGTCTATTACTTTATACTTTAATAAGTTAAGTCTTAAGCTTATTAAGGCCTAGTAAAAAACTAAAAAGAAGTTTATTAGTTAGCCTAGGTATTAAAATAATAACTTTAGTAATACTATTACTAAGTTACTTCTTTATACTATTATAATAAAGCTTAGTAATATTTAGGCTATACTTAATTATTAAAGTAAAGCTATCTTAGTTCTAGTAAGTTTTCTTTCTAATTTTACTATTTTTTTAGCTAATTTTTATACTTTTCTAAGCTAAGACTATTAAAGGTTAAACTAAGTATTTTATTAATATTATTACTAAGCTTATCTCTCTTCCTTTTAAGCCTTAAGAACTACCTATCTATAAGAATAATAGTAGTACTAGTAATTAAAATACTTTTAAAAATAATACTACTATTAGTAGTAAGAATAAAGTAATATAATAGTAGTTTTTTAAGTTTTTTTTTTAGTATTTTAGTAAATACCTAGTATAGTATAGTATCTTAGGCCTATAGAGCTCTATTAGTAATACTTTAGCTACTTATAAGTAGTTAATTTTCTACTTATTAACTAATTTTTTTTTTTTTCTTTTAGTAATATTTTAATTTTCTTAACTATCTATATTCTTAGCTCTAGTAAGAGTATTTGTTAGTAAACTACTTATAGTTTCTTATAGTACTTATTACTAAAAATATTATTTTCTCTACCTCTACTTTACTATTACTAAAGGCTCTAGTATTATTAAAGTTTATTAAAAGAACCTTTTTAAAAATCTCTTAGTAATTTACTAGTATTATTTTATTTTTTTTTAAAAAAGGCTAACTAGTTATTTAGTACTTTAGCTTCTTTAAAGTTTTTTACTAGTTTTTATAAAGTTATAGTATAACCTTTTTATTTAACTAGGTATTATTTCTTATACTTTTTACTATAGCGCTTTTACCTTTTACTTATAATTTTTTTAATCTTTTAATAGTTTTTTAGTTCTTTATTAATATTTTCTAATATACTCTTTAGTTAGTAATTATTAATATCTTATCTTACTAAGGAATTTTTAAAGTATAGCTATAGCCTATCTATATAAAATACTAAGTAGATACTAAAAGAAGTATTTAATTTTATAGTATAAAAAAAGATTACTTTCTTTACTTAAAACTTTATATTTTTCTAGTCTAGTTTCTTACTTAGCTTACTATTAAAGAAGTGTTTTTTATACTATAGCTATACCTAGTTCTCTTCCTATAGTTATAGTACCTTTTATTAATAGTAGTTAGCCTAGATTTCTTAAAGTTATTAGGCTTCTACTATTTTTACTTATATATAATCTAGTATTTTTATAAATTTTATAGTAAGTACTCTAGCTAACTTCTCTAAATTATTAAGCCTTTAATATTATTATTAAATTACTTATTTTATATTTTCTTATACTATATCTATATTATATTTATATTATAGAAAGAATAGGCTAATACTAGTAGATACTATATTTCTTCTCTTAATAGTAATTTAGGTAGTAAGATATATTAGTACCTAGTTATCTTATTTCTAATTAATATAAGCCTATAAGTAAGCTTTTATAGTACTATTTATTCTTTTAGTAGTACTATTAGTTTCTAGATAGTAGCTAGTAAATACCTAGTATATAATACCTAATTTTTTATAAAAGGTTTTCTAAAAATCTCTAATAAACTAGCTACTATAGTTAGATATAATAGTATCTAAAAGCTAATAGTAGGCTATAACCTTTTTTATAAAAGCTCTTATTACTATTTAAGTATCTAGATTTCTTAATAAGATAAGTATTATATCTTTACTTAGCCTATCTATAACTACTATAAAGTACTAGTACCTATTACTTATAAGTAAATTAATAATAAAGTTTATTAAGATTTCCTTCTATATTCTATCTAGAAAGAGGAGTAGTCTT